TTCAAGAAAATCTTTAACTTCTTCTTTTTATTATAATAGTAATCAATTTTAATATTGTCTTTATTAGTGATTCTCTCTATAGTGATTAAAGTGAATATAGAGGAGCGGACTAAGTTAATTAGTAAGGGTGATTAAACTGTTTTAGGGTTAAAGCTAGATATTGTACTGAATACTTTTAATTAAGAGGTAATTAAAGAGTTATATTTCGCTCTATTAAGAGTGTTACTATATATATAGTTTCTTGATAAGTGGGAAGTATAGAAGACAAGGTCACTAAGAATAAAGTACTTAAGTGAGTACTAGAGTAAAGTAATTATAGTCTAAAATGTATAGGTATAATTGTGAATGAAGTTAACTATATAGTAAAGCTATAAAATGATTATATATATATAGTTCTTCTTATTCTTACTTGTCTTAGTGTGTCTTAGTGATTCTTAGTGCCTAACACGCTAAGAGCCATTAATTATCACTGATTCTTATTGAGACCATCGCCCGTGGTCATGTGATGATCATTTCTCTCTTGATAGGCCCTTTTTCGCTTGATCTGCCATCCTTATTATAGACTGCCATCAATACTGTGTATATAGCCTGCACACAGGCTGATTCGTAATATAAGGTTCTCTTATAGTAAAGCTTCTATACTATAAATAATGACTTATTCTTAAGATTTAATAGGGTTATATATATCGCGATAACTCCTCTAAGATAACTTTTATTAGACTTAATAAGGCTATAAATATATACCTTTTAGAGCTCTAGCTACCCTTGTATATATTATATATAGCGCGTAACTTAAAGTGTCTATAAGCTAGAGGTATTCTATCCTTCTAGTAGGCGATACTATATCCGCAAGCTTAATAGGACTTGCTTCGGTCCCGGGTACGATCTGGATACTATTGGGTCAGGTGGTTTTTAAATGCTGTCTCCCCCTTTTTGGTCAACACACGTCGCGACGCGTTGTTTCCTTGATGTTGAAGCTGTGGACTCATCTTAGGTCACACTTTTTCAGTTCTTAACACCGAACACTATGTGAAGGTGTGAGCCCATCGTCCCGCAGGCTATTCGCCTGCGCTCTGCGTGCTCGCAGAGGGCTAGTAGGTAATAGTAACTACTTAAAAGTGCTTTGGCTAAGTTAGTTTCTTAGATACTTAACTAGTTAGATATCTAGGCACTTAGTGATGTCGCTCGAGATTTCTTTCCCTTACTTCTCTTACCGAGGTACGAAGCTCACGTCAACATCGTGCAAGTGGAAACGCGGGCAAAGCTCCATAGTTTCATTCTGGAGAAATCGTTCAAGCTGCATGTCATTACACAGACGTATGGTCCGACGATTGTCTCGGGATAACCAAATATAGCTTCGCCTGACGCGTATTATTTGTCAGAAGACATTGATGTGAAACCTACAGTCTCCCCCAATAGCTTCAGTCATCGTGTCGGGTTGTGCATCGAGGTGCTGGGTGACCTTGGACAGGAGGCGTAAGGTAGAATCAATGATGGGGCCTATGATTTCTGTGGGTACGGCACTGTTGGAGTCTTTGACCGCATGCAGCCGCGTGCATGCCTCGTGGAGAAAAGTGACATGCTCTTTCAGGTTGTGTGGTTCAGCGCTCAAACTCGGCCAGTCGGTTCCCATGGCCATCGCAACGCGTCCTTTTGGATTTGGAACGCGTTAATGACCACAGGGACCGATTGACATGAGCTACAGGCAGTTTAAAGCAATAAATTTACGTGTTTTTCAAAAAATTTTGTTCGAGCTTGGGGTGGTGTTTTTTAGACAGCCTTAACGTTCCTTCAAGATAAATCCTCTTTACCAGATGACATCCTCGAGAAGGTAGTGGCACGACTTGAAAAAGACGGGTGGGTTAGGCGGACAGCCGTTGAGGTCCTTCAATATCAATCCTCTTTGGCAGATGAGGTCCTTCTCAACCCTCAATTTTATTCTATACGAATTGGCTACGACGCAGTTTTGATGGACAGGTTCATGGATACCTCGGCGATCGTGGCTTTTCTCTTAACACCACAGAAGTGTTAAAACCTTTTCGTTCACGAGCGACGATAGCCTAGTTCGGTTTACAGAAATGCTTGAGGCAGTAAGGATACGGTTATATGTCCCTGCAAGTGGAACGGGACTCTAATTTGTTCAGACTACTGCTATTACGGTGTAGTACCTCTACTCACGCTTAAAATGTCACTCACACACGACAATACCGCAATCTAAGCTTGCGATAACGAGAATCCTAGGAGTACACTTATAAGTTCTAGTACTCTGCTGAAATACAGTTGCCTTGACTCACCTGCGCTCGCATTGTCCGGCACCATTATCCACAGTGGTGGACACTGGCATGCCGCTGTTAGTTATCCTCTCATGTTGACACAAAAATCTCAATCTGGGTGGCGATATGAAGAAGAAGCCTTTTTCCTGCAGGAGTGGAGATAAGAAATACTGTGTAGATAGAAACCGCGAGATTTCACTTCGCCCTTTAGCTATCTCATGTGCCTTCTTCTTTGGCCATCCCGTAGAGAGTAATGTCCTGCTGATAGATAACGTGGTGATTAGAGACTCAAATTTGTCCTATAGATATATAACTATCTCTTCCTTAGCGGCTGAAGAAGCTATGTGGTGACCACCGGGGCCAGAACCAGGCTGGAGGAAGAGTTATTATCGTGATCGAACGAGGCTTAATCGCACGGTGTGAGTCTACCAGAGTGGTCATAAGGCTAGGTTGAGACGACGAGAGAAAGTGAATCGTTTAGATACTCGCAGTGCAAGGGAAGAGCGTTAGACGACAGTGTCTCAATGGTCCTGCCGGGAACATTGAGCCAGTGCACCTTTGGTTGAACCCATGGTGTGAGGCTGCCTGCGCTGAGGAAGCGAAAGCCAAGGAGCATGTCGGCCCAGCCCTTGCCATCACGTGATATTTAAGCAACAGGGGGTACGCGTGCCATGGTGTCCGCCCTTACACCGCCAACACCTTCTCGTTGCGACCGATTCTCTACGCAAGGATCCACTGAAGGGCCGCTGAGCATATGTAACAGAACTGACCAGCGTCTTAATCTTTCCAACCAGCGATGTGACCTTGTTGTTGTTGTTGTACAAACCTCCTTACTGTGGTGCTGATGAATTTTGAGCGAGAACATGGCTAATACACATTGGGTTCCGGTCGTATCTCTTTTGCACACACCTTCGAAGCCCGCTTGGAATAACTAACAGTGCAATCACTATGGCATGTGTCTGTCATTGCGGGTTTCGCAGAAATCACCGACAAGGGTCAGGGACTGATTCAAGGTGGTTTCCAAGGCAGCTTAAACTCCATCTCCACAGAGGACGATTTGCTTCCGGACGGGTTCCACTTTACACTTTGCATGATACAGGATCAGATCAGCTCCTGCGCTTAATCATCCCGAAACCAAGCTTGAAAACTTAACCAAGGTAAGCCTATTCATATTATTTAGCAATTGATCCAGCTGCAAGTCAACTAGGAGAGATCCTGTGGAAGCAGCGAGAGCTGCGGCCATCCGAGACTTTGTATCACGAGTGCAAGGAGTTTACACCACAGTAAGGAGATTTATATAACAACAACGACAACAAGGAGTTTGTACTACAGCAAGAAGGCTTGTAGCATCTATAGAGGACTTGTGAAACTTGTGATCCAGGTCTGAATCTATCTATATCAGTATTCTAAGTCGCGAAGTTTTCGAGCCAACCCATCTTTCAGTTCAAAGATGCAATCTAGTATTAACTTACAACTCTTGTCCTTTGGTTTCATCGACACTCGAAGCGATGCCAGATATATATACAAGCCTGCCTTCAAGACCGCTTACCCTTCGTCCAGAGACGACCCCTCACACCGGAGCGAGATATCATTGCATAGAGCGGTCACATATTTGGCTACGAAGAGAACAGCAGTGACTTCCAGCGATGAACCGATGGGAGGAAGTGGACTAAAAGTCGAGTTTTAGGCGACTTCCTCATCTATGGAGAAGAAGAATCCACTTCAAGACAACCACAAACCTTCCACATGGTCGACCATCTAGGACAGTCAGAGGACGGTCAGGAACACATTTTTTTACGCGGTTCAAGAAGTCAAGTTTATGAAAGCGGCAGACGAGTTGCTGTTCTCATACTGCAACTTCACACCGGAAAATGAATGTAAAGCAGTGTGTCGTGGGAAACTATGGTGCGTACAAACCTGAGTCCTGCATAATACCTGTCAAGGCATGGCATAAGATGGCACAGCGCCCATTACAGCAGTACTGAGAGGTGTCAGGCATTTGAGACGCCTTTACTAAAATTGAAGGACTTAGTGAGAGATCGCGAAGGATTGCATACTTTTTCGTCCTTGACTACATCCACAATGTAGTGGATACTCGGCAACACACACACTCTCCTCTTCATTATTCCTTTGATGTGCCAGAACAGGTATTGTGTTACGAACCAGGCCTTTTATGAGGCCGCAGACCAAGCTGTGACGACAGCCACTCGGCGTTATTACCTCCGACGCACGTGAACCAGGGAGCCGAGGTCACGTGACCCAGCCAAAGACCATGGGCTCTGCTAAAGGGGACTAAGGGGAACAGAGCCTACAGAGCCCAAGAGAGCCATGGATTCTACGAGGTATATATACACGGTCATTACATAGACTTACTACGTAGTCAACTTCGTTCACGATCATACCCATACGTTTTGGTTGTGATCACTTCGCTCTTGTACTCGCTCAAGTACTTCCTTCTCCGTGGCTTCGCCTCCTATACTTCCCACTTATCAGGAAACCCATACGTGCAGTGACACCTCTGGTGGAGCGAATCGTAACATATTGATTGCACGGCTGAAAGCGAAGGGCATCCATACCCCAGTGGTCCAGCGGGTGGGGTCATTCTGTGCAGGACGATCCACCACTATCATTTTCAAACGGATGGGAATCAGATTGCTCAAGCTGAAGTTGACAATCTGCTGTAAATATAGGGAGATTTTTGCCGAGGCTGACTGATAGGCCAACACTTCACTGATAAGTCCACGCCATGGCGTCGTCATCCATCAGGTTCATGATCTGCTGGTTGCCATAGTACCACTCACTCAGGCTGTCCACATGGAAGTCTATCTCTCCAAGATCCAGCTCGTCCGCTCCAGGCAGTCCGTCGACGCCCGGACCGTGACCATCGTCTTGTAATCCAAAATCTGCTTCTGTAGTTGCGGGGAACGTCAATGTGGTTGGTGTGGGCAATGAAGATGCTGACTTTGTGGGGATAGAATCAGATTGAGAATGGTGCTGATGCTGGATCTGGTTGTCCACGCAGAGGCGTGCGGTTCGGCTGAGGAGTTCGTAGATTCGATACGGGTGGGATGGCGATGCTGGCAAGGTGGCTTCGGGCTTCAGCGATGAGGCGAAGTGCTCTATGCGGGCTAAATCGGATTGGTCGAGTTGTTGGACGGCTTGTGTGAAGAGAATGCTGAAGGGTATGAACGGTGTATGTAGTACAGCCCTTGAGGCACAATGGAATATGTCAGTCCGGGAACTTGACGATGTGATTGAATTGATAGAAAGCATATGGGATCGCCAAAGCCTTGGATAAAGCATTGGAACTCACCAATTGATGTACTTCTGCAACATGGCTGTGTTGCCCTTCCAGCTTTTCACGCTGTCCATACATTGCTGGTGGATGTCCATCACCTCACGAGCGACCGTCACACATTCTTCTGAAGCTCGATTTGCAGACTCCCCTGGTGCAGGGGCAGCTCGCAGGATCAGAGCGAGCGTAGACGAACTGCAGACAAGGTCGCAGCGCAAATACACGATCGCCATCGGATTGACATTCGGATCGAGCTGTTCAGCGTTCTGGCTATTGTCAGTCAATAATTCCTGCTATTCATGGTAGGTGAATGCAGGCGCACCATGATATCCACACGTGTCTCCTGAATGAGTTCTCGGAGCTCTAGAGCCAAAGCGTTGACAATCGTCCGCCGCTCATGATCAGACTTGGATAAGCCGCTGGGGCTGTAGAGCTGATCGTATACCTGTCCTTGAATCATGGATTGACGAGTGCGCAGAAGTGCATTCGGATTGACAGTCAACGTTATATCCCGATCGCGGATGTTAGAAGATCGGCTAAGCCGCAATGATAGTCCTTTGTCGAGATTGTAGACCAGCCAAAACAGGCTCTCTTGGCTTACTCGAAGGTATGACTCGTTCTCTCTGGCAGGGTCCTTTCGATGGTAGCCGAGTGTGAGGCAGAGATTCGCGGCATAGGAAATAAACGTCCATGCCAGTGACGACTTGGAGTTTTCGATTGCATTGAAAGCCTATAACAACAGTCAATCAGATGCAATGACCTTACCGTTGCTCTTTTGAATGCTTACACCTAGTGCCAGTACTGCAATGGACTCCATCGATTGCGGAAGAATTAGTGGAAGCCGTGCAAAGGCGTTGACGAGATTCTTCCAACACAGATTGCAATATTCATTGTATTCTTGGATTCCGGATGCAACGAAGTACTCGAATGAGATATAGGATAGGTAGCCATTTGCTAGAATGAATTCGAGATCATTGTACTCGTCCACTGCAAAGTACACTTTTTGACAAATTTCGGAGAACTTCTCGAGAGGGAGGATTCGAGATAAATTGGTGATGAGCGCGTAATGCTTGTGTACTGATGTTCATGTCAGTGCCGGAGAGACTTTATCGTCTTAACGGTACTAGCCTTTTGACCACCGCAATAATTCCACTGCTGCTTTCAACGGAGGTAGTAACGGCGAGACAGGAGATCTGTACCTGGCGAGCAGGCCACAGTCCGAATGTTGGTCCAGCACTCGACCATCCGTGGATTCAACTAATGTGCTCAAGGACGACACGGCTTGACCAATCTCGGGGTCGGAGTATCGCAAGTCGCAGTCCTTGACAACAGCCTTGACGAAGTCGACGATGTGAGAAGAAGTTTCCCAGCTGGTGGTGGTTCCCTCAGGTTTAAAAGCGGGTTGAATCTTGGGAACCGGAACTGGTGGTTCGGTCTGCTTTCTATAGTCTCCCTGGGCGTCACTAGATCTGGCGATGTCCGTACCAAAGTCCTTGCCACGGAGTAGTCGTTTGATATCCTCGATGCCTCCCGCGATACCATCAATCTTTTGCTCGCTAAAATGGATAAGTGCCAAGCATGACGGTGACCACGCATCAAAACAGAGCCAAGGAATGACTTACTATTGCGCTGAGATTAATACACGCTGCTTTGGAGCAATGATCTTTGGGGTCGGAGTCGAATGCGTGCAATCGAGCCCGGCCGATGTGCAGTTCCCACATGGTGAGGCCCGATCGCAGCCGATCTGTTCGGCAAATGCATGGTCAAAGATTCATCCGTGCCTTATTTCCCGCTCGATTGAGACTGCATAGTGCATCCAAGGGAACGTACCTTCCGAGACCGACACTGGTCGCACTTTCTTCGATGTCAGCATACACCCACGCAGAATCTTGGATGCAGTGAAGCTCACAGAGCGATGACGAATTGCTAAGCGGGCATTTGTTCGCCCTTGTCCTCTGTTTCCGCGGGAATCCATATCTGAGCAGTCTTATCTACACAAATGATTACTTGCCCAAGTATATTCCTGTCTGTTGAAAGGTCTCGGAGCCGGGTCAATGAAGGATGACAAATCGGTTTTGCGCGGGTTTCCGGCCAACCTGAGTGGACCCGCAATACAACCCTTGGCTGGGACCGTCTGGGCGATATGACTTCTAACCCCGTGCCGGCAGACTTGTCTTGCTGTATGCATAATAACTGTGAACGTTGGTTTTCAAATGTAAAGCCATGACGTAGGAACGATATTATTGAGGCGTAAATAGGCACAGTGTTCCCTTCCTGGAGGAAGGAAATCTGTGCAAGAAAGGAGATCTGTTCAAGATCCGCAATGGCACAACGCATTCTTCTCACTGGCGCCGGTGGCTATATGTAGGCTTTCAATGCCTCTGACACTGCTTCGCTAACTTCTTGTAGTGGAGGCACGATCCTCAGTCAGATCCTGTCACTCAAGGACAGTCCGATCCAAGTTAAGAACTTGACGGTCACTGTTCGCTCCGAAGAACAGGTTCAAAGATTGTCCAATTTGAGGGTTCACACCATTGCAATGGACCTAAACGACACTGAAGCTGTCAAGCAAGCTGTGCTCAGCAACAATAGTTCGTTGATGAATTGTTATGGTGAATGGGGAAACGCTCACATTCTATCAGTTGATGTAATCGTGCACATCGCGAGTGCTCTTGAACCTACAATTGCATCACACCTGATCAAAGCTCTAGGCGAACGGCGCAAAGTTAGTAACAGGGCAGCCTATTTCATTCATGTGAGAGCTCAATATTCAGTCCATAATCCAGAGATATTGATCATCCATTAGTCCTCAGTCACTGCTGTATTTTCCGAGGAAAATGGCTGGCCATTTGGAGAGGTAAGGGATACCGATCCTCTGTACGATATGGAAAAACAACTACCCCCCGGCCATCCAGTTCATGACGTAAGTCGCTTGCCTCCTATCTTAGCAGGTGATCATCCTAATTTTCCACTAGGCAAACATCCTCGTGACGGACTTGGCTAAGTCGGAAGGCGTCACAAGCCTTATTGTCGTTGTGCCTGTCGTTTGTGAGTGCCTGAAGAGCCGTTGCACGTTTGCGAGAGAACGAGGCAATTATGACTGATCAATCGATTGACAGACGGTACGGGAACTGGAGAGTTCAGGAGGATTTCCTCAAATCTTCCCTCATCCGTACGGGCTTCGATTGCCGCTAAGGTCGTGCACAAATTCGATAAGAATGCAGTGAGTTAGAAATCTCTCCATACCTAGACAATACTCGTGCGACTGAACAGATCCTGCAACAGCATCCCGCGACTACACATGTGTCAGATATGGCAGCACTATATATTCTTCTCGTCTAGAAAATATTGAAAGAGGAGGCAATTCCCACAGGTGAAAAGGGATATTATTTCGCCATGGCCCATAGGACGTCTTGGTGGGAGGTACTGCAACATCTGGCCGAGGCCCTATATAAGCGTGGCCTTGTGGACGAAGCGGAGGTGAAGATCTGGCCAAGCGATGAGATTGCCGCACAGGCTCTCGGGTGGCCACGACAGTTCGTGCGTGCCATGGGAACGTCGAGGTGAGTGCATTCCAAGTGACCGGCAGTCCACAGCCATCTGACCATATCTTAGCGGAGACATCATCCCTGTGAATGCATTCAATATTGGTTGGCAGCCAAAATGGACAGCGGAGAGCTTCCTTGGGAGCATGGACGAGGAGATCAAAGCGGTGCTGGAACAAGGAGACAAGTTCAAATCGACCTTATACAACTCTGTTCTGACACCAGCAGACAAATGAGAAGGGACTGCTACGATGTGTTTGGTTTGGGGTCTGCTAAGTGCGCGAAAAACATGGTGAGTTGCCTGTCAGAGGGTTTGTTCAAAGCTCAAAGAGTGTGAGCAAAGCGAAGAAGTTTAGACAAGGCTGTCAGTAAAACTGCCTTCCCTGGTCAAAGTCCTCAGCCATCTTGGTTCGCTCTTTCTTGCTGGACATATATTTAAGTATCGCCCTAAATGGAATAATAAAACACATAGTGTAAAGCCGCAAAATATGGCTATCAGCCGCAGAAATACAACTCAGAAATAATCAGGTGTCTTGTGAGAAATGCTTGTTCGCGTGCATAATGATGTTGCAAATCGTCGCCTACAAAAGATTGAAGAGCTTGATCAAGTCTCCCTATATCAACATAGCTATAGCACAGGAGCGCGATGAGCTGTCGTCGCTGGGTCCGCACAATGCCGACACCGTGGGGTTGACGTCTATCCTGTTCTCCATCATGTCAAGTTGTCTCCTCTCGGATGCCCCAACGGCCCCCGACACCGAGTGGTTCCCGCCCATACAGTGGATGACACTCTCGTCCGCCATATAGACTGTCTTTCAAGAAGCTGTCCCTTACCTCAACAAGAGTGTCGTGATGAATTATATGCGCGCCAACCATGAGCTCAATCTTTACAACATTGATGTCCTCTTCAACCCAAATAACACTATTCCTTTTCACAGTATTCTGAAATTTAAAGACCTAGAAAGCCACATCTAAAGCGAAACATCGTCACGCGTCGCCGACTAGGGAGACACAAAGAAGGCGACAAAGAAAGAGAGTGAAGCGTATCAAAGCACCCTGGCCATAATTGGAAGTATCTTCAACACTGTCCACGCCGGCGAGACCAGCTGTTGAACTAGGCTAAGTTGCGAGCGCTGTTAGCACCGTCTTTACAAGTTAAATACTCAGGCCTAGCGCCTTAGCGCCTCCAGCGGAACGCCAACGCCCTTCTTTTCTTTACAACTTTTGCAACATCATTAATTCACTGTTTCTAGTCATATATAACTATATTCTCGGACTTCACAAGGAGGCTTTCTCTCTGTCTAGAATGTCACCCAATAAAACACCACCTAAGAGCGACTAATAACTCTATGCGGCGCGCTGTGCGACGGCGAGAAAGCCCTCCCTTAGAGTGTTCCTTTTGTCTATATAATAGTTAGGAATCTCTCTTCGAGAGAAGGAGATTAGACTCGTCAATATATCCCATTTAGCCTCTAGATATCGCCTAGAATTAAGCGTTATATAATAGTTATAAGTCTAGTTATTAATTTCGCCTAAAACACTTATTAGTTAATACTCTAGTAAAATCTTATCATTATAAGGCTATCTAACTAAATATATCTAAATATATTAAGTCTCTATATATATTTCACATCTCAAGTATTTATATAGTAAGCGGTATATCTTGCTATACTTTCTTCACCATAATCCTTAATATATCAAAACTAAATCTCGAGTCTTAATCAATGAAATCGATTATAATTACCTTTTCTAAGTCCTTAAATTAAGATAACTAGTTCACTTTCATTAAACTATATATTAAACATCAAGGAATATAGAAGTATATTAATCTTAATATAAGTAACCCTTCTACTTTAAAGTATTTATCTATTCTAGATTTATAGAATTTATATTAAGATAATTAAATCTTAAAATAATAATGAATAAATCTTCGCTTTATAGAGCGATAATAAGAATAATAATATAAGCGATATAAAGATAAACTTAAAATTATTAATACTCTAGATATTTAGATAATAGAAATAGTCTTAATTAATCTTATAATATATCTAGAAGAAGAACACTCTTTTTATATAACTTTTTAATAGCTTCACTAAAGGTTTACTTTTATTAATTAAGCTAGAGAACTAGATATTCTAGCTAAATAAAAGAATATTACTAAGATTTTAAGAATTTATTAATAGATAAATAACTAGCTAGATAAGTAATTAAAGATCTATAATAATACTTAGTGTCTAAATATACTAATCGCTATAGAAAGGTCTCTTATTTATAAGTTCTTATAAGTCATTAAAATTCTTAACTTAATCTTCTTTATAATGAAGAATATTAAGATATTAAGCGACAATTTTATTTTTAACTTTTATAAGTTAGTTAAGTTCTTTTATTAACTTAATAGCCTTAAAAAAGACTTAAGAAAAGAGAATATTCTTTTATATAATTTATTTATATCTCTTAAAGATTAGAGAGCTAAGAATTAACTTTTAAAGTGTAAAATCTATAATCTTTTTTAATAATATCTATAATATTTTTATATAGTTAAAGCGATAAGGCCTTCTAGTTAAAAACCTAAACTTATAAAACTAGCTATTTATAAGAAGATAAAATATAACTCTATCTATATAAAACAATTTAAGAGAGTAATAGAAACTATTAAGAGAGAAGTATTTAAGTCTTTCTTTTTCTTTATAAAGAAATAGAAAAGAGAGATAATATTTATTATAATAATAACTTACTTAAAGTCCTTATACTTAGGATTAATTAATAAGAGTCTCTATAATGAGTAGATCTTAAACTTAGAATTTAATATTTATATATATTAGTTAAATACACTAAACTATACTTCTTAATATTCTTTACACTTTAATGAGTCGCTAATTTATAATGTTAATAAATATTTAATTGAGTTAATTAGGATAATTATTATTAATATAATGTCTTCTAGAGAATCTACTTATATTATATTTATAGATATTTTATATATTTAAGACTTTATAACTAAAGTGGTTTTCTTATTAAGAATTATATTTAAAGATATTTACTTTATAATTAATGTCTCTCTTAAAATAGAAGGAATATTTCTTTAAAATAGAATCTCTATTAAGTATATATATAACTATTATAATCACTTAATATTTATATCTTATAAATATATAATATTTATAATAATTATATAATTATATAAGAAACTCTTATATTTAGTCTTTATTTAATATAGAATCTTAAGACACTCTAGTCTAGATACTATTAAATATTTACTAAATATTATTAAGAGAGTATAAGTCTTAAAATAAAATATTTTTAGTACTGTGGAATATAGAATCTATATACTTATAAAGTCTAGATAATAAATCTTATAAAATCTCTATAATAATAAGAAATAAAGAGATAAGTCACTAAACTAAATAGTCTTTAATATAGTTTATTTTATTAAAGAATAAACTGTAAATTAATATATAAGCCATTTATAGAACTTTTATATCTATATAAACTATATATTTACTTATAATATATATTTTTAGACAGAAAAGCTTATTCTAGACTAGTTAGCTATAATTTAAATATAATTTTATAAGACACTAGTATTTCTATATCTAGATAATAAGATAGCTCTTAATAAAGAATTTTATAACTAACTATATAGACTAAAAATTATTATTAAGCACTTAGCTCTTTATACTTCTATCTAGAATAGCGTTATAAAGCGCTTAAAAGACATTATTATATAAATAGCTAAGGCTCTTAAGGTTTAAGGCTATCTTCCTTATTTTCTATAGCTAGAACTAGTTAAAATAGCTAGCTATCTTATTAATTAAACACTATCTAGATCACTAGGATAGAAGACTCTTTATAAGGCTCTTTATAAAAGAAGATTAACTCTCATATATCTTCACTTAATTAGATATAAGGTGTTTATTTATAATAAGTAAGTCTCTAGACTTAAAAAGCTAAAGAATAAAGTAATAATTAGCTAGCTAGTTAGCTATAATATAAGAAATATATAGCGTGTCTAAATATTTATAAAATAGAGAATTCTTTACTCTAGAGATATAATCTTTTATAATAATATACTATATAATTCTAGTAAAGTGTAGATTATAAAGTAACTCTATATACTTTTATAAGAACTTATTAAAGTTCTAGATATTAAAGTCCTTATTCTTGACAGTGAAGTTAATAAATACTTCTTTAACTAGGATCTTCTTATAGAGTCTAATGATCTTAACACTATCCTTATTAACTAGGGATTATCTTTATTATTAGAAGAAAAAAGAAGAAAGATTTAACCTAAGAGGATAAAAATCATTTTATCCACATTATATATAATACTTAAGACTAGTATAGTATCTAGTATATTTAGTATTTAATAACTTAAGAGCGCTTAATCTAATACTTAGTCTAGTGTTATAATAATACTAGAGATTTATAAAATCTTTATTAATTAGGAAACACTATTTATAAAGACTTTATTAGAATAGATAATTACTATTTAAATAGATAATTTATATGAAAATACTCTTATTATATCTTAGTATATAAGTGAAATATTAGCTAACTTAGATAAAAATAATATCTTTTTACCTTATAAGTAATAGCGATAATAGCTATTTAGATATCACTAAAATTATATTATATAACTAGTAAATAATTCTTATAATCTTCACACTTTTTATATAGTATTCAGCGAGACATTAAATAAACTATAAAGAGTTTATAGAGATAATTTTTCTCTTGTATTATAAACTTATCGCTAAATATAAGTGTATCTATATTAACACTAATTTAAGGCGACTATAGATATAAAATAAAGTTAAGTTCTTTAAAGTAAAATAGTTAAGAAGATAAAGTGTCTATATGCTTAGAAAAAGTAAGTTATCCCCTTTATATAAATATTTATATATAAATTCGATAATAATGAGTTTCTTACTAAATATAAAGTATATATATATATTTAAGACAATTTACAATATTTATAGAATAATATATATATAGTAATCCTTACACTTAAGACCTTTTATACTTTTATAATTATTATAGTATTTTTTGACCTTAAGATCTAGTAAATTAACACTATTAATGTCTTTCTGAACTTATTAATAGAAAAGAAAGTCTATATTAAGTATCCTTTAAGTTATTCTAGGCTAGAAAAGATTTTATATCTTCTTAAGACGCTCTATAATTTAAAGAAGTTTTTCTTACTATAGTATAATATATTCACTATAATACTTAAGAAACTAGAGCTTATAAAGATACTAAATATTAACTATTTATTTTATAACACTAACTTTCTAGTGTTTTTCTATATAGATAATATTATAATTCTCTATTATAAAAATAAGAAGACCTTATTTTATCAATTTATAATTAAGTTATAAGAATACTTTAAGTTCAAGATTATAAAAGATATAAATTAGTTCTTTAGAATTTATATTCTAAGAGATAAAATAAATAGAATAATTTACTTATCGCTTAATTTATATATTAACAAAATTATAGCTAAGTTCTATATTTAATAACTTAATTATTTATTTAATACTTCACTATTAACTAGTGAGTTATAACCTTATAAAGAATAAGCCTCACTATAGAAGATTTATATATATTAATAATATATTAAATCTATCTTATTTACCTTATATATAACTAAGCTAGATATTATCTATACTCACTCTAAACTAGTATAGTTTCTAGTTAACTTATTAAGTATATATATTAAGGCTATAAATAGAGTTATTATATATCTTTATTATATAAAATATTACTTAATTATATATAATAGCCTATCTATATAATACTTTTTATATATATTGAATATCTTCTTCACTAATAACCCTAAAATTAGGAAGAGCTTAAATGAATATATTCTTATATTATTTAAAGAACCTATTAACTGGAAATTAAGAAAGTAAAAAATAATTATAACCTTATTTATTAAGGCAGAACTTCTTATTCTTTTAAATATTGTAAGTAAGATAATTTAGTGAAAGAGAATATTCTTTAATATTAATCTAGATCTAGAATAAACTTTATCTCTTCTGTTTAATAATCTTTAAATAATTTAGCTACTAATAAAGAATGAGAAGTTATTAATATGGCTTCATTATATTAATATTTATCGTTATTAACTTAGGTAAGAGATCTAATAAGGATAAATTAATCTTGATTTGTTAGGAATGCCTTGAGGAACAGGCAGAGTGATAACATAATAGGGGGTTGAGATATTCCTATCTAGAGGTGCGCTCTAGTACAAGACTCTAAGTATAAGGAAGAGAAGTTCCTTGTGCGGGTAGCTTGCGTGAAAAGTGCGAAGCTCAAGAGTCCGCTAGACTATATTTGTGTGCGCTGTCTTGGCGCGCGCTCAGGGGTGCGCGCCATGCTCCCTGCGCGCTCGTTAGAACGCTTGTCCTGAGTTGCGCTCATGACATGATTAGATATTGACTAACAATATAATCGCTAATGGCCTTATAAAGTCCTTGTTAAGATAGAAATATAAAGTGTTTATAAAGTAACTTAACTTGACTAATATTTAGAAAATATTATCTTAATGATTCCTCACCAATAATAATGATATTATTCTTTAAGGAGGTGTGTTGAACTAAGCTAAGTTGCGAGCGCTATCAATATTGTCTTTATAAGTTAAATACTTAGGCCTAGCGCCTTAGCGTCTTTAATAGAATGCCGACGCCCTCATATTTCTTATAACTTTTGTAACACTATTAATTCACTATTTCTAGTTATATATAACTATATTCTCGGACTTTATAAGGAGGCTTTCTCTTTGTCTAGAATATCGCCCGATAGAACACCGCCCAAGAGCGGCTGATGACTCTATGTAGCGCGCTGTATAATGGTGAGAAAGCCCTTCCTTAGAGTGTTTCTTTTGCCTATATAATAGTTAGAAATCTCCCTCCAAGAGAGGGAGATTAGACTCGTTAATATATTCTATTTAGCCTCTAGATATCGCCTAGAACTGAGCGTTGCATAATACTAGTCACTATATATATATACAAGTAATAGTGTTTAGCCCATTTATGCCTTGATTATATATTGCGCTGCTAGCGTAAAAGAGGCCTCGTGTGATGGTTATTATAATATATCTTATGGTATTTATCAAGTATATCGATAGCTATTGATGGTTCCGGGGCCAGGTCAAGAAGGAAATTCTCGGTATTTAGAGTGCACTTCTGGATAGATGGTAGTGGGCTTTAAGGTGGCCTTTGACTATTCTGGCGAATCTAAAGTATATAAAGTCTAACTTAGCTATATACTATCAAGAATATTAGTCTAAGTTTTTATAAAATCAATAATATTAATGACTATATAATGAGCTCTATATAATTTTTAATGGCTAGCGTAGCTAATATCTATTATATTCTTTATACATAATAGAGAAGATTTCTTGAGCGAGTTTTATCATGACTATCGACTATAATAAGTGACCAAGATAATATTATTCTACTTTACACTAAAGAGTTCCCTAATTATTCTTATAAGGTAAATATAAGTGTTGAACTAGGCTGAGTTATAGACGCGGTCAACATCGTCTTTATAAGCTAAATACTCACGCCTAGCGCCTTAGCGCCTTCGGCGGACCGCCAACGCCCTCACGTTCCTTACAACTTTTGCAACATTATCAATTCACTATCTCTAGTTATATATAACTATATTCTCAGCCTTCACAAGGAGGGTTTCTCTCCATCTAGAACATCGCCCGATAGAACGCCGCCCGATGGCGGCGGATGACTCTAAGCGGCGCGTTGTGTGACGACGAGAAAGCCCTTCCTCGCAACGCTTCTTTTGTCTATATAATAGATAGGGATCTCTCTCCGAGAGAGGGAGGTCAGACTCGTCAATACATCCCATTTAGCCCCTAGATATCGCCTAGAACTGAGCGTTGCATAACAATAAGTTAAGATTTTTTTGGCGTTTTTCAGGTTATGAGGGAATCTCTCTCTTAACCTTAACTCTAGGTTTGAAAATATAAAACTCAGACAAAGTAAGAGATCTCTATCAGCGCAGACTTTATATCTGCTTAAGTCTCAGGTCACTCTGTCTGTAGTGGCTATTGTCATAAGCTGTTAACTATATATGAATTCTCACTATAGTTAGCGAGGCAAGGAACCAACCCCAGGGACCCAGAAGACTAAGCCTTGTGACTATCAAAGTCCACAGCCTCGCCCAGACACTAACTGGTCAACCACAGCCTCACTCAGCCAGCTAAGTTAAGATCATGACTCACGAGCGAAGGCTATGACTCACGAGTGAAGGCTATGACTCACGAGCGAAGGATATAACTCATAATGCTTGGTTTATTCGTCACTTGTTAACTATTTAAGGATGGCTTAACCCACCTTGAGATGAAGTCCTCTAAGCTTCACTCACAACACTCATTCATAGTTATCCTTGTATACAAGGCAATTCACGCTATTCCCTGCCATTATCTCCACCATTCCCCACTATAACCTGGTCCTCTTGACAATACAAAATGGCGGTGTGTATGGTTCGCTAAAATTGCCGATTTATGGATTTTTGCAAGGCACAATAACTAGTGTCGTCGTCCAAGCCCTTCAGCGCGCTTAGATAATGTTTGGAACCGGTTCTGCCGACTCCCCGGAGGCTTAAAACCACGGCGCCACTGAGCAACGCTTCATCACGAGCAAATTGAATCTTGAGTGATATTGCACGGGACTTGCAGAAGGTAAAATCTGGTAGTGGCTTTCTGATTCTCTGCCTCTTTTCAGGGTAATACCAGGCTTGCCTTGCTGACACCAGTTCGCTTTCCGGACTGGAAAGATGTGGTCTGGATGGTGGGTTCACAGAAGCTGGTAGAAAAGCGAAGGAGATGTCGCAACCTCGTCGGTGATGTGGCTGATGTGGCTGTAGTGGCCGTGTAGGCCTTCCATCGACCATCAGAACCAGCTCTGAATGTGGTGAGATAGTGCCCGAAAATGAACAGGACCTGCATCTAAACTACGACGTACCGCAGTATTACGGAGAGGGGGTCCAAACACATAGTGTCCGGGGAACGTTGAGCTGTACCGTACAATTCTGCTTCGGCAAATCACTACTGTCCCGGTGCAACATGCAATGAGATTCTTGGGAGTTCCAGGTTGTGCGAATCAGTGCAACTTCAAATGCCATTAATACTGCCAGCACCACTAGTCACGTCTCTTGGATTCTCTCTCAGAGCCTAGGCAGACTCGAGACAGTTTCTGGTCCCACGATACCATGTATTGACTACGTCAGAGACCGATGTACGGGATCTTTGTCTCTGGGGTCGCGGCATTATGTACCGTCTTCGAGACACCATGTCCGCCAGAACCTGTGCTAAAACGCTACCACGATCACCGTTCAACAACAGCGGGGGGTGCCTTTCAATCCGGCGTTATATATTCGAAACTCTCACGCTCTTCGCTGGGGTTTAATACGACGTAATGTTTGCCAAGTAACCCATGCTTTGTCCTCTGTCTGGTATTGCTGTTCGGGTCTCGCACTCGATCCTGGACCACGGCGTCCTTGTCATTCTAACCTCAACCGTTGGCCCAGCCTCAGGAAATCCTTCAAGACCTCGTCCCATACCTCCACTGGAAGGATTTCCTATCATGATGGCTGTCCCCTTTCGAAGGTTGTACCTTGACTGTTGGCTAAACTTTTGTGTCCCATCGAGGCTCGTCTTCAAGCCGTGTCAATGTACTCGCCTCGGGAAACATGTAAACCTGTCTTACTCATTCCGACATGGACATAAGGCGGTGGGGCTCTGGCGAACTCTCGCGTTCGGCGCCAATGATGCCATGGGTGGAAGAGACACACGGGGAATCTACCGACGTAATATCCATAGTTGACCTCACAGCAGAGTCCTGGAGGGAGAACGCTCAAGAGATCTCGGAGATTCGTGTTAACAGCACCAAGGGTCGTCTCGCTGGGCTTTAACAAGCCGGCGGTCAGTCAACCTGCAGGACGGCGCAACGGTTGTTGACGGCTGGTACGCTTCGGCCTTCGGGGAATGTATTTGAATCCTGAACAACTCAGACGTCTATGCCAGACCTCCGGATGACCGCATTCGAAGGTAAAGAGAAGTTTCGCCAGTGTGCCGACATTGTGGTGCCGCCCCGACGCCTATCACGGACACTGTATGCCGTGTCTATAGTTTCAACCTTGTTGTTGCCCAAGCGGCTGGGAAAGAACGGCCTTGTCAAGCCACGATCAGGTAACGAAAAATTTGGAGCCTCAGATCGATGAGCGGCGGAACCCGTTCTCTGAGCACCCCCTGATCCACGAGCATCGTGCTCATATTCCTCGGCTCCATTAGCGAGCTTTGCTGCCTCTTTTTCGGAGTCGAGGTTTTGAGAATCGCGTCTTTCGTTGGCCAAGGAAACCGAACTGCTGGTTTGGACCGAGCCGGACGAATCGCGAAGACCGCTATGTCTTTCGTACGTGCCAGGAAAACCAGCCATGTGCGACACTGAGGGCCTTGGAAAGTAAGAAGTGTCGTTGGACCAGCCGTTGTTCGCATTGTTGTTCAGATTTTGACGGAGCGCAGCCGCTGGTCGAGCGAATGGGCTTTCGCAGACTTCCTCTATAGGCGATAGAGCCGCTTGCTGGTGATAAAAGCCGCCTGGCAGGTACCTCTCCCATGGTATTGGCATGATCGAATGTTCGATGTATGTTGAGTTGGACTTTGCCACCGTTGTCGAATAACTCGGCCTAATAGGCTGCAACCGGTTTATAGCATGGCTGTCTTGAACAGTATACAAGAGTTAAGTCGCCGCGTTCGGTGTCCGTGTGGCTGTATGACTTCTGTGCATGGTCTGGAAGTCGACTTTGCCTACGATGTTGATGTTGAGGTTGGCAACATTTGCATGTGTCGTCCAGCCGTTTCTGTGTCGGGATGTCATCGAGATCATAAACTCGGTTGTGACATATTGAACGTGTCCAGAGCAGGTCAATGCGCGGTTACTAGAGGCATGGTGTGCTGCATCCGCTCGAGGTCTCCGTCTTGAACGCCTTGGAAGAGACATAATCGTCATGAAATGCGTCTGAAGCCGAGAGTCCGCTACTACATCTTTGTGGTGAAAGCCGTTAAGCTAAGGGATCAGGGAATCCTAAAGCGGTAAGAAACTATCGGGTGTCGGGGTACACCGTGCTGTATGTGCTTGAGTATTGAAATGGTGCGCAGCGCTAGCAGCTGTAGTGTCGAGATCCTATGGCATGTAAGTGGGTGCTTGTCCGCTCATAGTCGCTACATATTTTTGCAAAGACCAAAAACCGGCCTGTGCATCAAAATGCAGCAGCATCGTCCATGAGGTGATCAGTGCGAGGGAAACATTGATATGGCCTTTATAGGTGAACTCGAACCTTTGACCTTGGAACAATGCAGAAATATAGTAGGTAATGTCATGCTCTCGAAACCTGTGTCAATGTGCATAGCGTCATACTTAGACTTTCATGTAAAGTTGCGAAAACTGTAAAGGACCAGGATGCGTTCTCAAAGATGAATGAACTATCTGACAGTCCTTCAGGGTTCATAGGAAACAATGAGAGAGGTAGCCTGAATCCTGACTCAGGTTGGATTGATGACGCGGCATCTGGAGGTATCTTCGAGAAGGCGTTGCTGACAGGGACTGCCAAAGTGGAACCATCTGAACTGGAGCATAGAATGAAATAGTCATTGTCATTTTGCAGGACAGTAGCAGCCAGTCGTCCTGGGACGTGTTTGTCTCTGCCTAGCCTTTTGAATAGTCATCAGAGATTATGTTACAGTATGATTTTGGTTCACGTCCACCGTCGTGAAAGACGTAAAGCAACCGGAACCTCGAATTTTCAACTTATATCTCAAGCCACAAAGGCAGAGAGCATTGTCAGCGCGAAGTTCCAGCACAAGAGTGATATAGCCCATATAGCCATGCCCTGGCGGGAATATGTGGATCGGAGCTCGCTGATTCAATCCAGCTTAGATAGCACCGGATGCGCAACGGCACTCAGCAGTGATCGGGACTCGGCGAAGAGTCGGAGTTGTTGTCTGATAGCAACGAACTAGGTTCGTTGCTATCATAACGCGAATTCAGCACACAACTCGGGAGAAGAAGTCTAGCTGACGCATCCGGCTCAGTCCAGTTCCATCCCGTTTCCAGTCGCCGTAATGGGTTGAGGGCTGTTCAAGCGGTTGAAGTCGGCCCAGTTCTCCATAATGTTGCGCTGTGGCATTTGATTCGGGGCCGCTTCTGGACCTGGAGTTCTTTCTGCCCGGAGTACCTCTTGACCTTCGAAGACCACAGGCTGTGACCGAAGGTTTTGCAGGCAGGTGCTCCAAGAACGCCCAACAAGCTTGCCTTCAAGTAAGTCCTCGCTGAAGAGGAAGAAGCCTTCCTGGCAACCCACCAGGTAGGCATTGAGACCCGAACTCTTTAGCAGAATCTCAGCACCATGGATGTATCTTGCATAATGATTTTCCAAGTATCTTGCCCAGCCTCTTGCCGCGGCCTGGATAGATTCGTCTTCTGAAGCCATTTTGGTCCAGCCAATGCCGAGTGCCAACGTCGCCTCGTCGAATTCGGGTCTATCGACAGCCGTCTTTGGTGGACTAGCCGGGGCTGAAGCGACTGAGGTATCAACCGGTAGGCGGAGGGAGGTCTGAGATAGCCTGACCGACTTCCGGCTGGTAGGCATTTTGGGCCTGAAATTCGCCGCAGCCACCTCCTCTTCCAAGTGTTTTCTGTCCACCTTTTCTTCGTACCAAGTTCCCGTCTGGCTTTCGGCTGAGATCGACACCCCGGTCTTTGGATTGAGTAAGACCATGCCCTCGCCGTAAATAGGCTCCTCCTCTTCGGGAATCGGCGTAGGTTGGTCCACTGGTGCGAAGTAGGAGCCGTCGGCCTCATGATCAAGAGCTGTATCCTCTCGCGACCGCTTTCTGGAAGGGTTTGTGGACACGGGCGTCATGCCATCAACGGGCGTCCAAGTAGTAGAGTGATTGGCGTAGGTGGTTGGAGACGGCTCGTCTTGTTCCATGGCTCTGGGTGTGTTGGAGGGAGTGGGAAGTTGAATCTGGTCGAGCAGCGGGACGGAAGACATGCTTGCGCTGGCGTGAGCCGTGTAAACAAGGCGCTGGTCAGAAAGAGCAACGTCGACAAAGGTCTATACGTAGGGGAAGAGTATGCGCCCAAGGTATAGTCACGGATCAGAAGAGGTGAAGGGAGGGTGTCTTAACAACGGCGGTGCTATAGTTGATTTCAATGGATGGGTGGGATGCGAAGGAAGGAGGAAGGGTGAAGGGAAGAGGCGAGGACAGAAGGTGAAGTAGAGGTCAAAGACGGAGGGTCGCATTTGAGAGCACTGGCAAGCTGAGAGCAAAGAGGAAGACGAACATGGCCCTGATCGACTCTGGATGGCCATGGAGCGGTGGAGACGGAGACGAAAAGGCAGAGAGGGCGCGCGAGAGACGTAAAGAAGGTCTGAGCGCGCGGCGGCATCACGGCAACGCACATGAAATTCTGTCGGATGGCCATTTGGGAGGCTTTTCGGATTGCCAGGAACGCCATCGACACCCCAGGCGATCGGGCGCTGTCGATTGGAGCAAACAACTGAGGCGCTCACCTGCATGGCGTGCATAAGCAGAGAGAGGAAGCCGTCCACCAGCGAATGGAACAGATGCGGGAGGTTCCTCTCCTACAGTACTGCCTTTTACGCTCACGAGTCACGGGTCAAGGGACCAGCCAGTGGGTTGCAGGGCCCAACAATACAGTGCAATAGTTGGCTCGATATATTGATCCACCACTCCATCAGTGGTCAGCCCAGAAGCCACAAGCGAGAGACGGAGCAGGCTTTGCCTTTTGTGGGGGAACAAGCTACGAACCGACAGCTCAGAGGTGCTGCCACCTGAGGAGGGCCTGGCCAGCGGTAAGCCTGGCCTGTGCCCAATTGCCTGAATCTACTCCGGGAAGTAGGCAGGATAAGAACACAGTCATCATTCGGGAGGCAGATACGAGCACTCCGACCAATCGCCCCATACGCTCATACACTTTGCATGGATCGAATGCGTCGTTGTTGCATCATCTTGTCATTATGAGGCCAGCTAGTAGTATAGATAGGTTGGTTGCTACCTGGTTGCTACCTCCTAATAGCACGAAATTTTGCAACTGACCCGGGATCCTTGAAATGCTCTACCATGCCCTTATTGCACTGTGCTGTACAGGACGTGTGCTCGACCTTGTCTCCGGTTCAACGCCGGCATTTCATCCCATCTATTCTTGCGTATCCAGACGCCAAATGCCCTCAACATTTCATACTGTACAAGTCGTAGAAGGGTGGTGGTGACTTCGCGGCAGAGCTCAGACGCACTGCCTAGTCTCTATCGTCATATGCTTGGAAATAATGTAAAAGTCTTCGCGACGAGCAGAAAAATCAATCGCTCATTCGACAGTATGGCACTGTCAACTCAAGATCCCATCCCGGAGCTCAGCATGTCCTTCAGGTTCTTGGTCTGGTCTGGCGCATAGGTAGGGGCCAAACCGCCGAGGAGAATGAACAGAGTGATCAGGACTAGGCCAAACACGAGAGCCTTGCGCAAAGCTGGTCGTTGGACGCCAAATTCAGACCATGAGCGACCCATGTGACCCACGTAGCCTTTGAGTTGCTCGGCTCCAAGTCTGTAGTACAACAGACCTCCCAGAGCAATGGCGTATCCAAAGAATTGGGTGCCGGAGACGGGAGTGCCCCAGATCATCATGGAACAGGCGACCAGAAGAATATCCTTGAGGATGCCGCAAAGGGTCAAAACCAGAGAAGAAGTCTTTCCGATCTACGATAGTGGTTAGCAAAATGAGGGATACCCATTCGTGTTGCTAAACTTACCAAGAAGACTACGGACACATTGAGTAGGAAGGCAACCATAGCGTTTGCGATGAGCATGAAAATGCCAACATCATAGACGTTGTTCATGCTCATTTGGGGGATCTCAAGGAGCAGTGCAGTGACGCCATTCATCACGGCGCAGACGGGCGCAAAGTAGTAGAGAGACACAAGAGGATCCATCTTGTACTCGGCGGAACTCAGCAGCCGTTGGACCAAGACCAAGCGGGTAGCTTCGAAGGTGATACCGCCAGCTTGGTAGATAAACCCGGTCAGGTTAAACGCGATTTCTCCGTATGAAGCGATGACCACTCCGACGACAATGAGTGACACATTGCCTAAAGTTTTCAGACTCGGAGAGTCCACTCCCATGGTCCAGGAGGTCAGGAGGACTGCCACCGGCATACAAGCCTTGTCTCCCATCAGCCTGCGGTCTTTTTGCCTTGTGGGCGCCGACTTACCTTCAACATTTGAATGAAAGCAACACTGAGGTAGAGGTAGGCTTTGTTTCCGCATATCAAGCTCAAGCTGAAGAAAAAACCGATGGGAAGAATGGCTCGGAGGTAGACACGACCAGTCATCTTCACAGTCTTGCGCCCGTCAAGGAGGGTAGTGGTTCGCGCGAGGACCTGAGTCATGATTGTCGCGAATATCATGTGCCTGCAATACAATGAGCTTCGCAAGTCAGAAAAACCTCAAAGTATTTCATACCATGCTGTCAGAGTAATTGGGAATTCTGTGCGATAGTTAATACTATTATTATGTCTGAAAGCGGGTAAGGGATGTCCAACATACTGAATCCTAGAGTGTCGAGCAACCATTTGTTGAAGAGAATGACGCCGCCGCTGAAACCAATCCATGTCCTGTCACGATCTTGTTAACCCTGAGTGAGGCTTCACCGTAACAATGACCTACACCACGTAGACCGCAGGGTGGAGAGCTGGTGCGGGAGGAGCTGATTTCTCGGCGGCCGGATTGACGGTAGGAAGAATTGTCGCAGGTTCTGCCGCTCTGGGCTGTTCACCGGACAGGCGAACCTTTTTCTCAGCGTCGGCCATTGGAGGGAGTGGTAGAGAAGCGCGGGACAAGGTGTCTCGAAAGGAGAAGGGTCGCGAAGACCTGGAGAAGGTTCGTGAGTGCAGCAGGTTGGCGAACTAAGGCAACATTAATGAAGCGATGGGCAGTTGTCCGAGGACGTCGGAGCCAAAGATGAAAAGGTAGGTGCTCAACAACAGCAAAGGGTGATGGTAGCTTTGGTTGTATGATGAAGAACAGCGTGTACAGAGACAGAGTTGATTGTCAGCCGCGAGCACGGGAGGCGACGAAAAAGGGCCGCATTAAAGTTTGCGCAAATTCCCAGCGTTGGAGGCCCGCGCTTAAGGCAACTTAGCCGCACGCTAAGGGAAATTGACCAATGTGCGACCTCGTTTTCTCCCCTAAAATGTCTACAGGCATCATCGTTCCCAGTCTAAGCCCAAAGAGACACGCGTACAGTCCCGTCCAGACCCAGTTTGTTGAACCCCGTAGTGTTGACAGATGGCAAACGGCGGAGGATAAAAAGCATATACCCTGGCTCAGTGGCGTTGCAACAGACTGCCGGTTGTCCATACGAAGCCACCACTCGACAAGTTCACCCCGAGAAAAAGCACCCATAGGCCAGAATGCGCCTCTCCGATGGTGGGACAAGGTGAGCAGCGTTTGTCCCTCCGACGTCCGCATCTCGGGATCGCTTGTACCACGAGGAAAAGATCATCATACAACCCTGATCCGAAACAGCAAACAATCATTCACTGATGACGATCCTTTCATGGTGAAAACCCCTGAAGATAATCTGTTGAGCGGACACGGTGTTAAAGAGGCATGTGAAGAATCAAGGACAGTGGCTGCTGACATCTGGACCAGGGAACTCGGCCAGGAATACCGCACCTGTACCTTGACTCGATCCCCTATACCGAGATACACACATGTAGTTTGTGTTGTCCAATAGAGTGCGGGTTCTGTGATGTGCCTACTAGGTAGTATCTGAAATCCATTGTCACAGATAACAGTCGTGGACCTTCAAACTGCTTGAGGCAAGGCTGGGTACGGCATTTGATAGGGGACATTTCTTCATAGGGCCAGTGACAGAGACGTGACACGGTGACACTGTGCACAGGTGGCCTCCTGTTATAGATTTTATGTGAAGCGAAGAAAGGAGCTTGCAACGGCCCCTGCCAAGCCACGCTGTCGCGAACCATTACCCCCAAGTACTCGTCCTTTGTATGGGCACCAAAAAAGTTTACGACCCATGCTAGCGGATAGTCACCGTGGAAGATACTAAACAGCCATTCTCCCTGCGCAACCTTCGATATAACCGTACTCGAACTGAGGTCATCGCATTGCTGTCGTCGTCGCGTGCACAGCTGAACTGCGCTATTCTCTCTTTTTGGTGGACTGAGTTCACCACTTTCTTTAATTCCAGTCGCCATCATGTCTAACATGTATGTGTTCACCGAGTTCGCCTCCACAGCGCAATCCACTAACATCGGGCATCAGTTCAGTCGATGTGCTTGTTATCGGTGCAGGCCCGACTGGCTTGGGTGCTGCTAAGAGACTCAACCAGATCGTATGTCGACCCTAGGTCGGTGAAACGCATGATCTGACGAGCCGCAGGATGGACCATCTTGGTTGATTGTTGACTCGAACGAGGTCCCAGGAGGTCTGGCCTCGACTGATGTGACCAAAGAAGGCTTTGTACGAACAATCCCACATTCCAATGGCGCGCTGCTAACATGGTCCAGCTCTACGATGTCGGCGGCCATGTCATTTTCTCTCACTACAAATATTTTGACGATTGCATCGACGAAGCGCTCCCCAAGGAAGATGATTGGTACACACATCAGAGAATATCGTATGTCCGACTGAAGGGAAGATGGGTGCCATATCCTTTCCAGAACAACATCTCTATGTTGGACAAGGAAGACCAAGTGAAATGCATGGATGGACTCATCGATGCGGCCTTGGAGGCCAGAGTGGCCAACACTAAACCCAAAGACTTTGACGAGTGGCTGCTGCGCAACCAGGGTGTCGGCATCTGTGATCTGTTCATGCGGCCTTACAATTTCAAAGTCTGGGCAGTCCCAACCACCAAGGTAAGCCGGATCAAAATATCCTCGCAGGAGTAATTTTGACGCTTGGTGTAGATGCAATGCGAGTGGCTCGGAGAACGTGTGGCTGCACCTAACCTCAAAGCGGTGACGAAGAATGTCATTCTCCAGAAGACTGCTGGCAATTGGGGTCCCAATGCGACTTTCCGTTTCCCAGCTCGCGATGGCACTGGTGGTATCTGGATCGCTGTTGCCAACACCCTACCGAAAGAGAAGACACGCTTCGGCAAGAAGAGCACGGTCAAGAAGGTCGACGCAGATAAGAAACAAGTTCTGCTGGAGGACGGCACTACGATCCAGTACCAGAGACTGGTGAGCACCATGGCTGTAGATGCGCTCGCTGAGGCCATGCAAGACCAGAAGCTGGTTGACTTGTCAAAGGGCTTGTTCTACAGCAGCACTCACGTCATTGGCGTGGGCGTTCGTGGCAGCCGTCCCGAGCGGATAGGCGATAAATGCTGGCTGTACTTCCCCGAAGACAACTGCCCGTTCTATCGAGCCACCATCTTCTCAAACTATTCACCGTACAACCAGCCACAGAAGGACGTCAAGCTACCTACTCTACAGCTCGCCAACGGGTCTCGTCGTCAGAGCATGCAAGCAAAGGAAGGCCCCTACTGGTCGATCATGTTGGAAGTGTCGGAGTCCAGCATGAAGCCTGTCGACCAGGAGAACCTCCTGAAGGACTGTATTCAGGGACTGGTGAACACCGAAATGCTACGGCCCGAAGACGAGATTGTGTCGACGTATCACCGACGATTCGACCACGGCTATCCCACTCCATCCTTGGAACGTGAGGGTGTACTCAAGGAGTTGCTTCCTGCTCTGCAAGATAAGGGGATCTGGAGTCGAGGCCGATTCGGTTCGTGGCGATATGAGGTTGGCAACCAAGATCACTCTTTCATGCTCGGGGTGGAGGCGGTCGACAACATCATCAACGGTGCGGTGGAGCTCACGCTCAACTACCCCGACTTTGTCAACGGGCGACAGAATACGGAACGACGACTGGTGGAAGGAGCGCAGATGTTCGGCAAGCGACCAACTGACAATGTTGTCGTCGGACGCCGCATGACAGGAGGAAAGACCGAACTAGGGGGGCGGGTGGAGACAAGCAGCCGGTCTGGCTAAAGGCAAGATTGTCACGACCAGGGAGCCTCGGAGGCCGAAGCGAATACTACGATTGGAAGGGGCACAGAGATTCGAACAACGCACGATAGACATAATGCGGTGAACGGTGTTTAGATTTGTGGGCATTGGCCATCTTCCCAGACAGGAAGAAGATACATAGACCGGAGAGTCAGAGAGTCAGGAAGCTGCAAGCCTCATGGAAGGTTGATACAGGGATTCGTCCCCTCCGTAGACAACAGTCAGAAATGCGGCCGGGTTCATGTTTCTCTCTTGATTGTTGCGTGACGAGTGGACGCATTTCGTTAGCTACGAGAGGGTGGTTCTAGTACTGGGCAGGTAATAATCTAGCCCGATGTTGTACAGTGTCAGTAGGTCATGGTCCCTGGTCCTGGGAGGACTCGAGGAGTTGGCTTCTCTCCACGCTTTGAGCCAGGAAAAAGTGCGGGGGAATCGAGCTAAGATCGAGATCATTGACCAAGGGCCAACCAGTAGGACGAGTACTCGTACAATCAATCTTTGCACGATAAGGTCCTGTCCCATACGATATCGGGATGAGAAGTCTGTTGGTGATGATCAGGTAGATCCCGACTTCGACGAGATCTGCCTTGGAGTGCTGTACACTCTGGGTTTCTTTTCCTGCTTATTTGCACCAGCTAACAAAAATAGGGTTCTAGGTGTTCTTTTGAGAACAAATGAAGGTGGCCAGACCAGGAGAAAGAATAACAAGAGGAGTCGACCAAGACAATGAGGACCACGTGAGGGGAATGGATTTTCTCCCTCGGGACGGCGTGGAAGAAGGTGTCTCATACCGGTGTTTGTGGGGGAATTTAATGGCGCATTATGATGTTTTGCAGTGGGTAACGGGAGAGAGTAGTGAGTCTGTGTGTCTTTGACCTGGAGCTTGTACAACGCGTGTCAGGAAACCGGAGGACCAGGTAGCTGGCTAGGTACCGAGTAGGGAGGCCCTGGGGCGAGGGATTTGAGCATTCATCGGATCTTTCTCCTGTTTTTTTCTCCAGCGGTTTCCAGCGTTGTTGAAGCGTCCTGTGGCAGAGAATCATCGAAGAGACGAAGACGACGACGGAGATGAAGCCATCCATCACGTCACATGAGTGGGAACAGGGCGCAGGCTGCGGTTCCTGAAAAAGCGGCCGCCACCAATCGCTGCGGCGCAGATTGGGCCACCATCGCCCCAGCGCAGCCAATTCCTCGCATCTGACTCGCCTGAGGGGAGAATTTTGCAGTGCTAGAAATGCTGTCCATCGTTGTTGTTGGTCTTGTGGCCATTGGGCGGTCCAGACTGCATCATCAAGACACCGCGATCCCAAACGTGAAGCGGTTGAAGGGACTTGACAGAAACAATATTACTGCATGGCCGCCCTCCGGCTCCTCAGCTTGTCCCCTCCAACTCTGTTACAGCTGAAGTACTTGCTGCGTCCAACTCGCTAAGCCCTGTCTGTTTCCTGTTCTCAGTCCGCACCTCCTGAACCTCAAACCCGCACACCCTCACACTCACGCTCTCACATCTTACGACCGTCTTCTGCTTGCATATACTTTGTCTTAATCTTTGTTTTCCCTTGTATCACTCATTCTCCAACTCGGTACGTGCTGCCCATCACCGCGAGCTTTCTCCAACTCCGTGCCATATCCTTATCAGCGTCATCATCTCGTCCCTCGTGGTCCCGCCAATCTGGTCTGTTGGCGGTGAGGGATTTCTCGATTCCCACTCTTTCCTCCATCATGCTTCGTCCGACCAGATCACTGACAATACTTCTCGCAGTCGACGTCAAGCATTGACTTGCCCAGTATGTCGGCCCAAGTTGCTCCTACCATTCCGCCGCGGCCGACCAGAGCCCAGCAGGCCGCTGGTGCTCGAGGCGCCAACAAGCTCCCGGACATTCCTCCCCGGCCGGTCAACAAACGCCTCGATCGATCGGTCTCACCCGCGAACTTCCCTCGCTCTCCGCTCAACGAACCATGGACCGGTAGTTTGAGCCGGCAGAAGACCAACGAGTCTGTCGAAGCCCTCCCCCGTCGTCCCAGCATCCAAAACCTGCCATCGATTGGCCAAGAAGGGATGGAGTATGCTGAGGTCATGAACATGCAGACGAATCTGCAGCCGCCGTCATCGTCAATGGCCGCCGACGCCGCGGCCCAAACCAGAAATATTGCTCAAGACCTCAAGCTGCATGCTCCAAAGCCGTCTCTGCCCAAATCAAGCGCAGCTGCGCAAGTGCAGGCTGTCACGCGGACCGATTCTTCTCAAGCCGCCCAACATGGCTTCGGCAAGCCACCGACCCCTGCTCAAGACGACGGCGAGAGTCTTTCTCGCATCGGCACGAGGACAAGCTTTTCGCGTCCAGGATCGACCGTGGGCGGTGAGCGGCGCCCGTCGTTCCAGGAAGAGACCGGTCCCGCCGAACTCGGTCTCCGAGTGCCCATCAATCCATTGCTGGGTGATGTACAGGCCCCTTCTCCCGCCCCCGGAATGAGCCCATCCCATACGGGATCGAATGGTGATAGGAGGCGTTCGGTCCACGGAAGGACCAGAAGTGCCTTGGATCTACTCCCACCCGGAAGCTATGGTCTGCATGGACACGGTTTGCCTCCGCAGGACAAATTTGAAAAGGACTGGTATGCCAAACATCCCGAGGCAGCTCAACATGAGGAGACTTCGGGCCACGGCGTATATGAGAGCATTGGAAGTGGCCGGGGCGCCTTTGCCTTGAGCAGAGATGACTTGAACAAGATCGTTCGCGAAACTGCTAGCCGTGGAGCTGGATTTGGTAGGTCCTATCAATCATAGAGCCCCGATCTTTACTGACCTTTGCAGGCACCTCCGGTGAAACTTATGGAGTTCCAGATGAACAGATTGGCTACGCCGCGTCGGAAGTGTACATCTCACGTTCCCAAGCCAACACCCCAAACAGTCTTGCAAAGACCGTGACCAATTCCTCACAACCCGTTGCCGAATCTCCTCTGAGAAAGGCCAGTTTCCCGGCCGACGAATCCATCCCCGCTGAAGTTCGACGTGGACGGCTCTCAGTGTCCCGTGGCTCCGACAGCCATGAAGCAGTAGACAGCGAAGCTGAGCAAGAGGTACATATCCAACCTAGCCGAAGATACAACAAGATCACCGGCGGTGAGGAAACATTGAACGAGACTGTTGCGAGCAAACCTTATGTTTCTACCGATGATGAGGGAGACTACGCCATTGAGCACGGATATACAGTTCCCATCCTAGCAGCAGACGAGGTTGCAAAGGAAGTTGGTGTTGAACATCTCCAACCAGCTATTTCTCCTCGAGCGGAGCGCCGCGAGAGTCTCTACGAGGAGGCTTATCGAAGTGGTGACGCTACTCCGTCTTCTCGTCCTTCTAGCAGACCGACCAGTGTGCATGGAGCGTTTGGTACCGCCCATACGCTTTCCAGATTTGTTTCACATCACGACGAACGAGACCATATGCACACACCTCTCGAAGACGTTGAGGAGTACGAGCCACTCTTCCCCGACGAGGATGACAAAAAGCCCCTGAGTCACGCAGAACGTTTCAAGCAGAGACCAAACACCCTCAAACAGCGCTTTCCCAGCCAAGACATTTGGGAGGACACCCCGAGCAGCTTATATTATTCTGCCGAGGTGTCTACTCCCGACCTTCCGGCCCAGGTCGAGAATCCAGTGTCAGACGAGTTTGAAAGCCCGGAGCAAGAAGCTGCCCGGAAAGAAGAGCCGTCAGAGGAGGAGCGGCAAAAGCTGCTTCCAAAGGAGGAGCGTCTTGCCAAATCTCGTTTTGCTCCCCATCTGCGGGACGACATGCCTACCAGACCCGGGCTGACTCCAAGATTTCCAAGTTCAGACATCTGGGAGGATACCCCTGAGAGTCATCAGCTCGTCACGACTGTCGGATCTCCTCAAGTTGACAATGAGGCCGAAAGCCCGACCGAAGCTCCTGCCAAGCCATTCGTGCCTCCACGCCCAGTAGGCAAGAGCCGACTAGGCGAAGGCGCATCAGAGGCACAAGTCGGACCGAGTGTTCCTCCTCGTCCCCAGAAACAGTCGACTACATCGCCAACAGAACTGAAGAAGGTGCCGAGTATACCCGACCGACCTAAGCCGCAAATACCAGCTCGTCCAGCCAAGAAACCAGACGCAGCTGTTCCGTCTGACCAAGAGAAGGCTTCTCCTCCTGTGGTCAAAGCGAAGCCTCAGGTGCCGGCAAGGCCTGGCGGGGTCGGCAGTAAAATTGCCGGCCTTCGAGGAAACTTCATGAACGATCTAAATCAGAAGTTGGGCCTTGGGCCACCTAAAGAGAAGGAGAAGGTACCGCAACCAGAAGAAGACGCCAAGCCTTTGGAAGATGCACGAAAAGGAAGGGCTCGTGGTCCCCAGAGAAGAGCACCTGCCAAGTCTGCAGCCGCTCCTACTTCCAAAACGTTTTCATTCGCTTTGTCAACGCCTCGCTCGTTATGGTCCATTGATGAGGGTGATGATTTGACAGTTTCGTCGTATGACTCGTCAGCACAGGAAGCAACCAGTGTCGCCGGTCTGTCAGACGAAAAGGCTGAACAGGTCGATCACTCAACCCCGGCAGATGCGCCTCTACCGTCCACGATCGAGACCACTGACCAACAAGAAGCAGCCTCAAAGGAAGCGCCAGCCCCGCAGGCTACTGCACTGGCTGTGAACACCGCAGGAGAGCTTGCAGATCCTGCCCTTAAGTCAGGTGGAGACGAAAAGTCAACACCGTCGAGTATTCAAGTGTCGGGCGAGGGCGAGGGCGAGAACGGTGACCTGTCCAAGGAGATTACTGCGAGCAGTGGTCAGGATTCTGGTCCTGAATTGGAGAAGGAACAAGCAGAGCCAAACACGGATGACGTTTCGGTTAGTAGACAAACCACTGTGAGTGCAAAGGATGTGGGTTTACCACTCGAAAAGGTTCCATCACATGAAGGGGAGGATCCTCGTGCCACCAAGCTACCCGAGGGTGAGCCAGGCCAGGCAAGCGCAGAGGAAGTATAGTAGAGTGTAGAGCTTGGTTATCTTCTGGAATGCATTGAACAACTCGGAGAGATGGTGATGATGACGATAGGACAGCGTTTGTGCACAGAATCGGCCGGGGCCTCCTGGCATAAAGGGGGTTGAGTTATGCGTGGCTGCCCGTCTTGGGGTATAAAAAGCCGTAAATTTCAGGGTATATGGGATATGGGGGAGACCGGGGACGTGGGCATGGAGGAAAGACAAAATGGACTCTTTCTTCGATTGGATTACTGGATTGTTTTTTTTTCCTTTTCGTTTGGACAAGTTCGAATTGATTGGATTTTGACGCGGTAGGTTAGTGGGCTGGGATTGATTTGATGATTTTGACCGTCGAGAAAGTTGATCTTTTTGAAAACAAAGGGCGGCTTTTGTTCGATCGAGGTTCCTCGTTGTTGATTGTTGATTGTTGTTCTTGGCTGTCCCGAGGCACATAGACCATGTACATAATGTAATGCGTCTCTCTCACATACAGTACAACGACAACACCCACCAGAAGCGGTGAGTTGAGGGTGATACTAACTAGTAAGTGAGGATACGTATTACTCGGGAGGGGGGGGGGGGGGGGGGGGAGTGAGAGGTATAAAAATAAGCCTCGACTACGGAGTACAGTAACCCACTCTTGTGTGTGTGGGGGGGGGGGGGGGGGGGGGGGGGAATGTGGTTCTGTGTAGACCCATGATCGCACTCCCACCCTCATTCTCAACTGTCACTCTCGCTGTTCGGGACGTCATCGTGATTGCAACTGTTCTAGTCCATGTACTCGTTATTATGCAGTTGTACAGGCCCTTCCTTGCACATGTACCAAATCAACGTGACGTGGGTGGTCTTGAGTCGACTCGTGTCCCGTGTCCCGTCATGTCCCTCTACTTCAACTCTCACCCTTCCACTCTCACTCAAACATGTCGTCAAAGTCTGCCGCCCTAGGACGTACGCGACGACCAGTCTGGGAGGTTTGAGGGAGTTGAGGAAAGCTGGTGGCGGTGGGGTTGTGTGGCAATACTCCCTTGGCCTTTCCCTGGGGATTCAGCTGCTGTTGCTGTTGTTCTCTTGCGTTTGCGTTTGCGTTTGCGTTTGCGTTTGCGTTTTTTGATCCTGTCCCTGTCTCTGCTCTCGGCGTGTCCCTCGCCTCGCTCAGCTCTTGTCCTTGGTCATGGTCATGGTCATGCATAACAGTGTCCTTCCCCTCTTCCTCTCCCTCCTTCTGTAGCTGTTGATCGACAACGATATTCTCCTCGTCATCGCTGCTATCCAGCATAGGCACACCGTCGAGGTCTTCATCAGGCTGAACAACAACGATGCCGTCATTGTCATTGTCGCTGTCCTCGTCGGTATCGTCCATGGGCCGTCCATCCATGCTCGTCGTTCCCTTTGCCATGGCCGTGTCCATGTCCATATCAATGTCACCGTCTCTATCTCTGCCTCCACCTCCATCATCAACACCCACACCCACACTCACACTCTTCCACTTCGTGGCTCTGTCCTTCTCGGCCTTTTCGGCCCTATCTTTCTCGACCCTTTCAGCCTCTTGCTGTCTGCGTTGTTGCTCCTCTTCCTTCGCCGTGAGAGGAGGATTCAGGAAACCCTGAACAAAATGCTCGTGCGCCGCGGACGGGAACACACACCAGCCTTCCCAGAGCGAAAACACACTCTGAACGCTGCGTCGCCACTTGTCGGCTTTCAATTTGCCCCAGTTGAGATCGCGTGCGGCGCGGCCCAGCGTGGGAAAGACACCCTGGACACGCAGCTGGGTTTCGAAGAGGGAGCGGTAGCGCCACGCGTGGCGGACACCAGAAGACGCCGACGACGAGAGAATATCGGAGATGACGTACAGTCCGACCAAAGACGAAGGAGTCATGTCTTGAACCTTGGACGTCTGGACGCCTACGTCGTCTCCGGTTTTACTAAGCTCAGCCTCCCCAGGGGCTCCAGAAGCCGTAGTACCACCGCCACCGCCACCAGTGATAGGGACGGCATCAGCAGAAGGCGCGGGGTTAAGAGATGGAATATTATCGTCAGGGTTCTGATCGTCGTAGCCGTCGTTAGAAGCGGGACCGGATGATAATGTGTCTGGTCTTGTGACCGTGTGGCAGAATGGTTTGACGACGTTCAGCGTAATGAGAGCGGCGACTTCGTCTGCTCCGGCGCCGGCGTGTTCAATGGCAAACCCCGTAATGCGGGCTACATCACCTCTGCGTAGCTTTGCGTTGGAGTCAGGAAGTCGAGACAGCAAATGAACAAGTTTCGTCTTGGCCAGAGGGTTCAGATAGCCTGTGCCGTCGGTATCGGTGGCATTCTCGGGTGCATTGCCGCCGACTTTCTGATGGTCGTGGTATCGTCTGGCGAGGGTACTTTCTTCGGCATCCTCTTCGTCTGAAGAATTGTAGTCTTCGTCGCTGACGAATTCTTCCACTTTGGTCGTGTACTCAAACTTGAGAGTTTCTTCCGGCGGGACCCATACGCTTTGACCTTCGAAGATGGTGTCGCCTTGAGCACGAGTTACAAAGCCTGCTCGCTGGCGACGTTTTCGGGACTTGGCGTTGGTGAGAATCTCCCAGAGCCGCCAGCGGTAGTAGACTCCTCCTGTCGACCCGGACTTCCACAGCCAGGCCCACTGTTCATCTCGCTGGATTTCCGGTCGAGACATGAGTAGAGCTTCAAATTCAGGTCCGTACGTCAAGAGAGCCTCGATAGTTTTGTTGATCAGGCGGATCTGTTTAAGGTCGTTGGGAATCTGGACAGTCACCTGGGTTGGTGGAACATTGGGTCTAGATCCGTACGGAGTCGAAGAGGTATATGATGCCGGGGGAGCGAAGCGACCTGGCCCTTGATTCGGTGGAGGGGCTCGAGAGAGTGAGGTGTGTTGAGGGATTGGCCGTGCACCAAAGGGAAGGTTGTTGATGTTCGTTGGTGGAGCATTTAATAGATGCGAGCCTGATAATGCTGCGGACGAAAGGTGTCGGGAGATAGAGAGGTTGAAGCCAAATCCGAGATACTGATTCTGCAGATGGGAGATTACGGTGTCAATGTCAGTGGCTGGAGTCTCAGCGGCTAGTGTTACGATTGCCGAGAGAGAATTCCTCTCGTGGAGCGATCCTGATGCTTTTGGTAGAATGCGCACATTGTCCACATTCAGCGGAGAAGCAGCGAACAAGCCCTTTATGACCGCTGTAGACGTTCCTGGAGGAAGGGAAGAGAGATGTAGTGTTGGTTTTGCCGCAGCCTTCATCTCCTCTACATCCTTGGACTCGTCTTCTTCCCCTGAAAATGCGGGATCTATTGTGTTGTCTCTCCCGCGATCGCGATCGCGATCACCATACGAGAACATCCTGTCCCTTCGATCTCTGTCGCGACCGCGGTCCTGGTCGCGTTCTCGTCCTCCAGAGTAGTCATCGTAGTGTCTTTTCCTGCCATAGCTTGGCGATGGTCCCAAACTCCCAGGGCCACTCTTTGGCAAAGACGGCGCTGGTCCCAGACTGCCAGGCCCACTCTTCAATCCTGAGCTTGTGAAATGTCGTTTCCCTGGGCCAGGTCCGAAGGTGCTGCTCGGAAGTCCGCCTCCAAAGCCACCTCGTTTTGTGGTAAAGGTATTAGGATTTCCATCGTCTTCAAAGCTTTTGACAAAGTCCTCGAGGACGGCTGCTGTCTCTGCTTTTTCTCGAGCCTTCTTCGCCTCAGCTTCGGCCTTTTGTCGCTCAAAAATGGACTTTTTGCTGGAGCCGCTAAGTTTGAAGGACGAATCTGGAGTTCCGGAAGTCATATCGACAGAGGAGAACCGGGAGCAGCATTAGCTGAATGGCGCATGTCGGTCCGTATGCAGTGAGCGTGGTGGAGTGAATCCCTTGATGGGAGTGTCGCAGACACAGAATCGCCAGATGAAATGCGGCGCCAATAAGCCGAGGATGAGCCGGGCGTGCACGAGGCTGCGCGAGGCTGTGGCGACACTTCAACATCAATCCTTCTTCTACGAGTATCATTGCCGAACCAACATGGGTTCAACGCTAACTCTTTGGAGTCCTTGGTTCAAACCAGGTGGACTGGGCGTGCCGACGGAACGAGACTACGACTCTTTTCCAACACTACGAGCTCGGAGTCAAGCCTGGACCGCCGTCGAGCCTACAACAGGTCAAGTTCCGCCAAGTATAACAATGGCACTGGCGGCAACCTCGCATTAACTTCAACATTGTACGCGTACCAACAAATATCTGCTACCTAGCACCACTTCGCTTCACTCACTGAGGAGCTCCCCAGCACCGAACGACCAATGAAACTTCCAGATGCCAGAGCTTGAATAGTCAAAGGTTATATTTTTGAAAGAGTCAAATCTTCTCAACAATTCCTCGTGGCTACCCGTGTCACCTGATCCACCGCGGACAGATGGCGTAAGGGGATTTCACCAGACATGAGGCAGTTTACTTGGGCTAGCCGTGAATCCTAGAGGCGACACCCTGACACTAAGGACCCCTGCATAGGGCGAGGTGTTCCCAGCGAACATGGCTTCTACGCGTGAATGACCTAGCTGACGGAGTAACCTGACGACTTCTCGAGAAAAATCCCTGCGTTGGCAGGGATTTCCCTCGACCTCAACGTCAATCACCCAGCGTGTGATTGGCCTTGAGGTTAGAGTTTTGATGCTCGAAATAAATGATTTTTTTTGTGGCAGCATAAAGACTTGTATGATTGCTCTTGGATCATTTCATCGAGTGAGAAGTCGTTCTTTCAGAATTCGAACCTCCTTGTTGAAATTGTGATAGAGTGAACAGCGACAATTCTGTATCTGAATGTGACAAACGAAGATGTAGCATATCCAGAACTCATGATACTGCATACCTCCACGATTCGACCGCCGGCTGGTTGTGTTATGACCTTCTTCGTATTCGAATTTAGCCAACAGGGCAACACCACCTCCCGAGGCAAAGTTCTCTTCTACGAATTCGTTCAGACGACTCTTCGCAAGCTGCGATGCCTTGATAGCCAAGCTATGGGGTGTGTCCCGTGTCCGGACGCAGTCGTCAACGGAAAAAGACACAGGTATTGATCTCGCACAATTGGGTATTGCCGACTGCTCGTGGTGGGTAAATGCCCCTCGTCGCAGGAGAGGTTGACTGAACAATTGCTCTCACGATAGCCTAAAAATCTGGCTCTGGTGGCGCCGCGAGCTGGAAGCTTTCCGAGGTTGAGGATGTAAGCCAACACTGCCCAGAGGGCTTACGAGATCGCCACGGAAGTATTTGCCAATGACACCGATGGCATCAGAGGCTCCCGTTGACCACCACCTGCTAGCGGTCATGGTGACTCCAAAAGGGCTCTTGATTACTGACAAGTTGAGGAACAATGGCTGTCACCATGGAGCAGTTACGTATGGATCAACGATACGAGGAGTATTTACAGGCCGCTCGGTTGGGAGCGAGCCACAACTTCCTTCACGATCGAGAACTGTTGGATCTTGGTCCCAGCGGCTTTTGACTTTCCTCAAAGCATGCCTTTCGAGCGATTCCTTCAGTGCATCCAGAGGTAAGATCAACGTCGCATTTCCTTGTTTGATCAAATTTTCTTCCGCGTGAACGCACGATTGTTCTGGCCCTAAGCACAGCCCATATGCATCAACCGGCCTTCCGCACCAAGGGCCGTGCTAAGGGCCATGTTACGACCCGCTGGATCAAGATAATCCGAAGTACCGGAAAGGCGGCGATTGCAAAGGAAGGCCATAGCTAGCACATGTGTGGGACATCTGGGTGCTGTCAATTGGCTCGAGGAGCTCGCCAATGGCAAGTACTACACGACGGGCAGCCAGAGCCGAACTGATCTACGTAAACAAATTTGAAGTACTGAACCTCACAAAACCAAACTAGGGCCGTCCTTATCCTGGCGTCCTTCGCATGGACGATTCGATCCAAAAGGTGTCCAGACTTGGTGAGGCGAGCCGCTCACTGAGAAACGGATCCCCAATATGTTGATTATCACGAAGTGATTGGGCCTCCTGGCCGGAGGCTTGACTCGGTCAGAAGGACTTTGACGAGAGGCGGTTGATCGATATTGCTGCCATGTCAAGACGATTTGACGGTTTGATGAAAAATTGGAAGGCCATGGGCACGATACCCGCGAATTTGTTTGGCATAGTGCCAGAAATGATGAAAGCTGAAACCGGAACGGAGCGCACAACGCCGAAACGCGTGAACGTATATGATGTGACCACACAGTCTGTCGAAAGCGGAGATCTAGCCTCGCTTGCTGATGTTCCGCCATGGACCAACAACTTGCCCATGGTGACAACATGGGGTAATACTCAGCGACACTGCCACTTTAGCATCGAGGTGAGTGCGGATGTCCTTGATCCCTGGCAGCGATGTGTTTAGCTCTTCGTTTTGCACTGCCGATGCTCGTCCCGTCTTCGTTATCAACCCCACCTTTTCAATCAGCCTGCGAGAAACTGGTCGATCTGAAAATGCATTTCTCCAAGTTACTTTCTATCAAGAGGGTAGGAGTTTCTTGAGCGACTTGGCAAATTCAGGTGCAAAAGCTCATCCCATCGGGGAAAGCTTATTCCACAACCCCAGGTTGTATCTCCTCCCCACGTTCTCTCAAAGGCTGTGGCATTTTCATCCGGGGGTCTTCCACCCCGCCCAAGACTTCAAGAATCTTCTCTTCTGGATATTCCAAGCCCTCAAAGCATACTCTGCTGGTTCTAGGGATCGAATGGCGTCTGGCACGGACACCAAACTCCTCTTCATTCCGTACCGACCGCCGAGAGGGACCAAACAAACCCCGGCTGTTTCAGGCATATCACCGCAGAAGCATGCTGCACGCGAGTATCATAGAAAAGCAAAGTTAGCCCGACTTGCTCGAGCATATGCAAACAGCAGCCAGCATATGCGTGAGCCGGGTACAGCGCTTCACGCCGAATCAGGGCTACGATCTCAGCGACAAGCCGAGAATGAAACCTTGACAAGCAGATTGGACACGAGGCTAGACAAAGAGAACGCTTTCCCCTTTAGGACAGAAGGCTCTCATCTTTCATCACCACTCGATGTTGGCGTAGGCCAACTAGACCCATTCAATGTCCTAATTCGACCCAACGTGCCTCATTATGTGCAAGAGATGCTAGACCATGCTGTCTCCCACCAATGGCCTGTGTTCTCCTGTTCCATCGCTGCTACAGCAATTAGTGAGATCAAACACACGATCCTAGCAAGTGCGATGCGTTCGCCTGCGGTGTTCTACACCATCGTCTTCGCGGGCGCCACGCACAACGCCTTTGCCCACACCGGCATGCAGATCACTCGTGAAAACCAAGTGCTCCGTCTGACATACAAGACCCACGCAATCAGAGCCCTGAACCAAGAAATCTCGCGCACACAGAAAAGTGTCTCAGACGAGCTTCTCCTCTGTATGGTGACGCTCGGATTCCATGGGTCCGGCGAGACTCTGATGCCCAGGGCTCAAGCAGCGAACGACTCCCCATTACTGGTCGCGCAGAATTTCCATTTCTACGGCCATATGGACTGGGAAACTGCACACTTGAACGCTGTCAAGACGATGATTAAGCAAAGAGGTGGATTTCATACCATCGAGCAGGAGTTTTTGTCGAATGTCATTGCATTGTTAGTTGCCTCCCAGTAAAGACTTGAGACCATGCTGATTTTATCCAGAGCGGACGTGATAGACGCTTTCAAGAACCTCACTGCTCCAACATATCCATTACGTATCACTACGGCAAGATTGATGGCCATCTGGCCTTATCCGGCTCCCAACACCGTGCCACATGTACTTCGAATGATGACGACCGGCTTCGCCACCCTGCCACCATCAGTGCAGCGGGACCCTCTCATGTGGACAATTGAAACCATCCGCGACGTGACTATCGGCTACGATCTGTCCAGGCGAAACGACCCAACTGCCCCTCGTCATATCCACGTCGTGTGGGCAAGGAACACGCTGCTGCACGATCTACTACGCCTTCCGGATAGGACGTGGGACAACCCGCGGAGTTGCGATTTATGCGTCTATGAGATCTGCCGTCTCAGCACATTGGCTTACATGCTCCTGGTGCTGTTTCCTCTCCCTCGGATCTCAGGGCTGCACTATGCTTTGGCACAGCGGATTAAGCATGCTCTCGATGGCTGTCTCATTGTCGGATTGTGGGAAAGTCACCCTGAGCTGTTCCTATGGGCAACAATTCTCGGTGGCATTCTCGCCGAGGCAACAGCCCTGAGACCATGGTATGGCCAACTTGGAGTCAAGCTTTGCCAGGAGCTGGATCTGAGTTCATGGCATGATCTGAAGCGTATATGCTTGACATTTTTGTGGTACGACCAAGACTGTGAGAGACTTGGCGAGGAATTTTGGGGAGACTTGGGCATGTATACATGGCCGAATCTGGGGTCGACCGTCGCCTGACAAGATCTGCTGTTGCCCTCTCTACAGCTGTCGTGTTGGCCACAGCTATCCTCTTGACAGGATTTGACCTCAATAAGCCATCATCGTTGCGTGGTCAGGACGTCCGTACACACTGTTCGGTCGATCATTAAACTCTCCTTCGGTTCCGTCCCCCTTTTTGAGTCAGATGTTCCCTTTTCTCTACCACGGAATCATCTTTCCATCGTATTGATTTGGACCTTCGGCATTCTCCCAACCTGGGACAAGAATGTTTTGGAATGTACCGTTGGTATTTTCCGAGGTACTCTTGAAGATGACATCGAGCGTCGCCTCCGTACCGACCTCGACGTCCAAATCGGCACGCTCAGACCCCATATCACTCTTTAGCCACTGCATCGAAGGGCTCGTCAGCACCATACCACACGCAACCCGTCCAACAGTCGACTGAACGCAAAGGAAATGTGAATACACGTACCCCAGGTGAGAGTGCAAAAATGGTGAAGCCTTCCTTGGCATATTCCTGTGCATACTGCACTGTCAACATGTTCAGAGCGGCTTTTGAGATTTTGTACGACGGTGTTGGAATCCAGTTGTACTTCGGCGCCTGAGCTATCGAACCAAAGCTTGTGCTTCTATACATTGGATCAGTCAACCCACTGCGACAAACTCAGAAAAGCCGATGAGGGGCGGGTGCAGCGGGCCAAGGCTCCGCGGGTATACTTCCATGTTGACCACTTTTTTCCCCTTGCCTTTCTTCAAGAGGGGCATGAAGGCCGCCGTGGTCTCCTGTGTACCCTCTAGATTGACCTCGAGGGCATATCGCAGAGTGCTCATCTCCACGACTCCTCGGACGTCACTTGGCATGACTCCGGCGTTGTTGATCAGGACATCGAGACCTCGGCCGCCGAGTTTGTCTTCGACTTCTGATGCAGCTCGGTCGAGACTGGAACGATCGGTAATCACCATCGAAACGTGCACGACTCGTCCGCATGAGCTGTCGATGATCCTCTTTAAGGTGTCGGACGCTTTGCCTCGGGTAGCTGCAAAGACCGTAGAGACGTCGCCCGGCGGTTGTTTTGCGAGCTGCCTGACGAGCTCGAGTCCAATGCCCCGGCCAGCACCGGTGACGAGGTATGAGGACATGTTTGTGTTTGTGTGGTTTCCGAGGAGGAGAGCACGACCACTGTTATGGGATTGACCTGTCGATGTCGGCCGATGCAAATCTCTTTGTGCTAGCGAACGAACACTCATCAAAGACGGTGTGATCCCCGTATTGTCAGTCAACAGTAGAGTGTGCGTCGGACGCATGGACAAGAGGGATTGCACATTTTATACACTTTAATCCTGAATCACTGGGGAGGTACGTGGAAAATTCCATGGATGTACTCGCACATTGAGCTCCGTCTTAACTCCTTGTACAAAGATTTACGAGGCCGGAATTAAAGTGCTGTGGTGGAACTCTGATATCTGACACGTCTTATCGCCCCTATTAGCTAGAGGTATCGATCATAATAGAGGTATAGCGACCCTGGAATACTTGGCTCTAGGACATAGGGAGTTCAGAGTATATGCTGTGTTGTACGGAGGCGTGCTCCAAATGTATTTTCTCTACGCTAAAGCCCAATTTGGGCTAGTGTTGAATTTTCGAACAATCTTGTTATAATGACGGAGGTTTATTTCTGAAGCCCTGACTAGGCCTAGTATTATACTTAAGGCAGTGCCTAAGTTCAGACTCCTAAGTCACTAATCTTAGCTAAAAACTCAAGGCTCTTACACTATTGTTAGGCATTGTTTACCTGGAAAGCCCACAAAATTATTAGTCTTTTGAAATATTATTTATTACACGTGACTCGAAGACTTAGCGCAGGGAAACTACATTTGGAGCACGCCTCCGTACGGTTGTACGCTATTGATTACCGGCCGTGGTATCGCAAACATTGGGGAGTATGTGTGACCCATAAGATCTCCCTAAGCGCCCCCTGTACTCGACAGATTTAGTAAGCATTGTCACCCAGGCTAGTGAGGCCCAGTTAACGACCAAGGCAATTGATTGCTTATTCATGCCTCGCTTACAGACTAAAAAGTGCCCACAGCGCGTATAGTAAACACATGTGCTGTTAAGGCAAGTGTATACTCCGTAGCGGCCCAGCCTGATGACTCGTATCTTCCAACCGGCATCTGAAATCCTGCTTCGCAACATTCGTCCTTTCTCCAAGAAACACCTTACCGAGAGCACTCAACGATCAGTAACAGAACAGACATGGCCTCGGCATCGTTGTACGCGCACGAGATCGGCGAAGGGGTACCCGTGGTGATAGTGCACGGGTGGGAGATGAACGGCAAGGTGGAGGAGGTGGACTTTGAGCCGATTTTCGAACAATTTCCAGGCTTTCGTCGCATCTACGTCGACCTTCCGGGCATGGGCGCAACACCTGCCGACGACGTCAGAGACCTGGATGAAATGCTGGGTCGCTTGGTCGGATTCGTCGGCGCTCGTCTTGGGTCGTCGAGGTTCTTGGTGGCCGGGTCATCGTGCGGCGCTTACCTCGCTCGCGCACTCGCCCAAATATACGCCGCACGGGTCGATGGCTTGTTGTTACGAGTGCCGCTCATCGAGCCCGAGAACCGTCTGCGCGACATCGATCCCTTCCGACCACTCGTCACAGACGAGGGAGCCTTGTCGGGCATTTCGGGCGAGGACCGTGCACTCTTCGAAAACGTGCTGGTCCAGACACCTTCTTACATCAAAGCTCTCCAGTCGAAATACGACAAGGCCATCGTCCCTGCACTTAACGCGGCGGATAATGAAGTGTTGGACCCCATCCGCGCGGATCCAAGCCGATACAAGCTCTGTCTTGCCCTGGACGACAAGGAGGGGGCCCGCGTGGTGGCGCCCACGCTGATCGTATGCGGAAGACAAGATGAAGTCGTGGGGTACCGTGATAGTCTTCGCCTGCTGGAGCTCTACCCGCGCTCGACATTCGTCGTTTTGGATCGCGCTGGACATGACTTGCCCGTTGAGCAGGACGGAGTCTTTCAGGCCCTTGTGCGGGATTGGCTGAGCCGAGTCATCGAATGGCGAGAGTCTGAGAGTACGGATAGATAGGATGCTGTGTCATGGTCACGGTCTTTCGACGAAATTCTGGATAGACTCCCGCAACCTTGAAGAACTTTGCTAGCGAGGGGTCAAATGCAATGGGACTGCCCGACGAGCCCGATTAATATGGTAGTCAACCACTTCCTAATGTGATACAACGGCGGGCCCCTGTTTTATGCCTCAAAGCCGGACCACTGAGTCAGCCTAGACTTTAGTATAACCGATCTGGCGAATACTGGGAGTAACGAGTTGCGAATTCTCGAATTCTCGTATGGAGTAGGAGTACAACTACTGCTGCCAAGTATGATCTGCCCCAATATGAGCCCCGACCTCATTTTCTTTACGCTAGTCTTTTCATGATTCCATAATCTTTGATATTTCATCAACTCACCAAGTTGTGCATGCAATTTTTTTAATCTCTCATCCAGTACCGCCGTGTGGCCAGGGTGGTTCGGGCTCATTGTGCCGATCAATGTTTGTTGGCGTCGTGTCTTTGAAATGGGTATAAAGTCGACACGATGTGTTCGCTCTCAGATGAAAGCATTCACCTCAGCAGCACAAAACCAAATCAAAGGTTGACAAGAAACAGCCAAAGCTCAAGTACTTATCGGTAGCAAGGTATACCAAAAAGCCAACATAATGTCTACTGATAGGGCGCCGAAGTTCACCATCTACTCATCCGAAGCCTCTCAATGGGCAATGGTCCCTCTCCTGGGCATTCAGGAGAAAGGCATCCAGCCCCACGAATATGAGCATCGAGAAATCGATCTCATTGGAGCTGGCAACTTCGATGCGGAATATCTCAAGATCAACCACAACGGCACCCTTCCTGCTCTGACCACCCCGTCTCTCGACACTCCACTGGAGGAAAGCGCCGACATTCTCGAATTCCTCGACCGCCTCGAACCGTCTAGAGGGACAAGCCTGGCGCCCAAAGATGCCGCGACCAAGGAAAGAGCCGCAGAGCTGATTACCCTGGTCCATTCAATGGACCTCAACAGCAACTTGATCCTCTTGACGGCGCGGGACACCGAGGAACTCGAAAAGGTCAAGGCCACCTTTTACGACTTCATCACCACCCGCCAGCGAGTCCTGGAGGAGAACGCGGCCCGCGACCCAAGCCATCCCTTCTACGGTCCCAAGGCCGCAGACAACAACGGAGTGTACAAAGTGTACACGACCTCATCCACGAGCCCTGAACATCACGACTTCTTCAAGAGCACACACGAGGGGTACAAGGCGTTTGCCAACGCTTTTGGCCAGCTGGAGTCTCTGCTCGCCCTGCCTTACGCTGCTGGTGACCATCTCACGTATGCTGATTTGAACATCATTCCGTGGCTCAGCCATGTGTTGTGCTTTGCGGGGGCGAAGGACTTCAACGACTTTGCTGCTTTGGAGTCGCTGGTCAGGAAGACGGTCCCGGGGTTCAGTGTCGGGCCTGAGCTGAGACAGTGGTGGAAGACGATACAGGAGAGGGAGAGCTTTAAGAAGATATACCCTGTGCTCCATTAAGCAGGTATCGGCTTTGGGTGATGGGCCATCGAGGAGCTAAGATGGGGGGTTGACGGTCAAACAAAATACTTGATCCGGGATATTTATGATCTGTAGTGTTGATTGATGATATATCGACATCGATCAGTGATCCCAGATAGCGCTCTTACCCGGCTTGAATTCGATCTCATTACCGCTCGTGTGCAGAGAACCAGCCCAAGAGTAAGGGAGTCATATCTGGGATGAGAAAGACTTGTTCAAGTCAATGACCATGTCTGAAGCTGAGGCTTGCGCATGTCTCGAGCATCTTGAGCACTTCTCGCTTATATTGGCTGACTAAGAAGCCAATGCCACGGTTAACTCTAAGCCTAAACAAGTATAGCGCACGACCCGAGCAAGTCACGGGATCAGCTGGTGAATATTTCTCGCCCGGAAAGAAGGGTTCGACTTGGGAACGGATTTTCCTGAGGTGAAGTGTAGACATAGACTGGATGAATGAGGCATTGCGTCCGCAATAATCATGGTGAATGGCGCCTGAAAATAATTGTTGTTGCGATTCGAACCCTGGAACCGGCTGGTGGTGGGCGAGTCTTGGCGACGGGGAAATTAACTATTGCTCCCCCGCCTCCTTCGTCGCGCAAATTGTCGACCACTTTTTCACTTTGTCTTCATCGGCCACCATCAATTAATTGTCTCTCGCATCATCATCACCATCGCTATTCGCTTCGTCCTCCGATCCACCGACCCTGCCGCTTTGGGCCATATCGAATACTTCTCAGGAGCACAGCACATCCAGTATCTTGGGGACAAACTGCTCCAGCCATGATCGCGGAAACCCAGACATCTTGACTCATTCATCCTTCATCACCCAGCAAAGATCGTGGTCACGTGGTTGACCATGTAACACTACACTGTCGACACTGCATAGAGATCCCCTTCCTACATCTTCAACTGTCCAACTACCAGCTGCAAGCACCCTCTCACAATGCCTGCTCTCAAACCACCTCCGCCAAAGCCTCGTGCCGGTCAGCACAGAAGAGCCATCCCGCGTGGTCGTATCGAAGGCCTAGGTAGTCCGGCCCCAGTATCAATCCGTGCAACCACGCCTTCCTTTCGCCGTGCATCAACACCCAGCATACAACGCCCGGCCGGGGGAAAGGTTCTGAAATGTACCAACCCGAGTTGCCCGAATCCTCACATCGTTGAGAGCGAGCAAGGTCTTATTTGTGACACTTGCGGTGCTGTCGCTTTGGCGGAATCTGGCCTTGTCAGCGAACAAGGCTTCGGAGAGACAGATTCTGGAGCAATCACCGCTTTGGGTGTTCGTGTCAATGAAAACCAGACCCATCAGCGCACCTACGCCCCGGGTGGTGCTCTGGGAAATGCCGGTCGCGAACCCACTATCAATCGAGAACGATCAGAACAACAAGCCAGAACGATCATGCAGTCTTTCCAAACTCTGCTGGGAGTACGACAGGCCGAGGTGGATGCAGGTCTACAACTGTTCAAACTTGCTTGGGGTTACTCTTTCGTCCAAGGTAGAACCATCGATAGTGTCGCAGTGGTCTGCCTCTACCTTGCCTGTCGACGCAAACACGAACAGATACAGAACGAGCGCCGTCCGATGTACAGTCTGATGCTGATCGACTTTGCGGAGAAAATCAACATCGACGTCTTCTACCTCGGCAAAATGTACTCAGACCTTGTTCGCAAGTTGTACCTTCAAACAGATGGCACTATCAAAGGAGACGTGTCGTCTGACCTGCTGGCCATGGGCCCAGAAGTGCTTGTCAGTCGATTTGTAGACGAGCTTGAATTCGACAAGTCTCATCGTGACAAAATCAAGATGGATGCCATCAGAATTGTTCAACGAATGAAGCGTGACTGGATGTCTACGGGTCGAAGACCTTCGGGCGTATGCGGTGCTGCAGTCATTCTCGCAGCTCGAATGAACAACTATCGACGAACCACAAGAGAGGTGGTCTTGACCGCGAAGGTCACAGAGATCACCATCAACAAACGTCTTGAAGAATTCCAGGATACGGCCAGCAGTAAGCTTTCGGTGTCCCAGTTCAGGGATAACACGGTACTCGATGCCCAAGTTGCCTCAGACCCTCCTGCCTATCAAAGAGCCCACAATCCCAAACCCCCAAAGAAGAAGCGCGGTCGACCCAGAAAACACCCTTTACCACCAGCAACCCCTGAGCCGGAGACTGGTGTTTCTGTTGAGGCTGAGACTGGTGATGGAGAGCCACCTTCCAAACGTGCCAGGGTGGACGCAGATGGATACAAGATTCCCGATATTCCTCAGCGACCAACACCAATCGACCCTGCTCTGACCGGGACTGATGCCTCTGCTCTTCACGCTGACCCTTCATCTGAGGAAGCTACTTCGCAATCCTCAGAAATACCCCGCCGAAAACGGACGTTTGTGGTGCCTCCGCCTTCGGAAGCCGAGCTCGCCATTGAGAGCGAGATTGAGCAAGACATACAAACCGCCTTTCAGGAGAATCCTGAACTCGATCCAAATCGAAGTCAAAATAACGACACACAGCCTTCAGGCCCCAGCCGCCAACCTGCTACTATCTTACCAGATGATGATGGTGATCCTTTAAATCCTCTTGGTCCGCATCGCAAAGACAAAACGCCGGGTCCTCGCGTCGACTCCAACGCCGGTAACACAGGTTGCGTGTCACTATCCCCAACCATCCGAGCCGAGGAATTCGACGGGGACGAAGACGTGTCAATGTGTCTTCTCAGTGAGGAAGAAAGCAAAATCAAAGAGACCATCTGGCTTCACATGAACGCGGACTGGATACGAAAGAACCATTACAAGGTGATCAAGCAGGAGCTGAAGGATAGGGAATTGCGTGCACGTGGTCTCGATCCTGCCAAGGAAGCGCTAAAAGAGAAACTGGCCAAAGGTAGACGCAAGGATGGTACCAAGAAGCCCGGTCGCCGAGGCGATGTGAGCTACTTGGACGAACAGGCCAAAGGGGAACCAGGGGGTGGAGATCGTGACAAACGTGATGCTGCCGAATCTGTTCGGAAGATGTTCACAACTCGAGGCGTCTACTCGAGGCGAGTCAACTACGATGTGCTTGACTCCATATATGGTATCCCTGAAGGAGGAGATGCCGACAGCGATTCGAGAAGTGCTAGTCGAAGCCAGAGCGTGGCTAGCGATATGCCCCAAGACGCAAGGGAAGGGAGTATTGCGAGCGTTGCGAGCGTTGCAGCAAGAGCAAGCCTCGGACCTGAAGGAATCTTCCGCGGCAACAGCGGTCGAGCAGGCAGGGACAGGAGTAAGACTTCGTTGGCCGCAGAACGGCGGGAAAGAAAGAAGCGAGAACAAAGCAGCAGCCAAGTGCGAGAGCTGCGTGAAGGAAGTACCGCTTCGGATCGGAGAAGCAGAAGCATTCGAAGCCCGAGTGGTACACCTGGCGTCGAAATACGCGAAACTGTCAAAAGAAAGCGGGAGACAAGTGGACCAAGTCCTGAACCTGGATCGGCTACCGTGGTTGATGAGCAGAGCAATGCTGAGTCTGGACTGTCGAAACCGCAGGATCAGGGGGGACCTCTGTCACCACCAGCGACGCAGCATCAAGGGCCGCCTCCAATTCGTATTTCAGGTGCCATACCGACGGTTGCGTCGTCTTCGCAAGGTCCTCAACAACAGCGAACTCCTCCGGCCACGCAGAGTGAGGGCACTCCGCCCAGTCATATGACTACAAGCGGCGGTATCCCGACCGTCACCTCCTCAAGTGAAATTCCCTCGGTGGCATCCACGCAGAGCCAAGCACTACCACCCAGCATTCGCGTCACGTCTGACATCCCCGTAGTGAGACCATCTTCTAAATCTAAACAGCAGCCTCAAGCGACGTCAGCAGCCTCTCCTACAACACAAGCTCAAACAGAGACAGATACTAAAGCGGCAATTGTCAAGGCTAGCTCTTCTAGTTCTGATCGTGACACAGACAAAGCAGACGATCAGGATGGCAATGAGGATGAGGATGATGACGATGACGAGGACGAGGAGGAAGAGGAAGAAGAAGAAGATGATGATGATGAGGATGAGGATGACGACGACGACGAAGATGAGCAAGATGGTGATGAAGATGACTACGTCCGGGAACTAGATGACGGTGATATCGACGCCGCGTTTGAGGGCCGGTTCGGCGACGATGAAGATTACTAGTTAGACAGACGGGGGTTTTTGGTTTTGGGTTGGGGTGTTGGCTGTTTCAACAGCACAGCAACCAACACAGGACAGCATTGATTTGACCCGATTTGTCGAAAACGGTTACCAAGCTCTAGGTAGGTAGACAGGTAGGCCGACCTTTTCTACGTGAGTCTGTCTACCAACCTAAGACCACCTATGAAATATGGAAATACTACTAGCAGCCGTCGTGAAAAGGCCGAGCAAAAGCAGAGCGGTGTATGAGTGTGATGAAATAATAAATCAATGACCCATTGTACACATAGAGCTACCTAGCCGGGTACATGAATAAGAATTCCTGGACTTGTGCGCTTCAGCTAGGTAGGTAGTTGGGCTCGAAAACTGCGGTTGAACCCTGTGTGCCTCTCTCTCTCTCTCTCTACCTTATATGTCTCTCCTCTCATCTCTCCTCTTCTGGTCGAGTGGTGGAGTTGAGTTCTCGTTGGGCATGCAGATCAAGAATTGAGGCGGGTAGGGGAGGAGGACAATGTGCATATGTGCCTAGGTATGTACGAGGGATCCATAACCCATACCAACCCATAGTTCATCTTATGATTCATACCACCTGGTAACCTAGGCAGGTCATAGAATCTGAACGGCAGAATCCACATAGGTCCGCGAGATCCGTGAGGGAAGAACATGTTGCATCACATCCCACTCTTGCCTCCGTCCGTGTCTCTTCCCTCGTCTTGCTTGCCCTGTGGGCACATAGTATGGTGTCTGGGATCGAGTCCAACCAACCAGACAGCAAACTGTCTTCACACCCTTGTATTCCCGTTGCCTCGATATCGGACCAGGTGATGGGTAATGAATGATGTGAGTTTTGTATTCGCCTTTGGACAGACCCCAGCGTATGTCTCTGCGGATGGAGAACCTTGACAACAGGGCCGGCCTTATTCACCACTAACACAACCACCACCACCACCTCCTCCTCCTCTGGAGACCGAAGCCCACGCACACAACCCGAATTTTTCACCTCCTTCTACACTGTCTCCAGTGTCCCGGAGGACTTGGCAGCGGATAGGGTGTGCATAGTTTGTTCAGCTTTCACTTGAATTCGTTTTGCGTTTCCGTCGTCGTCGTCGTCGTCGTCGTCGTTATGGTATCCTTCAACAAACTTGTTGCGCGTGTCAAAATTCGCTTTACGCAACATTGACTTTGATCTTCAATCTGCGCATATGCTTTGTTCCCGTCATTCTCTGGATTGCACCATACGGTGTCGTACCCGATGCAGGAAGTTTTTTCCAAATCTCATGTTCTGATTCTCTCCCTTTTTCACCCCGTCCCCCTCGTCCCCCTCCTCGGCCGCCTTTCATCCTTTTACCTGTTTCATGTTCATGTTCATCATGTCTTTTGTCTTTCCCTCGTGTCTCGCGTCGGTGTCGACGGTGGACTTGCAGCAGTGCCCGTGACCAGGTCCACGATACTCATCCGTCTCGCTCTGTCTCTCATGCTCGGGGCGCGCGGCCGATGTTCGCCCCTCGCGCGGCCTCCAAAGAAAGGGATCTCATGGTATATGACTCGGCCGACGTAGAGACATGCGTCGTAGACGATTGCGAGGATCCACGGGAGGATGTTGACGACGGCTAGCAATAACTACAGATGACGACAGAGAAGGTTTAGTCAAAACGCCGGGTTCATCTGAAACTTTTGAAAAGAAAAAAGGGACGGAGGGACGGACGACGGGGAGGAAGAGTGACAGGAGAAGAGGGGCGCGCGAAAGCAACCTACAAAGCCTCGAATGATCCAGGTTTCATAGACGGTCAAATGCGCTGGAAGGATGGAGTACCACGCCATGCCGACCGTCTAGGCTTTCCAGACCGAAATGATGGTGGACCTGTGCCCGTACTCGTAGAAAAGGTCGTCGGGTTTGCTGGTTTCGTAGCTGAACTGGTGAAACTGCGCAACAACAGCCACGAGAGCCGGAGAGCATGGCCTTGTTTGTTCTCTCATTCGAGGAGCCCCGGCGGCGGACGCGGAGCGAGTCTCAGGCCGGAATGCGCCGGGCTCTGAACAGCGGTTTCTTGAAAAGAGGAAGAGGATGCCTGGTGATTTCTAAGACCAGGCCAGCGTCAAGGTGAGTGCAGAGTGGAAAGCCTAAGCAGATCGTGTATATACGGTTGAAGTTTCGTCGTGGATTGGCCTCTGTTTTATTAGCACAAGTGAGCACATGCGACTTTGTCGAATCTCAGCCTCGTAGCCTTGTCGGGCGTGAATACATCTGACATGGGCTGTCGACATCCTCGTATCGTCTACAATAAACTTCGCACTCGAACTCACAGAGGTACAGTCTTCATTTAACATAGTTTTTTCATTGATCATCAACGATTGCTCTCATGATATCTACAACACCCCTTTTGAAGCCAGCCAATCCCAACTGAAACACTTTGACCTCTCCAGGCTTGGAAACGATTGAATAGTAATGAAAGTAACATCTTTCCTGACCTAAAGCACGCCCAAAGCCAATGGTTTCGAGGTGCTTCTCGTCAAAGCTCAAAGCTCCTATTTCCTTCTTGTTTGTTTTTTCTCCTTTCCTGCGAATCCGAAAACCCAATCACGGAGCATGAAAAAATGGCCCGCCCAGATCAGGGAAGTCAACAGGAAATAATACCTTTAATTTAGATCAACGCCACATGATTGCTTCGCATTCGTACATGGCTCGCCTGAAAAGATAGGTCCGCCGATAAAAAAGACTCAAGACATGTTGAAACATAGATGTTCATGTCCACCGTAATCTCATCAAATCATTACCCGGCGCCGTTTTGAAGAAGCAGTGGGAGTCGATGCTTCGGGAGTTTGAGGTTGGGTAGGATCCCACATCCGTTGCACTGGGGTCACGCCCTTGTAGTGCGACGAAGTGTAGGGAGACGCGTGATTCTTGCGCTTTCGCCTGTTTGGGGTTGGGGTTGCAAATGGTGAGTTGAACAATTCAACATGACTTCGCAGCTTGGGGGTGTTGTCAAGCACGGCAAATTTGGCTTCGGCATCACGTCGGAATGCCATGATGTTCTTGCTGTTGAATGGTGATGACTGGCTTCTGACCTCACCCGAAGCAGAGAGCTCGAGTTTGGGAGGTATGAAAGCTGGTGAAGTCGGCGCATCACTGTCATCCGTTTCGTCGTCAAACTTGATCACATCGTGAAGATCCATCACGTCTTCTCCAGACTCCACAATGGGACGAAAGTTCTCCTCCAAATCATCTGGATCGATGGCGAAGTCACCAAAGACGAAGCTTGGGTTGGGATAGAATGCTTCAAGAGGCCCAATAGCCTGACCAAGGTTGGCGGGGTCGTTGATGGCAGAGTTGAGACTCGCCAGCATAATGTCAGCACTTGGAGCTCCAAGAACTCCAGCATTGGCTGCGTCAGCATCACCGACATCACTATCTTCGATGAGTTCAGCAAAGCCAATGTCTGGGCTCGATGTCTGGGAAGCTCCGTAACGACGAGCGAATTCTTCACCTAGCAAATGTGGATTGGTCATGAGAATGATCTTTCCCGAAGAATCGAGAATGCCGGAGGTCTTGTTGCCATCGTCAATGAAAATACCACGAGGCGGCCCCCGACGACGAGGCGTCTTCTTGGACGCCTTCTTGGCTGAAGGAGAAGTGGATGGCGAAGATCCCTTTTTGGAATCAACATCGTGCTTTTTCGGTTGATGAGCTTGCTTTGGCAGACAATCATCAGTCAAGTCGGCTACGTTATGTCAGTAACAGATACAAATGCACAAGTAAATGGCAACATACAATCATCGTCGTCGGCCAAACCAATGAATCGCCTCTCTGGGATCTGGCTGGGAGCACCAGATTCCGGAAGTGCCGAAGGAAGCAATGCACGAGTCATGGTCGGAGACTCCGACATACGCGTCAAAAACAAGCTAGGGTCATTGTCTACGGCGAAATGCACATGACGCTCGACGCCTGTATCACCGCTCTCACTCTGTGATGACGGGTAGCGCTGAATGCTGGCATCGCTGTCATCACCGAAGCCATATGCAGACAAACCATCAATCTGGTTCAAAAGGAAGTCTGCATCACTATTGCCTTCTTCCGACAACATGGCGAGCAGCTCTTGTTCTTCAAGGCGGCCCTCGTCCATTTCACCATCAGAGTCGCTGATGTCGTCGACCGCTTGATAAATGTCATTTTCCTCATCGGATTCATCAAACACCTGGTGTTCGAAGCGTTTACGGTTTTCCTCGGGTGAAAGTGTGGGGTCGTCGTCTTCTTCATAATAGTCTGCAAAATCACCAAACATGCTGTCGACGCTTGCAGCAACAGAAACGTCATCCCGTCCAAGAGATTGAAAAGTGCGCCCCGCCCCGTTCAGTGTGCGAGAACGAGACGGGGCCGAGACCGCTGGCAGATCATCTTCATCATCAGCCTCCTCTTCGTCGCTTTCCTCATCCGAAGCCTCATCTCCCGTCTCGGTTCCGAGATCGGTCAATGACGACTCGGAAGATGTGCTTGCAGCTCGCTGGCGTTTCTTGTTGGTCACCGCATACTTGCGAGTGGGTTTGTTCTTCTTTGCATTGGGAGCTTGGTAGGCATCGACGAGACGTTGCTTGAGATTGGGGAATTTTGGCGCAGCCACCATCGGCTGGCGACCACGATTGCTGCGGTTGTGGAGACGAGACATTGTGGTTGAGATAGTCTTGGATCAAGGGATAAGAGTAGGTGATGGGGTGGTAACAGAGAAGTGAGAGATGTTAGAGGAAGGGTGGAGGGTGGTCCAGCGGGTGAGAAGTCGTCCGAAGCACCTTTAGTCACAGCGGACTCGTGGGGTGCGTTCTTTGGTTGTGTGCAGTGCAATTTCGAGAGCAGTGGTGTGTAAACGAGCTCCTACGCGGTAGAGCTCCCGAAAGAGGATGGATATCGTAGACGAGGATTTGCTTGGGCTGCCTGGTGAGAAGAGATCAAGAGACCCTCAGACGGACTGAGGGCCTCCCGAGTCATCTAGAACGCAGCGGAGGCCATGAGCAAAATGTGATCCTCGTACGATATGTGATTGAGATAAGGATACTGGTGCACTGGACTAAGAATATGGACTGGCTGGACTGGTGGTTGTTGTGGTTTGTAGAGAGAGAAGAGAGAAAGAGGAGAGGGAAAAAGAGGTCGACCGACATACGAGGGTGAATCAGATACTGCAGACTTGCCCCCCCACTGGCGTTTAGGCCCTCACACCGCTATTCTCTGAGCCTCAGCTAGGACTCGATTCTGCCACGCTGGACCGTCTCGATTGGTTCGCTATCTACACGGAATATGTTCCTCTACATCCGCTGTCATGCCGGTGACTCGTACACCCTGGACTCGACTCATTTGCCCTTGTTTGGGACCATGTTGTGCCTCTGCTCTCAATCCAAAAAATTCAGCGGAAAAAAAGTTTCCCCGGCGAGAGCGGAACGGCATCACGTGCAACCCGGTTCTCCCGCCAATGAGAACAGCTGGGAAAATCTGAAGTGAGTCGAGGTTGCGTAGCAGGAAGTTTGTTAAAGTTACCTAGGCAGATGACTAGAGAGCGACTAAAACGAACAGGGTCCAGGGTTGCAGTATTGAACCCCTCGCCAGTGCGACCACCTGCCAGGCCACCTCCCCTACAATCCCCGTATCGACGGCTACAAGGCTGAAAATCCACGGAGCAAGTGTGCATTGCCTCGAGCTATAGCTGCACAACTGATTGTCTGAGTCAATCTGAGTCACAGGTTCCCCCAGCATTGTGTCTCTGTCTCAGAGACAGTCACCATGGTCCTGGCTGGAACATCCGTGTCAAACACCGACCCCGCCAACTATCGCCCATCGCCCATCGCCGTCGCCTATCGCTCGGCACCCACCTCCCCAGTTGAAAAATCTGAACAAGAAGAATTACAATACTACGACCATATCGGAGGTGGAGCCCAATTCAACGCCATTTCTCCATGATCGACTTTCAATCGTCATAAAATAACTCAGATGATCGTACTCGTACACAAAACTGCGTCGGCCTCAGATGCTATCGTTGCTCATTACTCGTGAAGGGATCAAAAAGATTGTCAAAGCCCAAGCCCCTTTCTCTGTTCCATCAAGGGACAGTGACCGGAGGAACAATGGCCGGATCCACTGGCTTCTCGTTCACGGCATCTTCCTCCAGACCTGCTGCCTTGAGAGCCTCGACTTCTCTGACTCCAGCCTGGACTTCTTCGATGGGCGCTCCCGCTTCTGCTGTTGTAGTTGGAATTGCGTCGCCATGTTCGGTTTTGAATTCAGCATCCAGCTTTTCCACTTCCTCTTCCGTAAGGTTGCGCTCTTTCTCGAGTCGTGTTTCCTTTCCCCTCTTGTAACAGTACCAGAAAACGAAAAGTAGCACTGTGCCAGTCATGTCAGCAATGGATATCGGTCTTGACGAAATGCACAGAATGCCACTTACCAAACAATGCCAGCGACCATAGCACGTTAGCTCCCATAAAGGCCGGAAACCTTGCTCGCAAGTAGCCGATGATGGAGCGAAGCATTCCCGCGATCGCGGCAGGCTTCCCCGTCAACTCCTTGAGCGAAGGTGTCTTGAACCCGAGTTTCGAAGCAGCAGCAGCAGCTTTGCCAGCGTTTTCCACGTTCATACCACTCTTGGAAGCTCTCTCTGCCGCAGCCGCCATGATTTCTGGAGCAAGCCCTTTAGTCATCGTCTCAGGCAACTTCTCAATGAGCTTCTGCAGAAACCCAGGCAACGAGTTGAACGTCTTCTGCAATTGTCGGTCACCATTTCTCAGAAGCTTCTCCAGATCATCGTAAGCCGTGGGCACTCCGTTGATGAGGTCTTTGAAGACTTGGTTGAATTTCTGGAGAAGTTCTTGGGTTTCGTCACTAATGGAGAAAACACGATTGTTGATGGCAGCCAGGTTGAGCCTTTCCAGGACAATGGTCATGTCCTCTTCTTCTCTCTTGGCCTCCTTGACCTCTTCGCTCTCTTCCTCGTCTGCCTTTTTGAGATTGGCCACAATGTCATCGAGTCCAGCTGCGGTGGCTTCACGTCCCTGTTGTCGGATTTCACGACTGTCACGCCGAAGCCAGCTCCAGGTGGCTTTGGATTTGGATGTGGGTTCGGTGGCATCTGCACCTCCTGCACCATCCTGAATCATCAAAGGCTCTTGACTAACCTCATTTGGTGTTTCTGGTAGAGGGATGTTCTGAGCGCCATCCAAAAGGGCTGTCTGAGCGTCCTTGATCGATGCTACGACATCCGGCCGAGCAGGCAAGGGCGGAGGGTTCTCCGCTGAAGTGATTCGATCCAAGAACTGTTCGTCTTCTTCGGAAAGCACAGGCGTCTCCGATGGTTTAGACGTCGCCAAATGCGCCTTGGCCTTGATGTAATTGATGTATTGCATAGCCATAATTGGCCAACGTCAGCCCAACACAGAGAGTAGACAAAGTTGGGAACGGGGGTTCGACTACGACCAGGGGGCAAGTAGAAATAGTAGCAATGGAAGAAGAACAAAGCCCCGGCTCTGAAGTAATTGAAATGAAGTCTACATACTACTCCTGGACAGAGGATGCAGGGAGGACGAGGAGGTGAGAGACTTGGAAAGCGGGACGGGAACTGTGGTTTTGCGCCACAACAACGTCATCACAAAAGTCCAAGGTTTGGGAGGCATCGCAGTCTGCCCTATCTGCACTGCCACTGCTACAGGCCACATCCTTGCACAACAATGCCCTTGTCCAATCAAAGCAGACGGAGACGTGGTCTCCAGCTGGTATCTCATGCAGCACATGCTACAGCTCAATGCCGTCACGGAGAAAAGCATGCAATGAAAACTACCTGGGCTGCTGTGATGAGGTGCTGGAGCGTAAGGTATGTTTGGCATGGTGAAAGAGACATCTGCGCCTGGCAGTGATCAGGGCGTGAGGGTGATGAAGATCAATTGACTGCCTATATCGAACCAGGCATACGGAAATATTCATGATAGTGAATGCGACGAACACATGTAGAAGAACAGATGATACATCGGCTTCGAGCACCTTGCACTTCACTGCCTCGTCAACTAACAACAAACATCTGCTGCCTCACACCTTCTCACCTGCAGTCAAACATATCACTTCTATCATTCAGTTTCGTCTTCTTTGCATCATCTTTCGTTGTCCTTTGCACTGTGTCTTGCGTCGCTCTCTCAGCTTCTCCTCGCCAGCCAGCATATCTTGGTCGTGAAGAGCGCGACAACATGAATCTGGGTGCGCAAGCAGTCATTCCCATGAGGCCCACGCTAAAGCCGGCCAACTACCCACGGAAACGTGACATGCCTGCAGTAGTCACAAAGCAGAGTAAATACCCACTGCCATACTTTGCTCATCAACAGCTCGACACTGCGTACTTTCCCCGGGGTAACGTCCTCCTGGTTCGCCGCATTGTCTGGGCATAGGGCTAACAGCGTGAAGACATTGGCCTTCCCGTGGGTCGCCCGAAGGTTGAAAACGGCGAAAATGCTGTCTGGGATGATGACGATAGCGATAATGGTGCTGATCTCGAATCGGACGCCGGAGAAGCAAGTCATCCGTCCGAGTGCCCTGACAAGATCTTCCACTGACAGCTATCTAGAAGCCAGCACGCAGATCCAAGACCCGCCGCAAGCCTGACTTTATTGGCAATGACTTCAAAGCTTCTGATGTGAAGAACATGAAAATACGGGGCGGCCGTCCCGCAATTGCCAAAAAAGTGTCAGCCGATCTCGATTCGGACGACGAATTGATTGTTCGCATGAAGGAGGCACGATTCTTGGAGAAAGACATTGCGCAGGCTCTTGTTGACCAAGGTCGCATCGCCTACAACCCAAAGACCATTGGTACTCGCTGGAGACGCATCAAAGCCAAACTGCAGAAGAGACAGGACGATCTGTTGGATGCAGACTTGACCGACTGGCATGATGGAGATGTATGTACGCCTCGTCGTCGACAACCTGGCGCGAACTGACAAGATGGTAGGACGATATCCTACTCCAGGCTGTGATCAAGGCAGACGCAGAAGTGGACAGACTCAAGGCGGAAATCGACGGCCGAAAATGGCGCATGGTAGCTGACTCGATGAAGAACATGAAGGTGAGAGCATTCCGCGATGGAGCATGCTTGTGTTGATCTGTAACAGCCTGTCGTCAACTTCTCCCAAAACGCCTGCCGTTCTAGGTACGACGCGCTCATGGCTGGTAATGCAAAACCTACCCCAGAGTCTATACCCAACCCAACTCCCGAAATTCTTGAGCGAATTCAGTCCCGTCTCGACAAAGAAGCTAGACTTGCCCGAGATCAACAGCAGCCGAATGGACAACAACAGACGAACATTGCAGGCAACGCTTGGAGTTCCCGACAGCGTCACTACTTCTAGAGAGGTTGCAGTCCGCTAGCAAACAATACACGGCTCGATAATCCATATGGAAGGGAGGCGGCGCGGACAACGTTGCTATGAATGGTTTGGCCTGAACGTCGGAGTGCGCTGGCGACATCTTATTCCGGGGGGCCGCATCGCAAATGAAGGCGAGCAATCGATACTTTGATACTTCTACAGCGAGGGCCTGGCTGACCGCAGATTGCGGGTGGTGATGTTGACCTGGTCATCTGATGCTACAGGAGAATGGACATTGTGTGTACGTACGGCGCCCAACAATCGAGGCCTGAGGATGACAATCTCGAGAGAGCATGCAGAGCCTCGGACATGCGGCTGACGCGCTTTTTGGAGATTCTCGGACGCGTGCTCTCAGCATTAATAGTTGCCGTCATCTGACCGTGTCAACAATGATGAATCTTCCATCGAAGCTAACCCGGCTGCTTCATCTCTCCCCGTCCCTCTTCGACTCATCGTGCTTTTCGCGGCTTCGGCAAGCTGCATAAGTGCCTGGGGTGTGCATGCAGCTGGTCGATCATGATTCGGCCACGCATCGTCGTTTGTATGGCTGCCTTCGCCAAGGCCCCCAAGCGCCTGCGCAGCGCTCGGTAAGGTATATATTGTATCAGCCTCAAGACCCTTTCGCTCCTCTTCTCCTTCGCTTCTTCACGCACCGAGCAGGCAAAGTCTACGCGCGTTTGGTCACCAACTGTCCAAACTCGTCAAGTTCTCTAGTGTGGTCTTCATTGGCTGTCCGGCATCCTTCATCCGAATGAGGCTGGCAGGCGAGGGAGTCATCCTCGAGAACTTCGCAGCTCAGACATCACGAGGTCATTTGTGAAGCGTCAATCTCGAAAAACCTATCACGCTCTCTACTAAAGTCATAGGTTCTTCAGCCGTTCCTTCTTCCTCTTCCCGCGCCGTTCGTTGATTTCAGAGTACTCGACAATCGTTATCCCATGCGCTCTTTCGACAAGATGTTCAAACGATCATTCAACACCCGCGATGGTCGCATCATCAAGTCGAAGCCCATCAAGAATACCTATCCCGAACATGTGAAGAGAAAGATGCAGGACACAGTGGACGAAGGCTCGGCGGTGGCTAGGTAGGAAGAACCACCCGAACAGGCGCACGGAGACAGTCACTGACCTTGACCCTCGTTCTAGTACGTTGACGAGTCCCATCGCTACTCTTGTGGTGGGTCATGAACAGCGCCTCTTCGCCGCTCATGAAGACGTCCTCTGTCATTCCGCCTACTTCGCTGCCGCCTTGAAAGGCAACTTTCTCGAAGGTGGCTCGAAGCGAGTGGAACTGCCGGACGAAGAACCTGAAATCTTGTCCTGCGTGCTCGAGTTTCTATACAAGGGGGACTACTATCCTCGCTTGCTGCACAACAAGCGCCGAAACACTTGGGATCTCGAGGATGCTGTGCAGGATCTAAAAAACGGTGGTCGCGGAAACGCCGCTTCGACAATCTTCATTTCCGACGTGGGCGATATCCTCCGGGATACCGTCATCTACTGCGCTGCCGACAAGTATGGTCTGGAGGAACTGAAACGCCTTGCTCTTCGTAAGCAAGGCCTCCAGTCCGGAATCCAGGTCGACGTGATCTTACGCTCGGCTCGGTATGCGTACCAAAACACGCCGGACACAGAATCGCGCCTCCGCGCTCATTACCTTGCCCTGATCATCCGAAGTCGCAAGACTTTCAAGAGGAGTGGAACCATGCAGAAGGAAATGGAGCAGGGGGGCAAATTGTTTTTCGACCTCTTTGTGGCCATGTGCAATCACATCGATGACATCGTCGAGATCAGGTAAGGACAAAAGGGTTACTTGCTGCTTCACCTTGCTTTGTGTCGCGTTAGCGCTGTCCTGTTGCTCTTGCATTGTGTGTTTGGTTTACCCAACAGCTTACCTGTGTTTTTTCCGTACAGCAACAGCCGTTCTCCCAAAGTCATCTGAGTGGTTTCGCCCATGCCACCGAGACAGGATCGACATTGGTGCTGATGTAGGAGAGTAAATGTTGTTTCTGGCAGATTGTGTTTGGAACAGAGTTGAACAAGTCACCAACGGATATTCGACTGGGTTCACAAGAAGAGAAAACCACCTGCTTTGATAGCAGCGTTTCTCTTGTCTATTGACTCCGCTTCTCTTGAGGTTTGGCCGCCAACTTAACCGCACGGTTCATCGAAACCCTACTCTTTCTAATGAGTCCGGCCCCTTTCGTTAGGGTGCCTGGCTGGTGCAATCTGCTTTATTTTCGGCTCTTTTGAAACAATGGTCAAAACTACACACATAGTTTGCGACTACAATTCGCAACTCCTTTGTTTGTATCGATTGGTTTCTCGACTCGACGTCGATCGTTCTGCTGATATATGGGGAAACTACCTTTTTCATCTCGGGTCTCGATGACCTGGAGATGGAAAGACCTCTAGTGATCAGATATAGGAAATTGAGAGATTCGGCCACCTCTTATCTATTTGCTTGCTTTAGGTTCGAATGCTGTGATCTCTTTTTCGTGATTATTGACATCTCTACCGCAGGAGATATGTGTATGGTCCTGCTCTTCACTTCTCTTCACTACCTACTGGCAGTCTTCCAGAAGCATGTGAGAGTTGACTACCTTCGCATAAATTGTAACACGGCCCGTCGACTTGGGTTGTTTTTCCTCATTCACTCTCAGCATTTTGCTCGAGGGAACAGGTTCTCCTATTCCACCATTCATTTATCACTCAACCATTGCTATCACTGTTACTTGCTTCGCTTCACTTGCCATCAAGCTTACCCTCCAGATCTCACACTAGCATTTTGTTACAGTCTGGCTTCTTGATAGTCCTTGACACCTGCTTGCGTTCCTCTATTCTCTGATCTCTCCTTCGTTGATCTTCTCTCCCCTTCGGCGTTCTCTGCCATCAGCGTGATGTCCTACCGATCCGACAGACTACCGGTACCAAAGCGTATGCGTCATTCGAGCGATTCTACCCCGTCATTGTCATCGCCATCACCGTCTCCGTCCCAGACTGGTCATCGAGGGACCCAGGACACTGAAGCCGACGCTCTATTTTTCGCCGACGTTTCCCAAACCCTCTTCAACCGCACTGTCGAGCGAGCTCGGCAGCCTCGTGTAAACATGGCTAAACTGCCGCCTCCCGACGCTGGACATCGTCGAGTTCCACCTCGCCTGTACACCTCCTCCGCCGGGAAAACATCACAGCACCCCTCACCCAGGGTTCCTGTAGAGCCCATGGACGACAGCAAAGAGGATATCTACGTGCACGTCAAGAGCGAAGAACAACAAGAATCCATATCCCGCATCCCCGTTGACGAGCGTGTGTCGATCTTTGTAGGCCAACATAATACGGTCTTCACTGTATCGCTGGAAAGTCTCGACAAGTCGCCCACGCTGAAAGCTCTAGTGTCCCGACAAGGCGACAGCGTCCTTGGTGGCGGCAGTAACGGCCAGGGTACCACTACCGGCATCGACTCCGGCACAGGCACAGAAGGGGCATTCATCATGCACCCCAAGCTGACGAATGTCGACCCGGACCACTTCGCCGCCGTTCAACAGTTTCTCCTTGCCGACGAGTACATCCCGGCCATTGTTTCCAACTTTGTCGGAGAGAACAGCGGGAGGAATTGCGCCAAGACCCTCGACGGCGTCAATACCAGAGAAGACTACAGAAGGGAAACGATCCGAGCGGCAGAGCTGTACGTTCTCGCGAAACGCCTGGGCATGACCGGCATGGCCCACCTAACCAAGAGAAAAATCGCAGAGTGCGGGTACACGACGGGCTCGGTGGGCATCCAGTGCTTGCTCGAGGTTAGCATGGTCGTCTTTGCGCGACCGGATGATGCGGACGGCGGGAGGATACAAGTTGTCAAACCCTCGTCATCCTCTACCCCGAGCCTCAGCCACGGTAGTAATGCTAGAGCGAAGGGGAAAAGGAACGGGAACGGTCTGGGGAAAGGCACCGGCCTCGGCACAGGTTCTGGGTCTGGGTCTGGGCGTGGGCCTGGGCCTGATGGTTCGGGATTGGAAGGTACTGCAGACGCGCTTGAAGAATGGCTTATTGGCGTTCTCGCGACGCATTTCCAGGCCGTGATGATCTCCCACGCGCAGTCGTTCTTCAGCATTGCGTGCCATGGCGCCGCGGTCCGGCGACAGTTCCAGAGACGAATACTTTGGAAACGTATTGAGGAGCTGGAGAGGGCGGGTGAGGCAGTCTTGATTGAGGATGATGAGTGATCTGTCTGGGACATGACATGAAACCTCGTCTCTGCCTCTCGTCCTCATCGTCATCCTCATCCTGTCTTTCTAGAATGTGAACGTCGGAAAGGGGCGATTGAGATTCTGGACATCAGTGGCAGGTATACAACGGTCAAGGGATGCGTTTTGCATCGTGAATCAAGGCCATTGGGTGGCAGCAGGGAAACGGATTAGGCCCATTCGGATCCGCTGGCAGCTTGGATCAGCCTTTGAATCAACTCGAGCAACTGCACCCTTGAGTTGTTAGGTAGTTCGTGGGACGGGTGGTGATGGTGATGATGACGCAGGAAGGCATCCGCAGATTTTGGAATGTCGTGACTCTAGGAATATCTTTTTGGGTTTCTGCTTCTAGGACTTTTTTAGTATATGCCATTTTTCAGGGCATACCTAGGTAGGTATCAACAGAACAATCTTCAACCTTTTGAAGTAGCAGTTCATAGTCTCGTTCATAGTCTTTATCACGCTTGGAATGTACATTCTCATACTTGACAGTAGGATTTTTCTAGGTTGTAGCCCGTTGGACGATGGCATGCGCATGTGACTACACCATCCCGTATGTTTCTGGGTACAGATTTCTCGCGGGCCCTGAGTCTCGAGGCATTCTATGACACGGTAGTCTTGAACGTCGTTGTGGCGGGGGTGTAAAGGGGGGGCAGTCCAACTTTGTTCCACCGCAGGCTATGGTCATAGGATGGTATTGGTGTTAGTCGATGTAAATGTAGGAAAAGGTAGCCCACGTTCCAGTTGAGTGATGTATACAACGTGGACGCAGGGTCGGTTGCGGGCGAAGAAAACGACCCGGCCGTTGCGCATATGTAGAGATACGCGCGGGAGATACGGAGGTTTCGAAAGAGTCGGGGTTAATGTGCTGGAGAGAGAGAATGATGGGTTCTCTGAGCCTAGAGGTAGAGATTGGTGATTCCGCACGGTGCAATGTTGTGATGCTGTCTGCTGAAGATATGGATCGATGGTGTTGAAAATACGCTTGTTGGTCAGGTACCCCTGTTGCAATGTGAGTCGGACTGTAAGACTAGGCATATCCTGTAGGTCAGGTAGACTATGCACCTATGCAGCTGCTCAACAACAACAAGATGGACAACTGCGTGCCCGGGGCGCAGGTAATAGTGGTGAATTCGTGGACTGCGCTGCGCGGTAGAAGTAGGAGTACATGGATATCAACGATTCTACCAGTCACGAAATCAACAGGCACTGCAGACGTGGTATACGAGTACACTGTACCACCTACTGTTCAGCCATGTAAGGTACCCCATACAACCGAGATGTCTGGTATCAAGAACCATCCCAGAGAATTTTGCTCCTCTGCCTAACTGGACTCCTTTTCTGCTCCGGTACCTGGCACAATGATCATCCCAGAGGATAGTAACTGCTCATGAGCTTTTCCTTCTCCGCTACCTGGCACAAGACCACCATAACGATGAAAAAAAAAGGTCTGCATAGCAGAGGTGAAAGAAGCCTAGAAGGAAGAATATTCAGTTTAGCATAGTGTGAACGAGGGCGGGAGGGAAAGGGGAGTAGATGATACCAAAAAGTCATACACCAACAATACAAACTTCTCACAGAGGAAACGTTTGTCGCTGTTGGTTGGTGGTGGCAACGATCAACATGAAGGCGCCGAGGAGTCCGCATGAAAGGGTCATCCAAGCTTCGTCTTGGACCGCTCTAGTCCTCGACAGCCATCACGGTGCTTGATCAACCTCGAGCCAGTCAGGGCGAAATGGTCTGCACCTAACAATGCGGTATGCCCGCATGCCTTACAGTGAGAGGCCTCGCTCCGGCAAGGAAGTACTCTGGAGAAGACGAGTATTCCTGGACTGCCGTCCTCGAATGACCCCCGCCAGCCGTGACGTCCTCGAAGCGAGTAGCCTTAGTGAAAAGGCGCATGCAGGGGTTCGACTGTAACACCAACGTGGGTGAGAGCAATACGACCGCCGTGATGCCGGCGGAGCGGTACTTCGCTTCTGGTCACGACCCCCTCGTCGGCTGGAACAAGACATTGCGTCTCACTGATACCCTGCACATGACCGGTTTTTTCCCGCCTAACACTCCTCGAAAGGAAACGTGAAGGAGGAAAAGGGCCCGAGGTTTTGTGTCCCTTGTCAGCGTCGGGAACTGGGAATCCCAGCCGCGCGTTCAGAGAACGCAGACTGAGAACCCTCCGCAGCAGGTGAAGAATCTTGGACTCCCTCTCACTCGGTCGCGAGAGAGAGAACGTGAGAGAAAAAGAGAGAGTCGACAAGATTGTGTGTAGCTGGGCCGCCTCTATCTCCTTGCCAGGGAGACCAGACACTGGAGCAAGTTTGATATCTATGTCCAGCAACCCAGGGGAGAGTCGAACTCCCGTCTCGGTGCCGAAGCACCGCGTCCTAACCAACTAGACGACTGGGTGACAGACTATAGTGTGTGTAGCTGCCAGGTGCCTGCACGAGACGCGAGGAGAAAAAAAGAGAGGAAGAGAAATGCAATCTCTGGGGGGAAACGCAGGTACTTATAGGAATTCAATCCCTGGAACTGCCGGCACTTAGAAGGCGGTCAGGAAGCAGAGATAGGGCGGCAATGCGTAGGCAGACGTGGTGAAGATTCATGGAAAGTGGGTGTTAATGTTTCAACTCCAAAAACAGGAACAGTGAAGTCGTTGCGCAATGAGAAGTTTCTGCTTGGATTCAATGCGCGGTTCGCGCTGGGAATATATTCACGCGCGACGAGGCTTGCCGTGTTATAGTGACGAGGCTGCGACTCCTTGATTCCGGGAAAGTCTCGCCCAGTGTCGACTCCAGCCAAAAGTATGTTTGGTTTGGCTCGGCTTCAAAACCACTCAATGGCGAGGGAAATGCTCGCTTGGCACTGCGAAACTTGCTCAGACATCAGCCATGCGTATACCCTGCGCTCCACAACGTTTCAGAGTCATCGGACACATTTCTCACAAGGGAATTGTGATAAGACTACCGCTGTACGGGGTGCTTGAAGGATTGATGTGGCCTGCCATTACTATACACAGGGATCTAGGCTATGTGGTTGCACTCCCTCGAAATGTCCCGTTCATGGGTCTCCCTGCTTTGTCACGGCTCATGCGGGTTTCCAGCTTGCTCCTCCTACGTTGCGACTACAGCCACTAGAAAAGGAGAGCAACTGCAATGCCACCTATCAAGGTGCTGATACCAACACTCAATGGCATTGCTGCCAGGCCGGTGGACGTAGCGCTTGCAATGCTAGGGCTGGCGGATGCCGTGCTCGAAGTTGAATCATTAGTTCCCGATGTCGAGGTGGCATTCGTTACGGTGAACGCAGGCAGACCCTCCCCGTCAGTACCATTACGGGGAGCAGCGAAGTCAGCAGCAAGGGGATTCAGGACATTGTCGATGAACAGGACAACACCACCAGCAACTGCAAGGTCAGTGTAATGGATTCCCGCTTGATTGATGAACCACTCTTCGTCGGGGGTCTGAGTGACAGTCAAGTTCTTTCCTTGCAAAGTAGTCACTTGAGACACTTTTTCCAACAGCTCGAAGTCCCAAACCTTGCCGGCCACAACATGATATTTGAGAACCTCAGCCAGCTCCTCCGTGCTGAGTTTTGAGAGAGCATCCTCGACGGCATCAAACCCGTCATTGACCGGCACGAAGTATGTAGCATCGTGGAGTAGATCAAATTCCTCTTTCAAGCCTGCCTTTTCGAGTGCGGCGACGAACGAACTGCCGTTGAAGTCGCCCGAGGTGACGGTCTCCGACATGGACGGGGGAATCTGCAAAACACCATTGAGGACATAGATCCATCCTTGATCAAAAGGAATGGGTGTATGGCTAGCCTCTGGTGCAAAGTCATTGCCACCATAGAAGCCGACAACGTCTTCATCGTCGTCCCAGTAAAAGCCAATGTGCTGTCCGCCAGTCACGTTCGTATAGTTGCTCGAGGTGAGGAGTGTCGGCACAACAGCATAGTCGGTAATATTCTCATAACCTCCGTCGATGACATGGTACAGGACCAGGTTCAGAGCGTAGTCGGCGCCGCCATCTTCGAGTGCCTGCCCGGCCGGTGAAGCGAGAAGTTCCGCAATAGCAGTATCGTTAGGGGCGAGAACGGTGATGTTTGTCTTGCCAGCGATGGCTTCTAGAAACCCAGGAATCTCTGCAAGAACCTCACTAAAGGTGGCAGTGCCATTCGTCGAGTTGAGAACCGTGACCAGGTCGCTTGACTGGGCAATAGCGGTGCCTGCAAGGGCGGCGAGAAGAAGGCCTGTGATTGTCATTCTCGCGAAAGCTTCAAGGACCTAAAAGCTGAGAACGAAAGTGGAAAGTTACGACGAGATGAGACGAAGAGCACCACTAAGTACGAAGGCAGCACGCCATGTATTTGAGCACTTTGGAGCCGGAGGCTTCCACGTAACATTTTCTCATGTCCTTCATCGCTCCGACGTCAAGCAGAATGGTCATGATGAGGACATCGGCAGCAGAGGAGAGATGACTAGCGAATATTCCAAGGCCCCGGCGCTGTTCAAGCGTGATCAAGAAAAAATTGGCAAAATTGGCATCGACCATGGGACGGATCTTGTCTCGCGAGACTTTTGCTCCCAAGAGTTATAGTCGGTGTGAGGATTCTTGTTTGAACTGACCTTGCCAACAACGACTTAGGTCTTGAGTACCCATTGCCACATCTTGGGGGGTTTCCCTTCTCTTCCCAGAACGGAACCCGGTTATGGGAAGAGCCTCGATTGCTCCGAGTCTGTTCCGGGAGTGAGCACGGCGCGAGAGCTTGTGACTCCAAGCTTTCACGCGCCGAAACCGGATTGATAGTTCGATAGGAAAACTTTACTGGCCGAAGAATCCATGAGGACAAGAAGCATTAAGTTTACGTACATGAAAAGTTGGGACGAAAATTGACTGTTCCGGCCTTAGACTGGCTGTTAGGGTGTTTTTTGCGCAACTTATCAGATAATGATTATCAGATAAGATTAGACATTTGTGCGCCGACAAAGAATCCACAACGACAACGCATGGCCAGAATCACGCATTGACGCCCCCCGGGGTTGCCTGCTTCTCGCGAACATCGTCCAGAGAAACTTAGAGAACTCCACTAGATGATCCCATCCCCTCTCAGCTCACCTGCCGGTTGAAGATGGGCCACCATGTCGCGGTGATGCCCGGCCTTCCAGCCTTCCACTGTCGCGCGAGCATGGTCCGTTCCCGCACGAGCGGAAAATTGAGGAAGCCGCTGAAAGCCAGGAGCATCGATCGTGTCAGTTGCCCGACACAATGCATGATCGCGACGAAAGTTCTTCAAACTCTGATGTACAAGGCACTCGCTAAAACGTAAGGGTCTGGCCATGTTCGTTCTTGGATGGAGTCATTACTTCCGCGGTCAAACGAGACCACAAACGAAAATGCACCACAAGGCTCGCTGTCTCTGAAATAAGCGTGTCGAGCATATGGGAATTAACTCGGTCAAGCTCATAGAAAGTTGTGATACTACCTCTCCTGGACAGGCCGATAGCAACTCCCAGCCTTGGGTAAGGTAGTAAACCTCACGAATGCAAAGTATCGCTCTGGATAACCCCTTTGGGTAGACTATACTATGTCGATCAACGCTAGTTAGTGCAGCAGCAAGGCCAGCAGCTTCGAATTCTAACAGCGACGATATCTTTCCGGTATCGGTGTTACTACTACTCCATTCATGCGGTGGGATTTCCTCAGAACTTGCAGCCGTAGTTTTCAAAAGCATAATAATGCAGCAGGAAATGCTATCTCTAATCAAGTCTCATTCGCAGAAAAGCCCCAGGCACATGCATACTGGGCCACCCGGCTAACCGAAAGCTTGAAGCTTATACCTAGGTAGCTCCTGGCGATTCGTGAAATGCTTCCCAATCACACCACTGGAAAAGTCTATGATGGTGCTTGCAGAGCCATAGCGTTTCTCAATCGGCTCTGCGCTGATCTGGAAGAAGCTCGAGTATCGGCAAGCATGTCTGTCAGGCCTGGGTAGGCACCCGGGGCAGATTTTGCATTGATCAAACCCGCCACAAAGGTTGAGTTTATATCATCTGGTAATCCATGCATGTCTACTCGAAGGGTTCTCTCTACCATTCTGTTGACCTATCTTCTCATACCATTGCCAGCTTGACCCATACCGACGTTCGAAATGAGATTGTCAGCATTCCTGCTGGTCCTCTCGGGCCTCTCTGGCCTGACCGTTGCATGGGATGATCCCAGTGGCTGTGTTGAAGGCATCAGAACGGTTCTGGCGGAAGTTACTTTCAATGCCAGTGATCCCGCAGATTACTGGACGAATTTGTGCGCTACAGATATGATTGTGAGGTCGTTGTGGGTTGCCGCAAAGCTATACGTACGTGTGCACTACCATCAATCTATTCTTATCATCTGGAATATGTCCAAGGTCATATATGCCAGTCGAAGTGGTTTTCTGATATGTTACAGTGTACTCCTTTCGAGATCAAGGCCGGCGGACGAACTTTTGGAGGGTATTGCGAGGAGTACGGCTCTGTCGAATTGACGCCGTACTCTAAAGTGCGCCCGGAGCTCACGGACGAGTATATAAACTCCCTTCCTCTTGTCGGATACAGTGACATTGAGGCTCATACAATTTGGAATACATCTATTCGACTGTCAGAAGAAGTTGTCATGTCTGGTGTCCATACTTATGTATGAGTTTTCGCAATCACGATTTACTTGGTAGCTGTTGGTTAATGAACAATAGGTTTACTTCGAATATGAATACATTCTTCATGAAAGATACGGGTGCGACTCTCTCTACCTAATCCCTTACATGAAGGATGGCTTTACTGACTCGTCTGTCTAGCTGGGCCTTGTATGGATTCTGGGGAGGACTTCTCCTTGTTGGAATCATCAACCGCCTCATCACACATTTCAGCCAGTCCCGTCGTGCCAACACCTCGGCTGATCTTGAGGGTGGTCAACAAGTCTCAAAAGCTTCGAAGCCTATTGCTGTTGTCAGCTCGATCTACCACTGGTTCAGAGCAAACTTCATTATCCCTGCGACATTCGGATCGCACCACAGTCGGCCGGTATTGTGGTCGACCATCCCTACACGTCTCGAGACGTTGGTCGTCGTATTATTCTACATCTTGACATTTATCATGTGTTGTGTGAGCTACTATATCATCTATCCAAATTTCTAGTGAGTTTCTACTCCCGCTGTCCTACCTTGATCTCCACTGACCATATCTCAGCTACACGAAAGCACAGCAAGCCTGGCGGTATATCGCTGATCGCACCGGCATTATGTCTTATGCCTGTCTACCCTGGCTGTTCATGTTTTCTGGCAGAAACAACGTCTTCTTGTGGCTCACTGGTTGGAGTTTCGGGACCTTCAACATTTTCCATCGCCACATTTCCCGTGCTGCCACTATTTTAGCGATCGTGCACTCAATAAATTATTCTGTCTTGGAGGCTGGATGTAAGTGCACCCGGGAAGACCATGTTGTATCGGAAGACTAGCATTAACAACGATATCTCAGTTGATTATTACACCGAGTCATGGAAAGAGCAATACTGGTATATGGGGAACATGGTAAGCCCATTCCGACAGACTTGGACCATGAAGAGCCGCGTTGACCTGAGAACAGGCTACTATTGCAATGAGTTTGATCTTATTGTTCTCCATGATGTGGTTCCGTGTCAAATCCTATGAAGTGTTTCTCCTGATTCACATTGCGCTCTCTGTGGTCACACTGGTTGGCCTGTTCTAGTAAGCGTGCCCGTCCGTGCCCAGGAGCAGATGCTGACGGACGTCCAATAGCCACACAAAGATCTTTGATGGCGAATACAATGGTTATCTCTGGCCTCCAGTGGCAATATGGTGCTTCGACCGAGCAGCTCGTATTGTCCGGTGGATGTACTGTAATATCCATGTGAGGTCAAATTCCGTCCTAGCGACCAAGGCTTTGGCGACCTACAATAAGGATGGCGACTTTGTCAGGCTCGAAATTGTCCCTGGTTCTGATTTCTTGAAACCAGGGCCGGGTCAGCACTATTATCTCTATCAACCGCTCAAGTGGAAGGGCTGGGAGAACCACCCTTTCACCTTGGCAGCGTATGAGACCATCGGAAGGGCTGGTGCAGCGGCCGAGGTGGAAACGAATGTCACTAAGGAGGCTATCGAGAAAGAAATCCAAGCTCACCCCGAGAGCTCGGGCTCGGACACTCCTACCCGGAGCATTTCAGTTCGGTCACAGCATGACGTTACTGCTTTCCCTGATGCCGTGGGTCGGCAGAAGCTCACTTTCATTGTACGTCCGTTCGGTAGTTGGACAAGGAGACTGAAAGAGGAATGCCTCAAGTCACCTGACGGGGTGATCGCGCCCAAAATCTTCATCGAAGGTCCTTATGGCGAACGAAGCCCGCTCCTCTCATTTGAGACTGTCGTCTTCATCGTCGGAGGCAGTGGTATCGCTGGAGCACTGCCCTATATGCAGCAACATATCAAAGCCAAAGAACAGGGTGGTGAAGATGCAGGCGACGGCAAGAAGCTGACCACCATCACAAGAGACATACATTTCATCTGGACCACCAGGCAATCCACCATGATCCGTGATGTGGCGGCACGCGAGCTGCAGCCTATGCTCGGACGCGATGACGTTCACTTTCACCTACATGCCACATCCGGGAAGGAGGCCATCCATGGCAGTGATTCGGACAGCCAGGCCAGTGCTGTGGTTGAGACTAGAAAGCTGGCTCCTGTGATAAGCGCCCGTGAGAAAATCAATATCACATATGGCCGCCCTGATATCAAGGCTTCCATTTCCGAAATCATCGAAGAGGTCAATGATGCCGGTTCAAAGGGTGGCAGAATAGCCATCCTCACATGCGGACCGGCAGCTATGGCGGACGATGCCAGGGCTGCGGTGCATGCCGCTCTGAAGCAGGGCAAGAGAGGTGTCGAATATTTTGAGGAGACGTTCGGGTGAGTTCTTTTCCTGCTTGGCTTTGTTCATGAACCGATGCTAACGGCTGCAGATGGTGAAAGAGATGACAATAGACCGGAAATCAGTCGTACTCGTACTCGTACTCGTTTTGGATGATAGATTCAAGTCGGAACGGATTATCTGCTCGGAAGAGAAGAGGCTCCAGATGGCAGGCCAATCATGTGTAGAGTCTGAGACTCAAAATAGACATCCAATCAACGCGTTCTCTACGCGCCTGCGCTCAACTTCATCTCGTCCGTCTCTTTCTCTGCATCTTCGCTTCTCGTCCCTCGATTGGTTTTCGTTTCGCCAATGACTGCTGATGCCGCCATTTCAGATGTGATGGATCTGGACGACTTGCATTTCCTGCTATCATTAGCCTCTAGACGCCAGCCAAGGTACCTCTTCTCCCATTCCATGCCGATTGGACGCAGGCCCTGGAGACGGGGCATCCCTCCTTCGGCAACGCTGAATTGGATTCCCCTCAACATGCTCTTTACTGACCCTCTTCTTACAATGTCCTTTTCCTTGTTCTCATTCTTGTTGCTGTGTCCATCCTCATTTTCTATTCTCTGCTCGGCTGGTCCACCGTTCAATATTGCTGTTTTGTTGCTGTTTTTATCGTGTTTCTTTCTGCTATCGCCTCTGGCAGCTGGTCTGCCACCTTCGGCGGTTTCTCTCCCAGCCTGATACTCGTGAGCTGGGACGGGACGCAATAGACCAGCCTTGCACCATGGCTTCTACACAAGGCTTTTCGCTCTTTCCGACGACCGTGCCCAAGATCGCCATACCGAACCCGCACAAGAAGAACCCAAGCTTGCATCGAATCAGCATTGTCGCTTCTCCAGAAAGTACCGTCTCAAATGCTGAGTCGGTGGTGATCAAGATGGAGCATGAACAACCTCCCTTGCCTGAACTTCCGCCGCACCTGAACGAGCGAAGAGATTCGTCTCCATCGCCGGAAGACATTGGACGGGCAATTACCACCAGCTCTCCTATTGACGGCAAAACCCCGACTCAGCCGTTTACTGCTTCGACGAGTCTGGCCCAATATACACCTTCCTTGTATCAATCCCCCGAAATGGGCCACGCATCGCCGCAGGCGTCCTTTTCTGTAGGCACAGGATCATCAACGACACTCGTCCAGGTGCAGACACAGCCTCAGCCTCCAAAAACGCCCCAGACGGAGACACAGACAGCTGTTTCAATCAGGCCTCCAATCGATCCTTCGCCAATCGTCCCTATCAGGTCCATGTTCCCTACCTACAACCCATCTGTGCCTTTAAAGAAACAGCCGTACGCCCCTCAACGCCCGCTTCCAGCTCATCTGTCAGCTATCACCCCTTTTGGTGCCCTCTCTCGGGATGACTATCGAAGCAGTCTTTCTCTCCCATTCGCAGCTTCGACGCACAGATCAGCGCCACCAAGCATTGTCAATTTCCCCTCGGACGTAATGAGTGTGAATTACGGACCTCGTATCTCAACGCAACGTGACCTTGAGAAGTTGTGGGAAGCATCACATGGAACGGAACCAGATGCCGCCATTAGATCCTTTACACTTGAAATGGCTCGGTATGTCGCGCTATTGCCTAGATGTATGATGCAAACAATGCTGACGCTTGCGCAGAACAGAGGAGGCCACATTTGTTTTTGGCTCTCACGCCTCTTTACCGTTCTACACCCTTCAAACATACGATACGAACGAGATTGCCGTAACCAAAACCTGTCCACGGAAAGCCACCTCTACGCGAGATGTGGTTTTGTGTCCCTTGGAACCACCTTCCCGGCGTCAACCACCCAACGATGGCCTCGTGGCCTTTATCTTTCCCAAACTCGCTGCTATGCTTGCAATCAATCAATCTGCATCCCTAGCCCGCGAACACAATCTTGCCCCAACGGACCGTGACGACATCGAGGCTCAAGCGGTTCGTCGAGCTGCAAAACAAGAGGCGTGCTCTTTGCGTTTCAATGCTCGTAGTGGCTTCTACGAACTAGAACACCCTGCCATCGGCCGCGGCTCAATGGGCGGTGACTTTGCAGCAGCCGATACCCCGACTCCCGCTTCCCCAACCACTGTCCGCAGTATGAGCGGCAAGCCTGTCCTGCATATTACGGTGTCTCTCGAAAGTTCTCTCCCGACTATATATGTCGTGGACCCAAGTGGTGCGCAGCGTGCTAGGCTCGGGACCCCGCTAGCCTCTGCAAGTACTGGGATCAGAAGACTTTCCAACATGCCTCAGGTAGACTCCAATGCGGCGGTGACTGCGAGTTCAGAGACGCCTCCTCTGGCAACCCTTGATCTTACCGCACAGACGCTGTTCATTGACGCAAACGCCATTCTCGAACTGATGCCCTCGTTGTTCAGCATAGACAGCGTCATTAGCGCGCTCCTTGCAGTTGCAGTGGGCGACTCCACCGTCAATCCAGCTATGGGCGGCATGGAAATATGGAAGCCCCGCCCGGCTCCTGCATCACGACTTGGACCGAGCAACAGAAGCCACAGCATGCGCACTACACGAGCTGGTAGTGTCAAAAGTTACGCAGGAAGCACATTCTATGCTACAATTGCCGAGCGCGAGGAGGCCGAGGAAGAAGCAAAGCTCATGCGCAAAGAACATGAGAACGATGTTCGAGGGAGCCGATCAGCGCCAAAGGGGCGATCATGGTTTGGCCGAACGCCTGGGGATGTTGACCACGATGACGAAGCCGACGCTGATGAAAAGAGGACAACTGGAAAGAGTAGAAAAGGGAAAAGGCACAACGACAAGAAAAAGGTCACAATGGCAGAGTTTGATCTCGAGAAACTAGGCCACTATCAATCTGGAGACCGCAAAGGCGAGGAATTGCCTGTGCTTACGCGTTCTGCCCTGAGTTTTCTCATAACGGGCCTCAAGCTGCTGGTATGGGTTTTGACGACGATTGTTCAGCTACTTGCGTGGGTCCTGGTCAATGTCTCGAGGGCGGTCACGAGTGAGAAGTTTTAAGTCTGAAGGGAATCCGGTGGGATGATATGTATTTTCGTTTCGTCACATTCCTTGCATATAAACATGGAACCTTTTCTGTGAGCACAGTCACCTGCTATCAGGATTTCGATGTCCAAGGATCAAGTTTGGGAGGGGAATGGTAATCGGAGGATTTTATCAGGGGGTCGGTCGGTCGGTCGGTCGGTCGACTCAGAGGACGCCTCAGAGAAAGTCACTGCGCCAGCGCCAGAGAATGGTGATGAAGGTCATGGACGCGTCATTGCAAATAATTCCCCAGATGTCGCCCGTGTCTCGAGGGATATATATAGGTAAATAAGGTATTGTTTTCCCCTATGCTTGCCACGACGGCGAAATGAATAGAACATTGAGGGAGACCCTCGACTGTCCCTGTACATATTCCTTTTGTCTTGAGGTTGATATCGTCCGTGTGCACTTTGAGTATAGATGGACGATTATCCATTTCTCTCTTAGGGTTGATGTTTCGTCTCGATCTTGAGTCTTAAGACTGACGATTCTCGCGGGTAGACAGACCATGACATAAAGTCCAGCATTGTGGCAGGGTAGCAGTCTGACGCTCTCAGTTCTCAAGATTGTGAGAGATGCACTTGACATTTTTCTCTCACAACTTCAAAAACGAAATGGAGGAGGTGTTGGTGTCGTCGTCGTCATTGTTGGTCTCTCCGTGTTCAGTTCGTCCTGCTTCTGCGCGGGCACGATACTTCTTCCATGCCTGGGGCCATATGCCTTGTTTACCTGGCGATAGAATGCCGTTTGGATCCAGGTTGTTCTGTAGAGAGGAAGTAAGTAGGGGGAAGTAAGCAAGTAAAAGTGTTAACGAAGTAAGTGTGCCATATCCCATACAAGTTAACGACGTAGAGTCATCCAGATAGCCCGACCCATCCAAGCATAGATCGAGCCTGGTCAGGGGCAGATCAGGTGGAATGTGACCGAGAGATCTCAGATACCTACCCAGAGTCCACCACGACAAAAACCCAAAAACGAAAGGGCGGAAAGTGAACGATGAAAAGCGAAACAAAACAAGTAAAGAAACAACCCCCAAAGAGGAGACATACCTTGAGAGTTTCCACGAATCTCTTGTACGCGTGATTATTAAAGTCGAACACATTTTGACATAGATCTGTGTGTGAGAGAGGGAAAAAGAGAGTTAGTGAGTGAGTGAGACAGTGAGCAGGTGTAAGCATGTCAAGTCAGCCAGAATATGAGATGGAGATGTTGAAGAACAAGAAGAAGAAAAGGGAGATGAGGGAGGGAGGGATAAATATCCGTAATCATACCCATATTGTCCAAGTGAGATCTGTAATTCGTCAAGTGATACTTCTCCGCAGCCTTCGCCAGATCCCTCCACATTGCGGGTAGACTCGCGCGGTGCGTCGCGCTCGAACTGTCGTAGAACATCATCTGGATGGTGAAGGAGTGTTTCTTGAACACGCGGCCGCCCAGGATGGCATTGAAACCATGCGAGACCATGATCTTGCGCGCCTCTGTGAACCACTGCAGGATGAAGGCGCCGTCGTTGGGCATCAGTGGCACAAAGTCCGTGTGTGCGCCGTGGCCATGCCCGTCACGCGGAAGGGCGAAGTTGATCATACTCGAGCGCGACGTGCCGACGACACCGACCGGTTCGCCGCGGCCGTGCTCGGCGATCTTGCGGGCCTCGAGGACGGCGTCACCGCCACCGCCACTACCGTTGGAAATCCCGCCGTCGCTGTCGGTGGAGGGTTCGAACAACCGACTCGTGAGACGCATGGAAGGGCAGTACTGTTCCAACACCTCGCGGCATCGCTCGAGACGCGCGAGGATCATGGCTTTCGTGCCGTAAAAGTCGAAGATGGCCGTCCAGGCGCCTAACGAGTTCTTGACGCGGAGCGTCTCGATCACGTCCTCCGGGATGGGCCCATCGCCCTCGTAGAGTTCTGCCGCAGTGTTGAAGATGGACAGGTGGCCTACCACGTCGCCTATGAGCGGGTTGCTCTGCAGGATGTCCTCGCGGTGCAGAGCGCCCAGGGCGTCCACGAGCGGTGCAATGTCCGCGAACGCGTCCACTTCGACTTTGACGGACATGTAGGCCTGCGGGCGCGGCTGGAGCCAGAGACTCATCTTGGTCACGATGCCGAGGTTGCTCTGCAGGAACAGTCCCTCGATCGAGGGGCCGAAACTGTTCTTGCAGAGGTGTGCCGTCGGCGCATCCGTCGCTGCCCATTGTCCGGTCCGGACCACGTCGCCGTTGGGGAGGACAACTTCGAGGCCGCTGATGTTGTGCCAGTGGTCGCCGAGCGCATTGTAGCCAATGCCTCGATCGAGGGCCTAGGGGTGTCAGCATTTTGACCATTTTGAATACGTTGAATGTGAGCTGACACTGTCGGAACCAGATCACGTATGGGAAGAGGGAAGAGGGAAGAGGGAAGAGGGAAGAGGGAAGAGGGAAGACTAGTACGATCCAGAGAGGAATGCGGCATACATTACCGATTACACTGCCCCATCCTATTGACGGTACATTCGGCCACACGGATCGTTTATTTTCAAGACAGTATTCTGACAGGTCGCGAAACGTGACCCCGGGCTCGATGACGGCATAAGCACCGCGCTCGTTGACTTCGAGAATCGAACTCATACGGTGTAGTGAGAGAACGATCGAGCCATTTATTTGAGGTGCTGGACCACCGTAGCCCAGATTCTTGCCGCGTGAGCACACCCAGATTGGGATTTTGTGGGTGTTGACTAATTTCAGAATCTGCTGTATCTCGGCGACCTTGCTTGGACTGATAGTTTTGGCTTGCGTTAGATTGAGACACCCCCAGACGAGGAGTAGGCGAGAATCGAACGTACCATACTGCGGCAGAGGGGACGTGTGAGGAAGTGACAGAGAACGGGTCGATGAAACTGACGAGGTTGTCTCCCGTTATCACGTTCTCATCCTCGCAAATGTGTCTTAGCTGATTGAGGACTTCATGAAACGTCTCCTTGGATGTACTTGGTGGGAGAACCTCTGGAGGACCAGTGCGACCAATGACGAAGAAAGCGTCGTGGGCTTCTTGTTGCAGGGGGTCAAAGTATTGCTTCATCTTGGGTGTTACGCGTGTCAAGAACCTTGGCTTACTATCTTCCTCTTTATGCGAGATGCTAAGTATGTCTCTGAATTGTGACCGAAATGTATTTTCATCTCCCCATATGAGAAGGAATTGAAAGTGGTGCCCAGTATCCGACGCAGAACGCTTGTTTGGGAAATCTGGGGTAACCCCACTCATCCACCACATACGCCGTACTCGGGGGGTCTGAGTTGGCTACTGGCCTGTTGATCAGGATATGTGATGCTTGTTTCGCCTGCCGAGGGATCGTTATGGTCTCCGAATTGAGGGTCTGATGCGTTCTTTTGCGGCCTCTTATTTTGTTGGCTAATTAGTCGACGTAGGAGCCATGTGTTATGCATGGTTCATTCGATAACCACATCTCCAGAAATACCGTAGACGTAGCTTGGGTAGAATAAAACACCAAGTTCTGGATATTTTGCCAAGATCTCGATTAATCTCCTGGTTGTTCTCGGTTGAAGCCGACCGTTTGCTCGTTCTTCTCGCTGGCGTCGTTTCTCGACCTCCTTTCGTCTCCAAGAACAGCCTTTGAAGTATACCAGCAATAACAATGAGAATATACACACATCAGTATTGCTGCCGCTAGAGTACCTGACCACCCCGTACCAATGGCATTGATCAGCGGAGTCGCAAATGAAGGGACCCCAGCACCTAGTAGACAGTGAACAAGGTTGCTAGATGCCATTGCAGTCAGAGAGCTCGGGAAATACAGATCAACAATAAACATGTTCGGAGAGCTAAAGCCCTCACGATAATAAAGGAGAACAGGACAACTAGTGGTCCTGCGAGGATAGTCTTGTGCTCCATGACCCAGCGATATACCAACTTCGTGACCTAGGCCATAACGATTGCAAGACATACCTGACGATGTGACCTTTAGATGGGAAATTTATCAATGTCTCATTGCCTGTTCTTGACAATGGTCACTCCTTCCATATTCACGATGCGTGTGAATTTTTGTTCTAAGAAGATTTCCAATGACCATCGTGAGGTGAGACTTACGATTTCTAGTATAGGCCGATTTTGAGTGCGGTGAGACCATACCGCTCTGTCAGCTGAGAACAGAAATATGCTGAGGACCAGATATTGTTCCGCGCAAACGAGTCCGCCGTAGATAATAGTGATGGCAGATTCTGTGCGTGTTGGTACCTTGTTGTTGATTGCAAGTACACCATTAGATTATGCTGTCGTGCCGCTTTTGTCTCGACCCTCTTGCGTTGGAGGTGACATCAAAGCGGCAACCATCACAATGACTTCACTTGTACCACTTCGAATGTCGTGGAACCATGGCTGGACAACAGAGATCATCAAAAGGATGCATTAAACGTCTAGCAATCGATGAGAACCTGCGTCTTCAATGCACATACCGGCAGTTCTCAGATATCTCGGATACCTCTATCGTTGTTGAGCCATGCTCAAACATTAACGTCGTAACAGATACAAAGATTGCACTGTGAGGACAAGCGAAAGAAAGAAATGTCTTCCCATCATCACCATCATGACCATGGTCACAGCCATGGCGACAGCGGTGGGCATGGCCACGAACATGGTCACGACCACTCACACGATCTGGAGCCAGCGCTTCAATCTAACCTCTACAAACAAATAAACTTCGAAAGCATCATCACTTTCAACGAGGCCGAACCGCGTTCTGGTGCCGCCATCGTCCAAAAGACCTGGGACGAACGTTTGAACGAACAGCCTATTCTTGAAAGCGACGCGGACGAGCAACTCCTCATGCACGTCCCATTCTCCGGCTCCTGTAAACTGTATTCCATCCTCATCCGCACCTCCGATTCTGACTCGGCACCAATGACGCTGAAACTCTTCCGGAACCGCGACGACATGGATTTCAGCATGGCCGCCGATCTGACCCCGACTCAAAAGTTGACCCTTCCAAAAACAAACGATGTCGCTGAGATTCCTTTGAACCGGGCTCTCTGGAACGGCACGACCTCCATCAACCTCTTCTTTGAAGACAACCACTCCGGTGGCGACGAGGATGTCACTAGGGTAGCCTACCTCGGCTTCAAGGGCGACTTTATGGCTCTCAACCGCGAACCCGTCAGCGTCTTGTACGAAGCGGCGGCTAACCCACAGGATCATAAATTGATCCAGGGATTGACCAACGTCAATCAGTCCATGCCAGGACAGTAGCGGTCCCCAGCAGTACTAATGCCAGGTGAAGGAGCCAATCACTGCCCCTCGGAAGGGCGATGGCGATATTTATCAATTGTGATGAACCAAGTGCAGGCGGGTTGCGGTGGGCATAAGCCTGCTTCGAAATTCCTCCTCTTCTTCATGCCGGCGGAGTCCATAGAACAAGGAGTAAAGAACCCCAGTGTAGTTGTGGCGTCAAATTGTCCGTATTTCATGCCGCCTCGAGCGCAATTCGTCTCTGCTTTGCCCGTTCTTTCTGCTTCTGCAACCTTTCCAGTTCCGTTTGCGGCGCATCAGGCAGGCTTCCTTCTCCCAGGACGGTCTTGTTGGGCGCATCAGGCAAGGCGCTCACGCCCGTGATTTCTCTCTCCATAGCCTCGAGTTCATCCTCGACTTCGTCTTCGTCCTCATTCGACATCTGCCCGGCCAACGCCTCGCTGATCTCTTCTTGATACCGGCGTGCCTCTTCTGTGTCGGCCATCATCTTCTCCACGCCCTCGAGGCCGCCCATCTCCTTGTGTATCATGTTCAGCACCTGCGTGCCTTGTTGAAGGCCGAACAAAACGTCTTTCTGGACGAGTGCGAATTCGACGCTGCTGGTCAATTTCTCGAGCTGCTCGAGTTGCGCGTCTGTCTTGGACAGGAGGGATTCTTGGTACTTCTTACGCCGCAGCGCGAGGAGGGCTTTGGACTTATCGCCCCTGGCCAGGCATTCTCGGGCGATTTCGGTCTCGCGGTTCGTTATCACGGTGATCCGTTTCTGATATTGACGCAGTTTGTCACGTTGGTTTTTCATGTCCAGGATGGCCCTGCGGAAGTCTTCAGCACAGGCAACTTGTCCCTGAGGTGCAGCACGATAACTGGAGCTCAGAGGAGGGTAGGGAACATACCTATCCTGCGCGGAAATCTTGTGCGCACTCTGAGAATTTCCCATCTTTGCTGCATGTTCCTGAGGAGGTACCTCTGATTATGAGAGCGATCAACAGTCTGGAAATGAAAATGATAATGTGTTATCGCGTGCCTCGGACAGTGACGTTACCGGTGCCCGGAGCTGTAACCCCCAACTTCCCACATAGATGCCTATCGTGGCCTAGTTTCGCCGCCCGTGAGTTAAGCATCTTTGGCTATTGGGGGTTGTGAGAACTAAATACCTGACTCGGCACAATGCAGCCTTCTACAATAATCTCTGCCGATACTTCTCAACATCTACCTGATGATAGCATCTCTATGGCATGGCACGTCTAAGCTGACAGCCTTCACCAGGTAAGGAAAATAGGATATCGCCTGTGCCTCTGACTCCCAATCACAAATGACCCATGGAGTAACACGGATAAATCAAGCAAACAACATCACCAGACCACTGTACTACTCGACATCCTTGCATGAGACAAACAGAGGGCATACAGACCTAGGAGCGCACTGGCTAAGGACACATAATGGCTGTTGGATGGACAAACCCCAAGGGCAAATCCGCCTACTGCGCCAGTCTTGATCACCATATCATTGTCCCAACTATGTGCACTTCCCAGGTAGCCACTGTCTCTCTTGGAGAGCTATCTGGATGGTAAGAGTGTGCTCGGCGAGTGTTGTCCTACCCCCAATTACAAGCCTCAGCACATCCATAGGTCAGGCGTTGTCGCTTTTGTTTCTTTGTCCATCAATTTGTCTTGATGCTGGTCAATCTGTCTGATTGATTCCATTGCATCTTGGCAGGTTGTTTGTTTACGAAAGGCATTCTCAAACGAAGTCTTCTGGGGGCAAGAGTCATAAGGACATCCCTCCACAGGTATTTCAAGGAATCAACATCTTCCACAACGGCAACCAGTTACACCAGGGTACAACGAGACTATCAACAATCTCCGCCCACACCAAGGTCTAGCCGAACAGGTTGACAATGGACGTCTTCGATCAATTCTTCAGAGGTCGGAGGGTCACGATAGAACGAAATGGGCGATATGATCCGGCCAGATTGTTCTACGGTCCTCGGGTTCGCCTTGCTGCACTTGCCATTCCAGATCGACGTGGACGGCCTCCCCGGCCTCCTCCGCCTCGACGGCCCATCATGTACGACGACTATGATACAGATTATGGCTACGATTCTGATTCTGAGCAAGTTGGAACAATCCGCGTTAATCCATTCTCCAGCGCCACTGACAGATAATCCACAGGTTTTCCGACCCCGGTTCTGACTATGACTATGGCCGTCCACGAGGCCGTCCTCGACGACCATGCAATTGTCGATACTGCCGTCCATTGCGACCTTCTTACCGCTCTCGCGTCACTTTGAACAATTTCATTTCAATCCTGTGAGACGACGTTGTGGGCTACGTAGAAGATTCAGCAATCGATTGCTCTCGCCATACAGGACCAGGACAGAAGCGCGTGCGGAAGAATAGGAGGAAGTTCGAATATCTGCATGGATAGCGGGAGGAGATATTCACGGTCGCTCTGGACGGGATATCGTGCTGTTGTCCAAAGAGTTATTCTCGCCTTCGTGTTTTGTGGACTCAGAACTTGGAAGTGGAAAATGAGGAAACGACAAACTTCTGGTTAGGGGACAATTACATGTGCTGCTACCAGATCATCCCATAGTTACCTACCTACCTAAGCAGAAAAGAAGTCTATCTTGATGTATCTGGCACTCGTCTAAGTACCTACTGGAAGGCCTACCTTATTATCTTCAACAGGAACACCTTCCTCATCCAGCCTTCACAGTCGTCTTTCGGTCCAGCATCCACCGACACATCTTTGGGCTATTGTACGCCGCGGTCTACTGTAGCTATTGTGCATCAAGTCCAGGTAGCTCGGAACCTTGATACCCCTCGTATTTGCCTTTGCGCGTATCTTTCCATTCGTCAGTCATTTGATTTCGCGCCGTTGTTGCCAAGAACCATTGACAAGGAAAACTAAAAGAAGAGCCAACCTTTTGATCAATGTGATATTACATCTATGGAGATGAGGACAGGTCAGCCAAAAAAAAAAAGGAAAAAAGAAAACGACACCAACAGGACTTGAACCTGTGCGGGCGAACCCTATCACGTGTTAATTGAGGTTGATGTCAGGGTTTCTGGGTGATAACCTACCATGTGATATCGAAACTCAAGAACTTCGGAGGGAGTTCAATAGTTCTAGTCACACGCTGTGGTAATTGTCAGAATATGGAAAAGCTGTTTCCGAAGGTGGGAATCGCTTACCCTTAACCACTCGGCCATAGTGTCGAGAAATGACGCCTATTAGAGACGATTTGTTGAAGGAAAATCGGTGGGTTATATACATAAATCCCAACAAATTGAACAAAAGGCGAGTGTCCTGTTCGGCTGATTTGCCCCACTATTCCGGGCGCATTGGGCGTCGGCTAGTGAAGCAGCTGTCAGTGAATGCGCTACGTTCAAGTACTCCGCACAGATGGCTAGGGAGGCTCAATGAACAACGTTGATTCGACTTTGGACACGTTGGTTGCAGCTGTCACTTCTCATCTATCTTCTCCATACTATTTTGGGCCGGAGTGGTATTTTCCGACGCACCCTTGGCATCCCTGCTCGTAACGACTTCGCTGATAGCCTCTGCAGCATATACTTCGTCCTTCTTGAACCAACGTTTGACAATAAGCGCCATGACTTTCCTTGCATCCCAAATCGGCAGAAGTGTAATCGCTCCGGCGGCGAGGAAGGCGACAATGAAAAGAACCGCAACCCAAGCCCGGAAGAACGGCTTGCTGAAGATATAGTTTGTCGCGTACATCGGTATGGGCCAGAGGAGTGTGAGCACCAGCGTGAGCACAATGCTGACGCCAATGGAGCGGTTTCGGGCCCCGAGCAAGATCCTCTCGTTTTCATCTTCGTGTCGTTTGCGTTCATCCAGAACTGCTTGAGCCTCGGCATCATGCGTTGTGACAACATGGCCGTCCACCGTCACATGTTCGTCGTCACCGCGCTTGATCTGGTCCTTGAACACTTGCCAGTCAAAGTTGTCCGGCTTGATGTAGGTCAGGAGCGGTGTGAGAACAATGGGTCCCGTCAGCGCCATCATATTGCCAGCCACAAGTGGTAAGTTTTGGTTGAGAGTGGTGATGGAAATTTCGCCAAAGTGCGTGTGTGCAGTCAGGAACCATGCCAGAATGGCTGCGGCAGAGCTGGCCAAAGGCGACACGATAACAGCGAGTCTCGACTGCTTTCTCCACATGATGGTGCAGGCCATCGGTATGATCGCGCTGTCGACAAAGATACCGATGGCGGTGATCAAGAAGCTGACGCTGAAGCCACCGTGGTTGAAGGCAATCGCGACCGCGGCCGCTACAATGGCGAAGCCGACCGTGACACAATGAGAGAAAAACAGCAGCTGCTTTCCGCTGGCCTTTGGATTGATATATGCTTGGTAGACATTGTAAGTCAGGAGGGCTGTGGTGGCGACAGTCTCGGACGACATGGCACTTGTCACAGCCATGAATACCATGAGCAGGATCGCGATGACACCACCTTTGCCGTTGACTGCTAACGCTGCGTAAGGCATTGCCATACCTGAAGAGATCTCGTACGCGTTCATGCGGTTGGGGTAGGTAGGGAAACTGGGCAAGTGCTCCGTCGCCGCGGCGGTGAGACCATAAGTGCTAGCCAGGACAAATGGAATGGTGAACCACGACAAGCCACCGATGATGTAGCCTTTCGAGGTACTGCGTGGGTCGGCAGCGATGGCTTTCTGGAACAGTTGGCTATCAACAGCGGCGGCGAAGCCTGCACCGATGAAAACGAGACCGATGTAGCCACCGCCATCTGAACCCATGGTCAAATATTCTCCATGGGCATTGCCTTCGATAGGATGCAGCCGTCCGGCTTCTTTGAGAAGTTCCCACATTCGGTCGGGTGATCCGACAACGTCGGCGGTGACATAGATCCGGAAGAGTGAGTACAACATGATCAAGTAAATAATCACGGTATGTACCTAGGGGATCAGGTCAGTACTTCTCCTTGGAATGGTCTTCCAATCCAGCATTGTGCGATAAGGTGACAACGAGGCTGGAGTTCTCAGATCGTGAGGAAGAATACTCACCCAGTCAGTGATGAAGGTGGCTTTAATCCCACCAGCGAGCGTATAGATCACTGTGCAACGTCAGCGAGATCATCAAGAGCGGCATTATCAACGGTGTGATCCTCCACCAGGCAAGACTTACCCACCCCGATTGGGAAGAGAAAGCAAGAAGCATCGCGATTGACGCCGGTCATGGCAGAGTACGCAGCGGATCCTCCCACCAACAAGTTGACAGTCGTTATCAGCTGATAGACTTGGGAGTAGGCGCAGAATACCAGATGAGCCGCTGTGCCATATCGCACTTTGACGACTTGTAGGAATGTTTGTGCGTTTGGAGCCCCCTTTTTGAGTTCGATGGCCGCTACCGAAAACAGCAGGATTTGAACAGATGCACCTGCAGCATACCAGTATGGACCGGAGATTCCATAGGAATATCCATAGGTCGTGCTTCCGAGAAGCGTGGTCGCGATTGTCCATGAAGACACGACAGCTGAGGCAATAAGACCGGTCTGGACGGAGTGTTTTGCTGTCATAAACATCTCCGAGTCCTGAATCTCGTTCATATATCGACTGAGGAACCATGACAGTGTCGACATGCCAATGGCAAAGGCGGACCCAATGCCGACGAGGAGGCCATACCCAAGTCCTGACGACAAGGGTGCGGCAATCTGAAACCCGCTGCTTTCGGCCATGTTTACTCAGAAGTGGAAGAACAATTTCTTACATTCAGTAGGCGTTGAGAAACATATCCCCGAGCATAAGCACAGAGAGGAGCGACCGTTTGACTTTTGTACATTTTTATGGCCACCAGTGCTATCAGCACCACAAGCGATAAAACCTGAAGCAGACTCGTCCTGCTACTGATAGGCTTTCGACATCTGAACATACCATGTCCACATGAAGTCAGGGATCACTGACCCACAACGAATCCCTGCTTATCACGTCTGGTATCTTGGGAAACATGCACCTGGTGAAGCTATGCTTGCATAGCCGAAGTGATGGGCAGCGAGGTTCAGGGCGGCCCAAGACTCTCCGTCTTGATCGCTCAAGACTAAGCTGGATAGGTTATGTTGCTGACGCTCTCTGAGGATAGATACGGACGAGGCCGTCTCATCATTGCGATAGTCGAAAGTCCTGTGTCTGGAGCTAGACTGTATGAGGAAGGAAGAGTACTGATCAAGGGATCCACCAGCGACGTTATGTTCCATGTACGACTGGGTGGCCATGTCCGAGGATAAAGTTGGCCGATATTCTCCGTGGTGGTGAAGTATTGCTTCTTCTTCTTCATTGGCCACTGTTTGGATATCGCGATAGCATATTTCATTTGATAGGGTTGTTGGTCTTGGAGATCGGCAACCAATTAAGCAACGGACCAGTGGGACTCATTCTGACTCACCACTATGGGTTGGGATGGACATTCAGTGGGAGATGATGCGCCCAGCGCCGTGTCACCAAGGCTTTATGCCAAGGGGCATTGCATGATCAACAGGAACGATCCTCCAACGCTCGCCAATCCTCGGGAATGAAGCCGAGTACCAAGACAACATATCTCCAAGTTTCTAGCGGTTGGACCAACTGCTAAATAGGTAGGAGAGCATATCTGGTAATGTGTGGACGTCTCCGCTCAGGGTGGAACAGTGTCGGCATGTCCCAATATCTAGTCCTTGTTCTTGAAGGGGCCAGTTGACAGGTCTCTACATCCATGCAACACCTACATCACCATGCAATCGCTCAAGGTGTTGTTGATCGCTAACAGGGGCGAGATCGCGTGCCGACTGATCAAATCTGCAAAGTACAGTTCAAAACCGTGTTGTCAAAGATTCCAGACGACTAACCGTGACCAGGCAACTTGGTATCCGAACCATTGCTGTCTACTCTGAGTCTGATGGCGCATCTCAGCACGTGTTACTAGCGGATAAAGCATGCCTGCTTGCTGGCGAAGCGAGGTCGGCCTATATCGATGGGTATGTAAACATCCTGCTAAGCATCTCCATCTGCGTCTAGGCTTAGACTGATGATTTCAATTCAGAGACCAGATTATCAAGCTCGCCATCGAGAATGGAGCTCATGGTATCATTCCTGGGTATGGTTTCCTCTCAGAGAATGCAGATTTCTGTCGTAGCGTCAATGCTGCTGGAATGGTCTTTGTTGGGCCATCTGCAGAAGCTATTGAAGCATTTGGCCTGAAGCATACAGCTCGAGACTTGGCTGTCAAGGCTGGAGTCCCTGTTGTGCCAGGATCCCAAGGGTTGCTGGAGACTGAAGATGCCGCTCTGGATCAGGCTCAAGCTATTGGCTACCCTATCATGCTCAAAGCCACCGCGGGTGGAGGCGGCATGGGATTGATGGTTTGCCTGAATGAGGATGAGTTACGAAAGAACTTTCAAACAGTCAAATCACGCGGCGGCGCCCTCTTCAAAAACTCTGGCGTGTTCCTTGAGCGCTATTACAACGTCAGTCACCACATTGAAGTCCAAGTATTTGGTAATGGGCTCGGAAAGGCGATTAGCGTCGGAGAAAGAGAATGTTCAATTCAAAGACGACATCAGAAAGTTGTCGAAGAATGTCCAAGCCCATACATCACTCAGGTACATCCCGAACTTCGAAAGACACTTACAGAATGTGCAGTTCGACTTGCTGAGAGCATCAAATACGCGTCAGCTGGCACAATCGAGTACCTGGTCGATCATGATAGCGGCGATTTCTTTTTCCTGGAGATGAATACTCGTCTCCAAGTTGAACATGGCATCACAGAGATGTGTTACAATGTCGACTTGGTTGAGCTGATGTTACGACAAGCTGATTGCCAGCTCAGTGGAGTTAGCGGTATTTCTTCACCAGAACTGGAGCAATTTCAGGCACGACTCTTAGAACCAATTGGCCACGCAATTGAGGTCAGACTATATGCCGAAAACCCTGCGCGGAATTTTTCCCCGAGCCCAGGGCTCTTGCAACAAGTCGATTGGTATCAATTGCCGGGTACCAGGATCGACACTTGGATCAGAGCCGGGCAGGCTATAACCCCAGAGTATGACCCTCTCCTCGCAAAAGTGATGCAGCATGCTGGTACTCGTGATCAAGCAATCGAACTCCTGCGTCAGGTCTTGTCCAAGAGCAAGGTCTGTGGTCCCCCGGTAAATCTCGATTTTCTTCTCGATATTGTCAAAGCTCCAGAATTCCAGAAAGGTTTTACAACCACCAAGTTCATTGAGACACATCAGTATAAGCCAGCTGCGATTGATGTCATATCGGGGGGTTCGTATACCTTGATACAGGACTTTCCCGGTCGACCCACTGTCGGTCGAGGGTTTGGGCACTGTGGTCCTATGGACCCTATTGCTTTCCAATCTGCAAACATTCTTGTTGGAAATGAGGTTGGTACAGAAGGGTTGGAGATTACCCTCAGAGGCCCTGAGCTCCTTTTCTTATCGCCAGCCGTTTTCGCTCTGTGCGGGCCAGCAGTATCTGCGAAACTAGATGACAAAGAAATCCCACTTTGGCAAAGGATTTACGTTTCAGCGGGTCAAAAACTTGCCATTGGGTCAATTGACACGGGTTGTCGTGCGTATCTGGCGGTCTTTGGTGGCTTCTCGAATGTCGCAACCTGGTGTGGCAGTAAAGCAACATGCCCGATGGTGCAAGTGGGCGGTTACCAGGGACGTGCACTTCGGCCGGGTGATCTCCTGCACATCGTCAATGAGGAGAAACTTCCAGGACGGACTAAACATTCGCCAGAGCCAGTACCAGAGTTTGTTCGACCACGCTACTCTCACCGATGGGTTATTCAGGCCATGCCCGGACCTTACGAGACAGGGTACATAACAAAGAAGGATATCGATATGCTATATTCTCACACATGGAAAATCAGTCACAATGCTGCCCGAGGCGGTATCAGGCTTATTGGGCCTAGGCCAGAGTACGCAAGAAGTGACGGGGGAGACGGTGGTGCCCATCCAAGCAACGTCATCGAATATGGGTATCCTATCGGAGGTCTTAACTGGACTGGCGATGAACCGGTCATTTTTCCAGTTGACTGCCCCGATTTTGGGGGGTTTATCTGCAGCTTGACAGTGGTCACCAGCGATTGGTGGAAAGTCGGTCAGTTACGCATGGGAGACGAGCTCAGATTCTGCCGGACTAGCCTGGATGCTTCTCTGAAATGTTCGCGATCGAATGCTGAATTCTTGAAGAACGTGGCTAACTTCGCCGAAACCAATTCATGGGGAGACCTAGCCGCGTTTGATAATAGCGAACCCACACCCGAACCTTACCTCGAAGGGGCCGATGTCTTGAAATGCTTGGACGAGTCCCCAAGTCGTCCAAAGGTGACGTATCGAGCTGGAGGTGACAGTTTTGTTCTTGTTGATTATGGGGTTGGGAAGGCCAACCTCAATATGAAATGTCGCGCCACAGCACTCAAGAGAGCGCTCGAAGCTCGCAAAGGCCATTGCACAATACAAAAACACGGAGGCACTATCTTCAATATGGTCGGCTGTGGTAACTCTCTGTGCATCTATTACGACAGTTCGAAACTATCGAGAGTTGAGCTTATGACGACACTCCTGGAGATCGAGGACTCTCTGGGATCGATGGCCGAAGCGAAGCTTCCTAATCGAAGGTTTAAGCTACCTGCGGTCTTCCAGCACAAGAAGCTTGAGGATGCCATTGAACGGTATATGGTCAATCAACGCCCTCGCGCAAGCTACCTGCCGGATCCGTTCAACTTCGTGGCGGAGAACAACGGCATGACTATTGATGAGCTCAAAAAGCTCTTCTTGAGCGTCGAGACGGTCGTTATTGGAGTTGGATTCTTCCTTGCCCTTCCGCAGACGTTGCCGTCAGATCCTCGTCATCGAATCAGTTGCCCGAAGATGAACCCTAGCCGTACGTTTACCCCAGAAGGAACCTTCTCGTGGGGAGGTACTGCGATCTCAATATATGCCACAGACTCACCCGGTGGGTATATGCCCACGGGGATGACTATTCCCGGGGTCGACCTTTTTGGCCACAAGGCAGGCTTCACGCCAGATAGACCATGGCTTTTTGAGGACATGGACGTGATAACGTTCTACGAGGTCACAACTGAAGAGTACGACTCAATGATGCTGCAGTTCAAGGCAGGCTCGTACCAGTTTGAATACGTTGATAGCTTCTTCGACGTCGGTGCTCACAACAGGCTCCTAGCCGAGACTCAGGAAGAGGTCAAGTTGTTGAATGTGAAGAGATCAGAGGCACAAAGTCGAATGATAGCACTTGAAAAGGAGCTACTTGCACAATGGGACGAAGAAAGAAAGGCTGGAATCGTGTCTGTTGATTCGGTAAAGTCTATGCTTGAAGGTAAGAGAACCTGGCGCGGCTGCGCCCCATTGCAAGTTGGCAAAGCTCCCTTATGCTAACATGATACAGACCCTAATGTAGTAGCGATTGAAGCTCCAGTGCAAGCAAACGTCTGGAAAGTGGTAGGGGAGGAAGGACAGCTCCTCCAAGAAGGCCAAAAGATCACTATCCTCGAAGCTATGAAGATGGAAATCGACGTGGTCGTCCCAGACAAGCTCAGCGGCGCCAAACTTGAGCGAATACTCATCAAGCCTGGCGACACAGTGCAAAGTGGGCAACCAATCGCGATAGCAAGGGTCGCGGCCAAGGCATAGCAGGCTCTCTTCTCCCATTAGCTTCATTGCTGAAGACTGAACCTAGCATGGGTATTCTATGACTATTCACAAGCCCCTTTTCTTGTTGAACTCATCTACGATTTCCTTGGTGGCCTTGACAATCTCCACACAGCCAGGAGAGTCAGAGTGACAACAGATGCTGATTGGATAGTCTTTGACTGGGAGATCCACAACCTCGCCCGTCACAGCAGTCACGGTGCTATGCTCTAGCTGCTGACGAACATGCTTCTTCACGTCCTCGGTGAGCCAGGGCTTCTTCTTCCGGTCGACGATCAGAGATCCGTCCGCCCGATACTTGACGTCGCCGTAGTACTCGGCCACGAACTCCAGACCGGCCTCTTCTGCGGCTGTTTCCATATTCGTCCCAGCGAGGCCGAACACGCGGACACCCTTCGGCACGCCGGCCCACACTGCGCGTGCGACGTCGATGTTGCGCACCATCATACCGTACAAGATTCCATGGGGCTTGACGTGGTGCAGCTCGACGCCTTCTCGAGCGAGGAAACCCTGGAGCGCGCCGACTTGATACACGATGTTCGCGGTGTGCTCTTCAGGCGAGAGCGTCATCTCCCTACGCCCGAACCCCTGCACGTCGGGAAGACCTGGATGGGCTCCGATTTTTACGCCGTGTGCTTTGCAGAGCGCTACTGTCTCAGCCATCACCAGGGGGTCTCCTGCGCTGCAGAGAATAGGCCCGGTTTCAGTGTCTTGACATACAACATAAACCATAACACTTTCGATGAATAGAAGTAGGGAGGGAGGGATGGATGGATGGATGAGATACCTACTGGAACCCACATGCGACGTTGGCATGGTCTATCATTGGGAGGAGCTCCTTGTCCGGACCACACACGTAGTTCCCGTATGCTTCTCCCATGTCAACATTGATCAAGGCCTTGTGCTTGGTGGGCGCCATGTTATGAGGCGTGATTGGGAAATAGAGCAATTTAGGCGACTCTTTGCTTTGCTGGTGGTTTCTGCGGTGGTGTTGCTGTGCCGTACTCGTCGGAATGGATTGAGACGTAAATTGGTAATACCAAGTCTGTCGTCTCTGTCACTGGGTGTCATACCAGGGGTGAGGACACAAGCGAGGAAGAAAAGCGAGACAACCCTCGCCGTGACTTGCTATGACTTGGGAGCTTGGAGACACTTGCAGATGATAGCCTAGGAGAAGTTCCGGATGTGTTGAGAGACTCTTCGGCTCTCACCTTGTCCTCACATTTGTACTATCTCTTTACTTGGTCCGACTTCTAGTCTGTACGCTCATACTGAAGCCGTGTCCGGAAAGCCGTGTCCACTTTTTCCAAGACCATAACCCCATCTTTTCAGCGCCGGTTACGTTTTATACATGAAGCTAAATGCGCCATTCTCCGTTGATCGGCCACGGGGTAAACCGTATCAAAATCGCACATCTCGGCCTATCCTTTAGCCTGTACATATGTTTGTTGGCCGATGTCTTACTCCTTATCTGTCTCGTCTTGCCGTGACATTGCCCGTTCGAAGACTAGGAACATGGTAGATGCCAGGTGGTGTGTCTCCAGACTGATCGGCATGACGATGGACATCACCTGCGTCGACAAACAAGTAACTCTCTGCTACTGATGGCGTGATTACAGTCTTGGACTTTCTTGAACCGCAGAACCGCCGTGCAAGACCTCTGTCGCCGCCGCAGTACCCGCCCGTCTACCAAAGACTGCCCCCGAGGTCAGCCCACTGCCCCCAGGGTAATTCTCGTAGAACAAACCCCCCATCATCTCTCCGACGCAGTAAAGACCCGGAATCGGTTTCCCAGATTCGGATATGACTTGAGCAGTTCCCGCGACGGTCGACAAACCACCGAACGTGAATGTAATGCCGCATGTTACCTCGACTGCCATAAATGGACCCTTATCTAGCGGAAGCGCCCAGTTCGTCTTCCCGAGCGGTAGTTTCATGGCCGAGGACTGCGTAGAACAACCGTCCCTGACAGCGGGATCCCACTTCGTCCCTGGGTTCTCCTGCTGAAAAGCATACACGGCCTTGTTGTATGCTTCCATATTGTCAATGAACGCCTGTCGATCCACGAGCCCGCACTCTGCGAGTTTATCGGCCATTTCAGGGATTGTTTCTGCCATGACCCTCCTTACGCGCTCTTCACGATACTCTTCTGCCCGTAGCCAAGAGATGGTTCGTTGGTCCCATAATTGAAACACCTTCTGTCCCGGTTGACCTAGTATGGCACGGCCAAATTTGGCGTAAGTGTAGTTCCGCAGATCCACGCCTTCATCCACAAACCGCTCGCCGTTAATGTTGAACATCAAACCCAACGGGTAGCCTGATTTTGTGAATTCATTGGACGCCACGCGATCTCCAGCATGAGCTGGAGCGTTGGCATCCCATGCCACTGAATGACAACCAGACCAGTTGCCGGCTTGTCGGGCTCTTACGTCTCGCATCGCCATCTCTAGGCAGTCTCCGGTGTTGAAAGGGGTACCGCGAACCTTGGCAAGGTCCCAGCCGGGGCCTAGCAGTTGAGAGCGCATTCGCGGATTGGCTTCGAATCCGCCAGCTGCCAGAATCACTGCACCGGCCTCGATCTTCATGGTCTTGCCGTTCTGCGATACCACAGCTCCCGTGACCGCTCCAGTATCTGGGTCTGTGATAAGATTTTGTAGTGCGGTTGAATAGTGCACCGAAACACCGTGCTTGCGAGCGGCGGCTTTATGATCTTCAATCATACCCTTCCCGCCATCTTCGGTTTTCAGGGCTAGGCCACCCCAGAACTTCAGCCGGCCATCAATCTCGTAAGCCTGTCGGTTGAAGGACAATTGAAAACGAATGCCGTTCTGCCTCAGCCACTTGATGGCAGAGTTGGAGTCTTCGACCAGAATTTTACTCAGTTCAGGATCAGATCTCCCAGCACATATCCTCTTCATGTCGTTTGAAAAGTCTTGGATAGTGTACGGTTCCATGTCGATCTTGGCCGCTGTTGCCTCGTCGACATTGTTGACCAGCGGGAGAAGGTCGTCTTTGCCATGGTGGACCGTTCGGTATGCTCCTGCAGTGAAGTAGGAATTACCACCCGCCCATTCTTCGGGACATTTGTCCACGAGGATTACCTCGTTTGCTCCCGCCTGCTTAGCAGCGACGGCAGCCGAGAACCCAGCATTGCCACTGCCTGCTACCAAAATTTGACAGGATAGCGGCAGGGTCATGATGCTGTATTTTTGATGTTCGAGGCTGTCCTGGTTCAAAGGCTCAGATAGAAGTACCGTCTCGTCACGATTCACTCACCGCGATAAGTGTTGAAGCAGTCAAAGACTCACCCGACATAGACGGCATTTGGCCGGCTCGGGTAGTGAAGGAATCAATGCGGAGAGGAGAGCTCACAAGCCTCGTTCTCCGCATGATAGCGCTGCGCCTGAGGTTTTGAGGAGTTTACCCACTACACTAAACGCAGGCGAGTTGTCAGTAGCAATAAAAGCGGAAATGTAGCTGTCGACGGAGCATCAAAGACAGGGAACCATTGCTTCCTAGATTATTTGTCTACATAAGGCCCCGAATTCAGCTCACTCCTCTTCATCAGAGGGGGTGCCACAAAGAGCAGTCGCATGAACCTGCGGAGAGAATAGATATACAATCGAAAACGTTTTTCAAAATGGCACGAACGATGTCTCAAACGGCAATGCAGTCATTGCGCCTTCTGCCAGAGAAGGAAAAGGAACATGTTGGGAGGCACAATGCATGAGAAGATCGACAAACCTGGTTAGGGGTAAAGGGGCAGATAAGATTAGATTCGCTCTGTGGCTGAGGAGAACGAAGCCACATTCACAGCCACTCAAGGATAAACTGCTAAAAGTGCGGAGTTGGGAATTAAACTCGGTGCAAAGGACACCATCGGGTGAATTACTTGTACGCTCTTTATCTCAGCACCACAGCGCGAGGTAATCTCCTTGTCTCCCTGTGTCTGATCTGAGCGTTGTCTCTGTATTGTTTATTTATTCCGTTCTTGCGTGTTTTCATTACCCTCAGACACGATGCGGTTGGCAGCAATCGCAGCCTTTGCAGGCTTAATAGGGGTATCCCTTGCACACAACATCCAACTAAAGGCGCACACGCGAGAATGCTTTCACGAAGAACTACACAAGGATGACAAGATGACGGTCACTTTCCAAGTGGGTGACCGGGAGTTTGGAGGTTCGGGGAATCTGGACATTGATTTCTACGTGCGTCCATACACCCACGTCTTCTCACCTGCGGAAACCTCGCTCACAGATTGATGTTCGTTTTAGATCACCGACCCAGCTGGCAACTACGAAACCCAGATGACCACGGTCTCTTCTGGCGACTACTCCTTCGACGCCCGCATGGACGGCAGATACATTTACTGCTTCAGCAACGAACATTGGTCTGCCAACAGCAAAGAAGTCTCCTTCAACGTCCATGGAATTGTCTATGTTCCGGAGTCTGATGCGCCTGCTGATCCGTTAGAAAGAGAAGGTAAGTTTACAGCCTGCTCGTCTTTTGTTCCACAGGGCATGATACTGATATGGCTTTTCTGGTGTACAGTGCGCCAGTTATCCGAGCTCCTTGCGCAGGTCAAAGATGAACAAACCTACATTGTTGTCCGAGAACGCACGCACCGAAACACTGCCGAGAGCACAAACGCAAGAGTCAAATGGTGGTCATTATTCCAGCTGGGTGTCTTGATAGGAGAAGGAGTGTTCCAGGTCTGGTGGTTGAAGCGTTTCTTCGAGGTGAATGGCCGTCCTCTTCCATAAATCCTTGCATTTGTTCTCTGCCCAGATCATCTGTGATGACTTTGTGGACGATCATCACGCGCCGGATTGGATCGAGCTGATGGCTGACAATCTTGTTTTCAATAGGTCAAGCGCGTTGTATAATAGCTGTGCATGCAAAACCCCTGTTTGCGGGACCACCTGATGATGATGGCCCTCTGGTTGTGGTCGGCTAGTCCCAGACGGCTCCACGTTCAATGATAACATTGGAACCTATTCACGAGCCCTGACGGCGGCTGGAAATCTCCATGGGCGGCAAATGATCTACGTTTCGTGAGGACAGTCGAACTAAGGGCGCCAAAGGCACGCTACGGTTCAGTGCGAAGATCGTAAGATGTCGAGGCCGATTTATACCAACGAAGCAATTGCAAGTGTCCGGACGAAGCAGGGGTATGTGCGAAGAAATCAGACTCATTCCTCAATACAGTGACAATCTTGACCTCGTGAACCGCCTTTTTACATCGGATTTCGTCGACTCACCCTGTTCCGAGTCCTTGACGCGTTATATATGTCACCACCGGTACCAGCGCCTGCTAAGGTATCCATGTCAAGCGGTCTTGACTGTGTGCCGCCCCAGCACATTCCTCAAAGCTGCAAACAGCTTGTGGCTCATACCAGCAAGCACCCCTCTCAACAAGCTCAAGATGCCAGAAAAGACCACGTAAGGTATACTGACACAGGGATCTGCGGAAAGACCACTAGCCAACCGCCGCATGTTATAGTAAAAGACCTGACCAGCCAGACTAGCACCGATCATCTTCGCTGGGGCCATCTTGGCCATCCACATCCCCCTGACCTCATGTGGCATTGCCAGAGCCTCGTCGTCCGGGATCGCCCTGTTCAGAAGAATATCTCTCGGGAGCGCGGGTTGCAAGACGGCAGTCCGTCCCAGGCCTATCAGGTCGCAGGCGCCGCTTTCGAGAGCGTCGGCCATCCCGTTGCGCGAGCGGAACCCGCCGCTCAACTGTATGGGCACTCTGCTGTGTAATTGCTGTACCTTTTCCGCGAACATGGTGAAGAATGCTTCCCGAATACGCGTGCTTTCTCGCTTTGGCGTTTTGGTGAGGTTGTACTCGCCAAAAGTATTCTGCAGCTCACACGCCGTACTCTCGGCGTTTCCGCCGCTGATCTCGATAAAATCGACCATGCCGCACTCGACGAGCCATCTCACCTGCCCCAGTGCTTCGTCCTGCGTGAGGCCACCTTCGGCCATGTAATCTGCAGAGTTCAACTTGACACCCAGGCAGAACGGCGGCGGACACACGGCGCGAATCTCCTCGATCAGCCGCTGGACAAAACGCAGTCGCCTCTCCGGACTGCCGCCGTACTCGTCTGACCGTCGATTTGTGTGCGGTGACAGGAACTGCGAGATAAGGAAGCCGTGCGCCCCGTGTAGCTGGACACCCGCGAAGCCAGCCATTCGAGCGACACGAGCGGCGCGGACAAAGTTTGCGACTGCTTCGTCGATTTCAGCGTGGTCCATTTCTCTTGGTGTGCCGAGGAGCTTGTCGAGCATGATTCTGTCCAGCCAGCCATCACCCATCTTCACCGGCACGGCCGACGGGCAGGGGGGTTGCATGTCACTCGGTCTGACACCACCTCCTGTTGGACTCATCCGGCCGGGATGCGAAATCTGAACGACACATGGTGTGCCGCCCTGTTGGGCTATTCTAGCCCACTCTTTCCACTTGGACAGCACTGGTTCAGTGAGCGATCCCTGGTGGCAGCACACATCGCCGGGGATCGAGAAGAAGCGCATATCGACTTGGACTTGGCCCGTCAAGATCATCCCGTAGCGAGCGGTGGCCCATAACGAGTACAGCGAGCGGAACTTCTCGACGGGCGGGTCAAAGTGAGGGGCCTCCGCACATGTTTCTTGCATGGGACATTTTACCAGGCGGTTGGGCAGGGTGAGGCCGCAAGGGAGAGTGATGGGTTCATTGACGATGTCGATCGAGGGCTTTTTGGACATTTGAAGCTCTGGACCTGGGATAGACAGCCAGAGTTCACGTGGACTGACTAGGGCCAGGAGAGACGGTTAATTCGGAAGCCAAAATTGACGAGATGGACTGCCCAAAGTGGGAGCAGGCAAGGGGTGACAGAACTGCACAGGTCGAGTGGTTTCAGGACTGCCGGCAGGCTAGCTGGCTGGATCTAGGAAGCAGGCCAGAGTGAGATAGATGGAGATCGAGGGAGGCTACGATGGATCGCTTGCTTTATAACTAAGATTGGCGCCATCTCTGTTCGAGCTGGACGTACCAGCCAGCGAAGAGCTGCTCCTTGTTCCAACAGAGAGGTGTCCTAACACAATGGGCCCCATCCTCAGTTCTTATCACCCCCCTGCCTGTACGGCTGTGTGCTGCATGAGTACGGCAGTCCGTTGTGGTCTGAGCCTCGATCAATACGAGCCCTAGGGCCTGCTTGATGATGGTCTGGTGTCTGTACGGAGAAATGGTGGCCTCCTCGCTTGGGTTGGTTCTTGGGTTGGGTGGTGTCTGCGAGTCGTACGAGGGGCTCTTCCTTAAGCGATCTCGGATTTCCGGTCCGACAACACACGGGCGTTACAGGGGGATACAGTTAGTCGTTGTTCTAGGCCTCACATCGCCTATGTTGGTCGCGGAGATTTTGACATTGGGCACTAACATTGCTGGCAGCTGCAACTGAAATGCCGGGACTTACTGTATCTATGCGAACTGGCATCATACTGGCCACCGTATCCCTCGATTCGAGGCTGTTGACTGGGGTGGACTGAGATGGCTCCGGTGGAAGGCGAGAGATAGCCGGCTGTATCATGCTCAATGAGCGAGTTTTGTCCGTACAAGTATCCCATGGAGAGCAGTCGATGTGGACTCGACGACCGTTGAACCTATTGATGCCCGTGTGTGACCCTCCGTGCATAATACCCTTACTGCTACTCCGTCCTAGTACGAGGACGGGTGATCATCATGCATCAATGGCCAAGATCTACGTATCAGCACTGGTCATCTCACTCGTCTCCCCTCGATTTTCTTGTTTTGCTGGCGTAGATCTTTGAGGCGACATGGTGAAAAGGTATTATTGTTTCCAAAACGAGAGGAAGATCCTTCGAAGGCTCCCGGTTGATAACGCGAGCGATTGAAGACTCTCGAGAAGGGACTAACTTAGTCTAGCTGATCAATGGATCTTGGAGATAAGACTGGGATTTCTGCGTTTAAGCCATCGTCAACCATTAGAATCATCCTTTCTCTTCCCTCATATTCGAGCTCATCTGGGTGGTGAATGGTGGACTCGCTCACCTAACAGGTCTATTTCACGCGCAGGACAATTACCGGTTGAAGCGATAGATAGATGGTCCGCGAAAATCGTCCCCAACGACTAACTCGTAGGCATGAGAACGGAAAAGCGATAGGAACGACGGCCTCATCTTTAACCAGAGGCTGAGCCACCGATGTCCCCCGCAGCTGCCACCATCATCGTGATGCACCCACGAGTATGGAAACCCTGGTGCGCCCAGGTACAACGCGAAATCGGGACCAATAAGTAGTGGAAACAAACCCTTAGTAAGGTACGCAGCGACCCGAACGGCGAGTGCTTGATCATGATCTAAGACGTGCACGGTGCGTTCTCATCTGAAATCTCGAGTCAACAATTCTCACGCAGGCCTTCCAAACATACGTATCTGGACTCTCGCCAGCATTGCTACTCCAGGTACAAATCAGCAGTGGCTAAAGCCAGACCTTTGTTTACTCTAGAGGATTCCAATTCAGTCAAGACTCCCTGGATTGCGCTCCCACCCCGTTTTCGTTTTCGTTTTCGTAACTTGAACAAACGTTGTAGGTACGAATACGAGCCAGAGCGAATAAGGCTCCGCGCGATACGAACAATCAGAAGTTCTCGAACATGGCGGCATCGTGGCTCACCTGTAGCAGGTATTCCACCAGACGCCGAGAAACCAAGGGCAAAACCACCTCTCCACGGGTACACCGCAGTCTTCTCACCCCTCCCCGCCGAAGATGTTTGACACCCCTCCATCGACCCCGGCGGCGGCTACACCAACTTCGGCCACGAGATACGGAGCAGGCCAAGTTGGGCATAGAATACGAGCATCGCTTGCGCACTGTCTCCATCCATCACACAACCGACCCTCGACCCGGTTGGCCACGTCCTTCTCCAAACTTGCCTCTGCCTTCGATGGTCCCCCTTCGCTTTCGGCTTCCATCGAACCTCACGAGTCACGGCCCTCCAAATCAGATGCTTCTTGCGCCGATGGATTTCGGATGGCTAGATATCCGGAGGGGCGAGTGGTGGCAAACCTTCCAGGGTACGGATCAAGTATGTACATCAACGCGACTCTGTCCCTTGCACTCTCTGGCTTTCTACCCTCAACGCCGGGTTCCAAAGGACGGTGATCGTTATTGCGCCTGTGTCGGGGTGACGATCGAGTGTTCATTTAGCTACAATTTGCCTAAAATCCTGGGCAAATAACCGAGGGACAGCGACAAAGATGAAAGTACCGTGGTCCAAGTCGAAAGACGCGCAGAATTCAACCACCTCATCGGATTCTGGCAATCATGAAGACTCTGCGACTACCCGCACCGAAGTTACCACTTCTACCGATATAGTCAACCATGACGAGAGACCTGGCAATTCGGATGCTATCATATCTACTCCGCAAGGTCAGCCAGAGTCGGTGACGGCCCCTGCTGACCCGAAGAACCTTGTCGAGGCAGAGAAGCACGAAGAATTAACTCGTACGGCCACCACGTCGACCGACCCAGGTCAGGCAAGCGAGGGTGATGAATCCAAGTATGCAACCGGTCTACCTCTTCACCTTCTCACGGTCGGTCTTGTGTTATCAACGTTCGTCGTGGCCCTCGACAATACAATCATTGCCACTGCCATTCCGAAGATCACGACCGTTTTCAACTCATTGGACGATGTTGGCTGGTATGGCTCGTCTTATCTCCTGACCACGACATCACTCCAACCGTCCTTCGGGAAGATTTACACCTACTTCAACGTAAAATGGACATATATGCTCGCACTGATCATCTTCGAGTTTGGATCGGTGTTATGTGGTGCCGCAGTCAACTCGACGATGTTAATTGTCGGTCGGGCGATTGCTGGATGTGGTGCCGCAGCCCTGTTCTCGGGCGGTGTAAGTGACCTGCTAGCAGTCCAAAATCAGATTGCCACTTACCATTTTACAGATGACTATCATAGGATATACGGTTCCCTTGCGCAAGAGACCTTTGTATATAGGGCTTCTTTCGTCCATGTTTGGTATTGCCTCTGTTGTAGGACCACTTCTTGGAGGAGCTTTTACCGATCGTGGGTTTTCATGCCCGTAGACCTGAAATCGTGTCGCTGACCTGGTCAACAGGGATAACTTGGCGATGGTGCTTCTATATCAATCTTCCAATCGGCGCCATCGCCATTACAGCCGTTTTCTTCTTCTTCACAAACCCGGAGCGCCGACACAGTAGTCTCACATTCAAAGAGAAGATTGCTCAAATCGATCTCCTTGGCGCATTCTTCTTGATTTGCGCCATCGTTTGCTTACTCCTTGCTCTTCAGTGGGGTGGCACGACATACCCGTGGTCCAACTCCAAAGTCTGGGGGTGTCTCCTAGGCTTTGGACTCCTTATTGGCGTATTTACTGGTATTCAAATCTGGAAGGGCGATCTCGCAACGTTGCCTCCTCGAGTCATGCTCAGACAGCGGACTGTTTTCACATGTGCCTTTTTCTCGGCCTTCCTAGCCATGGGTCTCTACACTCATATCTACTATCTTCCGTTTTACTTCCAGGCCGTCAAGGGAACTTCGGCAGAAGGGTCCGGTATTAGGACGATTCCGTACCTGGTCAGCATCACTCTTTCGTCGATCGTGGTCGGCGGGAGCATTACTGTTCTCGGTCCTTATGTGCCATTCACATGGTTCGGTTCTGCTGTATTCGCCGTTGGCTCTGGTCTTTTGCACACGCTGAAAGTCGATTCATCTACCGGGACATGGATAGGGTATCAGATCCTCACAGGGGTCGGAGCAGGAGCATGCGTACAAATCCCGTTCATCGCCGTTCAGGTCGTGCTCACAAAGAAGGACATGCCAGTGGGGAACGCAGTCGCCATCTTCTTCAACTCACTGGGTGGTGCAATTTCCATTTCCATTGCGCAGAACATCTTTTCCAACGGACTGGTCAAGGAGATCCCCAAGTACTCAGAGGGTGTCGATCCTTACACGATCATCAATGCTGGTGCGACGCATATCCGCGAAGTCACTCCGCCATCGCAGCTTGCTGGAGTACTCAAAGCATACAACATTGCTGTGACGAACTCCTATATCCTAGCGATAGCGTGTGCATGCATTGCGTTCCTGCTGTCCTTCGGCTTTGAGTGGAAGTCTGTCAAGGGTCGGAAGCTCGAATTAGGGGGCGGAGCATAGTTGCAGAGTCCATTCACAGATGTACAACTTATAAAATGTTATGTGCTAGTTAGATCAGTCGCGGAAACCAGATTCAGTCAAGGCTTTCGCGGCTCCAAAAACACAGAAAGTCGAAGTCGATCGCCGACCTCAGAAGCGAAGCCTAGCAGGAATGTTAGGGGTTGATGCTTACAATGGGATGGCTCAAATACTCACGGCATGCACAGGGTCAAAATCACCAATGGCCAGTGAGAGGCGTCTGATGGGAACGGTAACAATTTCCATGGGCACTGTGGGTCGATATGGCCATACTCTATAGTCAACGAGGAGAGAATCTGGGGAAGCCCCAGTATGCATTCCCACCAAGCGAATACGGTCTCCTTCGGGGATATCTGCCGATGTGATTGGTTCGCTGACATTTCTTTCCTCAACCCATACCACCTTCATCGCGATAGCAGCTAGTATTCGGCCATCCGTTCCACACGAACGGAGCAATTCGATTGCTCTTCTTCTTACACTGGCGCTGCGATATCGAGTGGCAACAAAGAACAAGACCGGGATTAGGCTGGGTGTGGTGGAGAACACCCGTAGGTTGCAAACAATGACCAGTTGTTCGATGTTGCTCAAGTAGACATCGAACGCGGATTCGTTGTTGAATGGGGCACACCGGGACAGGGTGTCCAGACTCAAATGGTACAGTCGGAGTATTTGGCGTTCTTTCTGAGTGCCGACCTCGGACGAGCAGAAGCGATGGAGCCAGTCGTTGAGTCGAAGGGTGAGGTTTGGAACGACATGAAACCGAGAAGCCGGCGGAGAGCAATTCAATTGAAGACGTGCGCCGTCGATCGCAATACGATGTAACGTGTTGACAGCCTCGTCGACAGATCCAAACTTGAAAAACAGCCGTTCACTTGAGCGAGTTGGTACGGCGCCGCTTTTCAAGATCTCAAGCGATCGTCCCGTGGCAATATGATTGATCTCTCCTGTATGTAGTTCCAGCCGAGAGAACATCCGCACTATTTCAGCAATGGATGTGTCGCTGTAGCGACGATCATTCCTGGACATGTACGACGTGATCATTTTTCTTCCCGACATCAAGTGCCGCAGTGCTCCATACTGGTTCTCTTGGAGCTCGTCGCAGAGCATCAGGATCAGACATGCCATTAGTATGACCCCGGGATCGGGAGACTCGGCCCGGCCTAGCATTTCCAGGCCCTTTCCGTAATGCGAGAAGTAATTCAACCCTGCATTGGGTGAATCGATACCCGGGAGAAGTATCTTTGAATTTCGAATTCCTGCCCAGGTAGTAGCCATGATGAGATGGTTGATGCCCTCATCGTGGTGGCACGCCTGGAGCACGAGCCGGTTCCAGAAATGTTCACCGCCGTAGTTCAACAGCGTTGGTGCGAGGAGTCTGTGGTAGCAGTCGAATATTCTCAGGTCGATATACCGAGCGTGAGGCGGAGGCGACCGGGGAACCTGAATCACCAGGAGATACGCCGCGGGTGGCGGTGGTGCCTGCTTGTTGTAGTAGTCACATTTCCTCCCTGTGCTGGAACAACGGGTACAGCTTGGGTGGCCTTCGTCGCACTTTACGCGTCGAATCCTGCCTGCGATGAGCATGACGACAAATCTCAGTGGTCCATCAACGGTGTATACCTGCATGTTACGCAGCCGTTGGTGCTGCGTCGGTGTTTTTTCAAAGGTGGCATCTCGCTGATCTGCCACTGCGCGGATCATTTCTTGTGTCCGCAGTGCCTCGTCTGTACCGTCAGACGGCCCGGTGAGGGTGAAGGGGGAAGTAGGGAAGAGCAAATTGAGACCGACATGTGCGGAACTCACGCCTTCACCTGGTGTCGAGAGGGAGGAAGTACGGAGTATCCGGACGCCAAATAAGAAACCGACTTGTGGTACTCCTAGTTTCCGGGACTGGATGTACTTAACTCCGTCAAGATGTGATTGGGTCGCTCGCTAACTAACCACTAGCTGCATATTAATTGAGCTGGCCGCCTTTTGCACTTTGATCTGAATCACCCACGAAAATCAATTCTTTGCTCGAACCCAAACACTCCACCAAGAACAACCAGACGATGTGGACTACACAAGCCTAGGTAGGATTTTAGATTCGCGGACTTGGTCACCATGCACTCCTCTCCGTCCGTGGATGTGGGTAAATCCGGTGAAGTGACATGCAGAAGCAAAGTATAAGTATCGCGTCTGCTTCATCAAGTCTCAAGACAAGTTGCGTTCTTCAAGATTTCATACCAGAACATCCACTAACCTTGTATACTCTATCTTCAATCACCTGGAGTCATTCAGTGATGTCTCCTACCGTCGTTCTCATCACCGGCGCCAACCAAGGTCTTGGGTTCGAATGTGTCAAGAAGTTGGCAGCAGAGCAACCGGACTACCACATCCTTCTCGGCTCCAGAAACGCCCAGAGAGGCACGGACGCAGCGGCTAAGGTGACCGATCTTGCACCTGGCTCCAAGGTAGAGCCCATCCAGCTTGACGTTACAGACGACGAATCAATAGCCAAAGCCGCCAAATACGTGGAACAAAAGTTTGGTCGTCTCGACGTTCTCTTCAACAATGCAGGCATCAGCAAATCCCCAGGCAAGTCGTTCCGTGACGAGATGAACGAGATTTACAACACCAACACGACAAGCGCAGCTTGCGTGACCGAGGCTTTTCTGCCATTGTTGAAGAAGGCGCCAGTGCCACGCCTCGTCTTCATGTCGTCTGGTCTAGCCTCTGCCGCAAATACTTTGGACACAGCACTGCCCTTTTACGGTTGGATCTTCAAGGCGTATTCGGCTTCCAAGGCTGCTATGAATAACCTGGGTCTCTCTTATGCAGTCTTGCACGGAAAGGAAGGCTTCAAGGTCAACATGATCGACCCAGGATACCGCTCTACGAACATCAATGGGTTCAGCGAAACTGGAGGCAGGGCCGAAGAGGGAGCTCTGCAGGCTTGCAAGATCATTGTCGACACTGACAAGGATGGTCCTCACGCTACGTTTACGAGTATTGAAGGCACCGTTCCATGGTGAAACGGAGATCGGGTATAGAGGCTTCTAGATCGTACACAACAAAGATAGATTCTCAGTCTTCAAGTTGCGAGACCAGGCAAGGCTCATTCTCCCCAGCTATTATGATAGCAGTTGACAAAGTAGTGTTTAGAGAATCTAGCAGTGCTTAGGCTCATTGTTGTGGCCGCGGATGATGGCTTCTTTTTTGGCCCCTGAAATGTCAAAGTCTCGGCGTTGAGGCTCGGCACAAATTCGCATGGCCTGATTGTTTTATTTCTGAAAAGAGAGTCTCTTTCTTTTCTTTCCATCTTTTCAAATTCGAGGAGTCGAAAAGCTCACACATCCACATGAACAACTGCAGCGCGAGATTTGCTGAGGTTGTCGATGCAACGGCCGCCTTCGTTGTCTGCCGATGTATATGATAGAGGCAAGGAGAAAGACCCGTCTGTGATCTTGGGAGTCTTCTGCACTGCTCATGCTGTCTGTCTGACATTCCCGCACGCACTTCTAACGCATTGCTTTGCGACCACAATTGTCCTCTTGCCATACATACGACATTGAAAGAACAGATACATTCCTGAAAGGTGAAGCTGCCCTTGAAACTACACAGGTCCAGGTCCAGGTCCAGGTCCAGGTCCAGGTCTAGGTAGGCACCCATGACACCGACCCCGTCACCACCGTCCAGCCTCATCGTCGTTGACAATGTGTCGAGGCCGCCCTCGATATCGCCCTCCAACAACCCCCCTTGTCACTCGGACGTTCGCCAACGCTCCATCAACACCGTGATGGTGCTTTACTTGCTATACCAGCCAGTTGAGCAGCGGTTTCGCCAAGCGATCCGTTCAGGGCGGTGACCATGCCGGTGATGACCTTCTTCCAAGTTCGCACATTCTCACCTTCTCACTCTCCTCCATCACCATCACCAACGCTCGTTCGAAAAAACCCTCGCTTCATCAACATTCGTTTCCATCCCATCACTCTCACCGTCACAACCTACCTTCAAACGCCATCTTTCAAGATGTGTTCCCCGTTCACTATCCTGTGGTGGCTGTTCTTCGTGACGGTCATCCAGGCAGCGAACACCACCACTGGAACTGTCACTGCAACAGTTTTTACCACGGTCCACCCTCTCCCTGCTGTCTTGCCTCCTGTCTTGCCTACTACTCTTACGGTCTCCCCACTGCCTTTGTCGCCATCGGTTCTCACTCGCTACACGAACAGCAACAATACCACGACCACCTGCGCTGAAGTTCACAACTACACCGCGACTGGTGAGTTTGACAAGTGAAAACATGCGTCGTCCAGTTCCATCTCTGACTTGGAAACCCACAGTCAACAAGACCGTGGTCGCCACTGAGACTCAAACTGCGCTGCCTGTGTTCGAATCAAATAGCACCCCGATAGGTGAGTTTTGAGGAAATTGAAATCTTCAATTCATGTTTTCGCGACGTGTACGCGTCGCGGGATACAACAGCAACCAACAACCAACTGACTCTTGAATTTCACAGTTTATCCACCCTCCCAGTTCACTACGTTCACTACTACCCATACGCTCTTCAAAACTGGTATGGTATTCCTTTGATCTCTGCAAGACTGTTCCACAAAAGAATTGAAAGGAAATGAAGACAAAAGTGAAGAAGAATCTGAATCTGACGATGAATGCATGACCTAGTCACAAAAGGACACAATGAGACCACTGGCAGCACTGAACCTTCGTCGACCAATGCAGCTGTCCCAATCGCAAGTGGTGCAGCCAATGCCACCTCTACGACTTCAAGCATTGTCACCTCTACGACAGCAGGCAATGCCACTTCTACAGCAGCAGACAATATCACCTCCACGGCCACTGGCAGCGCTGGACCGTCGTCGATCAATGCAACAGTCTCAATTCCACCCGTTTCAGGCAATGTCACGTCTACGACTACTGTGCTCGTCACCAAGAAGATTACATCGACTCTAGGTGCGTTTGCATTCCCCGCTGTCCTCTCTCTCTCTCTCTCTCTGTGTGTGTGTGTGTGTGTGTGTGTGTGTGTGTGCGTGTGTGTGGGGTGCTATTGGAAACCCACTGACTTTTAACACCGCAGTCCTGTCCAACATGACCAGCACCGAGGTTGAGAGTGTGATCCAGACGACCGCGCCTCCATCGTCTCCTACTACTACTACCGCCACCACGTCCTCAGCCGTGGCTTTTGTTGAGACCACAACGACTACCATCACCATCTTCGACAATGGTAACGATGATGGCAACGGTACCGGCAACGCCAACGCCACCACTCGCGCCAACTTCAACTTGACGGCACCTGCGATTGCTGTTCCCACCGGCATCTGGCTCAACGTGACTGCAACAGCACCACCGGCTCCACCGTCGAATGGCACCTCCACCTCCTCCTCCTCATCCTCCTCTCTCAACGGCACCACCATGACCGACGTGACCACCATCACGAGTTCAGCCACCGCCACCTTCGGCGTGGGTGTCGACACGGACGAGAATACTGCCGCCGCCGCCGCCACCACCGCAGCAGCAGTCAATCACACCACCCAGACTGGCCGCCGAGGACCCCAACCTTCCTCGTCCTCGGCTTCGGCTTCGGCTTCGGCTCCAAATCCAGTCTTTGGCGGCCTCACTGGATCATCTGCGACCGTCAGATTCACCCCACCGCTCAAGGCCCTCGTCTTGGTCACTTGCACCAGCCTGGTCTCTTTGGCAATCGGTGCTTGCGTCTTGCTGTGAAAGGCAAAGGGTCAAAAGAAGACGACAACAACAAATTCCCGGTTCTGTTCAGGAAACACCAAACAAGAAGAATCCTCTTCTTCTTTTGATTCAGGATCCAGATTCTTGACTATGTTACGGGCTGACTTTTGCTTCATGTCCATGCTTTTTCTCCGCGTACAGAAAAAATGGGAACCACTCGCCATTGACATTGACAGCAGCACCTAGGTATCTGACTATCTGTCATGACAATTGGTTCACATAGAAAACCAATACAATCCAAAAGGATACTTTCCATACTCATACATGTTGTCTGTCTACTCATGCTCGGTAGCGTTCTATTCAAATATGCCCAATCGTGCCTAACCGCCATACACTTCCCTCGTTCCCCAATGAACCCTCCCGGTGGCTAATCGTCTACTGCCCTGGCCTCCAGTTCTGCCTAGTCCTGTTTCAGGTGTATCTTTGGCACTTCCAGCCTGTGCCCTTGACTGCTATTCTCAATCTTCCTCAATAGCCCTTTTCTGGCAGTTTCCAACTCTTTCCCAGGTTGAGTCTCAAAGTTGGTGGTGCTGTCTCGAAGCTCAGTGCTCAACAACCTGTGTAACGTCTCATTGCCTTCGCAAACTTGGTCTGTCCACTCACTCATGCTGCCTATGTCAGCATCGCTTCGGAGCGCTGAAAGACTACCAACGCAGTCTTTGTATACTTGGGTCCATGGTTCAAAGTTCAAGGGTGTTGCTTCACCCTTGGTCATCGGTGTGGTAGCCTCACATTTGTGGCCATCTTTTGCGGCGTCCGAATCTGAATGACCACGAAAGTGGTCTAGCCCTGGAATAGATTCAAGGTCCGGATTCTTGGCCTTCAAACCAAGGCTGATACTGCTTCGATGACCGTATTGGCCGATATACACCTTGAGATCCGAGCTGCTGCTTCTGTAGATTTTCTTCCATTTTCCGACGAGACCTCGGCGGCTTTTCTTTGCACGAAATGCCGGACTCTGGTCGATAGTCCGGGGGAGAGGCATGCTTCTCGTCTTTCCTTTGTCCATGCGACTTTTGCGGCCAAAATATAACAGTTTCAGTGAACCTCTCGGCGTTTGCATCCCTCGGGATGTCAAAGACCCGTCCCATGCCGTCTCTGGTGTTGAATTCGGAGCATCAACATCATATGACACGCCTTCGGCAAAATCCCTGACAATAACACCATCATTGGTCCCTGCTGGTCCACATCTTTCATTTCTTGTATGACTTGGAAAACGACTCCAAGCTCCAAACAGATCTTTCAAAGGTGTACTCGAGCTCAAGCTACCTGGCTCATCATCTGCGGAACTTGGTATGGCAAACCGTTTTCCAAAATCAAGTAGGCTCTTTTTGCGATTTTTTTCGATCGAAAGGGCCTCAGCCGCTGGTCGTGTCTCCTTAAAGGCGATGCTTCTCTTCGGAAGGATTCCTTCATGATGCCGTTCAGGGTTATCTCGGGGTATCTCTTCAGACACAGAAAGTCGTTGTCGTGACCGAAGCGCATTGACTGCCCTTTTTGGGGCTGCTGAGGGATGGGCGGGGATATCTGGATTTGAGTTGCTGTTACCGAGACTTGACCTTACACTTCTTCTCCTTCCATCGCGGTCAAACTTGGGTGCGGTGAGGAAGGTGCCCATGGGATAGTCAGCCGGCTCATCTAGAGCACGTTTCAGAGTCCTCCTCCAGATGTCGGTGGTTGATTCATGCAAAGTAGGCTTATCGCATCGACCATCAAGTGGTACGTCAGAAGCTGTTGAGCATTGTCGGGAACTTGACCACAATGGTAAACAGTGAGCCCCAGAACGACTCTCTGACCTGACTAGCATGTCCTTTTGTGGAACTTCGATCTCGCTCAGTCTCTCGTTGAAGGAGTCCTGAGCCTCCTGCGCACTAATCTCCGTGAGTTGTTCTCTTCTGGCATCTTGCAACTTCCCGTAACTGATTTCACTTAAAGCTTCGTCAGCTTCGGTGGAGTCCTTTTGTTGTCTTGCGGCAATTGTTGGCCCCGTTATTCTTCCTTCGGCAGTTTTGTCTGGCATACTTACGCTTCTGTGGCGGCTGATGAGTCGACCAAGTTTCTGCTCGTCGATAGCACCTCGTTGCTGCTGTAACGAGAGCCTGCCAAACCAGGCACGCTCCTCGGGCAGAGTGAAGTGACTCATGCTGGGATTGGTTGATCGAAGAGGAAGACTCATAGATTCTGACCTACCACCAATTGCGATGCTGTTCGGGTTCCTCCGCGGTAAGCTACCGTTTCGTTCGTCCAGTTCGCCATCTTCGTCATCACTGCAATAGCAGGAGGAGGCCTCGCCTCGACTCACAATTGGTCGACGTCCCCCGTATTGCGAGAGATAGGTACTGGACGTGCTAGGTCTCCATACCTGTCGTTGTGTATCTCCAGTGGTCTCATTCTCAAAGAGACGCTTCGTTTGTGGATCTGACGGGAGGCGATTGTGTTCGGAGGTTGTGGTACCTGCCGTGTTACTAGATGGCGAACTCAGATGTGGACAGTGTTCTATCGAGTTCTCGTTGGAGAGATTCGTAGTGGTGTGGCTAGTATCCGGGCGAGAGCTTCCAGCGACAAATGATGGGCTTGCCAATCTCTGCGAGATCCGCATGTTGAAAAGATGGATGGAATTGCAGTCGGACTCGTCCACGCAGGCGACGTCCCTGCCTGACCCATCATCTTTGCTGGGTATCATGGCGGTACGAGAGGAAGATGCAACACCAGTGGCCGGGTTTGCCTGATCCAGGGTGACTCCTGGCCTCTCTTCTCCAGAAGCTGCAATCTCTGCTGACCCGGGCTCCCCAAAATGAGCTATTGCGTTGATCAAGCTCGTGTCGAGATTGGAGACCAGGCTGCTCCGGTTGTGGTCTGCCGTTGAAACACCACTGGCTCCTTTCCCAACGTCAATTATATCGCTCATTCTTTTCTGAAACCCTGGAGCATCTTCATCCTTGTGAAGGTCCAAGTTGGGGGCCTCGAGGTTGACTGAGTCCAATTCGGTGGTCGCGCAAGCGTGCAGCCGAGGCAGGTCGACGACACCGTCGTTGAAAACATCATCCGACTGCTCAGGGGGCTTGTTGGTAGAATCAGTCTGTCCATCCAAAAACAACAATGACCCAGAGGGAGTGGAAGGTGATGTGCATCCAAGGGCTGAACGTGCGGTCGGCTTCGTAGGAGAACTTCGTACGAGGTCATGTTTGATGGAGGACTTTTCGGAAGGAGTGCGCAGTAATACCTCCGCAGCTTTTGGGCTCAATTTGAGGGTCCCGTCACTACATTTTAGCATTGTACTTTGGATACTTTTGGCGTCGCTGTCGTAGCCACCTTGACTGCCTGATCCGGACATGAGTAGCTCCAGGAGTCCCGTAGAACGTTGACTCAAGGCTGCTTCATGGTGCTCTACTTCCAATGGCATTGGCTGGGGTAATTTGGCCAACCGACCAGCATCTTCCGATTCACCTTGCATTCTAGAACTGCTCTTACTCAGTCGTGACTCTGACATTTTCTGCCTAATGTGTTTTCCAAATTGCTCGATGCGGCCTGGCTGCTTGTGATCATCAGAATGCCCGGCTCCGAACTTGAAATCGGCGTCGAATGAAGATTCTCTCGGACGTGAACGTTCATGTCGTCTGGAAGCAGTCTGATAGCCTCGGACGGAGGAAGATGACCTGAATATCTGCCGCAGAGCATCTGTATCCGCAGCATGCGAGCCGGAATGGTCAACCGAATGGGGCACGGTGTTCGCTGGCAAGGATATTGACGAAGCCGAAGCAGGATGGGGTAGTGACTTGAGGTCGGAAGCCTCGTACTCATCCTCATGGCTGTGGACACCGAAGCATGATAGCAGGGGCGAAAGTAGTTTCTTGACGGTTCGCATTTCAAATAGTACTTAAAATGTAAAATGGAAACGTGATGAGCGAAGAAGTGATGCTGGTTGTTAGCTCTTGGAGACGATTGAGGGAATGATCTTTCGAGGAGTAAAAGAGGGGAGAATTCGGTTGAAGGAACTGTCGGCAATGCCAGGATAGAGGAAGCTCAAGTAGGAATCGCAAGGAAAGAATCAATGCGGCAACGAGGAGGAAGGGGCACGCATTCGATATGAAGGGCAGGCAGGAACTGCTCTGCACCTGCTCTTGGTTCGCATGATTCCCATGGTGACAGCGTCAGCACTGGGTCGCGCAATGGTTTCTCAGGATGAGTGTGGACGTCGCGAGATGACTGCGAGGGAAGATGAAGTTGTCCATGTTGGAAAAGGTTGCAAAGCAGACGTGATAGAGATTGCTGTACCTGCTCTCGGCTTCAGCTTTGACATTCCCAGGGAGGGCCGGCTGTCTGATGCACTCTAGGCGCATCGCTATTTGTGTCTGGCAATTTCAAACCCCAGCATCAAGGAAGCCTCATATGAAGCCTCATAGAGAGTGTGGTCCAGACGTGAATGTTGCAGTGTGCGTCACGTGGGATGCCACCAGAATACGGCGGAGCATTTAAACCCCAGGCACCCCTGCTGGACATCATTACCGACCGTTGCACATCACCCACGCGTTTAACATTCGCCAATTTGAAAGTGCGGTTAGAGGATGGCTCAATTGTCGCACCCGAAGACCTCAAGCTGCGTCTACTAAGTCTCCACTGGATATGCTTGAGGGACGGCCGGGCCATACCATATGAAACCTCGATGAACCTTGACCGCTACACACGTATCGAAGCACGAATACGTTGACCAAAGGCCACTCTGCAAAGATGGGTTCAGATATCAGGACGCATGAGTTCCGTATTACCGAGCTTGATAATGATGGTATCCCGTCAGCCATCTATGAGATTGACTCGGCGACAGCTCAAGTCGAGAAGCGATTACCACAGAGGTCCATTCCCAGCACATCCCTCTCGATTCTTCAGAAATGCATATCACCTTTCCTCCCGGCTGGCTATCCTTCCACAGTGACACCCGACTACACTCCCTATCAGATCTGGGACTCACTCCAAGCATTTGCCTCCACTATCGCTGGTTTGCTGGCGTCGAGGGCCGTCTTTGTCGGCATGGGCGTGGGATCCGAGGATGCCTCATTAGTCACTACGATGTTGCTGTACATCGCGCAAGAAACCATTGGCAGGGTTGCCACAATTCTCTTTGCGCATCGGTTTTCTCAGCGTATCGAAGCTGAAGTCAAATTCTACCGATTCTTCGCTGACATTGTCAATGATATTGCTTTCGTGCTGGACTGCATGAGTCCTGCTATGCCCCTCTTCGCACGGGTCTTGACTCTCTGCGTCAGCAACGCGTGTCGAGCCATGTGTGGAGTTGCTGGTGGCAGTAGCAAGGCTATCTTGAGTTCCCACTTCGCCAGAGCAGGGAACATAGGTGAGCTCAACGCGAAAGATGGGAGTCAAGAGACTGTGATTAGTCTAGTAGGAATGTGGGCAGGAGGCCTGGTTGTCAGCAAAGTCCACGGGACAAAGGCCACATGGTGTCTCCTGGTGCCGCTGTTGGTGCTACATCTATGGGCAAATTGGCAGGCAGTGAACAGTGTCCGCCTAAAGTCATTAAACCATGAAAGAGCGACCATTTTCTTTACAAGCTTCGTTGAAGGCCGGATCTTGACTCCGGACGAAGTGGGTGAGTCTGAATCTGTACTTCGGCGAAATGACCGTGGGATGGACATTCGAGTTGGCCTTGATTTGAATTCGTTCCTGCAATTCATGCAATCATCGTTCCTGGGAGAATCCGGATCTTTTAGGGAGTTCAAGAATGTGGTTGACGTGTTTGCGAAGGAAGATTACTTGCTGTGGGTCGACTCAAAAAGAAGAATTGGTGCCCTGATGTTGAAAGAAACAGCAACTGCCGAGACTCAGGTGAAAGGGTTCTGGCAACTAGTTCTATGCTTGCATGGTAACCTAGCCTTGACTGAGGATCTCAAGGGCAAACGAGAGTCAAGTTTCGCCCAGTCTGAGGCCTTGGATGCGCTTGTGTCCTCTTTGCACAGGACGCATGAGGAGTGGCACAAACTCCGAAGTCAAGCTCAGCAAGTTGGCTGGGATCTCGATGCGACCAATTTAATCAAGGGCCACGGCCACCGGATCCGGGTAGAAATTGCAGTTGAGGACAAGAAAGACAAGTGAAGAGCCAGACTAGCATCCACACCGGGGTGGAGATGTGGTTCGCGAGAGTGCTACCCAGAACGGAATGCGACCTCTTATGGCAGGCACATAAGGCACGGAGCGTGCCATGTTTCCTACAATACTCGCCCAGCCGGCCAGTGCAAATTTCGATGAACGGGCGCCTCGCGACGTCTGGTGAGGATTGGACAGAACATCAGGTGGCTGCAGAAATGAATTTCCACCAGCCGGAGAAGCATTGACACACAGATTGCCAATTTAGGTAGGCTTCTGGAAGTCTCTGAAAGCACTGGTAATAGCTCTCTTTCTCCGGTGTCAAAAGCCTTAAACGCTGTCACTAGCATCACAAGCATTGATCATCCCACTGGCAGCAGAGTAGCCCATCGTGCGGTGGAAGGACTGTTGAAAAGGTCTTGACCGCCAGCCACTGTGCAGGCTTGCAAGATGCCAATCACGGAGCACACGGGACTTTAAATGGTGATTGACCCGGGTCTCACATGCCGTTGATTATAATTGAACACTTCTATTCGCTGTAACGCCAGTGTGATCTGTTTCCAAGGCGGAAAGGATTTTCAGATTGATGGGCAAAGGGGATTGCGGTCACCAGGGTCCTACGAGTCCATATGTACTGTAGCCTGTTGCGTCGATATCCGTTGGGGGCAGTCAAGAGGTCACACTCCGATGAATGATAGGGAGTGATATGCTGCGATGAGCGACGGTGGCCACATCTCGTCGTGGGCGGGTGAATTTCAACTGTGGCCACAATCAGTGCAACCTGCCACGGCGCATCAACGTCGCACGCTGTCAACAAGCTCCACCGGACGGAGTGTTGAATTTCCCACCTCGCAGGGGAGCAAACAATCTACAAGTGACAAGTAACAAGAAACAAGAGGGTATTGAGAATGTCATACTCTGTGTCGCACATGCGTTGTCCGCTGACGAGTACGAATCTGCTCATCCACGTAGAGTCTCCCAGCGCCCATGCAAATGATGATACGCACCATCTGAGCCCAACACGGCAATGATTAGAGGAATGCGTACCTTAGGTCGTGCCCTTGGGCTTGCGCAGGAACCAGTCGGAAGGCCTGAAGCCTCCCCGGAGGAACGAGTTTCAGCCCTTCAACCCGGACAAGGGCAACGGAGCCTAGTGGCCTCCGCACTTGGGCAGGACGCACACGAAGCAGAAAACGAGGTGATTATTCAGTCGAGCAATCACGAGCTGTCGGAGGCGGAAAACGGAGAAGTGCTTCATGGGTCTTGCAAGGCAGAAGGATATCGGCTCACAAGTCGGAAAAAACCTGAAGATGTGCCTGAGACAGCGAGGTTATGCACAATATGCGGGGCAGATGAGGTGGTCAGAAGTTAGACGTTTGCCCATAATGTGCTAATACTCGTATTACGAAGCAGCGAGGCATTTGAAGAGTCATTCCTTGCGTGCACAAGACACTCTCACCACGGGCGGTGCAGCAATCACTTCCCTTGCCCAGCCGTTAAACACCAGCTACAACACAAAGACTGACGTGTGCCAGCACCGAAGATCATGCCGAGGGACAGCCTTATCGAGATGGAATCATTCTGGAAGCGGCGTAGAAGGCCGAGAAGGGAGGACGAAGGCGCCTAGAAAAACGGTGGAAAGCGTAGAATGCGCCTAGAAGAATCCGAAGAAAGGATCAACCGGCCCCTCGTCATCGTTGCCAGGCGCGCGTCATTGCCCCTTTGTTCAGCCTGGTGGCCTCCCAATCCTTTATACCTGCGTCCCATATGACTCTGAGTAGACCCGTAGGGGCACAGTCATACACCATTGCGTAGCGAGGGTCCTCGGGTCCTGTTGCTACTGTCGGCGCCACGAGCATGACGATGTCGCAGTGAAGATTCCTCGCTTACCCGCGACGCCCTGCGCCCCCTCTTTTTTGGCTCTCTTCTGGTCTTTTCGGCCACGGCTTAGTCTCGATTCTGATCATCATCTGCCTGCGCCAGAGCCAATCGCGGGCCCGGAATCGCCACTAGGCCCAACTAGGCTCCCCAGGCTAGTGCCCAGCGTTGCAGCCCGTGCGAAGCCTGGCAACTGCGCCAAAGCCGGTGCCTGCGCCCTGCTCCTCCTCCTACACCTACCGTGGTTTTGTATTTCGTCCCCGGCGACTCCATCGTAGCGAGTGAGCTTTGCCCCCCAGAGAGCCCTTTGGTCCACTGCATCGCACACTTGCAGTACAGTGCGAGGTCCTGACTGTGCTGCAAAAGTCTGACCTACCTAGCCGGGCAGACTCAACGCCAGTTCCCAAATCTCCCTCCCTCTACTCCCTCTTCCAACCTGATGAGCACATACGCACGAAGCCACTGACACCCTACGACCACTATCCACCGGCTGAGCTGAACACGCCCAACCCTTGCTTGCGAAATTGAACTGAGAAAGCGTTTTCGCCTCTCTCCTCCCGGCTCCGAGCTCCCAACGATGACTCTTCTTTGAAGCAGCTTCAACAAGGCGGACACGAACAACACTCATTCAATTCCCAGAGGCTGTGGAATTCCACCTGGTTTCCCAGGCGCCCCAGGTTTCCCAGTAGCAACCGCACACTCGCCCTTCGCCATGACTGTGCTCGAGCCACCATCACCTCACTAAGCCCAACGATCACTATCCGCTGGAGTCTGTGGGATTTCTCGCGAACACTTTCCCCTCTACTAGCCAAATGCTCGTGCTCAGTTGAGGCCACTACTCTACCGCTGTTTGTGAGCCCTGTGGTCGCGCGTTAACCCGACCAAACGACATCATACGGCTGCGGATTCGCACCCGACCCATTCAACTCACCTGAGCTGACGCCTGCATCCTGATCACTTTCAAAACACTTCAACGTCGCTCCAACCCCGTCTTGACAGGCTTCTAGAGCAACCGTCGAGCAACCATCGAGCAACCACACGACCGAACGTCCTCGAACCAATTGACTCCTTCACCAAACGTTCTTCCAGTCAGAAATTCTTCCCCCTTGACAGCAGCCTTAGCGTCCCGATAACTCCAACATCCCGACTACCGTGCGGTGACACAGCATCCTTTTGTCATACGAAACCGACTTTTGAGACTGGAGGAGGGCCGGGAATTCATCTGACAAACACCCTCAGTCTTGCAGCGCTTGATCCCCGATATACACTGCCATAGGGCGTAGTCGTCCTGTAAAAGAGATCCTAGTATTCCGGTGCTTGAGGCTCTCTTGGCCATCTCCCAGCATTGGTTGTCGGTAAAGAGACAATATTGGCGGAATAGTGTGCTCATTTCCAACATTTGACAGTATTGCTTCCCGTTTCCACCGAGACCAACCCAGGTCGACGTTCAGCGCAATGGTTAGGAAAAAGACGTTTTCAATCAAAGCTTGGCCATTTACACCTGAACCGTCACCTCGACTTGAACCTGCTATCTACATTCTCGACAACATTTCGGAGGGGTTTGACATGTCGGGTGAAGATATGGGTCGGGCCCGGCCCATCAGTATGGTGTCTCGGAGGGAAGGGATCATGTCGCCTGGCAGACCTACGTTGGAAGAGGTACTCAACAACACCGCTCCGCCTCCGTATACCCTCGCTGCTTTCACAGCATTTTTGTCACAACAGCACTGTTTAGAGACCCTTGAATTCACCACCGAAGCGAAACGGTACGCCGAGAAATACGACGAAGCATCTGGCCATTTAGCTGGTATGCCATTGACGGTGGACACCCAGGAAGGGTGGGACCTGATACAGGACTGGAATCGCATGCTTGATATCTATGTCAGGCCGGGCTCACCTCGCGAAATCAACCTGCCGGCGGAAGAACGTGACGCGCTTGTCCACCAAGCTTGTGAAGTCACGCCTCCCCTGCCCGAAACGCTAGATGCCGCGGTGAGACGAATGTTCGACCTAATGTCAGAATCGATCTTCATTCCTTTCTGCAACAGCCTCCGACATCTTCCTTATGCACAAACCTACAACGCAATGTCAGAGTACGCCAGCTACGCCGATCTGGAACCCTCACGGCTGACATTTGACGAGCGGACAATGCACCATCATGCATCACGCCGGCGGCGGTCTCCCCCAAACACTTCAGATGCCTCATTCCACCCATCTCGATCACCACCTCAACAGCACAATCGAACGTCTACGCTGTCGTCCGCCTTGGGTCGCCAGAGCGGCAATCGACTTTCGACGCATGTTTCGCACTCATCGGCCGTTTCCGAGAGCGCGCTGACCGACAGCAGTGGCGGACCCGACAGCCCTCCCCCTGGTGACCTCGACTCGTCCATCACACCTCCGACGACACCGCCTACGAGTGATCTTGGTATAGCAAGCATCAGTCACGGCAGTAGTGGCGCCTCACTCTATCAGACAAAGACGCAGAGGAGCGAAAGCGGCAGTGGGTGGAAAAAAGCAATGAAACTTTTCAGTGGAGCGGGGAAAAAGAAAAGTGGTAGTTTCCACGAGGTCGACTGAGCTCTCGGGAACCAGAAAAAAATGGATATATCTCTTTTTTTTCCTTTGTTGTATTTGAACAACCATGTCGAAAGCGTATACCACTCACCACCATCGGCATTGCGAAAAAGGGGATCCGGTTGGACGAGGTCTTGAAAGAGAAGCACCGGTTGTTCGGATGTGACACTGAGCTTCACGAATTCGTCAGAGGCGTACACTTTACGGGTTTTACAACGGAGGCTATGGGACCTCAGATTTTTCTTCTTTCCCTCGATGTGTACCACGGGAATTGAATTGAACAGGAGCATTTTTAAGGGAACAAAGCAAGATGCGGATATGAGATATGAAAACATGCATGCGGCGTCAACTATGGGGAATTTTCACAACATTTGACGAGTATTCTTTTTGCATTTATTATTATTTGGCAGACATGTTGAGATGTACATGTTTGGTGAAACATGCTTTTAAGAGACACTCTGATCTATTTTTTTTTCTAGGAAGAAGAATGAAGAATCTCTGAGTTCTCAAGGAGCTTCTTTGGTGTATTTGCTTTTGGGTTGACTTTTCTTGTTTTGTTTACCAACGAGGTCTTTGTTCTCATCGCTTTTTCATCCCATGAATTGCTATGTGATAAACCACCAGGTAATATGTGACAACTACCTTCCCTACCTCCCTGAGGCGAGGTGGTTTTCAGGAAGGAGTGACCAAGTCTCACGAAACCCTCGGTCACTCTGGCACAAGTGACGCTCACTCGATCGCCCCGGCGTCCCATTGCCAATCGGTTAGAAAGGAAAGACCTACGAGTTTATCCTTTTGAGCAAACATGATAAGGGGTAAGGTGGAGGGAGGCGTGTTACTGAGAGCACGGAGTACCGAGGACACGACCCCCCCCACCCCGGCCTTGAGCCCTTGGTTGGAAAGGGAAAACGTTGATGAAGAACAAACAACAACGAGAACAACACATGCCGTATTCGTCAAAGAATGTCACTTGTGGGGTAACTGACAACCGATAAAAGAGGACTCGCCTGTACTGACTTGGCTGCGCGGATCAATCGTCCCGGTACGGACTCGGTACCGTCTGGAGACAATTTTTATCCCGTGCCTACCTAGGTACCTCTGTTAAGCGTAGTAGGTCGGTACGAGTAGGAGCGTTGTGAGTGGGTGAGTGAGTGAGTGATTGAGTGATGGGGAAAAAGACCACGGTGGGATCTGGATATAGACAGGTATGGGATGGTGATGTGTGGATGGCTTTCGCCGTTGCGGTTGCGGTTGCGGGCGGGGGGAAGACGAGCGCGGACGTGTGGGCATGAGTATGGGCATGGGCACGGGGTGTGGGCGTGGGTGCGGGAATGGCCTTTGTCTTCTTTCGTTCAACGGCTTTTGATTGCCATCCTTGACGGTATAGGTACACGTTCAGGGTAGGTGTTGTCGAGGGTGTTACATTTCCAAAGCAGGTTTTGTCGAGGGTCTCGATTTCCCCCTTTCGTCACCGCGTTCGCATTGGCAAAAAAGTAAAACAAAAACCGTTGTGCGAGAGACGCTCCTATGATAGTGTGGCTCCCGACAGGTTCGATATGTGGTCTTTGCGCACCTTTGGTAGAGGGTTTGGGGGGGGCGGGGGCGGGCAGTGGTACTGTAGGTACTATTGTACTCCATTATGGGGCTTATTGTAATTGTACTTCCACAGCAGTAGTACCCGTACAACATTGGATATTGGTCCAGGCCTTGTGACAGCGTTGGCAAGGGGGTCCCCAAATGCAGTACTCGATTGTCGAGGGGTCAAGGATTATCAACGCGGGTGGCTCCAATATAATTAATACTCGGAAAGGGACGAGAGATTGTCGAGGGGGGTCCATCACAATACTCGTAAAGGTACAGGATTGTTCTCAATCGCTAACCACAGTATTGGTTAGTGGTCGACCGAATCGAGTGTGGTCGATCCAGCGTAGATCAAACAGTGTCGTGACTGGTTCAATACCTCGTACGGATACACAGGTGCTGATAAGCTCGTTCGTTAGAAAGGGATCGCCTCTTATCTTGTCAGAAAACGATGAACTATTGTATTGGCAATGTGCACGGACTCTGGATGTGCTAGTGCCTCTGTGCTTTTGGGTTTTTTGTGTCTATCTAACCGAAATTCATGCTGGATCTCGGTAACTCCTGCACGTTGCGCAATGGGCACGATTAAAAGGGTAAATGAAGGTAGATCCATAGCTTCGACCCCCCCGATCCCGCTTATCTTGTGATACACATGTGAAGGGAGGCTGTTTGGGTTCGTCGGGATGAAGTCATTTATTGCTTGCTTGGCGACAGAGGGACAGGACCCTTGAATGTCAGGAAGATACACGAAGCGTAGAGATGATGGTCACGATGATGATGATGATGATGGATACACGTACACTGTGATAATGAAGTTGAACACCTGTTTCTGGTATAGGTATACATGAATGTACCCGTACCAAGAACAGTCTGGTGCTACACAGCTCCAATCTCAACCCGGTCGACGGGTTCCTCTCAAATGCTGCGGTGCGTCATATCGTTATCCCGTCGAGATCCCATCGAAGGTGCGGTCAGAGTGCTGAATCAAGATGATGGAAGAGGTGAAGATGAAAATCCCTTTAAGAGCGTCACTTGTTGTATCGAAAGGAGAAACAGGTCCTTCAAAAAAATCGAACGGATCGTGGAATTGATGATTGACAACGGTGAAGGTGTACGAATTCAAGTGAGTGACAGGACAACTGTTGAGGATATCATTCGACGGTAAACTTCGTAGCGATGAGGCACTTGTACCCCCGGTGTCTGTCGCGGACCTCTACCAACTATCGAGCTATAAAATCATATACACGCAAAAAAAATACCACCAGACACTTAGGGATGCAAGTAGTGGACGCTCGTACGAGGTCACCGTGTCTTTTATTTGCCTTTGTTTCGCACCACGTGGTGTAGACCATGACAGTCTAATCATCAAAAGCCTCGAACCTGCGGAGGTGTCTTTGGGCCGTCGTTCTAAACCTCTTACAGCGGCCGGAGAACAGAAGCTAAAGAGTGTTGAGCCTTTCGACGCCAGCCACGAAACCACGAGGGGGCGAACAATGCCAACTCGCACTGTCTCACATCTAATTCACCTTCTGAACGAATAACAATAAACGGACAGTGTTCGCTCCAGCCCTCAGGCACCGGAGCCCAGAATTACATGCATAATTCGCGTCTTAGGGTTCCGGAAATGCAGCCAGACGAGCCGCAGGAAGAAGCCCATCAGCACGAACAGAGTCTCCATGCACGGTGCTACGACCCCGGAGAATCATCAAGCATCATCAGCGCCACCAATATCGTTTTCATCGTGAGTGTCGCCATCACCGCATTCCCATCCACAATCCGACATGCCAAAGTCGAGATCCTCATACGAGTACGGGTGCGTACATCTCGCCGTTGTCAAGTCTACTCCCTGCGCAGGTCGGGGCCTTAGTACGACTGCCTCGATGTACATAGCCTGCATAAAGGTCGGTCATCTCTCCACGGGCATGCAGTCAGTCCCTGTGTACTTCGTATCGACACTTTCAAAAACCCCATCCACGCGACGGGTATTCTCCCGACGGTGGACGGAGCTCCCGAACACTGTACTCTTTGTGGACTGCGTCAACAAAGTTCAACCCCATCCCGCTGTTTGTGGCAGGTCGATGGCGCGGGAGCCCCTGACTAGTCGCTAATCTCTCGCTTCAGTCCGCGACTCAGCGCCGGGCTTCGTACAACAAAGGAAGGCTCCTTCGATCGCGCTGTCCGGGATCTCGCCAAATGCGGGAGTGCTCTGGATAACGAGCTGTCACTTCCAATCCTTGTCTGAACATCCATCCAGTAAAAGCGATGCCGGCGAAATGTATACTTCGTCCTAAGTTTAACGTGGCTTCTTTCCTCTCAGCGGTGCCATCCCTCCTCCTTGTCTCGACTGTGGTCGGCCATGTTGTGGCCTGCTCGACTCACTCCACCTGTTTGTTCGTCAAAACCCGTCCCAGACGCGGGAACTGTTTGACTAAAATGCTGCGGTACCAGCCGCCAGTCGTTCGTTCTAGACTGTGGTCTGTATTTTTGTATCTCCGTGTTCTCACCCTTCCTTTTCTTCTCTTCTTCTTGTTCTTCTCTGCCTTCTTCTCTGCGCGCCCAGGATCCTCAGGAATGATTGACTGAAACCCCCAAAATGCCGGGGAAATACTCTCACACCGTCGTGCTGGCGACTTATTCTAGTCGTGGCATTTTCAACGTACCCAGCTCCCAGAGGTCGAATCCGGAGCGTGATGACTTATCAGGGACATCGTATTCACCTTTCCTAAAGTCTCGGAACGGGGAATCACCTCCAGCAAAGAAGACCAGCGCCACGACCCCTTCACAATCGACTCCGGATCATCCCAGACGGCATCCACGAAAAGATTCAAGCCGCAAATCTACTCAACCGTCCAACAATACGTCAAGTCATACTCCACGAGATTCCCACAATCATCCTAGTGGGGTCGCAGCACAGACTCACGGCGTATCAAGCCATGGCCAAGAATCTCGGCCTCGTCAAGCAGAAGCCGGAATAGAATCTTCGTCGAAACCAGAATATGGTTTGTCAAGGTACAGCCATTATGAGAGTGACCCATGGTTCATTCCATCCAGGCAGTCACACCAGATAGGTACCGACGCTGCAGAACGTGCAATTGCGGACCCGTCGGAACCTTATGCGATGCCACAGCATCGGCATGTACGGAAATACGAACCACGTCCAGACGTCAGCGAGCGGAGAGGACTCATGCCTCGCAGTAGACACTATCGCTCGGCCAAAGCGGAAAAGCATGTCGAACCACTTCTCTCACTGCAACAATTTCTCGACCTACTACCTCCCCGGGACGGGTCCAGTTCACAGCTAGACAGGACTCCCCCTCAGTCCGTTTTTCTCTCGTCGTCTAAACGTGTAACCCTCCTACCAGGTTTCCGTCCTGCGCCTCCTCGTTGCGACTCGGCGCCAGCTCTCCATAGAAGGTCTTCCCACCTCGACTCGGCAAGACCACCTCCGCGAACAGCAAATTCCAGTGACTCCTTCAACCGCGGGGATACGAGTTTTATTGACTCGTCTGACGACAGCGAAGAAGGTGAAGAAGTGACAGGATTTGAGAAGTTGCACGCCGCGCATATGCCACCTTCCACACCAGCAGGACATGATGACTTCCAGCCCCCGTTTTCCGGTTACCACGAAGACGCCAATTCTCGTCGTAAGATAGTCGACTTGACGAAAGACCTTCGAGAGTTGCCAGCTATGTATTCTCCACGACCTGAGAATGGCGCGAATAGCCCACCAGTAACCGTTACCAAAGTCCACCAAATGCAATCGGAACGTTCCTCACTGTATCCCTACGAGAGCGATGTATCTGAGGATTTTCCACTGCAAAAGCACTCGCCGCCGCCGCAGCTCCGATCTGCCACTTTCCAAGCCGCGCATCTAACTCGCTCCCAGACTCCTATTTATGAATTGCCTGATAACCAGGTGGAGAGAATAGTCGATGGTTTGCGAAAAGGTCCATTGTCTTCAGATCCGAAAACCCAGAAGTTAAATGTCGCCGCTGAGGAACGCCTACCCCCCCTCCCAGAGTTCTCGGATATAGACGATTTCGAGGAAAACCCGAACACCCCATCTGTGATCGATCCTCCACATGGGCGTCAGAGGTATTACAGGACAAAGGGCGAAGAAACAACCAAAAGCGAAAGTCGAATTTCCATTTCTCGATTGACGTCTCGGAAAAGCTTCGATATCGGCCGGAGAGCTAGCCTTTCGTCAGCAATTTATGCTCAAGGAAGGACACCTTCGAGGATCGCAGGCACTCCGGAACCTCTTCACTGTGATATGAGCATCTCTTCCGCCACTGACATACCGGAAGTGGCACCTTTAAGAATCCGAAGCAAGACACCACCAGTTCCCACGAGAGATAGTCGAAGAGTCACCTCACCAACGGCGTGTCCGGGTCCGACAATACCATTCAGGCCGGTCAACCCTACTCCAAACTTTGGAACATTGTCTGTCGTGCGGAATCCCGATGAAAAGACCATGCTCAAAGTGCAAAACGTATCGCGATCGACCACACCTCTTCCTGCAGAAGGAAAGGCCTCGCCGCAGAAATTCCCCCTGCTCCAACGCCATTTGCTCCATTCATTCTCGGACCTTGCGTCGATGAAAAGTATAAATGTGCCCGAGTTGACGAGGAGAAGTAGCTACGAATCGCTGGTATCTCCCGAGAGGAAGGGGATGTCGCCCGAGGCCAAGACACCTTCCACTGCAGATTTTGCGGATGACAGCTGGGGCCGTTTGTCAATTGAGCCTGCACGATCCACTCGACGTGTTGCGGAGTTCGAATCACAGCCCGCCCAAAGTCATGACAACGTCGAGAAGCGCGGGCGCTCCAACGATATCAACCACCAGCGAGGGCCCGTCGCTCTCCCACCCCCTGATATTTACCGACATCGTCCTGGTGAGGTCCAGCGTGGCGCCGTGGCGGTGGGCGGACGAAATCAGTCCAAGGGCGTTTTCGGGAGATTCATCAGATGGTAATGGTAATGACTTTTCGTTTTGGGCTGGGTAATAAAAGATGATGTTTCTTTGCAGTTTCTTTGTCATGAATGATGCAGATGGTGAAATGACAGCGGGGGGTTGTTTGTGAGATATGTAGCACTATGTTTGTTGAAGTACCTGGAGTGCTAGCTCGATATCTCTCAGTTCGGCCGCGTACACAGTCGAGATGTTTGTAGTGCCCATGTATTCTGTTTTCTTTATCGAGACATCTGTCGTCGGTATGTTGAGCATCACTGCAGCCGCACCAACGTGATTGTTGATGCCACTACTATCCGTGTATATACGCAGCGATCGTGAGTCCGTGAAGTCGTGCCGCTTAATAGCGCCCTCGGGATTTTTATCGATATATATAACGGGTGGTGTCCACCACAGTGGAACCATATACTGTTGACGCTTTTCTACCTGGTCGAGACAAACGTGGTATTTCTTCTCGAGAAGACTAGACAGTCGGTCCAGAGGGCTAGTTTGGCTATTATCTCTGATAGGCGTAATCTCTTCGTGCAGAGGTGTGGTTCGAATGCGCATCATTGTTTCGAGGGCTGTCTGTTCAAGTTGCTGTGTAGCTAGTAACAAGTTGGCCTCTACATTAACCGTAGTGCCCGCCGTGGTGCGGAAGGCACCGATGATGATTTGAGCGGCTCTGTGTTGAATCCTCGTGATTGTGTTGAGCATGGGACTGTTGACTCTACCATTTCTGCGTCCTGGAGCGTGCCATGTGAAGCATCCGAACAACATCTGAGGGACGATCATCGCCCTGTACACTTCTCTTAGACTAATCAAACCGGTGCCCCATGTGGACGATGCCAGGGCTGACAGGGCCGTCTAATATGCTGTTCAATGTGAAGGTCGCGCATTAACAAGTTGGTTACAAAGCAGAAGTAAGAAGCGTTCACCCCATCCTCCTTAGCAGTGATATTAGATGTTCTCAACACGCCGCCGTGGTGGGATGATCTGGTCCCAGCACCCTGTTAAAGCCAGCAACGGCACATTGATAGAGGTCCATCGCTTGCTGGAAATATTGCCGGGCATGGAGGAGATAGGCAAGGTTGTGAACACTACTGAACGTGTCGGGATGATCGACCCCCAGCTCCTCCTCGTAGCCCGTCAGCGCTCGTCGATACATCTCCTCCGCCTCCTCGTATTTCCCTTGATCTTGCAGCACCACCGCCAAATTGTTCACGCTCGTCAACGTGTCGGGATGATTCTCTCCTAGTTCCTTCTCCCTTCCCGCCAGCGCTTGTCGATGCATCGTCTCCGTGTCCTCGTAATTCCCTCGAGATTGCAGCACGGCTGCCATTAGTTCTAAAATGTCGAGGAATTCGGTATTTTCGTCTCCATAAAGCGCTGCGCGAATATGATAGGACTTCGAGACGTGTTGCAACGCCCCTGTATACTGCCAAGACAGCCATAGAAACCACGAAACATGATACTGGAGACGTCCTCGACTTTCTCTCATGATGACACCGGTCCCTTGGTGACGCAGTGTGGCCTGCGCATGAGGGAATAGGTTCTGGCACACCGGCCAGTTGCTGTACTCTCCGGTGGGAAAGCTGGCGGCTAGCACTTTAACCGCGTGCTCCACACTCGCCTCCTTCTCCCCCTGATGCTGTAACCAATACCGCACTGATTCCTGCACGAGAGGGTGCATCGATATCGTCTCATCCGCTGCGGACGCCACAAGCCTTAAGAACCTGCCTTGAACCGCCCTAAGCTTAGCGGCTATCCCTTTATTTGTTCCTAACGCCGCGGGCTTTGCCCAGGTAAGGGAATCGTACATGATAGCGGGGCAAACCATCCCGAGGTAGACTTTTCGGCTGGCTTGTAATGAGGCTCCCCATGTTGAACCTTGTAGAGTCTTCATTGCCGCTATCAGTTTTGACACTTTCATCAGTGCTTGTACTGCTTAAGCGCGACCGCTGAGCTTTCTGTCAAGGTAAACCCTGAGAGAATGGAAGGCTATTGTTTCAATCGACAGTCCGAATGGCTTCAGAGAAAGGAGCGTCAGACCTACATGGCCCCGAACATTTACCGTGGCCTTTCCGATTTCAACGCCAGACGGAATCTGTACCGACAGATTTGGGACCCGAGAATGGCTTCATGCCCAAAGGCAGCCCCATCGAGAGCCGTGGTCATACAATCACAAATGAAGCTGAACCGTGGCGTCGTCATGCCCAGCAGTGGATTCGCACACGAGGCACGATTAGCGCGTCTGGAGGACACCAAGCTCAAGCAGTGGCCTTGGCTTACCTCTCAGACTCGTATCTCCTCGGCACCATCTCTCGCGTTAATCATCTATATCGCTTCCGAGGGGTTGAGGCTACAAAATCAGCTTCTTCGAAACCTTCTTCGGCGGACGAGGACAGTGAAGGAGAGAGTGTTGAGCGATTAAAGGAGATCGAAGGCTTCCGTGATGACCCTGACAACAGAAATGGCAGACCTGAAGTGGATATGACAGTATCGTTAAGTCACAGCATCTACTTCCACCGGCCCAAGGACGTCCGTGCGGATCAATGGCTCTACTTTGACATGTCCAGTCCTTGGTCAGGTGATGAAAGAGGTCTAGCGGTTCTTAGAATCGTTTCAAGAGAAGGTGTTCAATTGGGCACTTGCATCCAGGAGGTATGTGTGGGCTCTGAATTCGCTTTGAAGAAACGTGTGTGTGTGTGTGTGTGTGTGTGTGTGGGTGGGTGCGCGCGCTAACATTTCTCAAGGGCCTCGTAAGACTGACTCAATCAGTATCTAAGATCTAAACTTTTAACTCTTCAGTGCGGCTGAGAATATATAGTAACTAATAGCGACCGGTATAAGCTCGTTAGATAGCTCTATCATGTAGTAAACTTTTGTTAAAGATCTAATCTAGATACCTTCCAATGTTGAATGACAAGGAGGAGGACCAGTTATTTCTTGGTCATCAATGTAAATACGTTCGCAATCTACAAAATCTCTCGCTAAAAGGGTGTTTATGAATATATATATATACAGGATGGGTGCCATAATTGTAAAGATGGTATAACGAAGTAATGAAGAAAAGTCGCGAGTGTGAGTATTATTTTATCTTCTGAGTACATCTTTCGCACATTATTGTTACCGTATCAGATCATGGTAAAGTCATATCTTCAGTTTAGGAATGATCACCTATCTATGTTTCTCTGAAAAATCGCACCGATCGTTTAGTTCAGTGAAGAAATGAGATAGTTCACTGTTCCAAGTCATTCTGAGCGAATACTTGTGTAAACGCAAAATGGTAGGTTTCGGGAGTTATCAATGCAGGTCCAAGAACACCTGCAGATGAAGTCGACTTTGCTCCAATAGGAAGCATATCATAGAAGACACTAGCAGCAATAGCCTGTAAAGGCGGTATGTTGCCCATCAGGCCATGTGTAAGTTGCATATGATTGTCGTAAAACGCCTCGTGTGAGGCGAGCCTCTTTCAAGAAGTAAGCGTGAATTCACTCCACAAACAGATGTCTTTTTGGACTGACTTGAATCTTTTCATATATTTTCTGGTCACCGACGGGGAATTTTGTAGAGTGCGCGATATTTTTCTCTGCTGTGACTATTTCGAACACAAGCTTCTCAAGCTCGATGCACAGGTGTCGCATGCGCTCAACGTCAAGTACTCCACGCTTTTGGACCTGGGTCAGAAACTGCACAAAATCACTCATGTGTCTTAAATGGGATCGTGCTCCTATATCAGCGGGATGCTTAAGCAGAACTGCTACTAGCGCAAGACATGCAGACAAAGGGTAGAACAGAGTCTGCCTGCGAACCACTAGATTCAGCATTATATCATATCCATGAAATTCCATACATACCAGAGACATCCAGGCGTGAGGGGTGGTAGAAACTGCAAAAGTTGTATCGATGCGTGAGCCATAGTCGTATGAATGAAGTTTGAAGAGATGGACTGTGACGCGAGGTTAATGCCATCAACAGGCATGTGATACGCCGCCCAACTATGAACTGCATTCATAGCGCGATAGTAGACAAGATGTAACGCAAGGATAGTTTCCCTGCCCGGACCGACAGTCGACCAATCAACGTGGCCTGGCCGTATTGTTGCGGCAACTTGTCCTTTCCAGTCCTCAAGCCGGCAATTCAGCTCTGAAACTGCTGCTGAACACATGTCCGGACCGCAATTAGTGGCCTTTTCGGAATACAACTGGTTCTGAATGCATGATTCGATCACGGCTAGCTGAGCTCGTAGTCGAAAGACAGCGGCGTCCACACGTATTTCTGAGACAGCGGTCTTCCCAGGACAACCGAGGGAATCAGGACTTGGATACCCAAGGCTGATATCATCGTCGTTGTAAGAGGACGGAATTCTAGTTTTGATGGAGATATCCTTGTCAAGTATGTATGCAATCCAGAACGCCCGCTTATGTCGCTCGGCAGTAATGTGGTCCATGCCCATATAGAAGGAGCTTCTATGAAACCCAAGAGTTGTGGACAGCCGCGCAGCCTCGGATACTAAAAGTGAGGTTGTGCGTGCATCGCTTGATCCTTGCATGAACAGGGCCATGGCAAGAAGCGCTTCCAGGGCCACAATATCTGTACCGCGCGCGGCGATTGCCGGGAAAACGCCGAATGACGTTTTAAAGAAGTGCCACGATAGATCTATCATTCCACTGTAGGAATCTTCGGCCGCCTTGGACTGAATTGCAATTGCTAGGGCGGAGTTCAGGAGACCCCAGCGTGCCGGGCTTTTGTGAATCGATGACCCGTCACTCGCGTACTCCTCGTCTAAGAGCTGTATCAGACTATGATGGTCGAACAGTGGCCACTGGCAGTTGGTATTACTGTAGGCTTCTTTAAATAGTGTTTCAAGGTGGGCCTTGGAAGAGAGGTGCGTGAATATAGAACTTGTCAACCCACCATGCTGCATTTGGGTACGGAGCCGTCTCACAACATTGCTGTCTGGGAGCGACGCAAAGAACCTCTCTCGTACAGCTGATATCGCACTGCTTGTTCCGATAGAGGATTTCGGTGTCGGTAAGTTCGACCCCGAATTCCTTGTTCCAGAGGCCTGCGCAACAACTCGGCTAGTGTAAGGTCCCTCGGTCTCAGTAGGCGGCAGAGCTGTGCTCGATCGCCCGTCCGTATGCGCTAATGGTCGCACATCACCTGGCCCAAATTCCGAGGTCGAGCCGAGTGTCTTTGTGGCCATTTCATCTGAGCGGTGATCTGAAGCATAAGATGGCCCCACGCTTACTCGATCTGCTGGAAGCCCAGACCGAAGAGCATTCTCCAGTCTTGCAATCTTCATCTCAAGGGTTGAAACATATTCTTTTCTGTTTGCAAGCTTTAGACTGCCCAGAGTGCTAACAGTGCGAATTCAACTCACTTTTTACCCTTGCCCCGCCTCTTTGCCTCCAGGTATTTACAAGTCAATCCCTGCTTAAGACAAGGAGAACAGCTTGGCAGGTTCCCATCGCATCGCCTCTTTCTCGTTTGGCACTGCTGACACGCCTAGATCTGTAAGACGCTGGAGTGGTGACCATGCGGAAACTTACGTTTCGGACTCTCTTCTCAACATGGCTCTTCAACTTCGGGCTACCTTCGCTATCGGATGAAAGCGCCATGCAGTCAAGTTGACGGTGTAGAAGAATGCGGGCTAGTCGCAGGTGTTGTTTCGACCTCGAGAGCAGAATGTTGGATACCACGAGTGTCTCTGGTCTGGAACTGGGCTTGGCGCAAGCCGTCTGAGGGTCACGCGGCTTTCAGGCCTTGCTTGACGGTCGCTAGGCGAGAGGTCGCCAATTTCGCTACTAATTAGGCGGGCAAGTGAATTGTGCCAAACGTGGATCAGCTTAACCAGGAGTTGTATCTGTGCCCGCTGGGTTCCTAGGAGCATTCGAAACATAAATGCAAGCCTAGTATGGGCTACTGAAACAGCAGGTGGACGATCGAAGCACCATTTTGCTAATGACGCGAAACACTGACGTTCGACTGACTGTGCATTCTTGGGCAAGCAAAAAGAGAGGCTGGATCACTGCAGATGCCAAGAAAGCTGATGTCGTCGAATTAGTGGCTTTTTAACTTTATTGCATGTAATATTATCAATCAATGTTGAGTGCCTCGATCGGCCGGATCGCCTTCGGGTACAGTGGGTCCGGCGGCTTATCAAGTATTGATCGCGGATGCAAAATACTTCCGCACACGTTTGGAAAGTTCACTTGGGCCAGACGCTGACTCTTGTTTCCAATGTTCTATATAAAGTAGCCTATGCCAGGAATTTCCTCCTAGATAGACACACAGAGTTTAACAGTGTGCTTTTTGATTCTCATTGAGCAGAGAAGACCAAAAGTCATGGATCGCGACAAAGTTCTAGTCTTCGGCGCTACTGGGCCTGCTGGGATTTGCGTGTTAAGAGAGCTTCTCTCGCGGAACATTCCTGCATTGGCCTTTTGTCGAAATCCCGGCAAAATTCCAAAAGATCTGTCTGATCACGCACTCCTCGAGGTAAGTTGGGGCCCCCGATTGCCAGAATTGTGTCTAACTGATTGTGCAGATTCTGAAGGGAGATATGACCAACCGCGAGGACTTCTCCCGCGCAATTTCTAAATCTCGTGCTATAATATCTCTACTCGGACCCAGTGCCGATCGCCAACCTCGGAATACTTTTGCCGACTACTATCGAACAATCGTTTCTTCAATGAAGGAACATGGCGTACACCGCTTTCTCGTTCTTGGAACAACGGCCATCTATCGCCACGATGACCGCACATCCATTGTTCGTTCCCTCATGAAAGCACTCATTCAGCTGGTCGTCAACCACGCATACCAAAATGTCATGGCTATCCAAGAATACTTCGACTCAGTTCAAGATCCGTCGATCGAGTGGACAGTATATCGTCTAGGGTGGCTCACTGGTACGAGTGATCCAGCTGCCTGGTCTGAGGATCGGAAGAAAGGGGAAGCCTACGCAGGACCTGTCGGAGGGCCAGGTTTCACTTCTGGAGTGAACAGAAGTATTTTGGCCAAGTGGCTGGTCGATACGAGTCTAGACCCGAGCGCCAAGTGGAAGCAACAGATGCCGGCTGTCAGTAACCTGCGAAAGTAGGAAGCCCCTCAACACTTGGGCAGTGAGTTTATGGGTTTCTTGGTGCTGTACACGACGAGTGAGAATGTGTGTTATTCAAAGCAAGACTCCACGAAGTCTTAATACCCTGTTTTAGGATTCGTATATTTTTCAAGATGTGCTCCATTAGACACCCCAGCCCTTGGGGGACAAGATTGTGTTTGTCAACTGGAAAGTTCGAGGCCCTGTAATTCCATGGGAAGAAAACACCAATTTTTCCTTGAATCATTTCACTCTGTAAAACCGATCTTAAACGGAACCATTATTTATGGACAGTGTCAGAATTTTGGAGAATCTTCGATGCGAGTCCTCCCCAACCTTAGTTCTCCTGTCGATGTTGCATTGACAGTTTTTTGTAGGAGTTACAATTGACGGCACGACTTGTTCTCATCATTCTGTAATGTACACACTGGTCGCTCTCAACTCGGGTTCAACTCTAAACCCTCAGGATTCTAGAGGTTCACTTACGACCATCATCCTGTCTTAATCTCAAATCAGGTGAGCTCGAGCTCGATGATAATGGAGGCCAAATAGGCTATGCGCAGAACAGTAACGATAATGACCATTCTCGAGGACTATGTGATACTTCGTACATAAGTTAGCGTATTTCAGAAGGAGTCACCTGCAGCGAATCAACAGCGAACACGAAATCGACCCCATCTTTGACAGGGTGAGCGTCTGAAGCTCGAGAACGGGTAAGAGAAGAATCATCAAACAGGTAAGAAGACTGAAGATCACCTAAGGAAGACTAAAATGATAGACACGGGTGGCCACTTTTATCCCCCTGGGTTTACCACCAGGCACTATTATAATGCCTTCGCAGGAGGATTCGGTTCTATCTATAGAGTGAACGATAGCTTCAAGTCGAATTTTCTCCAAGGATACCTTCAATTGTCATAATAACTTCTGTGCTTATAAGTCGTAATACAAAGCGTAAGCCCAGTGGTTTAGTTGCATATAAAATATATAGATGCCTAGATATTCTTTTTCCCACAATAATCCGGCATCTTCCTTTCATCACAGGTCATCCCTTACTTTGTCCCTTAAGAGCTATCATTTCTAGCTACTTTCGAAAAGACTTCGAGGAAGGCCGGAGGGTCTTGTGCACCTCGCACAATATATTGCCCCTGAATCATGAAAAGGAGAACACCAAAGATACCCTGACGTTGTGCCTCAAAGAACTCTCGGTCCACATCCACTCCAGCGATATCGGATTTCAACCAAGTGTCCACGTCTCCTGCATCGATCCCAGCCTCTACGGCAATCTGGCGTAGGATATCATGAGAACTGATGTCCTGTGCGCCCTCGTGGTGCCTGCGAAAAAGCCCTTCCACCAATGCATCACAAATCTCTGGGTTCGAAAGTTTTGTTTGGGCCAGATATATCAATCTGTGTGCATCTCTGGTGCTTCCAGTCCTTCCACCAACTTTGAACCGAATTCCATTGGCCCTGCCCAGCTGCTCCATCCGCCTTATTACTGGTGTGATGTCGTGCATGCCGGTTTTCTGCTTGATGTAGTCCACCGTGGTGGCCTCGCTTGTTCCAGCATCTGGCCGGAGATAATACGCTCCCCATGTGATAGAGAAAGTATCGGAGCTATTGCCATGGGTCTTTTTCCACAGGTCAATGGCTTTCTCTAATTTTCTTTTGCCGACGAAACATAACTGTAGTACTGTTAATCGGCATATTCGAAGTTACTGCGAAGTCAAAGGGAGTGGAAGACTTCTACCTACGGGACAGATAATGTCTGAAACAATATGAATTTTAATGACAGCCATGAGTATAGCAAGGAACACGAGGAATGTGGTGTTTGGCTACGTTATTTCTTGGCTAGATAAGTGAGAACGGGTGAATTTGATCAAGAGTTGCGGTATTCCGTTTAATATGAAGTCATTGTTAAGCGCGGCTGCTTTTTGCTCCCGAGCCGAACAGCCATCACCTAATTAGAAATCTCAGTTAGCAGTGTCACCTTTGATTGGCATAGAGTGTGCGTCATTTACCAAGCTAATCATGGGTATCCTATAGGAGATTGCGGAAACTCAAGACCTCTGGCTGAAGTTACAACTGTAAAGCCGGTCTGGGAGACGTCCGCAACTCAACCTGCTCATCAATCTCGCACTGTTCAGATCGATCGGCATCGACATCCTCTTGCCTTATGTTTCCTTCAAATTCAACTGGCCTCTCTCAAAAGTGTGGACATATTCCAACTTACCAAGCCATTGCACTGACACAAGCAGCGACCATGCTCTTCGTTCAATATATTATTATATATAGCACTATGTTTCTTAATGTAGTATGGAACGTTGAAGGATTTCATCAGTGCGAACGTGGGCTTTTTTCATTCGGGCTCAGACTCAGGCACGGAGTATCATTAGCATGATGCAGGCCTCTTCGTTGCTGTTATTTATGTACTTATCATTCAGCAAACGTTCCAAAGCCACATGTGGAAAATACAGATCCACCAGACTACTCGCTGCAAGGTCAGGCTGGGCCGATCTGTCACAAGCCGCAGTTGGCGCCCAGACGTCGATTGTTTGGCCAGCCGTATGATAAACTGCAAGCCATATCATGCAATGTCAGAAAGGGCCCCGGTGAGCACAGACCAACGCTTGGGTGCTCTGTGTATAGTCAGAATATAGTAGGCACACACACGCGCCTTGTCTTTATCTGGTTTAGTACGACATAGAGTGCTGGGTTGATGTGGTCCTTTTCGTTCAGTTTGACTCTCAGGCTTCCCTTTTCTCTTTTCTTTACTACTTGTTGTACCAGATACAGCCGTCAGAAAGAGACAGTGAAAGACAACACCGGAACGCGGATATGACAAAAATGCACGCGTCAGTGGAAATTGATTCTGACTCATGGTACCGAGTTCAAGATCCCAAGAAACGAAAACAGATACAAGATAGGTTGGCGCAGAGAGCAAGAAGTGAGTGCGAAATGCTGTTGTCTCCCTGTTTTACATCTGTGAGCCGTCACAATGGTACAGGACGCCGTAGTCGAGATCCGACATTTCAGGTCATAGATCCCCGTTTTCTTGGCTTTGATTTCTTTTTCCTTTGGCCTTTAATATTCCTCGTTCATGATTTGAAGAATATGAAACGAAAAGCTCATCTCAACGACGATGTGTTGTAGGGAAACGTCTAGCTGAGAGTCGTTCGTACCAACAACAGCAACAACCTCGCCACTCTTACCGTCCAGAACAAGACATCGTTCCCACAGCATCCCGAAGCGCTATTCTCAACGATCGCGACCATGGTCTGTATCAACAATCACATGGTGGTGCGGGGAGTGGTAACACAGACAAATTGCCATCGGTAATGACAATAACAACAACAACATCATCGTCATCGTCAACTACAACAACCACAACGACAACATCGTCAACAACACTAGCGACAGCACCAGCAGCAGCAGCAGAATCAGGGGCCTCATCGACAGAAGCGACTACTCCCACTAAACCCATGATCGGCTCCGGCCAGAATCTATTGACAAGGCATGTCTCCTCGGTCTTCGCAGCTCTACACAACAACGGTCTCATCCTGGGCCTGCGGTGTGGGATTCAGGTCCCCATCCTGTCTCCTCCGTGCACGTCCAAGGTCCCCTTGAGTTTGCACCCGAGTAAGACGCAGATGACGGTCCTGCACATCCCGTGGATAGACCGGTTTCCCTTCCCGGGCATGAGGGACAAGGTGATTCGGCTCAACGGCATGTTTGACGAGGAGGAGTTCCTGAACGACATGTTCCAGATGAGTACTTTCGACATCCTACCCGATTCGGTGAGCTGGGATCCGAATGCGTGGATCATGACCCAGAGTTTTGAGGAGAAATGGGGGTTTTTGTTCTTGTAGACCGGGAAAAGAAAAACCAAAACGGACGAGGAGGTATACGGCGAAAGTCGAGGGACGGACCATAGATGATATACAAACCGTGCTAAAGTGGGGAGACAGGAGAACATGTTGTTCCTACGCTTGGTAAGAATGCTGCGCAAATGAAAACGGGATCCCCTTACCCACTTTTCGAGGTATCGGGAAACCGAGGGAGTTCAAAAGATCATTGACATCGAGCCATTTGAGTATTCCATAAACAACTTCGAATACAACCCCAGCAGCTAAGCACGACACCACAACTGCTCGTTCAAAGTACAGTTTCTATCTGCTACCTTGAAGCATTGGCGCGTGGCAGCTATTGGTTTCACAGGAATCGAAACCCCAGGACAAACTACTATCGAGAACCCTCCACTCGGTGATACCTTGCTGGTCCCCCGGCCAGTTCGGTCGGACCATGTGTTCACTTCGACAAATTCGATGCGAGTACCAGCCGGATTAGAAACAATGGCAAATCTAACGGTCCTTAGATCCTTTGTTGTGGAGCCGAAGTGACCGGTACGAGCAAGCTCGTTTCTACTGCCCACGCAGTGGCTCACTGTTCGATCCCGTGAATGACGATCAGGTTTGTCGTTGTCTAGGTAGAGTAAGAGAGGAAGTACTGTACCTCTCGAGAGGGTATGATTCTCGATCTTCGAAAACTTCAGAACACCCCCAAGCCACTAAATTCTGACCCTTCTGACCCTTCTGACCCTTCTGACCCTTCTGACACGCATTTGTCAGTATTGCGCGCCTCGTACCCATGCCAAGTCTAGACCTCTGTCGAAAGGTACGACTTTGTGCCCGTCTTGGCGGCCGGGACCTTGTTTCTGACACGAATCACATCCGCAAGATAGCCACCAAAGTATTCGAAAGTTAGTCGAGACGCCCCCCATATCTGAACCGCCAATGAAGATCTCAATGAGGCCGCCTACGTAAATCCCACCCCAGAATCCTATTCGTAGCGAATGCGAGAGAAGGCAACCCCGCGGGGAGTCACGGCATGTTATTCACCCGATAGTCCAGCAGTCACAGGTAAGCAATAGTAGACGTTGTGAAGGCGCTGATGGGCGAGACCCAAGGGCGACGGGTTTCGATATACTTATATAGGTGTGTACCTGGTGATATGATGCACCACTTCGGCCCTCCCCTCCATTTGATACCATAGTACCACATTCTTCACTCAGCTCAGTGCTCACACCGCCTCGCAAAGTTGTTCTCCCACCATGGCGAGTACTCCTAGCACAGCAATCCTCTTCGTGCCGGGTTCCTTTGCCCTTCCGGAATTCTACGACCCCGTCTTCGAAAAAGTCCGAGCCAAAGGGTACAATATCCAGGGTCTTCATATGCCCACCGTCGGCCTGTCTGCTTCAGAAGGCCGTCCGACTGGTCCAGGTGGTGGTCCTCCCACAATGTACGACGACGCAGCGTACATCGCGACCGAAGCCGAGCGTCTCGCGGACCAAGGTACCAGGGTCGTCATCATAGGCCACTCGTACGGCGGTGTCCCCGTCTCACAAAGCACCAAGGGCTTGAGTGTCGCGGACCGAAGTGCGCGAGGTCTCCCCGGTGGCGTCGCGAGACTGGCGTACATGACTTGTCTTGTGCCCGGCGTAGGCGAGACGGCAGTGGACGTTCTTTCAAAGGGGCCACAGGACCAACAGGTTGAGATGGATGTTGATGTAAGTAGTACACAACATGCATCACGCATCGCCACGCAATTCACAATTCGCAATACCCAATGCGCAACTCGCAACATTCAATACTTACAACGACAACGACAAAAACCTCCAGAAATAATTCGTCATCCCATGGACCGTTGACATTTACCGAGTTCATTCTTCCTCTTTCTCATTCTCCCTTGCGTCCAAAGTACCAGATAGTGTATGTGCTAACGATTCCGAACTTATACTACACACGGAATAGGACTCGGGATGGATGACGCATAGAAACCCGGAAAAGACAGCGTCGCTTATCCTGCAGACAATCCCACTGGACGAAGCCACGGCCCTTGTCAAGTTGTTCCCGAAACATTCAGCCCCCAGCTTCGTCAATCAGCTCACCTATGCGGGATACAAGGATATTCCCGTCTCGTATCTCCTGTGTGAGGACGACCTGTGTATTCCGCCCGATGTGCAGCAGCGAGGGATCGATATCATCGAAGAGCAAAGTGGGTCGAAGGTCGATGTTACGAGAATCAAGGCGGATCATTGTCCGAATCACAGCGCCATGCAGAGCGTGGTAGATTGGATTGTGAGTGTTGCTGAGAAGGCGAGCACTTAAACAAACAGGGGAAGGTAAACGAAGTCATTGAATGAACGCAGGTACCTGGCTAGCTTAGCATATCAATCGTTAGGGTTGAACCTTAGCTCGATACTGTTGCGCTTGTGTTAATTGCCTGAGTAAGTATAGTACTTGATCGTCGAAGATGCAAACCAATGCCAATGTATTCATCTAGGTAAATTTGAGGAGTAGGCTGGCAGAAGGAGAGCATGATTCTGAGTCCCTTTCGTTCTCGATTATGATCGGTCACGGATCTGCTGAGGAGAAATCATCACAACAGCTTGAGCGTGTATCTCTTCGCGGAAATTTAGGAAAGTCTGCCATGCCTTTCAGATGTAGAACAAGTGAGAAGGTCAAGTAGACAGGGGACAGCAGTTCTCTGAGACGCGCAAAAGCAGCAATGACAGTCGTCTAAAACGGCAGGATATTTTTGTGGCTCTAGCGATCCACGAAGATCTTCCAAAGCTCCAATCAAAAAGTTGTCGGACAACCAGAACGGCGGTAATTGTAGACACAGACATCCCGCCGTCCTCAGAGGAAGCTCACCATGGCCTCAACCGTCTCTATCTTCGGTACTCCCGTCTCAAGACTTCTTTCCCGACGAAGCGCAACCGCATTTTCAACAGCCATTCAACCATGGTCCTCCCGGCCTATCATCTCCGCGTCCATTGCGATTCCTTCAATTGCCATAAACATACCTGGTCTGGTTTCTGATATCTGGGAAGGGATTCTGAAAGCAGTGCCCAAGAAGAAGACTTCACATATGAAGAAAAGACACCGACAGTTGGCTGGAAAGGCTCTAAAGGATGTTAAAGCTGTCAATAACTGCCCTGGCTGCGGACGACCAAAGAAAGCTCATACCTTATGTCCATATTGCGTTGCTGGTAAGCTCAAGAAAAGGAACTTCGGAAACCTTGCTAACATACTGGGTCAGAGATATATGACAGCTGGAATGCGCGGGACGCCCAAGAAAAAGAGATGGCTGCGCAGAGTAAATCTTGAAACCAGCCAGTCCTCATAGCACCCAAAGGAGAACACTTTGCCCACGATACCCATCCGTTCGGTGACGAGCGGCGGCCTTCCGATGCCATTCCGATGTTCGCTGGAGAATTCCAGTATAGACAGATTCGTACGTCCGCAGCGCTTTGTGTCCGACACCGTCAATCAGGGCGCCATGGCCACGGAGTCATTGGTGGACACCACGGAGATCACCCCTAAGACGGAGACTGGGTCACTGTGCGATATTCGGGACAGTTCTTCTTCAGCAAATAGCGATATCCTTGAGCTATTTGAACGGGTTCCTGGGCAGAATCGAGCAACAGAGTTGTTTCTGCAAAGATTTGGAGTCTGCATTGGAGGGCACCAGTTGCTTTTCCCAAGAGACATTCGCTCCAAAAGTCTCACACTCCTATAAGATGAGTCACTGGAGGTCTAGTCCCTTGCTGTTGCGAGCCGGCAACGAAGATAAACATGTACAACATTTTACGTGTATATAAGGTCAACTTTCACGATATAAACACCGAAAAGCGATTATTCCACCAGTTTATATTCCTCCTTGGACAAATCGTCTTGAGCATGTGAAGTCGGACCACCTGGCAAGGCCTTTCCGGTACCGCTGACCTTTGTTTCTCCCTTCGTAATATCATACAAGATCTTGGCGTTGATGGGGTCGCCGGTGTGTTTTTGTGCCTGTGCAGTAGGAGCTCCTTTCACAGGTTGATTGTGTCCGGTCGTCTTTATTGGCTTTAGTCGAAACGAACTCAGCAGCGGAGTAGACTAACCTTTGACACGATCACCGACAACATTCTTTCTCACCATTTGTGATGGAGAATATGGTCTACCGGGTCAGAGATTCCGCGGTGTGAGACCGAGCCTTTGCAGTTGGACCAGAATTGGCAGAGCGGCCAAAATCAGTGAGTTCTTTTTCTTTCTGGGTGATTGTAGAGATGGTTTCGGAATCCAAGTTTGACCGGTTCGTGGATGCCATTCTGCGTGAGACGATGGAAAAGGCTTCGATGGTATGATACGTGAGGAAGTGGCTGACCTGGACAGTCTTGAGGAAACTTTTGTTGAGAATCATGAGTATGACAAACGAACAAGTCGAGTTGCAGACATGTTCGAATCTTCTCAACCAAAAAGCATTCTCCTTTATCTCGTTGTATTTGTCTTCGATTTCAGAATGATCCAGATCAATCCAGTTTTGTAGAGCCCTCCGGTTCAATCAAGACTATGGCAATCGCTGGTAAGCTGAAGATAGAACAATATATGAACATCAAAACCCATAAATATTGCACTTTAGAACAAAACCTACACAGGTGACAGCCTGTCAACCACGGAAACTGTAGACGTCAACAAGGGACAATTTTTTGTGAGGCTGATGGTAGTTGATGGGACAACATATTATGCCATCTGGTACTTGCACCTTGCATTGGTTTGCTTTCAATTCGACCAGTTCATCCATGAGTACAGGACTCTTTCGGGCGATCATGCGGATAGGAAGCCGTGATATCGAGCGTCTATCGTTGTGGCCATATTAGCGTACACAATGATGCATAGAGAAGTCTCATCCGGTAGTTGCTGTGATGTCCACCGAGGCATCGACACTGAATGAAGTTTGTTAATGAGCACAGATTTAAATGTCCACGATACCTCGAAAATGACGTCATTTCAATATTTTTGTGCCCGCGCTTTGACTGCGGCATCGATTTGACTCTGTTGGAGCGCAATGACAGTCTCTCCATACACACCTTGGACTCGACGCGCCTAGCAAAAGAGGAGTCCCATAAAACCCCCGGGAGATGCATTCTCTTGATTTAAGATGGTTCGTTCAAAGCCTCTCCATCTTACAGTCCGTTACGACTAACGCCCTGCACAGTCGAAGCAATATCTCTCTCAGCACACAATAGATAATGGTAAGTCTCCCCAGAGTGTTTTGAAGCATACTGACACACGTCAGCACATATCACCGATGTATTTGCTTTGGCCGTGACCACATCTCAGATCCTCACTGGATCGGGTGAACCCTCAATTAAAGTTCATTCCACTGCCGAGGAGGACTTCCCGATAGCCCAGGTTTTGAAAGATGCTCACAAAGTTGGCTGCCACCATATCGTCACCAGCGGGTCCGGTATAAGGGCCGTAAGTGTCGGCTTCGATGGAACAGTCAAGGTATGGAGGTATGAAGAGGGCATGTGGAAAGAGGATGGCGACATCCCGAACGAAGGGCCTAGAAAAGGTGGGCATGTATGGGCCGTAACGCTGTCTAGCGATGGACAGTACCTTGCAGGCACAACACAAGACGGACGTGTCAATGTGTGGGATTTGAATGGAGGCAAGGAAAAGATCCGAGAGTTTGAGACCAAGGGCAGTTTTGGTCTCTCGGTCGATATGGTATGACTTCCAAGCTTCTCTGCACGAACGAAGGCTGATGTTTGGATCCAGTCCGCAGACGGACGGTTCATAGCCAGCGGTCACGAGTCGGGAAACATCTACGTTTTCTCTACAGCTACCTCGCGCCTGCTTCATTCACTCCCTGGTCTCATCAAACCTGTGCGGTCGGTCAAGTTCTCTCCGGGCTCAACAATGCTTGCCGCGGCTGGGGATGGACGTGTGATATCTCTGTATGATCACACCTCCGGTGAACAAGTCGCCAACCTCAGCGGACATGCAGCTTGGATTACGAGCCTTGATTGGAGCCATACTGGCCAATACCTTCTCAGTGGAAGCCTCGATGGAAAGGTCAAAGTCTGGGACATTGAGCGAAGGACATGTGTAGCCACTCATAGTGAGAGTGACAAAGGTCTCTGGTGTGTCAAATGGTTGCCCAAGGACGCAACCGCCATATCAACGCACAAAGCCGAACGCTTTGCTACGTCGGGAAGCAACAAATCGATTGCCATCTATCGAGAAGCAACCGGAGGCTAGGCCCAATTGTGGAAGCTCCTATGCTCAACTCGCATCTGAGACAACACTGAGCCGCATTTACTCAAATCCCACCAGACGGATTTCTATGTTGGAGATGCGTAGCCGGCCCTATCGCAAAGATCACGCCGTGGCGCCAAATGCTACTAAAAGATTCTGAGGAGAAGCAGCTGGATCGATAGTATCAACATCAGCAAAGCTGTTTGGGCTACAACGAACACGAGACAAAACATCGGTGACGACCATACGCCCCGGCATGTCGGGCGCGCTCTTCACTAGGCACCTCGCAGAAACGTCTGTATTGTCAGTACCAGAACTGCGCCGCTAGTAGCTGGAATGTATCTCCTCAGAGAGGACCCATCCCCACAAAGCCTGTAAAAAGGCTAGAGATAGGGCGAAACAAGATAGAGAAAGAAGGATTCTCAATACCTTCTTTAGAAATTTTCTCTCGGCATGATTTTGACAACAACCATCACGGTGTATAGATGGATGAAGCTTCGAAAGTGCCTGTGACGAGGTAATAGTTTACGAGTTCGACCGTTGTTCGCCTTGAACGATGTTGTAAGTATCCGGTGCTCTCAGAACTAGGGACATCTTCGTCCATCTGAGCATTTTTGAAGCACGCTTCATTACAGGAAAGTCAAGAACAAGCTCAGGCCTGGGCGATTGCGATAGACAAAGTACGGTAGATAGCTCTCAGATCACATCAAGATCTTCAAGATTACCGCTGACCATCAAAAAGGGAGTATCCATGGCTCGGAGACCAGAAATGTGGTCGACTGCGCGCAATAAATCATTCAATGAGTAAATGTGTAAGCCACAAGCGAACCAGCACCACCACGATCTCTTACAAATGCAATCTAAATCGACAGCAGAGCAGAGCAGGCGGGCAGGATTAGAAGGGCTACTCCATTTAGGTCCATGGAGAATATGTAATAGCCACAGAGAAGTTCAAGGCAATAACAAGGGTATATTGAGGACCGATAATAACTTGAAGAAGAAAGGAAGTTGAAACGCGAAGCGAGAAAAGTTTTAGGTGTCGAGCAAAGGCTGTCTTGGCATCACAGATATCTTGATCGACCGTACAAGGGGACGCTACGGGGGAGTAACTGATCATCTGGCGCATCCTGGCCATTCTTGACCGTGACACTTGAGGCCGACGCCCTTTCGGAAACATCGACATCCTCACCTCCCTCGAGTATGCGACACGCCTCGATAACCGACTCGGCCATACTTCTGTCGGATATCGGAAGCGACGACTTCGGCCTGTCGAAAGCTGTACTTAACATGGTCGGCTCCGGATAACAAAAAAGATCTTATGCATACCTAAAGTACCTTACATACCTACTTACCCTGTGGTACCAGTTCCTGCTTTCTTCTCCTTTCTCTGTCTCTCCCCCTTAACTGTACGTTGTGGTACAAGTACTCTCCATACTAGTCGCAATGCCTCGCCATCGTCCTCGTCGCCTGCAACACATCCAGGGCATTGGTGTCGACCAAATGGGCAATCTCGCCGATGCCTCTAACTCAGACTACCTCCGCCTGGAGAATCTCGATGTTGATATAGCCCCGGACCAAGAGGCCCTCGAATTTACCGAGCAAGCCATCCATCGAGACGAGTTCAACAGTTATCTCCCCTTTACCGGCCAAAGCCGCCTGCGCGATGTGGCGGCGAAGCACGTGTCCCAGCTGTCTGGGGTGGAGTACACCGGCGACCGTAACTGTGTCATATCTGCCGGTGGTCTCTCCGGCATCCTCAATGTGCTTCTGGCGACAATCGAGGAAGGCGACGAAGTCATCATGACGGACCCAACTTACCGCGGGCTCATCAACCGTGTGCTTCTGGCCGGGGGCGTGCCAAAACTTGTTCCCTTCACCTTCCAGCCCGGGCAGGAGTGGAAATTAGATCGCGAAGTGCTGCGATCTGCCGTTACCGAGAAAACCACAGCCATGTTGCTCATGTCGCCATCCATGCCAAGTGGCGGCTATTTGGACCACGAAGACTGGCTTCTCGTTTCGGAGTTGTGTGTTTCAAGTGACCTTCTCCTTATCCTAGATACAGCCATGGAACGTCTCGTCTTCGATGGACGTCCCGTTATCTCTCCCGTGGGCTTGCCGGGCATGGCGGAACGTACCGTCGTCATCGGATCTTCCGCCAAAGAACTGAGAATGATCGGGTGGCGAGTTGGCTGGATCGTGGGCCCCGAAGATCTCACCAAGGACATTGCTGCCGTATCAATGGCGAACGTCGTTGTCCCTGTCGGGATCGCGCAAGAAGCCGTGGCGATTGCCTTGGAAAAGTCATCCGCATCGTCCGCGTCCATGTCAGGGTATGTGGGCGAGCTACAGGCCCGGCGAGATCTTATCCTATCGGAATTGGACGGTCTCCCCGTAGGTGTGCCGGCTGGCGGCTGGAGTCTATTGTTGCGTGTCAGCGACTTTGGCATTGACGGTGCCACCGCTTCAAAGCGACTCCTGGACCAGGGAGTTTGCGCGACCTCGATGGATGGCTGGGGAGACGTCCATGGCCGGCATTTTATCCGATTTGTCTTTTCCAATGAGCCCCTGCATCGATTAAAAGGCATCGGTGAAAAGGTTCGACGCGCTTTGGAAGTCTCTTAACGAAGCATCATGAAGTAGCGCTGTCTTGCCTTGCAGCTACCGGTAGTTCACTTACTCAGACTATAGACGTCATAGCTTCGATCTGAGCCTCTCGTGCGCTACAATGCTTCTGGTTTGGTGGAGATATTCATTCGGCTTTTCAGCGCGAAGAAAGGGATAAGCTCATCTTTGTGAGTGCTTCGCTCTATACGCAAAATTTACTGATTGAATCTATTCTACCTATTGCCAATCTATCGATGGTCTATTCTGGTCTAGTCTATCTATCTATCTAGAATCTATCCATTCCGAGTCTATGTCAAGTCTAACCGGGGTATCACCTCGGTCTATTTGTCATGTGCAATGCTGATGCTTCCAACCGTGGTCTCCGGCCCCGTTGGCTCAACCCATCCGATCTTGAACAGTCGATACTCGCTCTCGTCTGTTCGGCCCACTCCCCTCTGTTTGGCAAGATGCTCGGTTCTGAGGATTTGCAGTTCACGACGACCGACTTCGTTTTTCAACTGCTCGTCCTGGACAGCTGACCCGAATGCTGCCTCCACTGACTTGACCAATCCTTCGAACCGACCGCTACCGCGTACCGAGAAAAGCAACCAGAACACGCCTCGAGGGCCCAGCAGATGTGCAGCACATTTGCGCAAAGCAATCGCATGGTGGACTTCATACACCACATCGGCAGCGATGATTACGTCTGCCTTCTTGTCCAGAGGCGCGTCGCTGTGCGGCTTCTCCCAATCCAGCGTGCACGTTTGAATGTCGGCGTGTTGTCGTGGCAGGTCGTCCATCTCAAGGTGAAAGTTCGATGCGATGTTCGCCCGTAGGTTGGCAAGGACGGTTTGATGGTAGTCTGTCGCAACGACGGTGGCACTCTCGATCCCGAGGGTTGGTAGGAGTTTGGCGAGGGTGAGACTGATCAGGCCGGTGCCGGCGCCGAGTTCGACGATGCGCGGTGCCGACGGCAGACAGGAGCGCGTTAGATCGAAATGAGAGGCTGAACGACACAGAAATTCCGACAGGACAATCGAGGCTCCCCACGTCTGCAGACCGACATCGGTGTGATCGTCACCTTTCAGCGGATCATCGTTGAGTCGGATGCAAAGTTGTTGGTGGTGGGGTTGGCCGCCTGCAGACGACGAGAAGGTGGGCGGCGGGATCTGGACCTCAAAGGTGAAGTCTCTGGTTAGGGCTTCCTCGTCGGCGTCGGGCGAGGCGGCAGAGGACCTGTTGAAGCACACCAGCACCGAAGCAGCCTCCTCGACGAGCAGGTCGCGTACATTCTCCGATAGAAGCGTCATCTCTTCGGCCCGGCCAATCAAGGTCGTCAACCAGCGTGTGGCAAGCTGTTTGTCGAACTCGTCCATCACACCAACCGTGTTGAGTGTAATTTCCGAGGTGTCCTCGTCGCCGTCGCCGTCACCCTCACCCTCACCGTCTTCAGATACATATCCAGAGTCCCCGACGGGTGTAGAGATGGGGGGGATGAATGTCTTCGGCTTCCCAGCCGTTCTAAAGTCGAAGACAGTCGGGAGTGGTCGATAGAGTAACCGTAAACTTTGCAAGGCCTTCTTCAATTGCCTCTCGGTGACCAACTCTGGCGAGCGTAAAGACGGCAGGCTGGAGGCAGTGGCCGCCGCCGCCGCCGCCGAACCAGCTAGCGTCATAATCGACTTTGTTTTCCTCTATGCATTGCTGATTCCGTCAATCTCAACTACGGTGCTGGAAAGTTGCGGTGCGGAAAGAGTGAAAGGGAAAAAACGGTTCGAAAAGTGGGCGTCGAGTCGCACCAATAGCATTTCACGGTTATCCCAAAAGGCTACGGCGATAGGAAAAATCTTACTGTCAAGCCTGTGCCGGAGCTTGATGGGGTTTGGCGGGTCGGATCGATCTCTCGGATGGAGTCTGGATCATGGCATCGGTCTAGACTCGTTGCCACTGGGCACTCTGAAGAATCTCACCACTTTCAACCCTGTGGAGTTGAGTCCGAATGAATATACGGCCAGACTCTCTGCCTCAAAAACGATGAACATAGGTATGACTTTTTTAGCGGTAGAAGCCACTGAGCCCAGCATTCCAACAGGAACCAAAAACCGTCAGGTAAGGTCAATCTCCGTCTCCTCCCAGCCTTGCTTCAGGTCCGGTTCGGCAACGCGAGTCTGTGAGGTCACATACAGACCTATACGACGATACACATTAGTTTCGCCGATGACTCTTGATTGTTCTAGCAATAGAATAAACCATTGGTCCCAGGTCTTATTCTCGAACAGGATGAATGCTGGCAACAAGAATTCTGTCCTTTGTGTCCCTTTCATCTCATTCAAATGTTTCGGCTCGTCGATGTGGATCGCGTTGTTCTCATTCTCTCCGTACTCTTTTCCGTCGATGATTGTGGTGAAAACCACTCTCGCTTCGTTGAGCACACTTGTAAACCCGCGGGTACGCAGCTTGAGAAACTTGAAACGGCCTTTCAGCCGCAACACGCCACGACGGACGTGCCCAAACGGGTCTCGAGTCGCTCGCTCGACATTGACGCTCACCACCTCTGCAGAGTATCCCCTGCCTGAAGGCGTAAAGTATTCATCGAGAGGTGTTTCAATCTTTGTCTGCACCGATGCCCATGACCAACTTGGAAGGCCACTATTCTTTCCGCTTTCTGAGACACGCGATACTTGACTTGTGCTGAAGACTGTATGCCATGCCAGGGCTTCAGGAAGCTCGCTGGACCACACACCGGCCAGGTATTCGGCGCCAGCATAGTACTTGGCATGGAAAAGCTTCGCTATTCCTGAGAGAGCTGGCAGCTTATCGGTAGGCTTGGAGAACTGTCGAGTCGAGTACTGCTTACACAGTCCAATCCAAGCGCGAGAGACTCTGTTGAAACTTTCGGCTGCTTCTTCTTCTTCTTCCAGCTTCCACCGTCTGTACATGTGCAGAGTGCTACTATATCTGCCGAGTTGGGGACCAGTGGAGCGTCCTTGACGATCGAATTCCCACGCAGCAAGCTCTACACAGTTCCAGAAGACTCCATGTTGAGTTATGTGTGCTGTACGTCCAGGCAGGAGCCGCTCTTGAAAAGTCCACCCACGCTGATTAAGAGGGGATTTATCCACCGATGTGGAAAAGTCCGGCACCTCGGGGGAAAAGTTGAATGTACCCTCCATGATCGACACTGTCCGGAGGCCAAACTCGAACGCCGGCCTTTTCGCAAACAACCCAAAATCGACGCTGGGTGCGCTCTCTGCCAAGACAGTGAGCAGCGAATTTGAGTATACCTGGGTGCAATGGATTAGTGCTTGAGGATATAAAGCGATTGTCTTCGGGGTCATGAAAAATCGTCACGCTTCAGTTCTTAAGCAGGAAGTATATCCGATAAGAAACAAAACTTGCCTCCTTCATCATAGAACTTTCCACTTCCCAATCCGATGAATCTTGCTCGGACGGCTGTATGATGCATAAAGCATCGATCCACAGGAAGGATACTCCAAGGCTACGAGTGAGTAGAACAGCATCGCGAATCGTTCTCGGCAGAGCTTGCAAATCGACCTTGACAAAGTAACCATCAATGTTCTGAGTTGTTGTCACGAAGTCCCGCTGGCCATTCCCCCAGCTATAACTCAGCGCAACGTAATTTATCCACTGATAGGTTGGGCTTTGGTCAATTGAAGAATCATCGTTGATGCGCCCTTCCAAAATGTCAGATGAGAGCACTAGTCGCAAAGCCAGAGATGCTCCATCTTGAAAAATATGCAACAGTCTCGTCGGTGCGAAGCAACGGGGGTTCGAGGCTCCTCTAAATCTCTTAACATCCTCGAGGAGAGGCTGTGATGCAGAGAAGGAGGTCGGAGTCAAGCGTCGACAATGGCTATGGGTCGTCGTACATGTTTTCAACCAGTGGACAATAATCGGGCCCAATGCGTGCTCGTCAACCTCTGCACAAGGAGGAGTGCCTGATACAGTCAGCTTTTTCGAGCAGGTGTTTTCTCATAGACATGCTACGAGCCTTCGGACGGCCATCGACGACTGTTCTCGTCGCACCAGTTGTAGTAGCTGGTGAACTGGGAGTTTCCGATACGCAGTTCAATTTCGTGACGTTGGAAGCCTTCTTTGTGTATTTTCACTTGTAACACCACTGCGCCGGGCCCTGGATGTGCCCCGTTGTATCGCCATGATTTAAGAACATTGTAGCGCAGAAGGCTGCAAAAGTCGCAGCTCGAGGCAGACAGCACTAATTTCTCCCAGCTTTTATGGATTCTCACTGTACCCGTGGTCTTAGTTGTACAGAGCTCATCCAGCCTGCCCAGGCAGTCTCTGGTCTGGCATGAGTTGCAGAGCTTCGGCGCAGACATTCCAAGCGGACAAGCTGTCGAGACGTCTCACTTCAGAAGCTACTCAGACTGGTCATCATGCAGGAGGTGGTCTCCTCTTAAATGCCTACCTCCTATGCATAGCCCGATGTCATCGAGTCTTCACGCGACTTGACAAATTTGCCGACAACTGCCGCGGTGAGTTCGGCGAATTTCACGTTGAATTGAGGCCCGAATGTGCAGCCTCATTCGACCAACAACATCACAGACTCAGCACAGGGCGGCATCAACCTCGGCCGGATTGGGCTTGAGCCACGAGCAGATTTCCCACAACACTTGTCAAGCAGCAAGCTACAGTATCTTTCAACCAAAACGACTAGTCTCTCAGCTTGCTGGAGCAATGAGGCCCAGAGACCTTCTCGCAGTCACGGTGACGGAACAAGACCATATGGGTCGAACACAAAAGCTTCAAGTCAATAGCAATTTAGTGCCGTTTCTGTCCTACGAACAATCTCGACAATGGAGAGCTTCCAGTCTGAGGTCTTCACAAACCGCGTCCAGGCCTTGATGAGCCAACATCATGTGCCTGGAGTCTCGATTGCGTTGGTGCAGAATGACCAAATCGCTAGCCGGGGCTATGGCAGCGCAACTCTCGACCCGGTAGTTCCATGCACTCCAGACACCCTGTTCGACATAGCGTCGTCTTCAAAATCGTTGACTGCCGGATGTGTTGGCTTGTTGGTCGATGACGATGAACGGTATCCTGATGTTCGCTGGGAAGCCGTTCTCTCCGAGCTTCTGCCGGACGACTTCGTGATGTCGGGCGTTGGATATACCGAAGCCGTTACCGTCGAGGACATATTAAGCCATAGAAGTGGCATGCCTCCGTAATAGGGATCCACAAACATACCCTCCATTGTGAGCTCCTAACTGATTATTCACAGTCATGACAGCTCTTCTATGGGCCCACGAGCTGCTCACCCAGACGACGCACGCTCAGTGACGAGGAATTTGCGCAACCTACCAGTCGCTGCACCTATACGTTCGAAGTACATGTACTGTAACATGATGTACACTGTGGCAACGCATCTGGTTGAAGTGAAAAGTCAGCAGCGCTTTTCGGACTTTCTACAAGATCGCATCTTTGGACCGTTGAATATGCCGTCGACGAGCTTGCAACCTTTGATGGCACGAAGCAGGGGCCATGGCCATCGTATCGCGACGGGATATTCCTGGAACAAAAGCAAGTCAGCATATACTATATACGAGAGCCCAGACTGTCCGGCTGAACAAGGGGCAGGCTCAGTCATCAGCAGTGCTAACGATTTCGTCAAATGGGTCAAGGCGCTTATGAACCACGAACCGCCAATCACTCAGAGTCTGTACCAAGGTCTTGTTAGATTGCGTACCTTCACGAACCCGAGCATGCAAAGGCTCAAGAAGCATACGTCTCCTAAATTTTACGCTGCCGGCCATGAAGTGTACTTTTATCGCGGGGTCATGGTAATTGGTCACGATGGATGCATCGATGGCTTTGCGAGCCGTTTCTTCTTCTTACCGGACTTCATGTTCGGCGCCGTTATACTTACCAACTCGAACGATGGTACAGGATTAGCCACGATCTTGGCTCGAGAGCTGATCGATAGTGTGCTGGGGACTGACGGCAATAATGGTCCACGCAAGGCGCAGCTACCGACACGACCCAAACCGCGGAACCCGCAAAAGCTAAGGCTCCCTATCCAAGCCGACGGTACGGCCACCAGCGACAGGACCAGGCAGAGCCATGATGGCTTTCGAAGCAATCACAAGGGTGATACTTCCACTCAAGAACAGTCCGACCCGGATACTGGCTCAACAGTCAGGCCTTCCGATCCACCAATAGAACAACTTGATACCCTCACAGGCGAATACACAAATCCTGGTTATCACAGCCTAGTAGTGCAGATGAAAGATCGCAAGCTCTTCGTAGACGCGACTGATCGCTCGGACAGGTTCTTTCTAACCTTTGACTATGTTAGGGATCAAACGGAGTACGTAGCTCACTTCCACAGGTCCCTGGATCTGGAGAGCTTCGAGGATATCCGAGCCGAATTCGTCTTCGAGAACGGTAGAGCCGTGAGGATGGGTCTTCATATGGAACCGGCACTAAAAGAGCTGATTTGGTTTGAACGAGTGGACTAGAGGCGCACTCCATTTCATCCTAGTGGTCGAAGCGCATCTACTCAGGCGAGACATGGCTAACAGCAAGACAAACAACAACATTTCCCCCATTATTGAATCATCAAAGACTTTTTCAGTTATCTCTTGCAGGCCAAGAGAACCTTGATGCGGTTCCTGAAGGGGTCTAGCTGAGTAATCACCTCCGGACAAGGCTAAGCTCCACTCCTGCAAGGGCATCGACCTCGTCGTTTTCTCCCATTGGCAGTGATTCTTTCTTATCGATCAAACTGGGATACAACTCATGCACATCGATGCATCCAACATGGCCGGTCTTGTCCGCCCTAGAAACCGTCCCCGGATAGACGTACCATTACTAGACATGTGTGCGGTAATCCCACGTGGAGTGCGGGTTGGGTTGCACAAGTCTCTTTCTACTTATTTCTCTGAGCTATCGCCATAGTTATTGCCATTGCCTATTGGCATCGCCATCACCACCCTAGCTCGGCACAAGCAGAACGATGGTGAAACTACGACTCATTTTCATCTTTCATGTTCTCCTTCAGGTTGCCCACGCCTTCTGGGGCTTTTCGTCCGCCGATGTCTTCCCCCTACTGCAAGATGCGAATACCACAGCGCTGTTTCCCATGTCACGATGTGGTGGGTTCCAGCTTGAGGAAGCAACAATTGACCAGATGCAAGCTGCGATGAGTAATGGTTCAGTCACCTCAACGCAGCTGGTCCTATGCTACCTGGAGAGGGCTTATCAGACTCAAAACTATATCAGGTATGGACGCGCTAGGCAGCCGCAACATATGTGAAACAGGACTGACATTGTCGTTCAGTTCAATACTGGAATTCAATCCCGATGTGATAGCCATTGCCCAAGCCCGGGATCATGAGCGAAAGCAGGGCAAGGTCAGAGGGCCACTCCATGGCATCCCGTTCATCGTCAAAGACAACATTGCCACCAAAGACAAAATGGAGACTACGGCTGGCAGTTGGGCTCTGATCGGGAGCATCGTGCCCCGCGATGCTTATGTTGTCTCCAAACTCCGCGACGCCGGTGCTGTCCTGTTCGGGAAAGCGTCCCTCAGCGAGTGGGCCGATATGCGCAGTAACAACTACTCAGAGGGCTACTCTGCTCGTGGCGGCCAGTGTCGGAGCGCCTACAACCTCACGACGAACCCTGGTGGGAGCAGCTCGGGAAGTGCTGTCGCTGTTTCGGCGAATGTTATCGCATTTGCCCTCGGGACCGAAACAGATGGCAGCGTGATCAACCCGGCGGAACGTAACGGTATTGTAGGCATCAAGCCTACCGTAGGTCTAACGTCTCGAGCTGGTGTCATTCCCGAGTCCGAACACCAAGATACGGTGGGTACCTTCGGTAGATGTGTCCGCGATGCTGTCTATGCACTCGATGCCATCTATGGAGTCGATCTACTCGACAACTATACGTCCGCCCAGCAGGTTCCCAATGGCGGATACACACAGTTCATGACGACCAAGGGCGCTCTCGTCAATGCAACTTTTGGCCTTCCCTGGCAAAGTTTCTGGGTGTATGCGGACGAAGAACAACAGAATCAGCTCCTGGAGCTGGTTGAGCTGATCCGCTCTGCGGGTGCAACCATCATCAACAACACCGAGATAACCGACTACGAAACCATTGTGTCTCCAACTGGCTGGAACTGGGACTATGGTAGCACCCGCGGATATCCCAACGAGTCCGAGTACACGGTTGTGAAGGTCGACTTCTACAACAACATCAACAAGTATCTATCGGAGCTCTCCAACACCAACATGCGAACCATCGACGACTTGGTGGCGTACAACTACGCCAACGACGGCACCGAAGGTGGCTACGAGTGGCCCCTGGGCATACCGGCATTTTACTCTGGACAAGATGGGTTTCTGGCCTCGTTGGACTCGAAGGGCGTGATGGACGAGACGTATTTCCAGGCGCTGGAGTTCTCGCAAACCTCGACGCGTAATGGCATCGACGACGCTCTGATTGTTAATGGACGGAAGCTCGACGGGCTCTTGGTCCCTCCGGACGTCGGGCAGACGTACCAGATCGCAGCGCAGGCAGGGTACCCTATGGTCACACTCCCGGCGGGCGTGAGGAGTGTAAGCGGTATGCCTTTTGGGCTGGCGATTATGCAAACGGCATGGGCGGAAGACAAGTTGATTCGTTGGGCGAGTGCGATTGAGGATTTGCAACAGACAAGTGGTACGGAGAGGAAGAGGACTCTGCCTGCTTGGAGAGGCTGGCTGGAAAGGAACATTCCTGTCATTTGGGATTTCTAAGTACAGTCCGTACCAGGTACTTCAGTATCTACCTAATCTAAGACTTGGACATAACATCTCCTTGCTAGCTAGGTAGAGAAGCAAGTTGCTCGTTCCATTACATTCTCTCTTCATTCCCGTTGTGAGCAAGGTAGCAAAGGAAGTAAGTATGTTTATGTGACTGACGTACTATCGATGGCACTCGTCCTCCCTTGTTCTCGATGTAGATACTCCGTAGTCGTACCACTACTAACTACAATGCATAATAGCTGGATGGAAGCAATTGTTACTCGGCACTTCTCTTTTTCCATTCTTATCTCCATAATTCCGATGTCTTAAAGCCGAAAACGAAACAACAGTCGAAAAAAGAGGTTCTCTCTCTTGAATCCAACAAGGGATGATCTGATCTACGCCGACAACCCACCTAGACCTCCTGGTAATCTTTCTACAGCACCTTGACGTATCTCGAGGCACTTACTCGCACCATTACCAGTAGGTAGTGGTACCCACTTCACGTTCGGGCCGAACGTGCCGTATATCAGAACTATTGTATGTGGGACGAAGGTAACTAACTGTACGATTGCGAACTATACCAAACTCTCCAATCGCGACGATGACACTCGGTTCAAGGCCGCACACAATTCGCTGCTCACGATCAAAGACTATGCCTATTCGTACTGCCGACGGGCCGAATGTGCGTATTGTTTGTTTTGGGTTACGCTATAATACTTGTTCAAAGGTCTACGATTAGGTAGGTCCCTGAACCCAAACCCATTTACCCACGAACACGATCCCCTTCACAAAGTCCCCGAGCAGAGCAGACCAACTGCCGCCGTGAACAGGGTCGATTCAGAAACGGAGATAAGATGATTCCACGTCGAGTACTCCGTCCTCCGTACGCAGATCTGCCTACGTACCTACATATGCACAACGCGCGGACTTTGGGAGGGACGTTCATTCCAAAGGGTGACTGGATACTGAGGTTCCGGATTTGCCGGTACGAAAGTACGAAAGTACGAGGTATGAAGTCGGTATAGATAAGGTAGTAGGGGTAGGTAGTAGGTAGGTAGGTAGGTAGGTGGAAAATGGGTATATAGGTAGGTTCCCCGACGTAGGAACTGCCTCGAGTCACCAAGAACAACGAAAGTCGAGACACAAGATAACAAATAAGACTAGGCGAGTCTGCCAGTCAGTCAGTCAAGAAATTCGAGCAGTCAGCCAGTCAATCAGGTCAGTCATTTCAAGCATCCAGACAGTCGATCAGTCAATCAGCTAAGCAGCCCAAGCAGACAGTCAAAAGAAAAAGAAATGACAACCACCACCCTTCCACACTCCCTCCCCAACCTCGCGGCGCGCGAAGCCGTCGTCGACGCCCTCTACCGCGCCGTACAGGGAATCGACACCAACGACCACGCACTCTTCAAGTCCGCCATCACGGACGACGCGACCATGGAGCTGCCGGGCGTGGCGAGCATCGGGGGCGAAGGGATCATGAAGATGTTCGCGGGCGTGGGACCCATGGACACCACGCACGCCATCAGCAACGTCAGAGTCAATCTCGAACAGGGCGCGAGCACGGCCACCATGACCGCGTACGCCGTCGCGCAGCACTTCAAGGCCGGTGAAGGCGCCGATGCGACGTCGCCGAATCTCTTGGCTGGGGCCATCTACACGCTCACTCTGGTCGAGGACGGTGGGCTCTGGAAGGTGAAGAAGTGGGTGGCGGATTTCAAATGGAGACAGGGCGATCCGTCGATCATGACCTGGCAGAATGACTTGTGACTCTGATACCTACCTCAGGCACCTCAGGCACCTCCCTACATGTACCTGGCATTGCTGGCCATTTCTGTGGGTGTGGTGATCACAAGGTCGACAACGAGAACAGTCTCGGCCACAAACCTACGCAACAACAGATGTCACATCTTCCATCCTAGATACTTGACAAACAGCTGTGGTTGAAAATTTCATTCCTTATTTGAGAAACTGGGCCGCCGCCAGACATATAATAGACACTTTAGTACCAAGGGAGCACATGTATCGTTGTGGTATGCTAGAGTCGTAGGTATTGCTTGGTAAGAACCCCACAAAGCTTACAGCAGACATTGTCAAACCGCGATTCTTCTTTGTTGGAGGCTCCTTAGCGAACGGCACTGTTCAGCGTGAGTCGAGTGAGAGACCGGGAGGATATGTGTGGTCGATCGCGGACGACTTGATTGGCTTGGTCGATATCAAAGCGAGGAGGATTGACGCTCATGAATCCGGGTGACAAATATGTCTCGCGGTGGTCGTGGATGTTATATATCGATCGACTCGGCTTCCATGTTAGTCAGATAATGATCCTGGCAATAAGGAAGCTCAGATTGGAACTTCCAAGAGCCCTTAGGGTCGTGGTAGAGGATGCGCTGTGCCGAAAAGAAATCTGGGTACACATCTCCTTAGCTACCCCTCTGACGCTGGGGTGTCTTCTTGTCATAAAACCGTGTATGCAGACTTCGCGCAAACCACCTGCGAGTTCTTAATGAACCGCATAGTCGTGTTTGGAGGTCGCTGAAACCTCGAAGATAGACTCTCGATATAAGTTTGTTGTGTCAGCTTTTTCCTTATAGACTTCGTTTCTTGTCATCCTCCTTCGACCGACTCCCAAAGCCATAAGCAAGACCACCTCCAACAAGATTGGCCAGGCATAAACCCATCGTGACTCCTCGAATGATACCCCGAGTACCAAACTTGTTGAAGAGGCCTACACGTCTTCGGCTTGCCAGCACCAAGTATGAGCCGCTCAACGCAGCAGTTGTGCCGGCGCTGTCGATCTTAAATCCCTGAAGATTGAGATACGTAGAAAAGAGGAGCATCGGCGGAAACAGCATAGGGAGTGGCTGGAAAGGTCGAGCATGCTGAGCAAAGACGAGAGTAGCAAGTAAAGCAGGGGGGACAGGATTCTCTATCAAGAGTGTAAGTAGATACTCTGGAAGCAGTCAACCGATGCAAGCTGCACATCGCCGGGGCGACTTACCTCCCCATTTCTTCGCCGATTGAAGGAACGATTGTTTAGCTTCTTCCTGCTTCTGAGGATCAGCCATGTTGGTCAACCGAGTTTGTGTATGTGGCAGAGCGCAAGACCCAAGAGTAAATATTTGTACCTTGGTCGGGGAGACTGCGTCATGGTGTTTTAGCTTTAACAGGTGAGCGATGCGGGCAGTTCAACTTGCAACCCACTAGCGGCCGTCGCCAATACACCTTCATCGCCTTGAGACCACCTTTGCTAAAAGATCGCATTTCACGACTCTGCTTCTAGAGATATCGAGCCGATCGTCCTTGATACGTCCCGTTCGGTCGCTATCCAAGTCGAATCCATATCGATTCGCTCATCGCCGATAGGACTGCCTGCGGGATGTCCGCCTCGGCCTCTGGCTCTGATGCCAGGGCGAATGGGTCAGCAACTTCACGAGATCACAACCAAGGCAACCAAGACCGAAAATATACTCCTCAACAGAAGGCCGAAGTCATCCGGATACGAAAATGCAGCCCTACCTCTTTCTACGAGATCCTCTCGGTTGAGAAGACAGCAAGCGACGGAGAAATCAAAAAAGCCTACAGAAAAATAAGTCTTTTGACCCATCCGGATAAAAATGGATATGAAGGAGCCGACGAGGCTTTCAAAAGTCAGTTCACGTCCTAGGTCTACAGCGACAGAGTTTTTAATGTTGACAATAACAGTGGTATCGAGAGCCTTTCAGATATTATCCGACGCAGAGAAGAAATCCAAGTATGACCAGTTTGGGGGTGATCCGGACAGTCGCTTCTCCAGCAGTGGTGCTGCGAGTGGCGCAAGTCCTTTTAGCGGGTTCGCGCGTTCCTCAGGCAGAGGACCTATGTATGAGGATGAGATATCACCAGAGGAACTCTTCAACAGGTTCTTTGGTGGAGGGATGAATGGCGGCTTTGGCTTCGGTAAGTCGTCTACAAATTTGCACAGACACAGTAGCTCACCCACTCTTTTAGCACCTGGTGGTTTTGGAGGACCGCAGTTTGTTTTCAACATGGGCGGTGGCCCTGGCTTCACAGTACATCGCATGGGAGGTGGCACCCCAAGGCGACGACCAAGAGACGCAAATGCCGGCCCCCCGCCCAGCGGTCTATCCGCACTGACACAGCTTCTGCCGTTGTTATTACTGTTCATATTACCTCTGCTCTCTTCATTCTTCTCTGGGTCCAGTGATCCTGGACCACAAGTTCGATTCGACTCACCGGTCCCTCCACATACAATGCGCCGGGTGACGCCACAATACAAGATCGACTATTTTGTGAACCCTGCTCAAGTTGATGGCTACACATCGAGGCAGTTCAGCAATTTGGATCGACAAGCTGAAGTGGACTATGTTTCGAGCCTTAAATATCAGTGCGACAACGAGGTCCATCGGAAGCGGCATGAGATTAACGAGGCCACTGGGTTTTTCTTCACCGACGAAAATAGACTGAGAAGGGCTCGGGATATGCCTATGCCTGGTTGTCGGCGGTTGGATGAACTGAAGATCACGCGGCAATATTAGAGTGGTGGCTGTCGGCAGCTGTTTTGAGATTGCATTACTGCTTGGTGTTGGTGGCGCAACAATCGATCGAGAGTCAGGCTCTGAGCCAGGTTGCATGAGCGTGTTCTGTAAAATGACCTTTGTCCTGGATATACTCGTAAATGAATATCTGGTATCCGTGCCGAGTACAAATTAAATGAGACTCACTGGAAGGCTGCTCGCTGGACAAGGCTGCAAGGCTGCAAGGCTGTCATCAAACGCCATTCGGCCAATGATTTGCGCACCCAGGCATCTTCTATGGACGTCACTGCGCTTCGACTGTACGTTTCGTTGTATCTCCGACTTCATAATCCGTACCCCAAGATCTCTCTTCCACCTCCTCGGCCACATTTGTCATCTACTCTCCCACGACCATGTCGGACATTCCGCTGGACTCGGACAAGGTGTGTAAGATGTGTGGGTGTCGGGAAGTTCTAACAAATTGTAGATCCGGAATAAAAGGCTTGCGAAACTGCAGCAATCCCAACAGCAGCAGCCGCAGCCACAGCCATCAGAGGAGGCCGCTTCAAATCAAGATGGCACGCAGTCGGCACCATCATCTCAGCCTTCTACACCTCAGATCTCGACGCCGCAGCCTGCGACGCCCACGGAACAGGCCTCACCTTCCATCAACGCATCCAGTGCGCCGTCGCCTGCGCCGTCGACACGCATTACCATAACCCCCGCAAATGTCACGCCGCAGAAGCGCGAGATGGATGGGATAGACCGACCAGGGTCCAGACAGACAATCAGGCCTAATGAGACGATTGAACAGTGGGAAGACCGCACGCTACGTAATATCTTCCGCCTGAGCCTTGATTCCCAACAAACGAAGGATATCCACGGCCAGACGCTGCACCCCTTGCCACAGCTACGGGAAGAGCTCCTGGCTGACGGAAAGCCTTTGTTACTGAACATTGATCTGCTCGAACAAGCGATCATGGAGGCTGGAAGTACTCCTGGGAAAACTACGCCACACGACTGGCTATTTGCTTGCTGGAAGAGAATCACGCGGCTGAGCAAAGGAGTCAAAGATCGAACTCCCGAGAATAAGAAGTGGTCCATCATTCTGGAGGCGCAGAGACTATGCATGAGCTGGTGTCTCCTATCTGTGACCACTCCGGAAGTGTTTGGGGCCGAATACAATGGCGATGCCGCATTGGCTGATCATCTTCTCGCCGATCCAGATGAAGACCGGGGAGTATGCCGGGATTTCCTAGATGAGGCCGTGGCGCGATTCGACGACGATGATACAATCAAGCAGACATTTGTGCGAGCCGTTGAGGAACTCAGTCGGAGACTTGCAAAGTTGACGATGGATAGCGACTACCGCCGTTACACCGCAATGCTCCGGCATCTGATAAGGTATAAGCCCGTGGCTGTTGCCATTACACAGTCTCACATGTTCGTCGACAAGTCGGTGCCGGCGGCGCAGTTAGAGGTTGCAACCTTGTTGGGCCCATATTTCCAAATATCCCCGCTTCAAGCAGAGGTTACCAAACAATACTTTACGGGACCAAGGACGATGGATCCAGGTAGAATCAGAAACGCTCAACAGTCTCTGCAGATGGCTCTGAGGTCGCATCAATCTGAGCTGTTTGACATTATCAACACCTTGGTCCGTTCTTCGCCAGAGGCAAGAGAACAAGTCCTCAACTGGTTCGCTCTCATTGTCAACTCGAATCATAAACGAAGAGCTATGCGGGTTGACAAGACAACAGTGTCAAGTGATGGGTTCATGATCAACGTTAATACTTGTCTGGATCAACTCTGTGAGCCTTTCATGGACGCACAGTTTACTAAGCTCGACCGTGTGGACGTCGACTACCTGAGGAGACATCCCCGGGTAGATATCAAAGACGAAACCAAAATTAACGCGGACCAGGACGAGTCAGACGCCTTCTACAAGGAGCAGCTTGACGGACCCAACAACTTCATTTCAGAGTGTTTTTTCTTGACAGTTGCTGCTCATCACTACGGGTCCGAGGCTGCCCGCAGCATGCTGAAGGACATGGATCGCGAACTCAAACATATGGCTAAACAGATTGAGCAGTTTGAGACCGAAAGACACAAATACGTCAACAACCCTCCACAATTGACCATGTTCGAAAATGCCCTCAGAAAGTACAAGGATCAGCATGACAAGGGACTGGCTTACAAATATGCTGTACAGGGCGTCTTGCTGGACGAATATGCTCAAACACGCTCAATGCAGTTTATGCGATTTGTGACGGTCTGGCTCCTTCGTCAAGTATCTAGTCATCGACAATTTCCGAAAGAGAAGCTCACTCTTCCTTTGTCTCCCAAAGAGCCTGATCATTTCAAGAATTTGCCGGAGTATTTCCTAGACATCATCAGCGGCAATTTTGGTTTCATCATGTACAACATGCCACAGGTCATTTCGCCAACACAGTCTGATGAGCTCATTATGTTGTGCATCACTTTTCTGCGGAATTCGGAGTACATCCGAAACCCTTACTTGAAGGCTTCGCTGGTGACGATTCTGTTTCGGGGCACGTGGTCCTGGCGCCAGGGTGGTCGGGGCATATTAGCCGACCAGTACAACAGTTTACCTTTTGCTACAGAGCATCTCCTACATTCTTTGATGAAGTTCTTCATCGAGGCCGAGTTCATGGGTGGCCACGGGCAGTTCTTCGACAAGTTCAACGTCAGATTCGAAATTTTCCAAATCATAAAGTGTATTTGGCCCAACCCAGTATACCGGGACAATCTTCACCGGGAAGCAAAAGTTAACATGGAATTCTTTGTGAGGTTTGTCAACCTCTTACTCAACGATGTCACTTTTGTGCTGGATGAATCTTTTACATCTTTCCTTACCATCTATGACTTGTCCAAGGAACTTGCTCTTGCGGGTACAAGTCTAGATCAACAGCAGCGGCAAGAAAAGGAAGAGGCTCTGGAGCAGGCTAAACAAAAGGCCAAATCATACATGCAGTTGACCAACGAAACAGTGGATATGCTGAAGTTGTTCACCGAGGCTCTTGCCGATGCTTTCACAATGCCCGAAATTGTACAGCGACTTGCAGATATGCTGGACTACAATCTCGACGCAATGGTTGGCCCAAAGAGCACGTCGCTCAAAGTCGACAATCTCCAAGAGTATAACTTCAACCCAAAAGCTCTGCTCAGTGAGATCGTCGATGTCTATCTCAATCTCGGGGAGAAGGAAAATTTCATCCTGGCTGTGGCCCGTGATGGACGGTCATACAAGCCAGGGAATTTCGTTGCAGCTGGAAATATCTTGAAGAAGTTTGTTCTCAAATCGCCACAGGAACTCAACAAGTGGGCCCAACTGATTGAAAAGATCAAGAAGGCCAAAGAAGAAGATGAGGCAGCGGATGCCGATCTTGGGGACATCCCAGACGAGTATCTTGATCCTTTGATGTATACTCTGATGGAAGACCCGGTCAGATTGCCTGTGAGCAAAATTGTGATTGATCGTAGTACGATTCGCAGTCATCTGCTGAGCGACCCACATGATCCCTTCAATCGAGTCCCCCTGAAAATTGAGGACGTCATTCCTGGTATGTTCCCCGGCAAGGCTGTGCTGTGCTGCTTGCAGATGTCGCTGACGTGTTCATTAGCTACCGATGTCAAAGAACAAATCGATAAGTTCAAGCAGGAGCGGATCGGGACCAGGAGGAGAGATTTCGTCGAAACGGTCAAGACAGAAGCTGGTGGCAATGCCGATGGTGAAGCCCCCAATGCACTTGTTGCCAACGAAGATAGCGGTGGTGAGCCTATGGCTCTCGACCCATGAGTATTTTCCGTCAATGGGTGTGTGAGATAATTTGCGCTCTAGCTGGTTGCTGGGTGGTTGGAGGTTGCGGATTGCAAGAGCGGTAAGATGGTTCGACTCCCGTTATCACGAAGCATGATCATATAAATAGGAGCATAGAGAGAATCCTACGCTTTTCAATTCCACCCCGTCTGTTGATCATTCTGTTCTTTCTGCAGTTGCAAGCGATGAATTCCCACGGTGTGTTTCGTTCGCCGTGTAGATAGACCATCATTTTATTTCCTCTAGTCTCGTCTTCAGCTGTCGAATATGATATGGTGTCGTCTTACAACATCCTCCAACAACGATTCCCTTCCATGCGCCCCTCTGTGTCACCTCCTGTAAGATATCGGCCAGCTGGACATCCCAAGGCTTCTGGTCGCTATTGTCTCCAACCCACTTTTGGAGCTTCGTATCGTAGACTTGATTGCCCGCACCGTCCGGATAAACAACCAGTCTAGGTAGATCAAGCGACAATTGCGCGGAAGCCTTTTCGAATGCACTGATGAGCCCACCAACCTTGTGAATCTTTGTACAGTTGAGTCCGATGGCCCAAGGCTGTCGCGCTCCCTTTGGAAAGATGGTCTTGACCAGCTCGTCGACGGTTGTTCCGTCGGGAAGCTTCTGGTCGTCGTTCGGGAACACGCACGATACCCAGTACGGCTTGTCCGTCACTTGTTGCATGACTTCGACAACTGCTCTGACCTCGTCGATTCGCGGCAGCGTCTCGAACGCAACGACGTCGATTTCTTCCCACTTGGGGCTCTCTTTGAACGCCGAGATCCGCTGCATGTGGAAGTTGAACAGATCGTTCTCGGTCATGGATCCATACGCCCCGCTGTACTCGGTGCTTGGGACCATTGTCGCTCCATAAGCACCCAGACTCAGCGCGACGAGGCCACGTCTCCCGCGAAACGCCTCCCGAGCAACATCAACCGCCGAAAGCATGTACGTCTTGGCTTCTTCGAGCTCGATACCACCATCTTTGTGGGCCAATTTTGTGTTTTTGAATCCTTCAAAGCTACACTGGTACGTCGCAGTGAGGATGATGTCTGCTCCGGCGCTGGCAAAGTCTTGCTGGACGGTCTTCAGTGTGGGTGTGTTTTCCACAAGAAGATGCGATGACCATAATGGCGTCGCCGATGAGAATTTGACCCCGTGCTCGTCCTCTAGCGTTGTCCCTAGCCCTCCGTCGAGGACGAGGAGGGGTTTCTCCAGAAGCTCCTTGGCCATGGTTGGAGTTCGAGACTGCAGTACAGATAAGACGGCGAGAGTCAGACACTTCCTTCCAGGCCGGTTCGGAACCAAATTTTTCCTCCGCAATGCTGGGAATTAAACATCCTGGGGAAGCAAGAAGCTTGATGATAAGCTTAATTTTTTTTTCTCCAACTGCGGCGTGAAGCGAATAATGATGAATCCAGGGTCCATGTTTTTTCTTTTGCTTCTGTCGTCGTGACTCAGAAATAATTTTACACACGAGCGTCCCCTACACTATATCTTGTTGTGGGTGGTGCTTCACAGACACCTACACCATTATCTAGAGTTTCTATCTGTGCACTCAACATGCCGCCTCTTCGCCCTCTCCTCCGACCCTTCCAGCGACATACTCGCTCATTAGCGACCTCCGCCTCGTCTAAACCTCGACATCTTCTTTCCCTCTCCGAAGTCAGCGCGACCGAATTGGCAACGCTGGTGAACAATGCCACCCACCACAAAACACACCGAGCAGACGCTTCGTGGCCGCTGCGGAACTCGCTTTACGGTCAAACCGTAGCACTTCTCTTCTCCAAACTCTCGACCCGCACGCGGGTGTCGACCGAAGGCGCAGTGGCCTCGATGGGAGGACATCCAATGTTCCTGGGCAAAAACGATATACAACTCGGAGTCAACGAGTCATTATACGATACGTCCAAAGTGATATCGAGCATGGTGTCGTCCATCGTGGCGCGGGTCGGCCCACACGCCGACATCGCGAACCTGGCCAAGGACTCGTCTGTGCCCGTGATAAACGCACTGTGTGACACGTACCATCCCATGCAGATCATTGCGGACTTTGCGACGCTGACGCAGACCTTCAACTCGCCGGCTGAGAACCTCAAGGGCCTGAAGATCGCCTGGGTAGGTGACGCCAACAATGTGCTGTTCGACATGTGCATTGGCGCGAAGAAGTTGGGCATTAACATGGCTGTCGCGACGCCAAAGGGCTACGAGATCCCCGACAAGATCAAGCGGGAGATCGCCGGCACCGAAGGCGACGGGAGGCTGGAGGAAACAAACGTGCCGGAAGAAGCGGTCAAGAAGTGCGACGTCATCGTCACGGATACGTGGATCTCGATGGGCCAGGAAGAAGAAAAGGTGAAACGACTAAAGGCTTTCGAAGGCTATCAGGTCACTAATGCCATGGCTGAACGGGGCGGAGCCAACAAGACCTGGAAGTTCATGCACTGTCTGCCCCGGCATGCTGAGGAGGTCAATGATGAAGTCTTCTACGGTGACAGGTCACTGGTTTTCCCCGAGGCTCAAAATCGCTTGTGGTCTGCTATCGCCACGCTGGAAGGGTTTGTGGTAAATAAGGGCACCATCCGGAAAAGTTCATAGACAAAAAAGAACATGACGGCGTTGTAAGAACTTCTAAACTGGTGAGTTCTGACGCTGGCAAGCATGACCCCTATTCCTATTTCTGCAGCTCTTCCGTGGTCTTATCTTGCGTACTTTTTTGATCCTTTTCTTCCCTCTTCCAACAACCTCAGGCCAACAATATGAGGATGAATGGAATGCTTCCTTTACAAACAGTAGTTTGAAAGTGCCCAAAGTTCTCTTTTAAGGAGAAGAAGGCGGTCAACCACATCATGTGATATCGAATGCAGGCCGACACAGCCGGTGGCTGTGTCTTGTACACCGATGCTGCGCCAGCCCGGTGCGAACTTCAGCCTGAAAAGGCTTCTCGCCGATCTAGGCAGAAATAACACGTTACCCTCACCGATCTTTCCTGATTACCGGCTACTCAAAGAAAATGGCATACTCACAGAGAGTGGCATATCGTCACAAGAGCCTCGAGTCACCAGGCGAACAGATCCGTCTTCTCACGATTGCTCCAGGGCTAGAATCCCAAAGTGTACAATGTTCGATCACCCACCATCGTTTGGCCGCAGCACCCGAGTATGAGGCTCTCTCGTACATGTGGGGTTCCAAAGATAATCCTGTCGAGATATCACTCAAGGACGACCAAGAACAGGGTACCTTCAGCGTTACTCAAAATCTGCACCAGGCGTTATGCCGTCTGAGATACCAAGACCGGGAGCGGGTCATGTGGGTCGACGCAATCAGTATCAATCAGGGCGATAATGTCGAGAAGAGCTCTCAAGTTCCAAGAATGAAGAAGATTTTCGAAAATGCCAAACGTGTCATTGCCTGGCTCGGTGAAGCCGGTGAAGATAGCGACAGAGCGATAGAATGGATTGAAGAGCTTGCAGAAAGCCTTAGGAACTGGGAGCGGGCCGGCTTCAACACCAACTTCGTAGACTCATGGATTACGATAAAACTTTTAAACATCTTGCAACAGTCAGACCGTGATGGAACTTGGACCGCGCTTTGGAGGTTGCTCTCGCGGGATTACTGGGGTCGAATATGGATTATCCAGGAAATCACATTTGCACGGGAGCTTGTCCTGTGCTGCGGGAGAAAATACTTCCTTTTGCCCGGGCTGGTGAAAGTTCTGTCTGAGCTACTCCTCATGCGTGGCCACCACCATGAACACCCTCGAAGGTGGCCAGAGGCATTCGAGAAGCTATTTAACGGCAGTAATCTCTTGCTCATGGAGGGTTTACGACAAACGAGGACAAGTCCCAAATCTCCCCAGTTGTTTTTGTTCACCTTGCAGAGCTTTTGTCATTCCAGGTCTGAAAAGCCACACGACCAAATCTATGCTCTTCTCGGTTTCTTAGAAGGGTCTAAGAGGCCATATCAGGGTGTGATTCACGTCGACTACGAACGAACTGTTGAAGATGTATTTACGGATGTAGTTGAGTACTGCATTTCAGCACCTCGAAGTATTGATAATTTGCTCCAGCAGGACCCAATTGCGTCAAATGATGATGATTACATCCTCTCTTCCGCAGTTGCTATGCTCACGAAACGGCCTCACGGCCCGCTAAGTATTCTCTGTGCTGCATTCCCATTTGGTCGCGATCCAGGGTGGCCATCATGGCTGCCGGACTGGCGTCGCTCTGCCAGCTTTGCCACAATGGGCAAAGTTGGTGACGAGTTGTTTCAAGCAAGCGCAGATCACCCTGCACACTATATGTTTTCGCCAGACCGCCGAGTACTTCATGTCTTCGGCTACAAGGTTGATAATATCAAGGAGTCATCAGCCTACATGTCATCGTGCTGGACCTCTTTTGTCGAGAGGGGAAAGAGTAAAGAAGATCTAGGATCCATGATAAAGCAAGTCCGACAGTGGGCAGAATTTGCTGTTGCTAGGACTGCCGCTGGTGGTCCCGGAGAAGATCTGAGAGTCTTCGATGCCGAAAGGTTCTGGCGCACATTGGCCTTCGACTCAGGAAGGACGGCCTGGGATATTCAAATGCCGAAATCATGGCGTGATATGAGCCTAGAAAGGCTCGAGGATTTGCTAAAGCATGGCACAATGGTGGACGACGTGAGAGTGCTGAGTTGGCTGCGGTCGACAACTCATTTTCGTCGCTTCACTTTGTCCTCCGCCAATCGCTATCTCATGGTTCCCTTTCACGCAGCCGCAGGAGATGCTATATGTATACTTCTTGGTTGCGATGTGCCTGTAGTACTCAGGGAGAAAGAAGGGCACTGGTTATGGATTGGGGGCTGCTTTTGTCAGGATTTGATGCATGGAGAAGGCATTCCTTCTGATGGGGCAGGTCTACAATCATTTGACCTTCAGCATTCCTTCTGATGGGGCAGGTCTACAATCATTTGACCTTCATTGATGCCGTACACGAATACAAGAGTCTGTATTCTTCATACTGCTTGCTCATATCACTCATGTGAACGGGAGATATACCTTCAGGCATCCCCCTCGTGCAGACAAGAGAGACAGATACAGGAGGGTCGAGGTAAGAGGTGTGAAGTATATATCTCGGCTAAGTTGCCCATGTGTCTGTCACTGCTTTCACATGCCTCGGTTCACCAAACAGACCACCATCTACTAATAACATCACCACACTCACTGTCCTTTTCGCGACAACGATATTTCTCTCATACTCTTCCCATTGAAGGTTACCGACATTGCCCTCGTCTTGCTCTTCTACTCTTACTTCGTCTTGGCTCGGACGGTCCACCATATCAGCCAACCTACCTTATGCGTTGATCGCTCTCGGTGGAATTCCCAGCCTGAACGTGTCCAACACACCCAGAGCAATGGAGGTACGTAGTCTCTCTATCCAGCTTGCGAGTTCTTCGTTCTGTTCTGTAGTACGCGCAAACAAAGCTGCTCGAGCTTGTGTAGGACTAACCTCTTCAATTGCACGAATAGTCCCCGTCATTATCTCGCTCATCCTCCTTCGCACCGGGTCCCCATCGCCGCTCGCATCCCAACCTGCACCACCTCTCCCTCGCACCCTTGACGCCCAAATACCCAATCGATCCAGCCGACTACTCCGCCTACTTCGACCCGTCGACCAGCGAACTGCACACCATCACGTCGATCTCGCAGATATCCAGCCTCCCCTCCCCGAGCGGGATCCTGACGTCGCACTCCGCCGCACACTCGCGCGCGAGCTCTCGCACCCGTCAGCTGCGCAAAAAGACACGCAGCGCCATCTCGGTGCACGACCACCCTGCCGCGCATCCTCATCATGCACACGCGCATTTCGCTGGGGCCTTGACGAGCGAAGGGTTCGGACACAAGACCACCACTGTCAACGCGTCCGCGTCCCGCCCTGGTCTGCCTCATCTCCACACGACCGACCCTTCCTGGCTGATCCAGACCGGCCTCGCGCTGACCGAGGGGTCGCGCGAGTCCAAGGGCCAGTCGTGGATTGGCAAACGCGACTCTTCGACGTCGCTGCATTCGCCGGCAACGCCCGCCGAGGAGAGGGACCGAGACGTCACCAACAGTCACCACAGACTCTATCCGCCGAGTCTATCCTCCCGACGGAGCCTCAGTCGCGCCGGAAGACGCAACAGTCGACGGTCTTTGGCCGTTACGCCCGCGCTGCGGACGCCCCTGGACGAAGAAGCCATGCCGCATTGGGACGACGATGTACAGACTCAAGCGGAGATCGCGGCGCAAGTCGAGAGTGAGTTTGCGGATGAGTTCGAGGACGATCCGTACGGCTTACTGGATTTCGAAGGCCAGTTCGACAGCGATGACGAGGAAGAGGTACGGCGCGAGATCTCACGCTACAGACTTGGCCGGTGGATGGATGGCGTCGTGGATGTGTTTTTGAGGCTGGAGGAGTTTCCAGATTCGTCAGACACCCCTCGGGATCACGATGTTGACTTGGAGGCTGCTGGAAATGCTGTAAAGACTGAACTGACTGATTCCAAAGCCACGACGCAGCCGAAAGATGTTGACGACACTAGTGCAGTGTCCGATGCGTCTATCGAGCCACCGCCAGACAAACCAAACGGTGTTTGGGATGATGTGGTCTGGTTTGGCCGTCTCTTGGTCCGTACGGTCAGGTCATAGATAAGGCCCATCATGATACTATTTGATTCGAATCGCCAATCTGGGAGGTTGGCTATGCCTACCATTCTCGTTGTCACTCAAGTTGTAATTTTATGACATACTTCTCGAACCCCGTTCATGCTGTTTTCTTCCAACGTGGATCTGCTGTAACCTGGTTTTTGTTCATTGGAAAAAAGAAAGGTGAAGTCTGGGCTCAATAACTCGGCTCTCTTCGCCATGCGCCTTTCCCTGGCTCAGTAATGGACATGGGATTTCAGGGTGCCATCTCATCTCTTTGTAAACAGAGAAATACTCTCCGTATCAGGTTGCCATCTCAACTCCTTGAAAACAGAAATAATCCTTTTGTGTCACCAAGTCAGAACATATCTTCACCTCCCGCTTGGTCGAACGATCTTGGTTTTCAGCCGCTCAAGTCAAGGATCTCCGGCTCGCGATGAGGCTTCTTCTGTGAGCGCACGAACACAATGTCATCGTCCTCGTCCTGAAATTCGCGCTTCATTCCACTTATGACCGTGTCATTGTCATCGCCCGACGCAGTCTCTGTCTTGACTTTCGAGCCTCTCTCTTTCTTGACTCTGCTTTCCACGGCTTGACGACTAAGTGTCAATTCGGCCTACGTTTGAAAGATTAGTACGATCTCACCATGCAGAGGATGATTGGTCTACCTGCTGGCGTCCCACGAGCTCCTTCAACTCTTCGACCGACAGTGTATTGACATCTCTCCTTTCCAGCGGCTCGGGACTTGGTGTTCGAGGGATGACTCCGAGTATTTGCAAATCACCTACACAGGTCAGACATGGTACTTGGCGGGAGTGCTAGAGGCATACGCTTGGTTCTGTACAGGAAAACAAAGATAACCAAAGGTCCGGAGTCGATCACATTAGCGTGGACAGTTCTCTTGCTGGTCTTTCCGGGGACAGGGAGGGCCGGTCCAAGACTAGATAGCTCCATCAGCAACTGCTTGCGTTTATCAACAACAGAGAAAGCTAAGACTTACCCAATGGTGGCGCCAATTGCTCGACCCTTCAGCGCTTTTTCAGGGATCGGGTCCTCGACTAGTGTGGGCGGCTTGTGTGTCGTAGCATGCGTACTTTCTTTACGGAAGTAGGTCTTTTGTCGCCACACTTTCACCTTGATGGTTCCTAGCTGGCCATACTTCTCGAAACCTTGACTTCCTGTAGGAGGTTCTTCATCGGCTAAAAATCTCAGCAGTGGACGAAGAATTTTCCTGGTGACTTACTCGTTGTTAGCTCTTTCCAGTAGAAACGCCTTGTGGTAGTGTTATCGCCCTGAACCTTCATACTATTCCTTGTGAGGGACAATGAGCCTGTCAACTCGTACTGGGAGCGTGTAGCCGCTCGCCCTCCCATGGACTGTCCGTCGCAGTATGTGATAAAGTTAATCTGATCGGCCTCGCCAAAGTCTATGCCTTTCAGTAGCTTGAAATTGATGGCAAAGTCAAGACCAGGAGTGGACTCGATGTATTTGATAATCGTGGGTGCATTGCCACCGTCAGCGGCCCGGTGGATTTCGACGACCTCTGGTTCAGCGGTGTACTCTGGCAACACTCGTCCGTCGCTGGACACTGTTACCTCGAGCTTGTTATGGATGGCCATGGCGCAGAACTCAGCCTCACAGAGCGAAGTGTGGTTTTGCGGGACGAGAAACTTGTTGGGGCAAGAACATCGAAGGGGCGTGTATCTGCAAAGGGAGTGAGGTGAAGAGGAGAAGCGAACAAGTAGTACCTACAAGCTACTGACTTACCTCTGAGTCTGAGCAACCTCCACGGAGTGAAGTCGTTGACTGGGCAGTGAAGTGAGTCTGCAGTTGCGAATTGGGCTCTCATGGTTTCCTGGCCCAGGTTTGTGAGATTCAGCGAATGTCAAGGGGAAGAAGTTGAACGGAGCACAGAGGATGATCTTTTGTTTGGTTATCTTTTATCTCTTGTTCCCATTTGGTTTCTGATTCAGCTTCTGATTCAGCCTCAGCCTCAGTCAGCCTTAGCTTCAGCTCCAATGTCAATATTGGCCTCGGCCCAATGAGCAGCCTCCCATCTCAGCCTCAGCCAGCCTCCCGCGCGACCACAAGGTCAACCTCCCATGACAAAACACGCCACAAACACCACCACACCGTAGCTATCACTTGACCACGATGTCAGCCGAGGCATGTATACGTACAACAAGACCAGAGTGAGACAAGGACATAGATGCAAGTGCAGATGCTGATTCAAGATATTTGAAACCTTGTCTCTTCTTCCCACGCGTTCACCACACCAAGAAGTTAGAACTGAGCGAAACTCAACTCTTGAAGACACGCCGATACACAAACCAGAACATGCATCTCTTCACTTTCCCTTTTACTATCCTCCTTCACTCCCTCGTCTTTCTCCCCTCGACACAGGCATGGGGCTCCCTCGGCCACCGCACCGTGGCCTACCTCGCATCTCTCTACTTCACACCGCAATCCACCACGTTCACCAACCAGCTCCTCAACGGCCAGGACATTTCTGAAGCGGCCCTCTTCCCCGACAAAGTCCGCCACATGCCTTCTTTCGCCTACACGGCCGGCTGGCACTACATAGACGCGCAGGACGACCCTCCGCGCCAGTGCGGGATCAACATCACGCGCGACTGTCTGCCCAAGGATGGCGGATGCGTCGTGAGCGCCATCGCGAACCACACGTCCCGCGTCGCCGATGCCACCCTCTCACGCTTCTACCGCGGGCAGTCGTTGCGCTTCATGATGCATTTCTTCGGCGACGTCCACCAGCCTCTACACACCGAGAACCGGTCTCGAGGCGGCAACGACATTCCTGTCTCCTTCGACCACCACGCCACCAACCTCCATAGTGTATGGGATACTTTTATCCCCAACAAGCACGCTGGGCCAGATACGCGCGACCACGACGACGAACTCCTCGCCGCGTTCCGCTGGGCACAACGCCTGTTCGCCCAATCCCAATCCGAACCCCACGACACCCACTCATCCCCGACCGCCGTGACCAACAACGTCGACGATGAATGTCTCTCTGACGCCACGGACTGCGGCTTATTGTGGGCCTCGGAGGCAAACGCCTATGTATGTTCCTACGTCCTGGCGCACGACGTACTGCACAAGGACCTCGGCGGGACGTACTACGAAGGCGCCGTGCCCATCGTAGACGAATTGATAGGCAAAGCGGGCCGAAGACTAGCTGCGTGGATCAACGCCATTACAAGTACCTCTGGAATGGACCTAGGAGAGTCTACGTTGACGACGACCGACGTCGACATGTCCGCCGCGGGTGAGGATGGGGATGAGGGCATGGTGGATCTACCACAACAACACCACATATTGGTCCTTCAGCCGGGAGAGTGAGATGAGACAAGACATTCTCGTGAGAAAGAACACAGGAGCTTCTCAACCCACCACGACTACATGAGCATGAAACCGTCATCAAAGTGTTGAAATTGTCGACATGTCATGTCATATGAATGCAAATTTATGTACCCAGTCAAATATTAGCCTCGTTGTTAGGACATAATGCAGACGAACTAATGAGTTTGGATTACTCTTCATCTTCCTGGAAACATGAATAACATGTTATTGTCGCTTCCCTATTACAGAGTATGATTACAAAGTCTCAATCTATACATCATCATATGTATGCAGGCTATTACTCGGTACCCGAACCAGGTGGACAATCATTGTATGTGCTATGATACCAGTTTGTGGTCACCGTTTTCGACACCAACAACCACTTCTGCAGCTATCATCTCCCCTTCTTGGTCAATAATGTCCCTTACACTGCGACGGGCAGAAGTCACCAATCCACCGTAGTGATCTTCCAATCTACCCTTTTCAATAAACTTTTTGAGCTTGGATTGTTCCTTGTCCATATCCTTGCGGACGCCTTCCAACTCACCCTGTGGGTATCGTTCCTGCAAACTCGTAGGAAATGCCTCCCTGTCCGAAATCTCCTTGGGCGAAAACAAATGAATACTGGCCCCTTCAAACTGCTCCAGAAGAAATACTCGTTCGATCGTGCGGAACAGACACGTCTGCTGCATCTCGTTTTGCACAAACTTGTCGTCCTTGCCGCTGGTATCGTTGATCAGCAACCAGTTGTCTCTAATCATCACTCTCCTCCATATCAGGGCTCGAAGGTCATCCTGTTTGTGACCTGCCAAGTCTGAAAAGTCAACAATCCTCAGAGCGATAGCACACTCCTGCCCGACAACTTCAGGGTTATCCTCTGGCATGCCAACCCACTCGACCGAATCCATGAGAGTCAACAGGTCAACCAGCTCCTCGATCGACAGCGGTGTTTGATGGACCAAAGACTTCAGAATCTGCTTCAGCTGTCTCTTAAGACCCGGCATATCCTTAACAAGCCTGGAAGCGAAATTTTCTGCAGCCAGATCGAATGCCGCTTTCTCATCCACAGCAGCTCCAACTGTGGCCATGATATGCTGGAAGGTCCGTTCTTGAATGTCAATGATGGACAAATCACGGTCGTATCGTTCAGTCGAACGAGGACGTCTATCAGCACCTTCATCTGCTGCCAGTCCGGCTAGCTTGGCTAGCGACAACTCGGTCTTCTTGTTCCACACATCAACAGTCTCTTCAGCCGCAACATTTCGCAGTGTCTTCTCGGCCCGCGCATAGTTATCGCTACCAACAACATCGTGAATCCAGCTGAGCTTGCCTACACTCTGTCCATATTTCTCAGCCTTCCTGAAGAACCATGAGAGAAACTGCTGCTTTTTCTCATCTTCTTGGCCTTTGACCAAAAGATTGCCGCATTCATCATCCTCGATCATCTGGCTAAAACTGGCCCACGCCCATGCTTTCCCGAATCGGTCGAAGTATGTCTCAGCTTGAGCCTGCATCTCAGAGATGATTCTTGCATTTGTGTCCTTGAGCATTGGATTCTCCTCGGCTTCCTTCGTTAACCTGACGTAGTATGAAATGTGCAGAACAACAAGCATGGGGCAGTTTTTCAATTTCTCAGCCAACTGAATCGCTCCTGGCATATTGAAGCGGGAGACAGCATCAAGCGCGGTGTTCAAACGGTCACGCTTCTCGTCCTTTAAGCTTTTGACCTCGTCTTTCAGGACTTCTGGGTCCTTCTCCAGCTCTTTGAGGTGGCATTCGGCTTGGATCGACTCCTCCGTCGCCACACGAGAGAATAATTCGACTTCGGAGGGTAAGCGAGCAGCAAGGTCTTTCAACACAGTTTTACTGGGTGCTTCATATGGTTTGCCATCCAAATCCGTCGGCAGTTTCTTCTTCTTACTCTTGCCCAGAGAATAATCCCACCACTCGGCCAAGAAGTTGCGAACGTCGTAGATGAGGCGCTGGCCAAACCTAAACGGTTCCGGTGCCGATGTCCACGGGTGAGGAATGTCCACGGGGAATCCTGCTACAAGCACGCCGTCTTGGAACACCTCGTCGCCTAAGCCGTACAGAGGCGCATTGTCTTCCCGAAATTTGAATGCCGCAGTATATGACGCTATCCACAGGTCAACCGCCTCTTTGAGATAGTCTGCGACAATTCTAGGGTCCGTCACTTGCATCGGCTCCAATTCTGGAATGCAGCTAACCAACTCGGACATCAGATGGCCGATATTATTGGTACTATTGATGAGCCAGTGCCGTATTCGATCTTTCTCGCCCTTCTCCGGGTCGGGGTACTTTTGTCTCGACTCGTGAAGTGCACGAAGGGTGAACTCAAGATAGGGCATCTCCCGATCCTCCAGGGGATATTTTCGTTGAATTTCTTCTTGTACTTTCCAAACAGCTTGAGCGGCAGCTAGTTTCTCGGCATTCAAGAGAAGTTGGAACCGAACATTGCGAGAGATAGCAGAAGGGTAGTGATCCATCAAATGTTGAGCTAGGTCGTCAAGGGCCTTGGCCCTCAGCCGTAGATGCATTTCGATAGAAGGAGCGCTCTTGGGAACATGCTTCGAACTTGAGGACAGGATCTCCGAGCTGATGCTCAACGCTGCTGCAGCAATCTCTTCGTCCGGGAAGGTCTGAGTAATGTTTTTCAAATCGAACGGGTTCTGTTTGATGGTTCCAAAAAAGACTGCTTGTTCAATCTTGCTTTTCGCACTTATTCGGTTGTGGGCTTCTTCCACCTCAAACTCCTCGCTTTCACGAAGGTGTGATGCCATCTTGACGATGCCGAAGCCTTGAACGCCCAGCACAAGCGCTGACTGCTTCTCGGTAACTTCCAAGGCATAGCCAAGTACCTTGTAAATTGTTCCATCTTGGAAACGTACACAGTCTTGGAATGGTGGTGGTAACGATTGTCGTTCTGCCAGCAGCTGTGATGACGGCGATTCTCTGATCTTAGCCAGCGAAAAAATCACGATGGCGGTTTCGAACAGGACGAAAGCCACAGGTTGAGTTCTTGAGACACACAGCCTGGGTCGCCACGATTGAGGCTCTGAAGTCTTAGTGGAATAGCATGTGATCGGGTGTACCACTTTCACTCTGGCTCCCTCATCCACCACCATTTCAATCAGGTAATACGTCGTTTCCGTATCCTGGGTGACTGAAGTCAAGACCATCATCGGAGCACCATGACTGCCTTTACGAGTCAAAGCCGTGGTGGCCCCCGTGGACAGTTCAACGTCAAGCACCTTGAACTGCAGAGACGGTATGTCAGGAAGGGTTCCCTTCAGTGCATTTCCAACTTCCTCTCTGAAACTGAATGATGTTTCAAGAGAGTTCCCAACGCTCAGATTGGTATTCCAGAATTCGATTTCCGCATCTTCGGTGGCCACCACGACATCACGTTGACCTTTCCTCGAGCCTCCAGCCTTGATGATGGGTGTGCCCTTTCTCCGATCGGCACCAAGGGCATTGCGAATGGTGCCAAATATGCCTCCAGTACCCCCGGTGTATTTTCGCAAGAACTGGACGCCAATACCGGGACGGCCCATCTGATCTCGAATTGTCAAGTGTACGACGCGGCCGTGTCTCAAAGACAGAACGAAACCGGACGGTTCAGCATTGACGAGCTCTTCCACAGCTTCGCCGCTCAACATACCGGGTATTGAACCCTGAACATTCGCATTTTGCCCTGGGATAAAGGTGGAGGCATTGGATATTGTCTCCCAGTATACTATTTTTCCCAATTTAGCAGACACTGCAACAATTCCCGGCTCTCCATTTGCAGATTTGGCGGTGAATGCTGCTAGCGGAAGAGGATCATCGATCGAAGCGGGAGGAAAAGGCAATTTGAAGGTGATGACATCTCGAGATGAAGGGGTAGATGCACTCGAATTGTATGGCCAAATTATAGCATCGCTGTGGGTGAGGGCAAGGGCGTATCCATACTCTTGGGAAATGACGCAAGAATAGGGGATCGTAGGCCGGTTTCTGATCTGCTCCGGAAGCGAGGGAAGTTGAGAAACAGTATAGAAGTCGTTGTTTGAGAGCGTCAATGTCGGATTGACTGTTGCCGCCGTTCGTTCCGAACGCTTTTCTGGCTTCTTTGCGCCGCGCAGGGTCAATTCCTTTTGGTGTGCAGGAGCTGTGGGGTGTCCGTTAGGTTTCTCATCGCCTGCCTCACGTCCAGCAATCTCATTCAGACTGGCTTCAGCCAGAGGTTCGAAGGTGTCTCGTCGCAAAGCCGATCGTTTTCTCTTTGCCTGGGGAAGTTTAATCGAGTCTTCCGGTCCCGATGATGGGCGTGTTCTCTTGGACCGGAGGGACTGCACGCGCGACGCGTCCGGTGAGAACATCCTGAGTGTACGAGGAACGCTCAGAACATTGAACGCAAGGAAAGAAAGGGAGAGTGTGGCTGTAGATCTAATGATGATGATGGGACATTGCTAGGGAGAGAAATGCGCTTTGTTATGACCGCGCCTGCATCTTATTGCCGTGTTCGCTGCTATAGCGAATCTGGTAGGCCTTGGCACTTTAGGCAAGGGTTTAGTGCCGCCCTATTCAGTTGGGCAGCAACTTTGGCCTGACTACTCCGTACTAACCTAGCATTTGGACCGAAACTGCACACCATCAGGCGAGCAGCCGCTGTTGTGTAAGACATGGATGACTCTCTGTGCCTTCACTGGCATAGCAACGCGGCCAATGACAGCCCTGGTGCGTGGGGGCTTCGTCTATGTGGTGGCCCCCAACAAGGCAAACCAAAAGATAGCCGCCGGCCCTTCTCATGAAACCGTTTCATCGTATGCATGATTCGCTTTGACAAAGGAATGTGGCTTGCAAGAGATTGAGACTCTCAAGTATGACTACCCTGTCACAAGACCCAAAGGCTGTAGCCTTCTGTGGCAGGCAGTCTTCAGAAATATCTGGGGTTATGTTACCGGAATCTTCGTCCCAACTTTCTGCAACATCATATGTCAACTACCTTTCAGTGGTCAGCGGGCCTGAAGCATCCTTTTTTATCTCCTCCTTGCACTGATAGTACGATCCTCCAACAAGGCAGTGACGCTCTGCGTCCTGGCCTAAATGAAACACCTAACCCTCCGGAGGCAGTGTCCAATCCGAAGCAGGCCCGGTCAATCAATACGCAACAAAGCACCTTGCGTCCACCATGGCATCGCCAAATGGGAGTGCATCATCATCAAGTACACAGTTCGTAAGAGGTTGGGTAAGCCAGCCGGACGGTCGCGGGACTTGGGACATAATACAGCAATGTGTGGCAACGTTGGCTCTTTGTAGCTGGTCATCTCAGGTTCTGAACATATTTCCCGGTGAAGGGCGCGTTTCATTCATGAAGTGGAAACTGCGCTGGGTACTGTTTACCCTTTTTTGGCCAGAGATCACGTTAGGAGTTGCATATGAGCAATGGGAGTCGGCCTCTCAGAGTGTCGAGGACTTTTCCAAAATAAGCAAGAAAGGCTACGAAACTTGGACTATGCGGCATGCTTTCTTTGCTGAAATGGGTGGTTTCCAGCTTCAGACACCAGACTTTCCAGTATTTGCCGTGGACAGTCAGCAGATTCTTTATCTCATCAAGAACAACTATATCACTTATCCCAATGTCGACGTTGAGACCATTTGGGACAAAAACAAGGCCGACGGGTTCGCCAGAGCAATCACACTGATACAGATCGCCTGGTTCAGCATTCAGTGCATCGGCCGCGGTATCCAACACTTGTCGTTGACGGCACTGGAACTTCTGACGATCAACATGATCTTCTGCACTTTGTTCACCTTCTATTTCTGGTACCACAAACCTCTGGATGTCCAAACTCCTATCGTTTTACCATCAGACACCACCATCGCCGAGATACTTGTGAAAGCTGGAGATCCAGCCCGGGAGCCCTACAAGCTGACGCCTCTGGATTTCATCGCTTCCCGGCCAACTCCAGCAAACTTTGTAGCTGCTTGGTGGTGGGGCCTGAGGCTATGCTTCGACGGCAAACTTTTCGAGATGGACAAGGGACCACGTCCGGCCACGACCTTTTCCCACTCAAGATCATTACCGCCTCGGGGTTACTCCTTCTGGTCTTGCCTCTGTAGGATTCTCATATCGTCAGCATACTTTGCCCTTCATTTTGCAGGGTGGAACTTCACACTTCCCACGACCCTTGAGCAGAAGCTATGGCACACTGCAATGATCTATTTTGTCGGGCTGTATTGTACTTACCTGGCCGTCTTCACCGTCGTGACGCTTCTTAGTGGGTGGATTGCAAGTAAATATTTCCAAAAAGAGGCAAGAACTTTTATTGAAGTTGCTTCTATGTTCCCGCAGTGGTTTCAGCTTTGTGGCTTACTGCCCATCTACGGGTCCTATGGTGTTATGCGCGCGTATCTAGTCATTGAAAGCTTCATCAGTCTGCGGATGCTACCTATGGATGCCTACGACACTGTCAACTGGTCTGATTTCATTTTTCATCTCTAGTTTGATGAGGTAGTGCTCAATTTTCTTAACTGCCAAGTCAGAGACAGAACAGCTAGAAGTATCCTTCATTGATTGAGTATCATAGCCAAAATCAATTGGTCCCCACTGCCACAGGTACCCGTCAGGACCTACATTGAGATAGCCCTGTAAATTGGTAGTTGATGCAATGTAGTCTATTGAACAGTCCTCTGTCATAACGACTCATCGCTTGAAGAGCAAAGAAGGCGTCTATATCTAATCGGGAGGGGAGGGCGTCTTATAAGCTTCCCCTTGTTCGGATGTGTACTTCCTGCTATTCCAGATGGTTCGCTTCCTCATTGCGTCCGTTGCTCACTTGGTCGCTAGGTATATCACCCGTCTCGGGCGAGGATCTAGAGTCTCGTGACAGTACCGGCCTGGAAGCAACATGCTTAATGCATTTTCGGACTGGATAACTCTCAAGCCCTAGAGTAAACTTGTTGTGTACCCGATAGCTTTGATCTGCGTCTTCATTCACTCGAGTTGAGTAACTGAACCAGGCTTTCTAGCTTTGGCCATCAAGCACTGAAGTAAAACTAAGGCCTATACTTCGCTACCCGATGCCTTTGGTCTGCTTCTCCATTCATCCGATCTGGGTAGCTTGGCGACAGGCTTCCTAGCTTTGACCATCAAGAACCGAACATGGTCTCGGTGACGCCATAGTTCAACACCGGCCATGGCATTGACGAAATATGCCTCTAAGCCGAGCAGCTTGATGATGAGGTATGGGATGAAGGCTAATATGAAGAAGAAGCGCATCATTGGAGCCACGTTATTGGAAAGGTCCTGGACTTCGACATCTTGGAAGCCGACGCCTTGAAGCATTTCCCGAATCGCGTTCAAGGTAAACTGGTCAAAGGCCGGCATATGTGCGTAAGTGTTGATTTGACGCAAAGCATGGAGTCCAACTGGATCGTTGTCCATGTGGTGCTCGTACTCGACATGTGTCACCACTCCGCCGGGTTTCAAAACGCGGTAGAACTCTCTCATAGCCTGCTGAGGTTCGGAGGCATGAACGAGGGTCTCCATCGTGTAGGCGCCGTCAAAGGTGTCGTCGTCAAACTTCAACTGCTCGTAGTTGCCGCATGATACCTCGATCTGATCCCCTAAATGCTTGCGCTTGACATTCTCCCGGGCCCAGCCAACGTGCATAGGTAGGAGATCAATGGCTTTGACTTTCAGACCTTTCCTGGCCATGAATATCGCAACGTCTCCGTTCCCGGTTCCGGCATCTAACACCAACGAGCCGTCTCTCAGGTTGAGTGTACGGTAGAGGTGATCTTCCATCCTCCGCAGGGCATCCCCGAGGGGGAAGGGCCATAGTGTCCCCTCTCTGTAGTATCCAAAGTGCCTTGTTCCTCCGAGAATAAGCCTGTAGCCGATTCGGGATTCCAAGGTGTGATAATACTCCGACACAGTTGGCATCGCTATCGTAGGGTGGAGCCGCAGTCTGCCTATAAATCTGCTTCGTCGTGGCTGTAGGAATGTTCGAACTTGTTTGGCACCACTTTATGGGGTATGGTTTAGTGCATGACAGGCGTCAATTTGAAAGGGAGAGGGAGGCCGCAGTCGCGAGAAGTTCAGGAGGTTCGCTATGAAGCCTTGGCGGGCACGTGATGACGCATCACCCTCTGCTATTTACCTATAATGCGTCTCTTACAGGTACTTTACATAGTCTTTACAACTACACTACATACAACACTTGAATGACAATATTCTCCCACCGGTAGAAGGGTACACAATGTTTAACAGGTTAAAAGTGGCGGGACGCACCATCCCGCCTGGGACCCAAGCCGGAAGCGGCCAGAGTGGCACCCAACTTCAGAAAGACTCGTCGAACGTCTGAATGTCTGAAAATGTGCGTACGGAGTACGGATCCTGTGACTATGTCTCCATGAAGAACACTACAGGAGAGATCATATCGATCACATGATGGCCACTTGGAGACGAGGTATGTGGGAAGCCGGGGTCAGGAGTAATGTTGCCGAATAAAACGGGATCAGATCCTTTGGTGAAACTGGTTGTACTTCCTCCAAAACTTTGTAGGACTGCACTTGCTATAGGCGGGAGAGAGAGTATATGAGTGAGTGAGTGTCTCTGTACATTCCTGTTGTCGATGTGTGTCACGACGCTCCTTGCACGCCATCAGTGCAAATCAAACATCGTGTCCGAATCAAAGCCCAATTGGCGGAAAGCCAGTACCTGCTACCAGATATGGCCAGCATCGTACAAGGACAGCAACCGCAACGGCGTGGGGGACATCTCCGGCATGATCAGCACACTTCCATACCTGAAAGAACTGCGCGTTGAGACCAACTGGCTATCTCCAATGTTCGACTCTTCACAGAGAGACCTGGTCGGCTAGCGTACCAGCTTCGACTGTATTGTAAATGTGTCCCGCTTGTGTCATGACGGTGTACACTGTACGAGGTCAGGTAGCTATGAAGGTGAGCGCGAGGCAAATGCCTCCGCCGAGAGGTGTGTACCAATCCTGAACAGCACATACATATCACAAGAAAAGGGGAGTGAAATGCGGCCAGTGCGATACTCCATTTTGTCCTGTCTTTCCGATCAGACTTCGATGTCACTACAGGTGCTGGCAGGGGCTCATGATGAGGAGCAATTCTGGAAAAGAGAACAGCTGGGTTTCTGAAAGCGAAATGTGGGATACACCCGTATTTATATGAAGACGAAGGAGGAGGAGGAGGGTCGCCGCGTCAATCTGCAATACTCGTGCTAGCATTCAAGCAATACATGTACGGAAATCAACACGAAAAACGAATAGAGAAGTTGCAATTCTGAATTTGAATTGGTTTCCGGTTATGGTTCTGCTAATACATGCTTTGTGTGTGTGTGAATCATTCCTCTTCGTGACCTTTTCATTTGTTAAAGTGTTGACACATTGTGTGGAGCACCATCCTTTGGGCGCCATATAAGGAGACGTTGATCATGTTTATCCATATCCCTGCAGCGACCGGTGGGAGTAATGTAGTTCCATGATCATCATCTCGACGGATTGTCGTTTGTAGTATTACATCTTGAGATTATCGCCATCAACGCTTCCTCCGAGGGTGCTGGAGTCGATGCTCTCTTCCTTGGATAGGTTGGACGCTTTTTCAATGTCATCGTCGGTGGGGCCGTGCAATTCCTCTTCAAAGACGGGGTCGGCCTCGATGGTCTCGAACTTGGTCTTGAAGTCGCCTAGAGCCTGGGTGCTGCTGTTGGATCGACGACGGGCATTGGCAAAGTTGTAGCCGTAGTCGTGAACCTCGTCACCCTCACGTCCCCTGTAGACAAATGTGTCAGTTTCATGCAGGGCCCATGACAACGGCGATGATGTTAGGGTGCGTTCATACCAGTTACCCTTGCCACCACCTTGTTTCTTGATACCCTTGGGGTCAGCGTCGACGTGGCCGTGTTTGGCGAAGTAGCGAGGGAGACGGTCTTCGGGGGCAGCAGTGCCATCAGCAAGGGCGCTGTGGTTGCGGTCGTTGCCTTTGTTGGTCCGAGTCACTGAAAGGGTGTGTTAGTTGCCGGAACAAAGCCGCAGGAAGATCCGGAAAGACATACTGATGAAAGCAGGATGGGATAGGAGATGGTTGAGAGAGGTGAAGCTGGTCGAGAGTTGGTGTTGGTGTTGTGGTTTGATTGATGCTGGGAGAAGTCGAAGTCAGCTATGGGTTGAAGTGAGGTTTGGAGTTGAAGAAGGGGAACCGACACGCGACCCTGGAAGGTCAAAGGGAGGTAAGAAGCTCGGGCCAGCTCGATGATGCTGATCGCGGATGGATTGGGAGGAATCCGGCCTGCAAACTCACCTTATTCGAGAGAGATTCAGGGATGGGCTTGGGCGGGAGCGAGGCGGGTTGTGGTGTGATTGGGTGCTGTGGTGAGAGAAGGCCAAGGGTGAAGACGAGTGACTTGTGAGGTACTTATGGACAAGCTGAGAGGCGGGAGAGCTGACGACAGCGGAGGGCGCAATGAGGCCAGATAATCAGGTACAGTGTACGGGTGCGTGTCTCCATCGACAGCAGTGCTCTATCTAGTCTAGCTGAAGCCATTGTTTGTTACTGATGGATTATTGTGATGCTCGCATGACCTGGACCATTGCGCTTTCTAGAGGATTCTGGCGAGTCACAAGTTGTAGCCCCTCGGTACCTGCACACGCCAATCGTCATTGCACTTTCCCCAGATTCCGGATGCCGACGAATGGCCTCCACTTTGCGCCATTTGGCTGCGTTTAGCGCGGGGTCAGTGACTTAGTAGCGCAGTAGCTGGGACTGAAAGGGCGAGACCAGCCACCAACTCCACAGAACCAGAGCGAAATCCAGGCACCAGGGGAACATGGAGCACGAGGAGGTAAACAGACTGAAACAAAGGAGAGGCACATTGGAAACAATAATGCCGTGGATATCGATCGGTATCGTTCTCAGTGCCACCCTGAAGACCGTGCTCACCAGATGGCAATACACGATACACTACCGAGCACAGTATCCACTTATCGACAGTTTAGGGATGCAGACAGGTAGAGACGAGACGGTGAACAGAATCCTGTAAATTGGCAGAAACAATTAGCAGAGGCAATCAGCAGAAACAGTCCGCAGCTAGCAACAGCTGGGAGATGGCGACACCTGGAACCTTTGTCTCCGGTGCAGGCTCTAATAGCTGTATCAAGTGACTCATGTACTGTACCTCGTACTCGTACAACATTATGACTGCCCCCAGACTGTATCTCACTCATATCAGCACATAGCACGAGCAGGTAGAGTATCGTAGAGCAATCCTCGAACAGCTGAGAACAGGTGACGCAGTGGCCTGATCATATCAGATAAGCGGAATTCACCGGCGAAACCGCCGCACAGCCCGTCACGTGGGCTGCCTTTCTTCCCACCGACCAAGGTGTTTGCCTCAGTCCAAACTCCCATGTTGCAAAGATCGCAAAATCCTGAAAACGTACAGTAAATATCGACCAAGGCAGAGGCATCTTTCTTGCTACTTTGTGAGAAGGCGTCCGAAAGTCCATCATCACCAGGGCCCCTGCTGGTGCCCAGCATCGACTGGGGACAGCCTCCGACTCTCTCTAGCGTCGTCCCCTCTTCCCGCTCCGATTTCTAATCCGGGCCGTCGTTTTATTATTCTTTTTCCAGCCTTTGAAGACACAACTGCGAAAATCCACGGCTGCACCTTCATTTGTACTCGACTTGTCTTCATCAGCGTTGTCAACATGTCGCCATCCATCCTCATGGACACCTCGGACGATTTCGTCATGCCTGTCGCAAAGGCGCCGCAGTCTTCCAAGCGAACCCTCCTCCTCTCGCCACCGTCTCTGTCATCCCACCAAGAGAAATTGACCAATGTGCTGGAGATGCACAACCGAGCAGTCACGGACATGCAAATGCTCGACAGACTAGCAGCTGGCTTCGTCTCTCTTCCTCAGTCCACCTATGATGTAATTATCATCCTCTCCGATGCCGATGGTTCTCGCCAGGAATCACACGCCCTCCTTCACCGGGACGTCCTGGGACTGTTGGTGAAGGCACTCAAGAACGGAGGTCAGCTACGAAGCCAGGACGGTCAATATGGGAATGTAGATGGCGCGGAAAAGAACGAGGCTATTTTGGCCGGATTGTCATATCAGTCGGGGACTGGTTTTTTCAAGCCAGACTACGGCGCCCAGGAGTCGGTTCCTCTCAAATTTGGAAAGAAGAAGAATGTTGCTCAGGCTGCCGGCGGGCTGAGTACTAATGGTGGCTCCGTGTCACTCCCCTTGAATGGAAAACGAAAGAGTGGGGACAATGTGCTTGATGGTGTTGGATTTGACGATGGCACAATGGACTCTGATGATGAACTAATTGACGAGGATGAGCTACTGGATGAGAACGATCTCAACCGGCCCATCAAGATTCGTAAGTCGAAATGGCACTCTGTACCAGTCTGCCTACTGACATTACCCAGCCACCGAATGCAAGCCCAAGGCAAAGAGACGCCGAGCCTGCAAGGATTGCACTTGTGGTTTAGCACAAAAACTCGAAGCAGAGGACCGGGCGCGAAGAGAAAATGCTGACAAGGCATTGAATACGCTGAAGCTACAATCTGATGATCTGGCCGAGGTTGACTTTACCGTTCAAGGCAAGGTTGGAAGTTGTGGAAACTGCAGTCTCGGAGGTAAGTTTGTGGCGGGTTTTTGTCACTTTTGGCAGATGCTAATATTGGGTCTCAGATGCCTTCCGATGCGACGGCTGTCCTTATATTGGTCTGCCTGCCTTCAAACCAGGAGAAGAGGTTCGTCTACTGAACAACGACATTCAATTGTAAGAAAGGTCGTCTTATATTTATGCATTGCGACGGCGTCTTGGCAAGGATTCAGACGGAATCTTTATAGGTATGGATGATCAAGACCAGTGTACAGACCAGGACAGGATAGAGTTGGGTCAATGACTGGCATGAATTATGGAGTAGAGAGATGTACACGACGCCCGGCAGACTGTTTGACGTTCTGTGGAGTTGCATGCATTATTAGAAGGAACAAACAAGACCCAGGTTCCCAACTATCAATTTTTTGTATGTGATGCCTTGTAAATATCATCATTTCGGATAACGAAGTGTACTGTGGTGGTTGGATGTCCCGTGCCAGGGGCAGTTGGTGATATGGACGAATCGCCAGCGCCCCAAATGTGCCGACTAGTAAGCGAACGAGCAGAAACCGCCCACGGAAAATTGCCAAATCCAATCGACTCGGTCCGGTTTTTGCTGACAGTTCTTCCGGCTTCTGAGGGCGAGACCCCGAGGGAATCCAAAACCCCAAAGCTGCGGTGGGTTGTCCGTACAAGGAAGAAATTCACGGAATGTGACAACTTTCCGTCGCCTCTAGCTTGCACCAGCGCAGTTCCTTTCTTATTCAACGGCTCTGTTTTCTCTCGAGATATCCTCCTGCGATCTCCTGGTCAGAGCTGTGCTCGACCTCATCGCAAGCCCATACCAAGACCAACGTCCTCAGAGCTTTCCTCTCGACAGTCCTCCCCTTCCGCCCTCCCACCGCCACAATGTCCTTCTCCTCGCTCGTCCAAGATATTGCCTTTCGCGACACCTCTCAGTCCAATGTGCGAGCAAGCGCCAGCACGGCGACAAGCAATGACAACCAGTCCACCATTTCTCGACCCTCCGTGGCCCGCTCATACACCTCGACCGCCGCCACGAGCGTCAGCATTGCCGGTGACATCTCCAGCCAACTTCATGCAGGTTACAGTCACCCATTGTCAAGATCATGGCAAGCAGAGCGACAACTGACAAAGGTAGTGTTTTATGCTGCAGCTCTCTCTGTCATGTCCACTAATGAATGTTGCAGTCTATGCTCATCTACCCTATCTTCATCACTGACAATCCCAACGAAGTCACAGCGATCCCTTCCTTGCCCAACCAGAAACGCCTCGGCTTGAACAAGGTCGTTCCCTTCCTTCAGCCACTTGTGGCTAAAGGTCTCCGAAGCGTCATTCTCTTTGGTGTCCCTCTCGCACCCAGCGCTAAAGACGCCCTGGGCACAGCTGCCGACGACCCGGAGGGTCCTGTAATCCAGGCCATTCAGCTCATCCGTCGACAGTTCCCATCCATCTTCATCGTTGCCGACGTGTGCCTATGTGAGTACACATCGCATGGTCACTGTGGCATTCTCCGCGATGACGGGTCTCTCAACAACGCCATGTCTGTTGAACGCATCTCGGATGTGGCGATGGCCTATGCGCATGCTGGTGCGCACTGTGTTGCCCCATCCGACATGAACGATGGACGTATTCGTGCGATCAAGCTCAAGCTCATCGAGGCGGGTCTCTCTCATCAAGTTAACCTGATGAGCTATGCCGCCAAGTTCTCGGGCTGCCTGTATGGTCCCTTCCGCGATGCGGCAGGCAGTTGTCCTAGCTTCGGCGATCGGAAATGCTACCAACTTCCACCTGGAGGACGAGGGCTCGCACGACGCGCGATTGCACGAGACATCAATGAAGGGGCTGACATTATCATGGTCAAGCCCGCGAGCAACTTCCTCGACATCATCAGCGATGCAAAGGAAATTGCCAAAGACATGCCTATTGCCGCATACCAGGTCAGTGGAGAGTATGCCATGATCCATGCGGGTGCCAAGGCAGGCGTGTATGATCTGAAGGAGATGGCGTTCGAGAGTACCGAAGGCATCCTACGTGCGGGTGCCAATATTGTGCTCAGCTACTTTACGCCAGATTTTTTGGACTGGTTGGACTCATGAGTGTTTGGTTGTTGCGACATTGAGCGTTGTCTTTTTTTCTTCGCGTTGAGTATGACAAGGTGGATGATGAAGAGCAATGAACTTTTTATGTTTTTATCTGTTCCTTCGTCATGGCGGGAATAAATCTTTCCTTATTGTGCCGATAGAAAAGGGGGGAAAATAGGAGGCAGTGTGCACATGAGGCTGAAGATGCGACACGAGGCCGACGGGAATGGTGCCTCGAAAGTGAAAAAGAATCCTTATGTCCAATAGAGTGTTTCATGACAAAAAGAACATCATTGCCGTTACACATGAGGCCGAGTTTCATTTGAAAACAAAGTTTTATCTCATCACATCCAAAGACATTGTCTGGGTCGTCAAGGTTTGACGAGTGACACAGAATAGCATCTTTTTTCCTGGATTTACTTTTAGAGTTTCTCCCCTGCCATTGCCTGGATGACACTTGGGTCTTCACATCCTCCATGCTGATACCCCGGTTTTCTCGGTCCTTGGGACTGAGTAACCCAGTACTAGAAGAAACATGGTCTCGTCTTTGGCGTGTGACGTCTGGTGTCTGGTGTTCGGTGTTACGGTCACTCTCAGTGCGACCAGCCACGCGTACGGTAAGTGGTTATGAGGAACCAAGTAGACCCAGAGCGAGAGAAAAAGAGAGAGGACTTATTCTTTTCTTGATTACTGACAGCAGTAGCTGACCTTGACATAGCATTCTCCGTGCAAGGTCTCGGAATACCTTGCGAGGTTGGAATCTTTGTTTGATAGGCAATATGCCTGACTGACTGACTTGAGTTTGACCACATCTTCATCCTGGATTGTGCAACTGGCGGATCGTCGTCGTCGTCGTCATCGTCATCATCGTCATCCTCCTCCTTCGCAGAGGCAGAAGCAGAGGCAACTGCAAATACAAACACAAATATAAATACAAATCGACACAGTCCACGTCCCATCATCGGGTCCCACATATCGGATCTTTCTTCCTTCTACTCTGACACGGGTAGATGAGAATATTTCTAACAGTATCCTTCAAGATTGATACCTGTACTCATTCTGTTGGCTTCATATATCTCTGTCCCTTGTTCCCTGTCGCCGTACCATCATTGTCGTTGTGGTCGATATTTTCTCTCGGTGATTAGCGGATACAGTAAGAGGAAGAAGAAAAGAAAAGAAAAGAAAAGAAAAGACAAGACAAGACAAGATAGTCGCTCTCGTTGCTGTTGTCGTTGATGATGATGGTCAACTTCTCAACCTTTATCCTCAACGGCATCGCCGTCGCCATTGCGTCGACATGCGTAGGGGGCGTCGGTGCAGAAGACTCGACTTATCGAATCAGTCTGTACAGCAAGCCGGATTTTCAAGGCGACCAGGCCACCTTTACAACCGAGTAAGTTCGAGGTTGAAAAGTTCAAAGTCAGAGGGAGAAACCAGGAGAAGGCAAGGAAAAGTCAACAGCCAAGTTGGCACACTTTTGTACAAATTTGTCTTTTTCTCCCTCATCTCGCATGGAGGCATACACAGGCATATACATTCTGTTTTTCTTTCTCTTTCTCGAAAAGGGGGCCCCTGATTCATCGCTTCCTTCTTCTCCTTCTCCTTCTCCTGCGTTCACTCTCTCGCACATTTATTGCACCCTTTCTCCCCCCTTTGGACTCGTACAGTATGTGTGTACCGTATTCCTGACTGACGAATGGAATCCAACAGTGGAACCCACAAGGTTGGATTCTCGGGTGGTGCTCAATCGTGGATCTATGAATCTGAACCAGGTGATGGATGTTGTATCGCCTTTTGTCGCGGGAGTACTGTAAGTCCTCGTGATTCTTCTGGATTCCTTCGTTTTTGTGTTCCGTGGGTCCGGTGTGTCATGGTACTCCCATGGCCTCTCTTCCAACACTACGTGGCTTGCACTTCGCAGCTCGCTGATAATGAGTGTCAAAAATATAGAATGTCGGAAGATATTGTGATTCAGCATACAAGACTGAATCCTCGGCCGGGACGACCAAGGTGTTTACTGGATGTAACAATACCGTTTTGAACTGTTAGTTTGAGGTAGTTCGAGGTAATCATTGTCGATAGCTAGCTCGAGGTATCATTTTGGATTGTTAGCTTGAGGTACCATTTTGAAGTGCTGGCATGAAATATAACGTTGATTGGGTATCCTTTTTGGATTCCAGACAAAACGTCCCCCAGACACAAGACGTCAAGGCCATTCTCGGTGCCAAGGTCCGGATCGTGACTGTCAGGATCAATTGAGTGATCGATGTGAGGGGGGAGAATCCTCTCCATCCCTCTCTCTAAAACCCTCGAATCCCTCTAGTCAATCGAAACGGATGAGCTTCCGTATTCAGCACCCACTCATCCAGACTGATCAAGCTGGGATCACTAAACAAGAGATAGAAGTACTTGAGAGTCTCGGCGAACCAGAAACTCTCCATGTCGTCCATCTGCCTCGCGAGCACTTTGCGCACCATGAGGCCCCTCTCGTACGTGTCGCGCTGGTAGACTTCCATGGTGCTGAACAGGGCGGCATGGCCGAACGGGGACCGCGTATGTTCGATGATGGACTGGAACATGTCCCAGCCCACTTCGCGCCAGTACTCGTCGCCCGTTACGCGCCACATGACAAAGACCGACTCGACGGCCTCGGGCCGCAGCTTGTACGAAGGGTCCTTGACCTGCAGGAACCCCGGCGGGAAGCGAGACGACGGCTGACAGTCCCCGTACGCGTCTATGCAGTCCTCTTCCGGCGTGCCGCTGCCGGCGCCGCTCTGCCGGCTCTCCGCCGCCCAGTACGAGTCGTCCCAGTCGCACTGGCGGCCGTCGTTGATGGAACACGGCAGCAGCGTGAGCGTCTCCGGCATGATGCCCGACGGGCTGTTCTGGTACGCCCACACGCAGCCGTTCGTGATTTGCTCGCCGACGTACAAGTCTTCGGGGTTGTTGAAGATCCGCGAGGCCATGGCGAACATACCGCCGGCGAAGCACGCGAGGTGTTCGGTCCTCGTCTCCAGCAGCGTCTGCGGCGACCTCGACCCCCCTGGACCGGTGAGACTTCTGGACGCGATGCCCGGGAACACCACGTCCGTCTCGTTGGCGCCCGGGATCAGCGCGCGGAACAGCAGGTAGCGCTTGATCTGCCGCGACGCCAGATGCCACATCGTCCCGAACACGGACCGCGTGTGGCCGATCAGCAGGTGCGTCTTGACGAGGTACTCGTACGCAGAGTCCGACATGGCGCCTAGCCCGTACCGCGAGCTTCGACGTGCGAAATCGTACCCCTGCGGCCCGTCGACGAGGCGCGGGTTGACCGTCTCCGGCCACAGTCCCGGAATCGACGAGTCGTTCTGCGACCGCGCAAACACCCCGCTGAGCATGTCGACTGTGCGCATGTACTTTTCGTCTCCCGTCACCTGGGCCAGTCGGGCGAATTCCAGGTACAGGCTACCGACGTCGGCGAGCGCGGCGGTTTCGGCCGCCTCCTTCGTCGTCGTCGTGGCCAGGTTGCACACGGTGCACGGCATGCCGTTGGGCGTGGCAAAAGCCGAGTGCAGCACGTCGCCTAGCTCGATCAGCTTCGGGAGGATCCGCTCGTCGTTGCTGAGGTCGTACGCCGCCATCAGCCCGCCCAGGTACCGGATGGTCGATTCGAAGAGATTCACGTCGCAGTTCTCGACGACGTCCTCGCCGCCAAAGTCAACCGTCAGCGTCGCGTTCAGCGCTTCCTGGAACTCGTCGTCCAGTCCCATGATGATCAGGCTGTCGAGCGCGTCCACGAGAGTCGCCGACCATCCGCAGAACTGCTGTTTCCTACCGCCGGACAACGGCCGGAGTCCGTCCGCCATCCATGCGTGGTCTCGATATCCTGTCCACGCGTGGAGGAACTCACGCTTGACGGCGTCCTGCCGCTCTGGTTGCGCCAGCCGTCTCGACGACGGAAACCGGTGCTGGATCTGCGTGGGAGCACTGGGTCCCACGGTCACCACATGGATTAAGAATACGATGGCGCACACTGAGAGTGTAGCCGCGATCGCTCTTCTCGACGGTACATTTCGCCACAACATTGTTTCGAAGTATGTTCTGTGATCAAGATGCCATGGACATAGCTTGCAAAGGGTGTGGGGGACTCTGTTGTCGTGTACAGTAGAATTGTCGAGGGCCAAAGACAAAACGAAGGGAACGAATGTTGCTTGGTGTGAAGAAAAGAATGGATCGTACGTGGTCAGTTACATCAACAACACCACAAAAAGAACGACTGGCATGGAAATGAATGAATGAAAAAGAAATAAAAAAAAAGAATGATTGTGGCCCGATCAAGGACTGTTCATAGAGAGGAAAAAGGAATTGCACGGATCACCGATACATGGCGAACGGTGAAATGAGATGCCGCTGAAAGAGAGAGAGCCATAATACAGACAGATCCAAATTTCGAACGTCTTCTGTAACCAATATTTCCAAAACCAGGGGTAACGTTAATAAAAGGCGCCCCGGTTTCTTACGCCGGTGGCGGCCGAAAGACCAACGAAGATCCAGTCTCCGTATAAAAGAGTACGTACATCCATACCTCGTACCAGAGGAGGAAGAAAAAGAGGGAACTAATAAACACGCCACTCTGTATGGAAAAGCGCGTGCGACAAAGAGACCTCAGACAAGAGACAGCTTGCATGGGTCGCAAAGAGCGATGGCCAGGAAGTGCCCGAGGCAGACAGACGGTTAGTTAGAGCATCCCGCACCAGCGAAGGTGTGCCATCCCCTTTGGTAAAATGGTCATACAGTGGTGGTGTTTCGGTGGCTGACTTTGACCTGACTGGAATGAAAGTAGGGGGTTTGGTGGTCAGTGGTGCGAGATTGATTCGACGGCCGCACGAGAGAAATCTCCACACCAAGGCGTCAAGGAAGATGAGGGCGAGGGAGGTTCCCAACTTCCCGTTGCCAAGGCGGCCGGTTTGAGATCTCATCGTGTCATTTGTAGCTCCACGAGGCGAGCAGCAAAGACCAGTATGGAAACCACTTACGAAGGACATGTACGTGTAGAGGCGAGATCCTTGCTTGACTGGGAGGAAAAGGGGGGAGATTTCATTGGGAGGGGGAGGGGGGTCCGAGGTAGTTTGGTTTGGCTTCTCAGTCTCTCAAACTCAAAAAGATGAAAATATGTTACTCCGTACTCCGGAGTGTTATCAATAAGCTCTTGTACAAACCAGATTCGCGTGATATCGTACGGAGTACGGAGTACGGATATCTGTAACTCTTCTTTTTCTCGCGTGGCGACAAGGGACGACGGGTCCACGGGTAGGGGGTGTCTCAAGGATCAACAAGATCTCGACCAGGCCCAACTTTTCTGACGCCATCATCCATACGTGCAGTACAAGAAAGCGAGTGGTCATTCAATATTTAGAGGTCTGACTCCCGATGATAATAACAATACTACGTAGTCAGGACGATGCCTGTGCTATCCGCCAGGTCCGGGGCCTCGAAAGATTCACCGCATGACTCGCATTCAACGTGTTTCCAGGCTGATGCAAAAGTACGGTCAGAAAGTAGATGATTTGCTAGACTTGACCTCAGTCTCTTCTATCCGACTCGCGCGATTTTGTCATAATACAGTGAGTGCCCTTGAGGCGTCCCGTCATCCCGCCCCATTGTCATGTTGGCTCGCCCTCTGCGTCTCTCCAGGTCCGCGTCCTTTCGCCGAACCGATTGATGCCTGGCCGGCCACATCGAAACCCTGACGACCTTCCAAGGTTCTCACCCTGTACAGCGTTTCTACAGAGCAAAACACTTGGCCCTTGCTTGAATAAGGCCCGGCGCCCTGGCCCTCCACCGCCCCCTGGAGACCCATCTCCACTCCCTTGTTGCGAGATTCACTACTTTGCTCCGTCAGACTCACCAGTCGGAGGTTGTCTCCAGATTGTCCGTAGTTATGCAAGGGCGGTGTGGTTCCCACTTCATAAGCGAAGCCTAGTCAGCCACCAATTGGGCCCCGGACTGACGGTATGCGGAAAATATAGAAACGCACAGCCATACGGAGTATTGATATGTCTCTCTTTGGCCCCAAGGAAGCCAAGACGATACAGAACCCGAATGTGTTGCAAGATCGAGATCTTTCGCATCGTTCCGTCTTTTTACAGCCGCAGACAACCCTTCTTTACAAGCGTGACGAGTGTGTCCCTGCGGAGCCAGATGGATCTCATGATACTGCAGCCTTACGGCCTCATCGCCGAAACCGCGACAAGGGTCCGCGGCCCCAATGAGCTGCCCGCCTTGCCAACCAAGCGATGAGATCTCTCGACAACGCCACCTCGAAGAAAGTCATATGTGGCGCTTGCGATTCTGCTTCCAGAGTGTGGAATGCCTCGCCGCCGCGGAGTTTGATGCGAGAATATTCGTAAGCAATCCCAGTGAAATGCAGATCGTTACTCAATGCGATACGCCCGTAGTCGCTCAGCTGAACCCAAGGGTTACAATTCAATGCCACGGTGAAGGTCATACTTACAACCTGGGAGAAAATCTCTGTAACTTCAAACGCAGAACCCGACGTGATACTTCTTTCCACCTGGTGGGTCTTGACTGTTGCAACCCTCTTCAAGATGTCGAACTGTGTATTTCGGAACCAACCAACAGAAAGAGCACGGGTTGCCAGATCGTGGTATGGAATCTACGGGTTGGAGATATCCGCGAAAATCTGCCTTAACAATTTGGATTCTGGGGGTGGCCGCTTGTCCTGAGAAGGCCTGAAAGAAACATCATGCAACTGATATGACCGCCAATGCTTCAGCTCCGGCTCCCAGTCGGTTGGTTGCTTTGTTACCGACCATCTGGAAATTCTAGAACCACTTGGATCATTGTTTGCATCCAGGACCAGGGCATGTAAGCATTCATGGTCGTCGAAGCCACGAGTCATGGTGCTCCACTTGGAAAGGGTGAGTGAGCAGAGTCGCGTTCTTCTATTCACAGGGGTATATCCGTCCAGGCATCCAGTGAGGATATCCACTCCAGGCTATGCCCTTTGGCCCTAAAGCCGTCGTCTCGTTCATAAGGGCAATAGGGCCTCATGAGCACAGCCCTTCTTTGGGTATACCCCCAAGTTCTTTTAACCTGTCAAAACTCTATACAAGGCAATGGTGTTCCTTACAATCTTGAATGCCGCCAGGTTCGAGAGATGCGAGGGTCGACCGTTTCACTCGTTCTCTGTTCAGCTTTGAATTTGGTTTTCAAATCATCCCCCACCAATCCCAACCTCGGGTCCCATTTCGGTGCTCACCAGAGACAGCTTCAGGAGTCCATGGCGATGCTGAACCTGGGCGACATAAATTTCTAAGAGCAACCCTTCTCCACAACACAAGGCCGAGACGACGACAAACCTCTGGTATGTCGGTGTCTCTATTGGACACGCTCAACTTGTGTAGCCGGTAGGAGCATGGAAACACGGGGAGTACCCCCATTGGCATCTCAGGCGTTATCCTTACCCTCGACAATCTCACCCGAACCGTGCTCCAGCGGCGTCGTTCTTCATTTTGGAATTCACATCGGAACAAATCACGGTCCATCCATCCATTATCATTCCTGACTGATCATCGCCGTCGTGGTGGTGTCCGCGGCCCTCATTTATATCTCTCGATCCTTCGGGATAAATAGAGACCGGCATGAACAATTCCCAGGATGCAGTTGTTCCAGAGCCAAATTCGCCTCCTCAAAGTGCCATGCAGCAGTCCGAACGGTCTCGTACCAAGAAGTGGGCACCGAAGACGTTCAACGGGTGTCTCACGTGCAAAAAGAGACGCATCAAGTGTGACGAAGGGAAACCCTTCTGCCAAAGGTGATGTTGTCGTCCCGACCATATCTTTTCGAAAGGCTTCACTCACTAACATAAAGGGGAGGGGCATAGGTGTTTAAAATCAAACTTCGAATGCGGTGGCTACGCACCACCCAAGATACGCCTGTTCGAACCCACCGGCATCTCCTCTCCCTCGTCGTCCTCGGCAGGGCCCTCGTCGATAGCTCCTTCTCCTCTGCCCGGTATTCCAACCACCAGTCCTCCTCCCGAGAACCCTCAGCTCCATTCGTACCTGAACTCATACCCGCATCCGCAAGAGCTAGCGTTAGTTCCCAGCTTTGGCACCGAGGACGAATACCGCTCGTTCCAGTTCTTCATCGAAAAGACGGCGAGCCTGATCTCGGTCTACTCGCAGCCTTATCTGTGGACCGTGGTGCTTCCACAGGCTACTTGGCAGCAAGCTGCCATCAAGCACTCTGTTATAGCCCTGGCTAATCTGCACCAGTCGCTCACGGCGTCATCAGGGGCTGCTGGTGGCTCGCCGACGCAAGCAGGCCACGACTCCGTGGTGACGCACTACAACGCCGCGATCCGGGCGCTGCTCACACAGAAGCCGCCGATCGACGTCGTGTTGGTGTCGTGCGTCATCTTCTGGTCCCTGGAGAATTTCAACGGCAGCGAGAAAGCCGCGTTCGACCACATGAAGGCCGCCATCAAGATCCTGGGCGAGTGGAAAACCAACAAGCGCCGCCGCCGCGCCGACGACCCCGCTCACGATCTTATCTCGACGTATATCGAGCCCACCATAAGAGACGTGGTCAGGTTTGCGCCGGTGGCTCGTCTGGAAGAGCTCGAGGGCCAGATCAAGTCGGTAGGGCTCAGTTCACAAGACGTGCGCGTCATAAACCACGGTCTGGGCCAATCGTTTGAAACGCTCAAGGACGCAAGCACGTACCTGTCCGAAGGCATCGCGGACATTTTGAGTTTGATGGCACTGGCTTCGTCCATGGACCACGAAGGAGCTGATGTACCACCGGAAAATGTGGTAGAATCCGTCAACGAGCTCGACGCGAAGCTGTACAAGTGGATCAACCTCTTCCAGAAACTCACCTCGACCGGTCCGGTGCGTGCGAGGCGGATGCTCGTGGTGCATCATGTTTCCGCATACATACTGCTGGACCTGGCCAAGGACCAACTCGGCATGTCTGAGGAGGAAGTTCCGCAGCAGCTTCCTCGCTGCCGATGGAGTTTCATCGTCAACGAGGTTGAAGACATGCTCAAGCACGGCCAAGGCCCCGTCCAAAAAGACAAATGCAGTCGTCTGTTCGCGAGTTTGGGGATCATCCCGCCCATGTTCCTAGCCGCGACGTCTGCGCCGAATGCGGAAATCCGAAGACGTGCAACCAATGCCATCAGATTGATGAGCGTGGCCGCCGAAGGACCGTGGAATTCAGAGGTCGCCGCGAAGATTGCCGATGCCATGCTCGAGATTCTATCGATGCAGCGGTCACTTGCCCCGTCGGACGTCACGCTCAAACAGATGAGGTTTGGCGTGGACACGAGAAGATCGAGGTTGTATCTGCGATGGAACGGAGAGAATCATCACGTTGATAAAGAGATGGAAATTGATGAAATTCGGCCGGTGGATCCGGTATGTACTCCGTACACGCCGAGTCCACACCTATAACCCCCTATTGAGATGTTTGACTGACCGCTGAAACGTCACAGAAACTGCCCGAAGTGATCCAGCATTTCGGATATTGTGTGAAAGATTAAAGTGTTTCGGGTATTATATGAGTGATGAAGTGACTGTATTCGCTGATAAGACGCACACAGGATACAGTTTAGCCAGCCCTTACTTGGCCCCTCTGAGTTCAGCCTGATTAAACTATACAGCAATATATCAGCCTTGAATCGAGTGGAACCTATATCGGCATTTTTTGTTATTACTGGAGAATTGTCAAATGTGTACATATACCCAACAATACATTGGGATACTACCTGGGAAAATAACACGGAAAGGAGTCAACAGTTGATCACCTAAATATCTACCTAGTATACATACATGTTCTTGCTTTTTGTCGTTACTGGGCGCTACCTGCATACACAAGCTCAGATAGGGTAGTAAGTAGCTCGCGGGGGCGAGCAACGGGCCCTCATCATTTCTCTCCGAGAGACGGTGATCGCGGGGTGACGACGCTCTGACTCTGACTAGCTTGCCTCGACGACCCTTGTCTGCTACTGTTGATACCCGCAGAGCCGTGGTTATTGACACTTGCTTCCCGCTCCAGGAAATCCTGCCACAATTCCGACAGTGACTCCTTGGTACCTGGACTCGCGACATTGTCGGGCGCAAAATAGTCATGGTGCTGTAGCGACGGCGTGCTCGGCGTCCGATGCACGATCGGCGACCCGGGCAGTCGCAGCGAAGAGCTGGTGTTGGCCGCGCCGCCACCGCCCGGCCTCGCGAGCCCGGCTTGTTCGCGTTGCTCGTCGGTCCACCCCAGCAGCGCCGCGATGAGTTGTAGGACCTGGAACTTTTTCGGATCGGACCGGTCGAGGTGGAGAAAGTGTAAGAAATGGTTGGTGACGATCTGTCTTTTTTTGGTTCAAGGAACAAAGCATGCGGGCGTTAGCTTTCGTCTACACGGTATTCAAGACGTGCCGCGGGGTGACCTGCACCAGGGAGACGGGGAAGAAAAGGGAATACGGCGGGATTGTAAACGGAGAGGGGTGAGCAGGGGATCCTTGGTTCTCGCGGGCCGACATCAGATCATATACAAAAAAGTCAGACGCGCCTAGTTCGGCGGTGCTTCGCTTCTCACGTATAGGGGTACCCTTGCCGGAACACGCATACTTTCAAGCCGACCAGAAAGGCAATAAACGAATCAAAACCAAAAAAAACAAACTCACCTATCAACATTGTCCTCCGGCTTGCCCTTTTTCAGGAACCGCAAAGCCTTGGTCAAGTGGTCGTTGAGGATCACGGCCTCGTGTCGCAACTTGCCAATCAGGAGATTCTTCTCCTTGACCTCCTTCTCGAACGGGAGGGCACGCTCAAGGTCTCGTTTGGTGGTTTCCAATTCCGCACTCATCGACTCGTGCTGCGCCTGGAGAGTCGACACCTGTGTGCGTAGCGAATCCTGCTCGGCCTGGTTTGTCTCGACGAGTTCCTTGAGTTCCTGTTTCCGCACATTCTGGATCTCCTGCAGCGCCCTCTGGAGGCCGTCGACGGTCGAGGACTGCGTGTCTCGCTCCGCCGTGACCTTGTCGTGCGCTTCGCGCAGCGAAGCGAGCTGCTCTTCAAGGTCCGCCGCCCGGTCCGCCAGGTCGCGCCGGAGCGTGCGTTCTTCCATGGCCAACACTTCCCAGTCGTGCATGGCTTGTTTGGCATTTTCGAACTCTTCGCGCATGTACGCCTCGGATTCCACCAGCTCCTCTTTCTCCTTGTGCCAATTTTGTTGAGAGAGGGTGAGTCGGTTACGTAGAGTCGAGAGTTCCTTGGATTGTTCGGCGTTGGTGGCTTCAAGGGTGGCATTCCGCGAGGAAAGTTCGTCGACTTCGGCGGTCCGAGAGTCGTAGCGTTCTTGGAGGGTCGTGTTTTGAGACTCGAGTTCGTCTATGCGCGTGCGTGCTTGGGAGAGCTCTTCCTGTCGGAGGCCGGGTTAGTAGTGGTCACGGTCGTGAATAAGGGGACGGCGCAGGGTAGGTTGCCATCTCGACGACGAAACGTACTGCGTCTGCCTTCAACCGCTCGCCGAGTTGGCTGCGGATGGTATTCACTCTGCCCAGGAGCGTCTGGTATTGTTCTTCGGCCGTCTCCTTCTCTTGCTGGGCTTCGGCCAGGTCGTTCTGTACCGTCTCGAGTTCGGTGGCGTGCTTGGACTGGAGTTCCTCGAGGGATTTGCGAAGTTCCGTGACTTCAAGACGCAAGGCATCGCGGTCTTTGACCAGGGCGTCGAATCGTGCCGCGGCGTCTGTATCCGGATTGGTGATGTTGTTATTCTCCTCGGTGGGAATGGGTTTGGCAATGCCGTTCGTCACTTCTTGTGCCGTCTCCTCGGGGACATCTGTCTGTGTGGTCGGAACCGTGCGCTCTTCGACATCTGTACCGTCGCTTTCTGCGCCATCTTTGGACCCCGAAGCTTCTGTAGGGGTCTGAGGTTCTGCCGGTGGGGTGGGAGTCGAGTCTGGTGCGTTGGTGCCCTTCTTCTTGGGCTTTTTCTTTTTCTTGGATTTCTGGTCTAGGAGCAACATTAGGACGGAGACGTGAAGGGTGAGGGAAGTGTGCATACCTCCAGACGGCATCGAGGCCATGTTTGCCGACGACATGATGGCGCGTTACAGAAGAAGGCCACCTAATAACACTCGGTTGGCCGATTTTCCACTGTTTTATTAGTTGCACACGAGAGTAACAAAACGTGTCAATATTTCCCCACGTGGCCGCATTGACTCAGGAGCGCAACAATAACGCCCCAAGAAACTCGTCGACCAAGGGACGTGTGTGATCGGTTATTCTTCTCTCCGTGCCATCTTCTCTGTCAGGGGACAGTTTGCGGATCGTCGAGAGACAGACAGATTCGCCAATGGTTGAAACAAAGACGACTGTGGCTGGATTATCTCAAGTTAAGCGCATCCATCGGGACTTTGGTAACACCACCACCCACTCACTCCGATCGGGGCTTCACTATTGCTGTCTACACGAACAAAGTTGAAACACCATGATCCCACGCCGTCACAGCACGTTCAGTAAATCTGCACTGGGTGGCCAGTCGACGACAATGTGTACGTGTCACGGTGCAGGGCAGTCAAGAAACAACTCCCTCACCAAGATTGTCACCAAGTAATTACCTTGGGTATATATAACGTCAAAACAGGCTCACAATATCATCATACTCCCAGGGTATCATCACTTCATTTCGTCCACAAACAGCCCTCTCATGCCCTTCAACAGGGTGCCAATCTCTCTGGTCGAATTGAGTCGGTCCACAACCTTCTCAACCTTGACGGCATCTAGCTTAGGTTTCATATAAACCACCTCATACCTGCCACTGCCCGTGGCCGGCACCTGTAGTTCAAACGTGGCTTCTCTTTCGTCGTTGTTGGGGCCGCCACCCTTCAAAGGTGGAAACATGAACACAATCCTGACCCTGCTCTCGTCACCGCTGCCTTCGATGCGACAGCCGAGATACGTCTCCCAGAAATTCAGCTCGGGTCCATTCAACCGACTTTGTCCGTCCATCTTTTCGGCGTATTCACGCTGCGCCTGTAGCTTAATGTCGATCTGTCGCTGTGTCTGCGCGATCGCGCTCCTGAGCCGGTCACAGGTCGCGGCCTGTGTGGCTTGGTGGGATTCCAACTGAGATATCTGCGCGTGCATCTCGTTCTTCTCGGCCTGCTCCCTGGCAAGGACATTGCTGTGGTTCGACAAGGAGGATTGCAATGTGGCGATCTGAGTGGATTTCGAGCGTTGTTCCTCTGCGTGGAATGAATGTTCAGTCAACCAAATATCCCGAAACGAGCTGCCCAAAATCGGAGGTCAAAAAGCCTACCGTTTAATTCTCCCAGCCGTGCTCGAAACTCGTTTCTCTCTTGCAAAACGCGTTTTCTGCCCTGTTCGATAAACGCATCGAATTTAAGCGTGAAGTCGGCCATGCGCTTTCGCAAATCGTCGAAATTGAAGTCCACAGCCGGTAGTTGGGTGAGGGGGTTGTCGGAGTACGACATGGTGGTCGCATTCTGGGATTGCGACGCGCGCAAGGACGAAGTACTCGTTGAGAAGGACGCTGGAGGGATTGAGGTGGCCATTATCATCATTCGCTTTTATTTGCAGAGGTGCAGCGTGGTTGCAGGTGTCGAGAGGATGCTTCGATCAACGCGCGTGGGTGTTGAGTTGTACGGTATGTGCTGGTCGTCCAGGGCAACCGAACCGCGCACCACTTGGCGCTCATGAACATGAGCGGGAGCATTCTTGAACACTCACCCACCCACTCACTCATCTACCTATACAGTGTACACATACAGCAGTTCCATTTCATGGTAAATACAAACAACACCATCATCCAGAATCGATTCTCGCTCGCTTGAACGCTTTACATAATCATCCCAACCCCATCACTTGAGCGAATCATTTCGCAATTCCTGAGCCAACTCCTCCTTTCCTTCGCTATTCTCCGAACTCGCGTCGCCAGCATCCACGCTCAAGAGTTGGGCAATCATGCTTTCCATCCTTGCCATTGACTCTTCCATATTATGCAGCCTTGCGTTTGCTTCCAGAAGGCGAGTAGCGGTATCCCCGTCCTCACTGAAATCTACTATCGAGTCCATCCTTGCGCCTCTCTTGAGCTTCCGATATCCTGGTGGATGATCCGCCTCGTCATCAGCCTCACTGGAATCTGCAAATTCCTCCTTGATGTGCTCCGTATCTTGTGAATCTTGTCGACGCCTCGGCCTTGTTGTTTTTGGGCTTACAGATCTTGCTTGGTTGGTATCAAACGTCTTACTTTGCCCTCGCGAGGCTGGTGCTGGTCGAGGTCCCTTGCTTATCGTGTTGTCGAGGGCTTTGCTGATGCCATCAGGACCTTGCAGATCATCTTCTTCTGCAATTCTCTCCAGAACAGATTCGGGGCAATCAATGTCAAACACCGCATGTATATCTCCGTGCACGGTAAATCTTGAAATGGCCCAATATTGTCCAGCTGTTGCTTTCGGACCATTGGCATTTTTCCAGTCAATTTTTTTATGTTTGAATTTCTTGTCTGTCACCCACAAGGTCCTTCGTTCGTACAGAGAGATCAGCAACAAAACAGGCAAGTTGAGAGTCCTAACCGCAGCAACATTGACCTTGTGAAACATCCGTGGAGACATAGTCCATTTCAACGGCAACATGATGATGAGGGCGAGTATGTTGAATGGTGGTAGATACGCGAAGATGGCGTCAGACTTTACACCTTCGAAGGTAAGGACTGCTCGTCGGAATTGTATTTCCTGGACAGCGGTGCCGACGATGCTGCTGAACGTGTTTGTCAACATTGACACGAGTATCGTCAAGAAGAGGGTGTTTCCCAAAAAGGCAAACATGACCATCAATACTGGTCCAAGAAACCAGTGAAAGTCAGGAGACTCGCCGATGCCAGTGCCATCGAGACCGAACCAGATCCAGATCATCCACTTGCCAATTGTCACAGACTAGAGCAGGTCAGCCGATGGTATGTGCGATAGTATACGACTTACTTGGTGAGCTCCCAGCCATTTCAAACTCAAGAGGAATCCAGCAAAACACCATACCGCGAGAACCGTGAGGTTCATAAAGTCAACCATCATAGCTCGGAGTGACAAAAACAGCAGGTTCTCCGACATGACGTTGAATGCCAGGCGTGGTATCAAGACTGGGGCTGCACAACTCAGAATGTCAAGGGCAGTCCGCGCCAAAAGTATTGACTGCTCTTCATCATGTATCCGAAATGCGTGCAGCCGTAAAACCAGGTACACGAAAAACAGGGAACAGAACATTACATCGAGAAATGACCACAGGTTTTGCGTGTAGACGACCCAGCCGTGCTCCAAGATGGAAGCAAGTTGATCAAGCATCTGCTTTGTCAGTTTCGTTGAGGCCGATAGGCGAATTGGATTTCAACATACCCAACCGGAAGCATACACATCAAAAACAGCTTCGACGAGAGTATAATCGGTATTCGATCGACCTCCGCGGCCAGCCATAACCGCCAAATACAGTCCGAGCAGGATGGCGAACTGGCACACCTCAATAAGATTCCGTATCCGGGGGACGATCAAGCGATACTGGTTGAGCAATGGCGCCCTTCGCGGATCGTACAAGGAGATGGGTCGCTTCTTCCAGTGGTCCGGGATGATATCGATGAAGCTGTTTGGGGTGTAAACTATTTTCCCTCGGTATATGGCATCGACGACTTTCTGGCAGGCGCTACTTGCCAGAAAACTCTTGCTTGCACTTATAATGGCTACTTCGAGGGCAGTCAGCTTCCTCTCGATTTTCCCGCCTCGGTCGCGCTTGGCCCAGTGCATGGCATGGATGCTCTGCTGGTAAACGTCATCCGGGGCGCCTTGGAACGGCTCAAAGCCTGCTACAAGGATGTTTGCCAACTTAAGGAGACCCCGCGGACCGGGATTTTGCTCATTGTACCGACGAAGAATCTTCTCGGCAACCAGCTCGCAGAGGAGAGCCCTGGTCAGATTGACTGTTTGATGATGAGTTGCGTATGACTGCTCGCGGATGAATTGCATGCGATTGACGAGAAGGCAGTAGACTTGAAAAAAGAAACAAAGTTAGCGTGTATCTCAGACGACTGTTGAGATCAAGATTTTCTCAGAAAAGGGTGATTGTGATCGGTATCACGGCCAGCACGCACCAACAGAGAGATCTTGCATTTCATACAATGCGTCAACTAAGGGCCGAACCACCGAGATATTCATCCGCGGCGCTTTGAGCTGATCGAGGGAATAAGGATCATCTATGATTTTCGCGGAGAGATGCCGAGTCAGGGTCATCCTTGCAAGGAAGGTATACAGCCGTAGTTGTTGTAAATGCAGATCATACCTATACTATTGATGATGTCTCTTCGAATGCTATATTGATGAATTGATTTAGCGTTAGTGTCCCCAACATGATTAAATACACCTTGGGGATTTGTATTGTTGTGACGGGTATTGCAAGGTAAGTTAGGCTACGCCTTGGAAAACTTGTAGGTAGCTAATTAGGTAGGGAAGCAGGTACTTAAGCGGGAAGTCCGAAGTAAAGAAAGAAAAAAGGAGTAGAGTCAAAGACACACCGGTGAATGTTCTCGTATACGTTACAATGCATATTTCCATACGGGTCTGCCGCGCGAGGAGGTTCATGGTGCGCGCTCGTCCAAGTGCAATGCGGCGGGTAAAGGCCATCGCTGTCGGCGACGTCTTCTTCATCGTGCTGCGACGCGAGGAGGGCCTCGGTCTCACCTCGCTGACGGTTGAGACGGAATTGATGGCTAAAGCCACGCGAAGAAGAACTCATAGGTGGACGAATGCGGGATTGAGACCCTGATCGACCCGGTAGAGGAGGAGGCATGGTCGAGAATGAGCTTTAAGTCTGATCAGGGTTCGAAGCTTAGGTGAAATGGGGGGTGAGTGGTGATGAGGTAAGGGAGAATTGCGAGTAGAGTACGAGGTTAATGCGTATTGGATGAACCCTTATCAGGTAGATACTCAAGGTAGGTAAGTATTGGTTCCTAGGTAGGGTAGGTTATTTCCATGATGGGCGCGAAGGTCGCGAGGAGGAGAAGAAGTTGTAAATATTTCAGTTCATGCAAGCTGGAAGCTTGATGCCAGAGCATAAAAAGCAATTACCGACACCTGTACGGAGTATTCGTGGCTGTCTCGAGTACTTGACTTGTTAGGGGAGGATGGAGTGAGTTGGATACGAGGGAGGTTGCTACGAGGCCAATTGGCGACAACGAAATGACGATAAGCTTATCGCACCAAAGCTTTTCTTTTGTCAGGAATTTTATGCAAGCAGCTTTGGAATATTCCACGCTACTCTGTAGGGGGATTCATATCATGAATTAATATCTCATTACGGATTACGGAGCACCACCATCTATCCATCCATATATCCATATCCACAATGCAAACATACCTGACTTCAACGCCTGCCAGAGTACGGAGACTTCGTAGTCGTTCATTATTCGGTAACCTGCTTTTCATGGGCACATCGTTCAGTCTTCATTCACCTGGAATGAATCAGTGTCTTTGCATTTCATGCCACGGGCGTTTGGTCTGTACATTTCACGCACAGACCGATTTCAAAGGCTTGTTGACTTGTCGGTTGATGGAATTTTGTTGTCATAAAAGAATCATCACAGTCGCCACAAAGGCCAACAACATCCCATACGACCAAATACTCGTCATACCTCCTTCTTGGCTCATGGAATCGTTGCTCGCCGATACGGACTTATACACAATCACTAACCCGTCACTTGTCGTTGTTGACTTGAATCCCGGCGTTATCGTAGTGTGGATGGTATCTGTCGTCGTACCGATCCAGACACCCCCTGACGATATCGGTCTAGGTATATTGCAGCAATTCGTCTCACACTGATCGCAGCACTCCCAGAGCGGCATTGTCAATGTTGCGGGACACCGAATGTAGGACGTCACGGGGACAATGACATCTGATTGCCTGGGACATGTCGAAATGCCAGAGTCGCTTGAAGGGTGCAAAGGTTAGTTTAGAGACGTTTCAAACAGTCCGACCGGGAGGAGCAATATGTATCGACAATATTTACGCAACGGTGGTCGTAGTGGTAGGGGTAGACGGAAACAGATGATACTTACTGTGCTAAACAGTTGAAAGAGAGATTGAGGAGAGGAAGCACGAGTAGGGTGAGGAGGAAGTCCTTCCACATCGTGACATGGAGATTTCCGCAATTGCTATCGCAATTTGTAACCCTGCTGGATCAGGGTATGAATCGCTTTGCCAGTATAATTTGTGTTGGATAGCGAGAGGGCGACGAGTGCATCTGAAGTGGGCTGCTTGTTTCGGGGATGAAGTGTTGTCAGGCTTGCCAGAAACCTCGTAAAGAATGGTGGTTGGTATTGTGTGCGTGGGCGTATATCTATGTTTTTCGTTGGCAGCCTTGCGAATTGTGTACGTCTTGAGGCCGAGGAGAATTTTCTTTTGGACCGGACCGGAGCTGCAGTGTTAAAGTATAGACAGGCAAGTCAAGGTATTGTTGGAGTGACAAGTTCCGGAATCGCACGTTGGGTAAAGCTCCTGAGGCTGTCTGTCACCTGCTAGAGCTACCAAGTCGCAGGCGCAACGGGAAGCTTCTCATCTTTCGTCATGTTCCAAACAAAACTCCCACTACGAAGATCCAATGGTGAGATAGCAAGCAAGCCTGCTTCATCGCATATGTAGTAGCGGGGTAGTCATAGGTAGTGCCGCTACAGCTAACTGACCCGATGACAGCAAAAGTGAAAAGAAAAGCCGCTGGGTTACACGTCCTTATCGCGATCGTGGATGGGTGGGCGATTCCAAGACAGCCTGGCCCTTGAAGCCATAGATTGGGCCCCATCCAATCATGGATACACATGAACAGGGATATTGTCGCAGACCTATGGAGTATGGCGCATTTGACGCGCGTAGACGCCACCAGCTCGTGCAACGCGAGGGACAAGGAGCTGGTGGTCAAAGCCTAAGCTCCCCTTACCTGGTTCGATACGAATTGCCTCGCGTCGAGGGAGATACTTCCGGTGGCCCCCCAAAGCCCATGAGCGATCTCGTTCTGGCAGCACGACTTCTCGTAGAGGGAGATAATGAAGCGAGGATCTGTCGGGGCCGCGATGGTTGCCAATGTGCGCGGAGATGATGTCAGGGCCAGGAAAAGTAGGCAAAGAACAAAAAGAAGGAAGTGGAGAGCGATTGAGGCGAGGAAAAGTGGGAAGTGAGAAACACTACCAGACTGGGCGTTTTTAGGTCGGTTGCTTGGAGCTCAACAACCCGCCAGAGCAATGCAAGAAGCCGAATAGAGATCGATCTTCAGGCAATGCTAATGCTCGTATCCGTACAGTAGGTACCTAGATGCAAGACCACCGCTAGATGCTCACACCGTCACTACAGAAAACAAGTACTGATGGAACGAGGCAAACACCTGATGCACCGGAAGACAGAAGACACACAGCAATCGTATATCAACATGTGTAACAGAGTAAGAAGCTTCCCTCCACGGTTTCGGCCTCGAGAGCATCCTCTCAAAGCCAAAGAACATTAATAAGGCAGGCAGGAACGTGGTCAAGGAATCTTTTGTATTGGGTGTATCATGTCTCTTCATGTCTCCTCATGTCCCTTCATGTCCATTCATCAGCGCTCGCTGAAGCAATAAGATCCTCTTTATTGATTGCCGGCGCCTCGTCCTGCTCCTGCGCCTCTACCAGCACCGCCGCCCATGAATTGTTGAGCCCTGGAGAATTGGTCAGTACGAAGAGGTTTCGTCCGAGATCTGAGACGCGATGGCACTTACAGGTTAGCGAGAGCAGGATCCTGCATCATTTGCTGTATCTGGCTCAGGTCGGGCATGCCACCGCCTCCTCCGCCTCCACCTCCTTCTCGCCGACTGTTCATCATGTTCTGAATGGTCGGGTTGTTCATGAGGCCACTCAATGCTTCGGGGTTGCGCATGAGGTTCTGCGCCATGGACGCAAACATGGGGTTGTTCATGATGCTCGCAAAGTCGAAACCACCGCCGCCTGCGCCTCCACCTCCACCTCCACCTCCACCCCCTCCAAACATGCCGGCCAGACTCGACAGATCTGGCATTCCACCGCCACCTCTAGTGTTTCCGGGGGCATCGTCCACCGCATCCTCGGGCATGTTGGCTTCCTCGGCTTCCATGCGGGCCAGTTCTTTCTTCGCAGTCTCTAGGCCTTTTCTCATTGCCTCGCTGCCTCCATTGCCTTCAAAGTCGATGCCTTGTTGATAGGCCTCGACACTTCCTTTGGCGTCGCCCATGGCGAACCTCGCCAGGCCCAATCTAGACCATGCCTTCGTATACTTGGGGTCAGCCGCGACGGCTAGTTCGGCGTCTTTGACCGCGGATGCATGGTCGCCGCTTGCAGAGTATGCGGCAGCACGGTTGGAGAGGTAGATGGGATTCGTAGGAGCGAATTTGATGGCTTCAGTGTATTTCGCGATTGCGGTCTTGTAGTCCTTCTGTTGCATAGCAGCATTTCCAGCACTCTTGAGCTTTTCGGCTTCTGGGTTGATAGGGCTTGGTTCTGCGGGTTTAGGGGGAGGGGCGGTATCAGAGCTCGAACCTGAGCCTTTGCCCTTCAGCTTCTCGTAGACTTGGAAGATGTTGAGGAGAGACTGTGATCCGACGGCTTCTGAGACGGCCGCTTTGTCGGCCGGGTCGACCTTGAAGGCCTCGGCAATACAATTGCTCGCGATTTCGATATTGTCGGCATCGTCGGCACTGAGAGTGCCATCTTTGAGAGAGGTCGAGAGGAAGTCTATTATCGACAGCGCCAGGCGCTTTTTCGAGTCACTCAACGGCTGGGAATGTCAGAATGGGTTCCGAGACTCGACTAGTTGGGCAATCGCGGGGACTCACCATGTTGACCAAGCGGGACTGCGATGGAGGGATCAGGAAAAACCGAAGCAAATCGTCGTCGGCGTCTGTTCAATAAAGCACCGCGCAGAAGACAAAATACAGGCTACACCGTTACTGTTGACGGCGAAATACTCCGTATGTCGTAAGGCTACTTACTTTTGTACTAAGTTACTGCTCCGGCTTTTGAACTGATCGGCCCTCGAGGCGCCGCTTTTACGCCGTCATTGTGTCCAACAGAAAAGGTGGCCTTGTCCTCACCTCGAACACCCAGTCCAGTATTGTAGAAGTTTCCAGCAACAAGCCTCATCCCTAAGTTACTAGACCATCCTGGATCATGACGCGAATATGAAATTCACAATACGATAAACCCTGCGGGACGACCGAGCAGTCTTTCCAAAGACGACAAGCAAAATTCAGTAATGATAGAATCAATCCAAGCTACATTCTGGTTTCTACGGCTGTCACTGGCGAGCGTTTCCATTCCCCTCTCATGGGTCATATCCTCATATCCCCTGCATTTACTCGGCTAACGGTGGAATTGTCAACACTCCCGTTCCACGAAGACAACTACTCCTCCCTTTCCCATTCGTCAATGTGCTCTTCCCGGAGAATGCCATTCTCAGCTTAGAGATACATGGAGGTGACGAGCACTTTGGCCACTGTCTCCCTCAAGCCTCTGGAAGCGTATCGCGAGTGATGACCCATAGTTTCTTGCTGAAAGGCCCTTTCGAAATCCATGTGATGTGCATGCCAGAGGTCAATCCAATTGCATCGCCAGCTCTGAAGTTGTGCTTCTTCCCGGTTTCAGTCTCTGTGACTTCGACTTCTCCTTCCAAAAGGAGAATTGTCTCATCACCAAGGACCCCAGTATACGGAGTCGACAGGGCGCCTTTGTCATCGAGATTGGTGGCTGCAATGCCCTTGCCTGAGCGCCAAACACCTGACAAGTATGTCCCGCTTGAGCCGCCTGACTTGATGAAATAGAGCTCGCCGGCGACCTGAGGGCCCTCCTTGGGTTCTGTGAAGTGGTATTCGATCCACTCACCAGGGTCGTCAGACACGTGGTTGATCTGGAGGTCTGTGGGCGGGTTAGGGGTGGCATCGGTGCCGTTCCAGATGGCCCAGTATTTCTTGAAAAAGGGTGCGTCTATCTCCCAATAGACCTCCAGTCCCTTGGGTGAGCTGATGATGCTGCCTGGGCCTACTTTGTACTTCTTGCCGGTCGAAACGACGGTAAGCACCGCCGTACCGTCTATGACGCAGGCAGTTTCGTCGCCCAGAGGAGCCGAATAGGTGAGTTTGTGCGAACCATCTGCCTGGGCGCCTGGGGATGTTGCACCGGTTCTCCAGAATCCAGAGGACAGACTCCCTGTCGAGCCAAAGGTCCGTGCAATGGTGACCTCGCCATGGACCTGCTTGCCTAGTTTCGGCTCCTCCCATTCAAAGGGCACCCAGTCGGCCTGAGGAGGGGCTTGCACACCTCCATGGATTTTATGAGCGCTAGAGGGTTCTGGCATGGTTGGAGGTTTGTGTTCGACTCAAATGTTAGACAAGAGGTCGTTGGGACAAAGTAGGTTGAATTGTTTCTTCTGCTTCGTGGCTGTATGGACACATTGAACAAGGGTCATCGTATCTTTATATATCTGCGCAAGAGGCCAAAGAGTGTGCCGCCACAAGTCAGTGGTCTGAAGCAAGCCAGGTCACAGGCTCTCAGATACAAAGCCTAGGCTGGTTCGGACCACATCCGTCTTATCAGACTTTCTGCAGACTCCTGTCGGGATTGTATAGCTAGCTTCGTTCGGACGACACTATGCTCATCCAGACATCGTCGACGTCGACGTCGAAAGCGTGCGATGTTGAGTTGCCGAAGCCAGCCTCCGTCAGCGCACTGATGGCTCACCCCGGAGAGCGCCTGATGCGGGGAGGAATGCAGGTCGTTATCGAGAGTTTGTTTAGTCTGTCCGTCTCCCGGCTGGACTGTACTACGCTCAGGCTGTGCCCCCTTTCCTGTCATGTTCGAATCGCCACTGTCGACGGCAACGTCTCTAGCGTCCGGCCCATGCGCCAGACTATCTTTTGAAACAACGGAAATGAAGCCTGTTTATCAAAAAGACCGTCCAACCTCGGCTGGCAGTAATAGGTCCATGGCGGTCACTAGTGTAATAAACGACAGCGATTGCACCCGGCCCGGTGTCGACCTCGCCCTCCCTACATCAGCTTCAACAACGGGAAAGGTTAAAACATTTTGCTAGATATACGAGCCCTCGTGAATCGGAAGTTTACTGAAGTCTCGAAGATTGCAAAGTGACCAACGAACGGCATTCGCGAGCGGTCCAACGGTTAGGCTGGCTTGAGCTCTCACAACTGGACGAAGGACATACCTACACACGGTAAAACGACAAATGATAAAGGTTGCCGCCAGTCCTATTGGAACTCGCCTTCAGGTGGGTCGCTTCTGCGGGTCAGGGCCCCCAAAGGCAAGTGACCACGAACAGGTGATTATTTTGATCACTGATCTTGACATCTGCAGCATCGATTCGATAGAGCTGAAACGCAGGCTGCGGCTCGGACTCCGTGAGTGTGAAATGTAATCCGTCGGCTCCCACTCGCTAGGTTTTTGGAGTGGCAGGAGGTATGTACTCCGTAGTCATGTTTCTGTTGAAAGGAAAATAATATAAAAACCGCGGCGCCTGGTCTTCTCAAGGCTTGTTCTCGGACTGCAAACAAACGCCACCAAAAGAAAAACCTCCCTTGCCCTAGTCACAACAGGATACCTCGATACACACACAAAACCATGCCGATCTATCTGTCTATGCAGCGGGTGCGCTTCTCTAGCCCGGACGCGTACGAGAAGTTCAAAGTCCTCTTCGCCGACACTCGTCGCCATCTGATGACGCTGCCGGGTTTCCTCCACCTGACGTGGTGGGAGCACCCCGACGACCGGAGCTGGTACAACGAATGCAGCTTCTGGACGAGCCGCGGTGCGCTCTACGACTGGCACAAGAACACGTACCACAAGTACTGCAAGACCTGGGCCGCCAACGGGGCCATCATGGAGGACATCATCACCAACTTCGAGCTCGTCGGGACCCGCCTGTTGCGTGTCTGCCCTGTCTGCAACCTGGCCGTGGACAAGAAGTACGACCTGGCCCAAGAGCAGGCCGTTCTACACGAACAGTGCCCCCAGTGTGGCTTCCACTTTCCTGTTCTGGAGGAGACGCCGTCGAGTTTTGCCGTGTTCAAGGATGCCGTGGTTGGGACGGACTCCAAGAACGCAGAAGGAGATAAGGCGGGAGAGCAAAGTGCGAAGTAATGGTTACGGAGAGTGTTTGTCTGCATGGTTGACCCACTGCAAGCAGAAGGGAGGAGGTGTGATTGCCGTGGCGGATGCTCGAACTGGAATTCACCGCAACGTGGGATTTTTCTTTGTACGGTAAACGTTCACTCACTATGACTATATGCTTAAAACAATAAGACTGTCAATCAATCAATCACTCAATCAACATGAAACCACCCGCCTGGAAATTCCACTGGAGCCCATGTACGAGATTGTTTTTGTATTGCTCGATGCCTACACAGGTGTTACACTGTTTCGGACATGACCTTGTGGGTTTCGACACGCTCTTATTGCCCAGGGTGAGTGACAACACGTTGTTTGAATCTTGGACACGTACACTTGCCAGTGCTTCGTGTGGCTTTTACACGTATTTATTCCTTGTCGCTCGACGAGTCGACGTCGGCTACATCAACAAACAGCGAAGATCATCTCCTCCGAACCTAAGTGGCCAGTACAGGGTGGGGGACAGATTCCCCCTTTGAGATGCGAGGGGACTGTACGGGTCTACGGTCCGGCGCATCCGATGGCTAACGTATCTGTGCCTTCATTTGGCACAAAAGGATAAAAGTGGTCCGTATCGGCTCTCCGGACCGCTTCCACAGCTACACAGCATGGAATACTCCCCGAGTCCTCAGTACCAGCAAAGGGGATTTACCTCGTACCTAGGTAGAATGTGGAGGTGGAGCTGTAGCTGGAGCCTTGACGACGACTTTCGACTTCCCGGAGGGGCTCACGAGGCGACAAACCATTTTGCCCGCTGACGACGGTAGTCATGACCTAATCACAATAATTCTGTCTTCAACATACATACTCGGCGGAGTTGAGAAACTGAGCAAAGGGAGGAAACGGAGCTGAGTGTGTTTGTTGACCACGCAGGCAAAGGAGGAAGAGGCATAGCGGCACGACACAACTCGCACCAACGTCCTCGCCGGTTCCAGTGCCAGTGCCAGTGCCAGACCACCATAACTGTACGACACACGCATCACCATGATTTCCTGTGATCGTTGTCGACTAAGAAAGTCCCGGTGCGACGGAGCCCAAGGTCGCTGCTCGGGATGTGTCGCCGCTGGCCTGGAATGCCGCAGGACCGGACAACGTCTTGGAGACTCAGGCTCGGTTTCTGGTAGGGTCCGAGGCCATTTGAACTATACTGTCTATCTGGAAGACTTGGTCGTCCGGCTCGAGGTCGAGGTTGCGATGCTGAAGAAGAAGGTGGCGACGGCGGCGGAAGCAAGACACGCCGACAATGCCCTGGCGCAGCAACCGTACCGGTTCCAAGGTTGAACAGCAATGGTCCTGAAGTTTGTTTTGCGTCGGGGAAGCCCCCCTCGTGAAGGTGATTTGGTGGCACAGGCGACCAAATATCACACAGGTGAAGGGCCGGTATCTCGCCAATTGCGGAAGAAGGACTCCCCATACCCAGTTGAATTCGAGGTTAGAGAGAGAGAGGGAAGAGGGCAGCCACCGAAAAGACGGACGTCGACAACAGCGGACGCTGGATACAAAAACAACCTTCTCTGCTTCGCCGTGCTGACAGCGAAGAACGTATATCTGGTATCATACAATTTCTACCACCCAGCAGACGACTCGAGACCAGCTCGAGCAAAAGACTTGTGCCATTATTCAATCATCATCAATTCCAGGGAATTCTGTAATGTCAGAGAAAACACACACACACACACACACAAACACACACACACACACACACATACTGTCCACTACACCAATGACTGCTTCAACCCCGCCCGCAAGGCAAGCAGAGGTTGAGAAAAGGGACAACCCTCGGCGGACGTCAAGAACGCTAAGAATCGCGAGGATTGCAAAAGGCGGGCAAGTCTCCTCCTCCCGTTCACGTTCCACTGCGAGTTTCTCAAAGGAGAGGTCAATGTGGTAGTAGGGAAATCAAACAAATATCTGTCGTCATGTCACGCGAGTAGAAGTTTGTTAGGCAGGAGAATTCTCGTAGCAAGTCTACTCGAGCTTGACAAGAGTGCAGTTCAAATAGATGGATGACACGACCAACAGCCATAATAAGATGGACACTACGTACATACCTCAATTTAAATATATATAAAAACTTCAGGTAATGCAAATGCAGCTACACACCAGTGCTCGAGAACCTAATGCATCATGCAGCTTGCAAGATTCCTACATCCTCCTCCTCCTCCTCCTCTCCTCCATCGAGGCTTTCAGATCTTGCTTGACGAAGCGGCCGCAGCCTTCTCCCACTTGCGGATCTCGCCTCGTCTGATTTTCCCACTGGTCGTCTTCGGAAGCCAATGAGGCGCCACAAACTGGATGCTTCGCGGGTACTTGTAAGGAGCGGCTTCTCGTTTGCAATGCTCCTGCAACTCTCGCGCGAGCGAAGCGTGGTCGCGACTGGCGAAAGAAGGATCGAGCACAACGTAAGCCTTGACGATTTCTCCCCTGGCCGCGTCTGGAACTCCGACAACCGCCGACTCCACGACTGCAGGATGGAGCTTCAGGGTTGACTCAACTTCGAATGGGCCTGTCGCGTCCACAAAGGTCAGCCAAGGAAGTTGTGAATAAGCCACGTACTGAGTCGAATCCTGGAGGGCGTGGGAAGGAGATACACCCTTACCTATTCGATAGCCACTGGAGTTGATCACATCGTCAGATCTCCCGACAAACCAAAAGTAGCCGTCCCCGTCTTGATATGCTCTGTCGCCAGAGAGATGCCATTCGCCAGAGACGGCCCCATTGGCGTCCCTCCGCGGCCGGGATTTCCTGGAAAGCTCTCCTTTTGACGAAACGTAGCCCTTGTAAATGAAGGCGCTTTGTGCGCCATTCTCATCGACAGCAAGGACTGCAAGATCGCCCTCTACACCGGCATCGGCGATGCCCCCGTCTTCGTCGATAACGTGCAACGGAATACCAGGGATAGCTTTTCCCATACTTCCAACTCTGGTCTGGACGCCGGCACAATTGCCCGCTACCAGAATGGTCTCGGTCTGCCCGTAACCTGTCCAACGTCGTGTTCAGTCAGCCAGGTTTTTCCAGATTCTGTGCATATACAAGGGCATTGCTAGGAGTGTCGGTCTGGACGCAAAAGAACGGAGTGGAGCATAGCGCAAGGAGGGAACAGTAATGTTACGCACCGTCCCTAATCTCGATTCCTGCCATTTCCTTCCAAGCCTCTATCACTCCAGGATTCAGGGGCTCGCCAGCCCCGACGCATGTCTGGAGAGCACGAGGCCTATGTGTCGCAAAGTGAGCCTGTGACTGAGCGGTGACTAATTGTCGATATGCAGTAGGTGGAGCGCAGAATGTTGTAATGGGGAATTTGTGTAGAACATCCAGTGTCGATGTTGGAGAAAAGGGTTTATTGCTGTCCTGGACGAATAGAGTAGCGCCAGTGTTCCACGTCGAAAACCATGACCTGTCCTGCCGTCAACTTTGCTTGAAAATAGTGGTGCTGAAAGGGAGGGGATCGAACCAAGCCGCTTTGGCCCAGCCTTGCTCTGCTAGCGTCCAAGCAAGCTTGCCGGCAGACAAATTCAACCAGTGAATACCAGTAAGTAAATGTGCTTCTCGGTGGTGAGCGTGTGCTTGCTAGTCTGGCCTTTGACGAGCTTACCTAGTGGGTAAGAAACATGCGTATGAACGACCATTTTCGGGAGCCCTGTCGTTCCGGACGTAAAATAAATCAAAGCCGGATCATCTGCTCTTGTACGAACTCCGACGAGATGCTCTGAACTGTGACGCTCCACCTCCGTGGAATACTGTGGGACACCAGGTATACTATCACCAGATGCTTGAAGCACAACCCGAAGATCGGGGCAAGATGATCGCAGGTTCGCAACCTTGCGCAGCGATTCTTCATTGCCTATCAGAATGGAAGCCCCAGAGGTTTGCAAGCGGTACTAAGTTCACAAGGTCAACTCAATTTACTCACAGACCTGGCCAGGACTGATCAGCTACTACTAACCTCGATATCTTTTGTGGTGGCCAGTGTAGTGCACGGGCAGAGAACCAATCCAGCACGGAGGACAGCAGTGGCAATCTAACTCCTAATGTCAGCAAAGATCCTTGTTCACCTCGTGAGTTGCTTGTTCCCACTTCCCACCTGCAGAGGAGGCATCGTTAGCACAGCCCACGTCTATATTGGCAGTACACTTACCAGGCTGGAACGCGATTGAGAATAATCATGACGCGATCTCCCGGCTTAGCACCAAGAGCCAAAAGTAATCTGGCGGCTTTGCAGCTCTGTCGGCTGAAGTGTTCGTAAGTGAAGCTCAAAGGCTTGGACACGTCGTCGTCAATCCATTGTAGTGCAAGCAGACTGGGGTCTTTGCGAGCCCATCCATCCACCACGTCTGTGGCGAAGTTGAAGGATGGTGGAGGAGAAAATACGTTGTCCGTCGTGAAAGGTACCATGGTCTACGTAGTAACGAGAATAATCCGCCTGAATTTGGTAGCGATGGGGAATCTAGTATCCTTGAAAATAACATATATACATGGCGATTGCCATCTTCCTCGTAACAAGTTGGTCTAGCGGCGGCTGGGATTCCTTTGCCCCGAATTATCGCCCTCGGCTGGATCAACGATTTTCTGGGGAAGAGAGGAGTATAATTGGGGGACAGCTTCGGATGCTCCGGACCGCACTCCGCTGTACGCACGCGCGTCGAGTTCGAGAAGACCGCAGATATAGAAACCTCGGTTTAATTATTCCTCTAACTTTGATCATAATTCTGATTCGGAGTCAATTGAAGTACCTTGAAACCAGGAGTACTCGGCGTCCAGAAAAGTTTCGTTTCGCTGTTTAAAAGATACAAAACTGCTGACTTCGGTTTAGTTCGGCCTCGTTGACAGCAGGGAAAAACCTCAAAGCTGTTGATAATCTGACATTTCAAGTGTCGGGTTATTGCCTGCCTGTGGCCCTACCTCAAAGGAATCAAACACGGTGAAGATGTCCTGCCAGTTGCCATCCGTGTCGAGCCATGAATTGGAGTTTGAAGCTTGACATCGTTCGACACGTGTTTCATCAGACATGCTGCTGTAATCGACCAGGATCCAGAGTGTTTCGTAATCCTCGAGTGGGAGAGGATCCAAAAGGTGTGAATGCGATGAAAGTGAGGCAAAGTTCGCCGCAGCATCGGAGAAATTTCGAAGAGCGACGACCTAAAACTCTCCTGGTCAATGATGTGAGATGGTACAGCTATGGCTATTTTACTCACCATGGAGGAGACATTCTTCCAGTACCCGCCAATGTCTTCTAGATAGCTTAGATGCATCTGAAGGATAGCCGCTGCTTCCGTCCTCCTTGCTTCCGAGGGATCATGAAGATACAATGCAGCAATGGTCCCAGCGACAACGGTGCAGTAACCATAGAACGAGCTCTGTGCGAGGGCTCCTGCTTGTCGAACTTCGCGGAAAAGAGTGGCCATTCTTTTCGAATGGTCCCATGCAGCCTCGAAGCTGCGAGACAGGAAGCTGGACGGCGCCGCAATAGGACAGAATTCCAGCCGTCGTCGCAGTAAGAAAGGGTGATGGAGGAGGCCGTAGCAGAGATGGAATAATGCTCGTGCGAAAATTATGGGACCGGTACTGTGTTGATCAATTCGCCCTCCCCGCGTATACTGGTCAATTATTGTCTTTGGCGGTTTGTGGATATCTAAAATGGTTTCCAGATAGAGCAAGTCCGACTGGATTGAGGCAAAATCTGAAGTCGCGTCCCACGGCGGGTCTTGATTGCTCATATTGAATTGCTGTAGCATGTATTGTGCTCCCCTGCTGAGGGTGTAGGCCATAGCGACGACAAGACCGAATGGACCTTGCTCGTTGGTGGGTGAGAGAGTCCTGTGTGAAAGCTGCTGCAGTGTGAGGGTTTGTCTCCAGGCGCCGGCCCTCCAGGACTCCTCATCACTGGGCAGCTGTAACTGGCATGAAGCATCCAGAATGGCTGGCGGACGTGCACGACCACAGGACGCTAGCCGGTCGAGGAGGTATATTGACCAGAACGTCCTCCGGCGTTCTTCCTGCTCGATAAGTGGGAGGTCCGTTGCGCTCTCCAACATGAGCTTCTGATCTTGTGCAATACGCACAGCTAGCCCGATCTTCACCCATGCTCCGCTATGTCGACTTCGACCAGCTACGTCGGGGCCCATCAGCCTGGATCCAACGTTTGTGGGCTCGAGCATTCACCCACCTGTATAATCAAGAATAGAAAGTAGAGTAACGGTCTGTACGGTCGCGAGATCGGCAACCTTATTGGCGGAAAAGCAGGTTGATACGATAGATCGCCACGATTTATTGGAGTAGAAGAGCGCCGTCTCGAAGATGTCTTTGAAGAAGGAATTTTTCGAGAACCGAACAGCCGATGCGAGGATGGCGAAGAGTAAGTGATCAGGGATCTTCCCTTGAGAAAGCTTGGAACGAAAGCTCTCCTCGTGAAAGAAAGAATATGGTTGGTTGTGGCAGTAGGTGAAATAGACATCTATTGTCTCGAGAATGATGGGCAAAGGGAGTAGTCCAGCAAATGTGACGGATTCATCCGGTTCAGCCTTGTAGTCCGACTGTGATGCTGGCACTGCTCTTGTTACTTAAGTGTCAGAGCTGAACCACCGCCATGTCATCTGCACAGCTACTGTGCAGTGTCCGGCAAGAACTAGGTTCCGCTAGTGACTTACCTGTGCTTTGAACAGAGGATGGATCGACCCTAGAGCAGCGTGAGTGTGTTCTACGCCACGCATTTCACAGTGGCGACCAACCGTGTTCCTGAGTCTCGAAGAAGTTGCTCAATATGAGACAGACGAGTCGATATGTCCTGCGACCTATTAGCGGCCGTCCCCATTGATGCTGCCGCATCCTACCTGTACACTCGCTAAAAGGCTCACAAGAGCCTGGCCAACATCGCCACTCGGTGGCTTTTCCGCCCGGATATTACCATCTGGATAGATGCAATCTAAAAAAGTCAAGACTGCCCCCGAAACGCGTGCACTTGGCTCACCTCGAGACAACCTCCGGCAGCTGTGGCACTTGGGCCGATCTCCAGAACAGCGAGCTTTCCTCTTTCTGCGTGACGCAACTGTTAGCAGAGTTATGTTGGCAGATTGTATATCGAGCCGACGCTATCGAGGATGCAAGAGAGAAGCTCACCGGCATTCCTTGCATGCTTGGTTGATGCGTTGGACGGGCTTGTAGTGTCCACCAGTACGAGCGTCCGGTGTCTGTCCATGATTCATGGATTCCATCCTGAGGACAAGATACGACGCAGATGCCACAATTAACTTGAGAGTGCCATTAGGCTTATCAGTGACGAGGACTATTGGAAGGACTAACGACGAGTTGAAAGCCGAGGTGCGATATTGACCGCACACGCCGAACATTCCCAAAAGCACTAGTTCAACTCAAAACAGAATCAATCACGTGACAGAGGGCGGGATCCCGTGATCATCTTCTCCAGAACTCGAGGAGATGAGGACTCCTCTAGGTCTCACTCTTTCCTCTTACGAGACCTTGATCAATATTTGTCCTCGCACTGGAGGTATCAATACATTAATGCTCCTCAAATATCCTGGAACTTCGATGGCCTTTCTCTACCCGCAGGTTGGAAAGCAGAGTTGCGGGCCGCTAGGAACGGCCACTTGCGGAGATTGTGCAGGAACACAGAACCTGTGTAGTTTCTAGGCGAGAAGAAAGCTAGAAGCAGACTCTATCAGTACCTGATCACCATGTGACTGTTCAGAATCACGACTTACACCTGGACGCCCATTTCATTCTGAAGCTCTCTCCAATCCAGTTTCAAGTTGAGTCGGTGTTGCCTTTCCCAGAGAATTTCCAATAACTCCAGACCTCGATCCGCATGCTAGGGGACCTCTTGTCAGCCCTTCCACAGGTGCACTCGATCCAGGACTTACATAGATACTGATACTTGCATCTGACCTCAACTTTCGACGGATTAGAGCCTCTGCTTCGGTATCATTGAAAATGGCAACTCCAACCATGAACATGCCCCAGAGGAGACCCATTTCCAGACCATAGCCTTCTGGAGTCTTACTAGCAATGTCCAGAATACCTTCAGCTGCGAGAGAAACTTCTGACCCTGGAGGTTGTATGCCGGTCGGGTTGATGATGTGTTGGAGGTAGATGATACATGCGTCCTTGCAGGATCGAATACTCGAGAATGACTCTTGCTCCAGCACCTCCGGCTCGGCTAGTGGTTGTGCCCGGGGAAGACATCGCCAGTCGTTATCTTGGTCTCGCAATTCCGGGGGCCGTGACCTCCACCAATCATGCAAACCTTGTTGGATGGACATCGCTTTCTCGTAGATGAGATGCGGATTTTGTCGACCGAATTTGGTCATTGATTGAGCAGAGAGCTTTGATAGGCTCGCCATGAAGACCATTAATTCGTGGAAGGTGTTTACCATGACTGACTCATCGTCATAATACGGCCATTTCAAATCGTTCTGATTCAAGGAAGAATCGGCGCTCGGCTTGTCAACTTCAAGCCAGTAATTGCCTTGTATCAAGGGACCTCTACCAGATGACAAGGATCCAGATATATCCAGTAACGAGAAGAATCGGCAAAGGAAGTCGGATGTTCGTGGACCACCTCGATACAGAATCAGGTCCCGGGCTCCTCGAAGATGCTGCAACCAAAGGCTTTTGTCTGAATGGGATATCTATCGATGATTTGGTAAGTATTTCTCAAGAAACAGGATTTGTACCTACCTCGTAAACACATAACAAAAGGCACGCGCCCAGCGTGGAATTTGAGGACCGCTGTGCAGGTTCGGACAGTGCAAGGTTTAATTCTCGAAGTGCAGTTGAGTAATACTTTACAGCGGGAAGAGTGTGCCGTGGTTTCCCTCTAGCCATGTGACCGGCAGCAACGGCGAGCATTGAGTGAAATAAGGCCGAAGACGAAACGGCGAGAGGGACTAGCTCTTGCTGAAACGGATTATCCTCCCCATCATTGGTGTAGGCAAGAAACCGAGAACAGAAGGTAATGAAATGGCTGAGGTACGGAAGAGAAGCTCGATCCGCGTTCGGAAACTCGACGATAAATGGTTGTCTAAGTTGTCCGCATGACGGAAGTATGGCTGCTCTGTCGACCAATTCTATTCTCCCTTGTCGCGGAACAAGCAGAGAGGCTTGGGAGTGCGGTGGCTGTTGAGCCCAGCTGCACTTGAGTTGCAGTCTTCGACATCGTTGACAGGTCGGCTTCTCTTCGTCACATTTGACCTTACCTTGTCTGCAAGTTATACAGCCTGAGCACCGATGCAGAGTCAGCAAATATTTCTGTACGACGTAGCGAAAAGAATTAATGCTGACCGGTCCTCGTTCTCGGAACGGGAGGCTTGACGCCTGCTCCAGGCGCCATCTTTGTCCGTTCATCGAAGGTTCACATAGTACCTGGCTGCCCCAGCCGTTGGGCAGTTATCAGAGAGTGTACAAGTTCAACAGATGATGTCCATTGTATCATATCGGGCGTCCTCCATGGGACGTGTTCGCAATCGCTTATCGTCTTCTTTGCCAAGTCTGCACCTGAGTCTGCTTCAAGTGTGTAACGCTCCGCCGTAGCTGGGCAATTGTCGCTAGCGCGGCCGTAAGGCCAAACTTCGTGGTCTTGTTGTGCAGCTGCAAAGACTCTCTAGCGGCGCCATTGTGTCGGTCGAACTCAACCTTGTCGCCAACTCTCCTCCAACGTATAACGAGTTTGGACCAAAAGAGCCGCTTATCCACCCAACTTTTGAGGAGGTTTTGCTTGAAGGGCTACTGATAATTCGAAGTGTGCGTGAAAGTGCCGGACAAATATCACCCCAGGAAAAAATTGCTGGACGGCCGGTACCCCAAGAAACACGAGCTTCGACATTGGAATCTCGACCCGACTATTTCAATATCTATATTTGGGCCTGAAGGTGGGCGCGAGCCTCGCTGCTTTCAACGTGAGATGTCCCGAGAAGAGAGCGAGCACATGAAGCTGTTGATCGAATGTTATTGGAGGTCTATCTGTATTATACGTAAACGAACCAGGGCCTCATTCCTTTACCGCAGCAGTTATGTCTAATTTCCGCAGGCCTGTAGCTTCCTTTGCAAGATACTCCGCGCACTCGAGCCGACTCTTGGACTCGCTGACGAAGAAGATACCGATCGTAGGCACAAGGCACAGCGCAGCCACAAATGGGAACGGGGTCCATGCATTCCCGTTCACGTCGACGATGGCGCTGGAAACAATGGGACCGATCCAAGCAGAACCCTTGGAGACAATTCCGAGCAGGCTGAAGAACATGTACTCCCTCCCCCGAGGCACCAGTTCCGCCATGAACGCCTGCCCATATGAAAACTGTGCACCCATGGTGAAGCCGTACTGTGCGTTGAAAAACCAAAATTCCCACAGATTGTGAAAGCCGATCTTGGTCGTCCAAATCCCAATCATGCCCCACAGAGCGACGAGAACGCATCCAATATTACAGGCCTGAAGCATGGTTTTCGTTCGGAGATTGAAAAGTCGTTGGACGTAGTAGGCGCCGAAAACGCCAACGACACAAGATCCTCCTTGGACCATGATCAGATAAGTGTTCTGGGTGGCGGAAAAAGCAACCACTTTGGTCTGTGCGATCGAGACCAGAGTGATAATGGTGGAAATGCCGTCCGCCAGCAGGAAGAATGCTACCATGTAGAAGAAAGTCTGTTTCAAAGTCCAGACCTGTTTCGCAGCAAACCAGGTCTGTTTGAAGCCGAAGGTCAGGTAGTTGTCTCCTGCCGGCAAAGGTGGTCCCGGACGTTTCTTTTCCCATAGAAACCAAGGGATGGCGAGAACTATCCAAAAGCCAGTGCACACAGCCACTGATACCGAATATCCCCAGTTGTTTTGAGCAGTCGAGTCATTCGCACCGATACCTGCCAGTGCGGCTAGTGAGAGGGCACCGCATACTGTAAATCCGACGTTGTTCCAGCCGTAACTCATGTTCATGATCTTTGAGCGAGCCATGGAACACTTATGTTCATATACCTCTCCGCTGATCTTGCCCTCCAACATTTCGTCATGTGCAGTACGCACTTCGGGCAGGTCATGAGAGAGCTTCGGAAAGATGGCGTTAAAGAAGACATACGAGGCCCAGAAAGTGATAGCTGGAATAGATCAGCCTGAGAGACGACATGGATTGGTGGTGAGCCTACCGCTCAAGATGTAGAGAGCCATCGCTGTTCTCCATTGGTACGCCCTTCGAACACCGAGAAATCCGAATTCAAACGCCCAACATATGACAGAGAACGTTCGGACGACCCAGGGATTCCAGTTGCCATAGTCGGCCAAGCTTCCTACTCCAATGAAGACCAAGCCTTGACACAGGAAAGTCAGACCCGAGGCGATCAGGACGACAGAGCTGTAGGATTTTGTGCCCCCATTCCAGAAGACATGGCACGGTGCAGTCGGATCAACATCACAGCTGGAGCTGCCCAATGGCAAAACATTCGGGTTGAAGCCTGCTTGGTAGATCAAGTTCTGGAATAGGAGATTCGAGCTAGAATAATGTCAGCATGTATGATCGAGAGGAAGCTTCGGGACTGCCTGGACTAACTATTGGAAGGATCCTATCCCATTGTTGCCAGCGTAGTAAGCGTAATATGAGAAGACCTCCTTTTTCGTGGCAGCAGGCCCATTCGTGTCAAGGTCATAATATTGCAGATCAGAAGGAGCTAATGCTGACTCGCCGCTCGTATCTGGAGCTGGTGCAGCAATGGAGGTGAATGCTAGCTTCGTGGGATGAGCCTCCTCTTGCTGGGCGGTGATGTGGTCGTCCATGACTTCTGAGCATAAGAGTTGACAAGGTTTAAATGAGTCCAACAGAGAACTGGCTCTTGACTGTGACTTTATTTCGACGTCGTAGGAAGACGGAAGGAGGTTATAAAGAGCGCGGATTCGTCCTGATATCGGGAGTCATCCCCTATGCTGATCGTATGATCAAGTTTCGTCTCCGAAACCAAGCCGTATCATTGATTCCTTGCTGGGAGGCTTCTTATGTATTTTATGATGTGTAGAAGCGAAGGCAATCGGCTAGTGTCGTCTCGTGGAGTTGTCCATGGCCCGCTTTGCAGGACGGGTGGGCCCTGGCCTATCTCCATGTACTACAGGTAGGGTAGTTAGTGCACCAGTGTAATTGCCCGAAACGACCGCATCTGCTATCTAGCCGATGACAGGCGCCCACACAACGTAGCCTGGAGTGGGCCCTGTCAAGCCCTGTGCCTCTTTATTCCTACTTCTGCCAGCGGCTATCGGGTAATGGCCGTTTTGATGGGACTGTCCCTGCCTGGGTCTGCCGGGTCCAGAATTTTGGACAGACAAAGTTGCCACGTGCATTCAGAAAAATTAAAGCAATCTCGGCGCTAGCAATGCGCACTAGTCAAGGGCCACCAAGCAGAGAAGATCTCTTATCTAGCCGATCGACGACGAAAGGGGAAAGATGATCTCGCCAAGCGGCGTTCTTGGGCACTGACTCGAGGAACTTCTGTCCTTCCACAAGGAACGAAACCTCAAAGTCCCTTACCTGTTACGCACCTGGCCACGAGCGGCTTTAGCGGTATGTTGCGAGATCTTGAATGCACGCCGGAGATGACCTGCGGAGGAGCCACGATTGTATCCATGTTAGATCCACACGACTAGAACGTCAAATCTTACCCACAGCGTGTGAGCACCTACCGAGCTTCATCCAGAGCATAGCTTTAGGTCGGTTTGCTACAAGTATCAGAGTGAAGAATTTCCACCACCGCAAGCAGAATCTATACTCTGCAGTGTATTGACGGCCGTTACTTCACCCATCTGATCGGCACATTTCGCGGTGAGAATGCCGTCTAAAACTCCTTCGTATGTGATTGGGATTGACGTCGGCGGAACAAACACGGATGTGAGGGAGCTCCTGCTCGAAGAAGACTTGTACTGACACGTTTCGAGGCCGTCATACTTCAAAATGAACAAGTCGTGGCCTGGCATAAGACGCCTACGACCTCTGACATACAAGCAGGTGTCGAGCTCGCCATTCGAGAGGTTGTGAGGAAGGGGGATATCGACTCAGGTCAAATCGAATCGGTGAAGATCGGGACAACGGTAAGTGCCTCGCATCAAATTCTCGTCTCGTGACTGCGCTCACAACGGGAATGCAGCAATTCATCAATGCAGTTCTCGAGCAGGATCGAAGCAAGCTTGACAAGGTCGCTGTTATCCGGCTGTGTGGACCTTATTCTCAGCGGTCTCCACCATTCGGTGCGGAACCTGATCAATCTATCGAGTCTGCAGCCACTAACGGATGCTCTGCTTAGTGCACTTTCCTGAAGGTCTTCGTACTTTGATGGAAGGCCACTGTGGCTACGTAGATGGTGGCTATCAAGGTGAGTTGCATCACGGGGCAACTGGTCCACGCTACCGGTCCGAACATCTTCTGATTGAACTAGTTGACGGCAGAATCGTGCGGGCGCTGAGGCATGAACAGCTCAAAGAACAAGCCGCCATAATCAAGTCAACGAGGATCAAGAGCGTAGTCGTGATCGGCATAAACTCTCCGTCCAACCCGAAGCAGGAACTGGAAGCAGAATCTGTTCTAATTTCAGAACTTGGCCCAGGATACGATGTCTCTTGCTCCCACAAGATTGGCAGACTAGGCTTCCTTGAACGAGAGAATGCCAGTATCCTCAATGCAAGTTTAAGGCGCTTTGCTCGTCATGTTATCGCGGGTTTCAAATTTGCTGTCCAGAGACTGGGCAAGTGCAGCTTATACATCACCCTCAACGATGGGACCTTGAGTAAAGCGTCGGAAGCCGCCGAGTATCCGATAGGTTGCTTCTCATCAGGACCTACGAATAGTGCAAGAGGGGCTGCACTACTAGCGGGATCACTGTCACAGGATGAGGCAGACGATAGAGAAGTCCTCGTGGTAGACGTAGGAGGGTGAGTTCGTGCCTCGATGCTGGAATCAAACGACTGACATACTATAGGACCACGACCGATATCTGCGCCTTGTTGAAAACTGGATTTCCCAGGCAATCGGCTGCTTTCGTCAAGGTTGCTGGTGTAAGGACCAATTTCACCATCCCTGATGTACACAGCATTGCCCTCGGCGGTGGCTCTCTCGTTAGAACAGAGCGCGATCAGACTCGCATTGGTCCAGATTCGATAGGCTCACGCCTGGTCCGAGACGGAATCTATTTTGGAGGACAGATTCTTACAGTCAGTAATCCAAGACACCCCCGCATACTCTGTGCTAACAATTCACCTAGGCAACAGACTTGATTTTGTCGAACGACCTTACCGAGAGACTTGTCCCATCACATATCAAGGCTTCTGGACTGGTAGAGATCAAGAGGGCAGTCGAAGAGGCGGTTGATCTTGTTAAGACAAAGCAGGGAGACGCGCGTGTAATTCTCGTTGGTGGTGGGAGCATCATCATCAGTGATGAGATTGCAGGAGTGGGAGAGCTCATCCGTCCTAAACATTTCGAAGTAGCCAACGCTGTTGGCGCAGCGGTAGGGAATTCTATTAGATCTTCATCTCGAAATGCTGACTCTGGAACAGATTGGGAAGATCAGTGGTTCGGTAGATACGATCGTTGCACCAAAAGCTGATAATGCTTCAATGGATGAGCAAATCGAGGAGGCCAAAGCTCTTGCGATGGAACGCTGTGTGGCTGCGGGAGGAAGCAGGGCGACGCTGGAAGTTGTGGAGATTGAATTAATTCCGGTCTCTTATGCCACCAACGGAGCTACAAGACTGATTGTTCGGGTTGTGGCGGACCTAGCTGAAGGCCATGAAGATCCAGAAGAAAGCGTGTTGCCCATGCTCTACGATTTCGGTAAAAGCATCGATTCCGAATGCCGTGCAGACGGAGCCGATTCCAAAGCCTCGTCTTACGATATCAACCAAAACCTCGATGTTGAATCATACAGACCAAGGATAGAGGGGGACCTGTGGTATTTGTCGGAGATTGACTTGCAATTCCTCCAAGACGGTACTGGCGTTCTGGGAGTCGGAAGCTGTGGTGATGCATATCCCAGCTACGTTGCCTGCGTGCACGCGTTGGCCAAGGGCGAGGATATCACCATCAGGCGGCAGGACACATTACCCGATAGCGCCAGTGTCCTGGCTGCTGGTTTCATGGTCAGCGGCCCTACATTTTCCGAGTACGTGGCTAACCTGCTCAACAGGGCTCTCCGACCGTGTATCTCGAACGAATTCCAGGCATGCATGAGTAAGAAGCTTGCCCCTCAACTGTTCAACCCTGAATTGACCGTCTGCAATAGGGTTATCGACGCGATGAATGCAGTCATAGAGACAGCTGATATCACTTCGTTTGATGCTGTCATTCCCAACGAGATAGGGGGGATGAATGCCTTTGAGGCGCTCCTCGCGGCTTCTCATTTCGGTAAAAGCACCCTCGACGCTGATTGTGTAGCACGAGCCTACCCTTTTCTGTGGCAAACGGTGCGCTGCCTCAGGGGCGTCTCAGTTGTTCCAGCGGCCGTTGCAGATGGAGCAGGCAGACGAAAGGTGAGAACCAAAGCTCATTCCCATCTTGAGCTAGGACTGACTGACATCTGACTAGGTTTTCACTGCTGAACACGACAACTTCCAGGCTGAGGAGTTGATGCGAGATGCATGCACGGATCTAGGGTCATTGGCAGGCATCTGTATCAACCCTCTCCAGGGCAGCGAGGCTCGCAGCTTGCCTCGAAACAGCTATTCTCTAGGTATGTCATGGTTGTAACCTTCTGCGGTTTATGCGGAGGTGTCGGGAATTCTAGTTGACGCTTGCACAGCATGGTCTATTGGCCGCTCAATTGCTCTTTCTAGAAGTAGGAAGATAGACCCTGTGGCAGCGCTACTGAAAGAGCACCACGGTGTCCTTCTCTTTCGTGGGAAGATTGTCTCGGTTGTACGCCACGTCGCAAAGGGCTTTACCAGAGGCAGTGTGCTTCTCTCGGCCTTCTCAGACGAATCAATCCCACAATCCGACGGCGACAACTACTCACCAGGCAGCTCCCTACAGGTGGAGTTTGAAAATGAGAATCTCTGCGCTGTCCTGAAGCAAGAAGGACAAGAGGACAAGCTCCTTGCAATCTGTCCGGACCTCATTTGTTTCCTGGATATGGCAAATGGTGCGCCATTGGGCATCTCGGACTACAAGTATGGCTTGAGGGTCAGTGTGGTCGCGCTGTCAGCGCCGCCTGTATGGACCTCGGAGAAGGGATTAAGAATGGGCGGACCATCGGCTTTCGGGTATGTTCCGCGAAGTCACTCGTGCTCTCATCCCCAACTGCTTGAGGCTAATCAATATCCAAATAGGCTCGATATGGAGTATACTCCTGTTGGCACGGAAGCATACGAACCCCCTACGAGCGTCTGGGACATGTTTGGCAAGGGTCAATAACTGCACTTGCATCGCTGACGTGAGTTGGATAGGGGGACCAGATTGATCCTTGCCAGATTGCTGTCAACCCTATGAATGATCAATGCCCGAGAATCGTTACAGCCAGTCTTCCGTTCTAGAATCCGAGACTGGGCAGTATTGGATTCGGTGACCCCTAGTCAAGTATGGTGGCAGGAATCGGCGCCGTCTTGACGCGCACTGGCTGAATCGGCGCCCTCACTCTGCGGCGTGAGCCTGATGAGTAAACATGGCATGTCGAGCTGAGCGAACCGTACGAGGAGAGCTGAGCAGGAAGGGAAGCTTAACGCAGATATCTCTTGTCTAATGGCAATGGGAGGTGGCCCTGCTGAGCCAGCAAACCCTAGAGCGTAGCTGGAGAATTCGAAAGCTTGAGAGAGAGAGAGTTGTCTTCCATTCTTTGTTCTCAGCAGTCGTGTTTTCCCCTCCAGCCCATGATCCTAATCGACAAAGTCGCCATACAGGTGGATGTGATCAATCACGGTGCCTCAATTGAAGTATAGATTAGGCGCCCCTCGAGGTCTATGGCCAAGTAACAAGGAGTGAGCTAGGGAACTCTTCCCCTTCGTTTCCGTGTTGGTTGGTTCGCCGGGAGAAGCCAGGATTGACTCTCGATGTGGTCACAGAACAAGTGATGCGCTTCTTTTCCTGTTGAGGATTTTCCCAGACCCTGATCACGCATGCCAAGGGTGAGCGTGAGCGGCGTCGACCTCATCCAAAATCGTTATTGAGGTAGCGGCCTAGCAGGGCATAACACGACTGGAAACTGGCCGGAGTTTCTCTCGGAGATACTCAGTCGTCAACATCAACAGCGAAGCAAGCCCTTTAGCACCGCGGCAGCTAGAAATGTACTGAGTGAGCGACTGCGGGGGTTTGGCCCAGGAGCAACAATGTCACCTCCGCGCCCCGCTGCCAATTCCGCCAACCCCGCCAAGCCCTTGAAAGGGGAGGAGAGGGAGCGCGCCAAGGCCATCAAGACGTCTCGTCCAAGAGATTCGCTCCCTTGCCTCCTCTTGACCAGCCTTGGCTTCTCTTCTTCTTCTGTTCACTCCACGATCTCCGTGCCTATCGGCCCTATTCTTTAGCGAGCCACCTCCCTTTCTTCCTCCCCCTCCCCCCAGCTCTTGCGCTTCGCCTCTGTGCCCAGCCTTTGGCACCTGCGCTTCGAGCCCGACGGTCTTCTTGGTTTACAGCTCATACTATGTGTCGTGGTCACTGTACATGGCGTCATGCACAACAGATCCGCATTCGCTCGGCCGATCTTGAATCTTCTCTTGTCCAGGGCCGATCTGCCCGGGGGCGACATTCGCTTAGACTGTCTATCTCGTGGCCTCCTCTCCGGGGAAAGTGTCTGGGGAGATCTTGGCACCAGATACTGTCTCGAGACAGGACGGCATTTCTCTCGGCGAAATCCAACTTGATGGTCCCACTGCGAGCGTTACCAGATCATGTGTCGAGCAACCTTTTGAGACGCCTTGGACGACGTCAACCTCTTGCCTCGAAGGTGGGCTATATATGAACGGGCTGTCGCGGTAGGTAACCCAAGGTCTTGAGTCCTCAGCGTACCCCAGATCTCTTCCCTTTGAACCGTGCCTCCACAATTCCTTGAACAACATGACAGACCGGAGACGCAGCAGCGTCGTGCAAGTTGAACGTGCCAACGATGGCGTCGCACGTATCAACGATGAATCCATCAGGAAGCTCAGCATTATCAACCCCCAAGTCGTCCAGGAATTCGAAGAGGCCAAAAAGGCTGTCGAGAAGGAACATGAACTTACCGTTCGCGACGCCCTGAAGCTATACCCCAAGGCCATCATATTCTCTATCATCTTCTCCAGCGCCGTCATCATGGAAGGTTACGATCTGAGCTTGATGGGTTCGTTCTTTGGGTTTCCAGTAAGCGATGCATCAGCCCTGCCCAGTCAACTCTGTCGCTGATAATGAGGCAGCCTTTTAGGAACTTCTATGGGACTGAAGACAACCCGGATGGAGGGCGTAATATCGGCGCAGCATGGCAGTCGGGCATCCAGAACGGTGTCCAAGTTGGCAGCATCATCGGCCTCTGGCTCAACGGTATCATTTCAGACAGATTCGGTTATCGCAAGGTGAGTGCGAAGCAAACCTTACACTGTGGTGAATTCGTTCCCGCTGACGAAACGTTTCCAAAGACCATGCTCGTTTCGCTCGTCCTAATGATCGCTTTCATTTTCCTACCCTTCTTCGCCCAAAACATTCAGTAAGCTTCCACTACACTTCCCTTTTGCGCTCAGGCACAACATTCCCTCTAACAGCGTTTTGAAGGACGATTCTTGCGGGCGCCATTCTATGCGGGTAAGTCGAATCCGCACCGATGCCTTGGCCGGACCATTTGCTAACCTTTGGCAGTCTGCCCTGGGGTGTATTCCAGGTAAGCAAACACTGACACATCTTCATAAATGACCGCCCTCGTGTCCTTAATGAAGATGCTAGCTACCCAGTCATCAGAACGCTGACTGATTGTTCGACAGACCATTACCGTGACATATGCTTCCGATGTTACTCCAGTGGTTCTCCGACCTTACCTGACTTCATACGTCAACCTGTGTTGGGTGTTTGGTCAATTCATTGCGGCCGGCGTGCTCCGTGGTTTCTTGAACCGGGACGATCAATGGGCGTACCGTGTGCCTTTCGCAATCCAGTGGGTAAGTTGCGGGCAAAGCACCTTCTACCTCCTCTAGCCGACGGTTCTCTGCACGATTCCCCGACACTAACCGGGTTCCTCAGATCTGGCCACCCATCATTCTGGTCGGTGTCATTCTAGCTCCTGAGAGCCCTTGGTGGCTCGTTCGCCACGGCAAGCTCGATGAGGCGCGTAAAGCGCTTTTAAGCCTTACCAAGGCGTCAAGCGGAGTCCCCTTTGATGTCGACAAGCAGGTCGCCATGATCAACGCCACCAACGAGCTCGAGAAGGCCATGTCCGAAGGTACAAGCTACTGGAATCTTTTCAAGGGGATCGATCGTCGCCGGACGGAGATCACAAGTATGGTGTGGAGTATGTCATCGCAATTCTCACACAGGCCAACATCCACGTTGTCGAATACACTGACAAGTTTCTCTCCAGTAACCCAAGCGTTCTGCGGCGCTGCGCTGATGGGCTTCTCCGTCCAATTCTACGAGCGCGCCGGATTAGATTCGGAGAACTCGTTCAACTTCAACCTTGGTAAGACACACACACGAGCACGCACAATGCATGCACATATCTTGACTTCTCGCACCCGGGGAACCGGGGAAGCTTGACGCTGATGAGAGCCTCTCTCTGACTTGTGTACAGGACAATACGCCATGGGCGCCGTGGGGACAGTCGGTTCGTGGTTTTTGATGCCTCATTTCGGCCGTCGGACCTTGTACCTGTGGGGATTGGTAATCCTCTTCGCGCTGCTGATGATTGTCGGTGGCATGGGCGTGGCCGGCACCTCCAGAGGGCCATCCCTGGCCGCAGGAACCCTCCTCATGATCTACACGTTTGTATACGACTTCACGATCGGACCCGTCTGCTACGCCCTTGTGGCCGACATTCCTTCGACTCGGCTGAAGATCAAGACGGTGGTGTTGGCACGCAACTTGTACAACGTCGGCGGCATCATCAACAATACACTTATGCCGCGGATGCTGCTGAACACCGAGTGGAACTGGGGTGCCAAGACGGGGTTCTTCTGGGCCGGTGCATGTGCCTTGCTGTTCGTGTACATGTACTTCCGCCTGCCGGAGCCAAAGGGTCGCACCTATGGTGAGATGGACGTCTTGTTCGAGAACAAAGTCAGCGCCAGGAAGTTCCGCACTGCCAACGTCGATCAGTTCGCCGGACACTCGACGGAGCTTGTTGAGGATTCCAGCGACGGTGAGAAGAACAGCAGCCGCCAGGTGGAGTCTGCTTAACTAAGACATCGTAGTAAAGCTTGCGGCTGAGGGTGAGCAACGAGAGCTTCAGCCTTGGTCACGGCCCACGCGTTCAGGAGGTAGAGACAAAGAGTGAGGTACGACGGGAGGTCATTACATCTTTTCAAATTCGTTTCACCTTGTCAGTTGCATACTGCTTCGTAACGTATGAGATCAAGAGGAGTCTTGGTGATCTTCGTGTGGAGGTCCAGGGCCAGCCACCTCAATGAGATTGCTCATGGTTCCCAGGTTAGCGCTGGCATCACACCGCTACGATCCTCTGCGTTCTCCATGGCGACTGGGGTATCTTGGTTGATAACAGCAAGCGACATCCTTCTCCCGTACGCTTCGGGTTGCCTGCCGCTGTGGAAGCAGGAGAAATGGGCGTGTCGAGAGAACTCAACCAAGAATGGTATCTTGACTCGAGGAAATGGAATCAACATGCTATCATTGTCCTTGGCGATGGCAAGGGTCTGGACCTCGAAGATCTTGCAGCCGGTCAGACCACTGTCGATGTTTCAGCGTCTTGGGCGACCAGAGTTGTAGTCACAGTTATTGCCGCCCTTTGGATCCTAATGCTGATCACCGCCACGGGCTTCAAGAGAAATAATTGGTTCTTACTTGCCGTTGGCGGCATTGGAACCCTTCAAAACATTTCTGGTGCTGGATGGAGACGCCCCCCTGAAGCACATGGGATTCCGATGAACCTTGTGGAGGTCATCGACAAGCCGAAACCATGGAGACACCGTTTGCCGTAGAGGAAAAGTACCACCATGTCCGCAAGAGCGTCAGAGACACCTTCTTTCCCGGAATGCTTCGAGAGAACGAGGTCTACAGATGGGAAGAGCTTGCCAAAATTGCTAATGCTAAATACGATGCCGCAAGAGGAAACGTCACCAGACAAGGCCAACATAGAACGTAACCTCAGTGATTCCTCAACGCTTCGAGGCTTGGCCCGTTCAGGAGCGTATTCGGAAGACGTATTGGCTCCGGCGGGACAAGCGTCCGGACTGTTCTGGGGCGTGTTGTGGGGATAGTCAACTGCTTCTGTCGTTACAAATGTGGCTGCAGTCCTGCTAGATAGTGAATACTATCATCCCTGGTACTCTCTTGCACAACCTGTCAATTCATTGTACGTAGATCCGCGAATCCTTGCAATCAATAGAATTTGCTCGTTCCCGCCAACTTGTTCCTGGCCCCTGAAGCATGAGAAAGTGTAGACCTCCGTGCAGTGAGGCGAAGTACATTTTTGACGCTAGTTAGTGTGGCTAAAGGCTACACTTATTTACGCTCTGCACCTCAAATCTGTCCTAGGCGAATACGTCGTGCCGGAACAGAAATCTGGAGTCGGAAAGGGGATTGTTCACAAACACGAGCGAATGAGGCTGACGGTGAGGAAAATCCAAATCGTTTCTGCACACGGACTTGTCACACAACTCGTTCTTCACTTCTGCCATACTTAGCCCTCGTTGTCGCGATTTGTGGCGCAGGTCCTAGTGCCCTTTGTCCGCTCATACGCGACGTCGGTATTCCAAACTGCGACGCCTTCAATTAATGACTTCACGTCATTCAGCCCAGTGGCTGCGGATATATATTCAAAGGTTCGAGATGTCGGTGTCGGATACTTATCAGCTATCAAGCATATTCATCATCACATTGCACGAGCTACCGTTCCCTCTGCCTTTGTTCATTGACTGTTATTGTCATCTATCCTGAACAGTATTTGTCGCCATGGGAGGAGATCTCGAAAAAGAGTGCAAGAAGGCCGCGCAAATCCTCAAGAACTTCGTTGGTATGCATCACCTCAGTGAGAGTTGCGTTCTAGGCTGATCCCGATCGCAGACAAGAAAAGAATACCCCCAGAAGTAGTGAAGAATGCGAAGGGTCTGGCAATCTTCTCAGGCTTCCGGGCCGCCATGTGGTTAGCTGGTGCGGGCGGTTCTGGTGTCATCATTGCTCGTCTGCCCGACGGCTCCTGGTCCCCGCCGTCCGCAATCTCAGTCTTCTCCGGTGGTGTCGGTGTCGTTTACGGCATAGACGTGTACGATTGCATCTGCGTGCTCAACACACAAGAGGCCGTCGATGCGTACGCAAAGGGCGAGACAACTTTGGGCGCCGCCGCTACAATGGCCGCGGGCCCAATTGGAGGGACTGCTGATATCACCACCAAGGATGTCAAACCTATCTGGACATACACCAAATCATTAGGTCTGTACGGTGGCATAACGGTGGACGGCACGATCATCAAGGAGAAGTCCGATGTCAACGCCAGGGCATATGGAGGCAAGATCACGGCCGCGCAGATCTTAAAGGGCGAGGCAAGGTCGGTACCATCGGGTCAGCTTCCAGAGGTTCTCAAATTGGCCGAAGGAAACGCGGCAGACTCCAAAATCCTTGACTCAATCAGTACTGAACCGACACCGGGCGACTTGAAGGAGTAACGCTCCACTGACTGCACTGTATGCTATGGTGTCGTATCAATGCCATCACGTGTCTTTGAGCGATAAGGTTGGGAAGTGGACAGCCGGGAAGGTTGAGATGTCAGCCTTAATGTTGGAAGTTGGACTGAACGGGAAATCACAACGTAGCTTTTCAAGACTATTCTCGACATCTTGGATGTCAGTAAAATAATATTAGATTCTTGCCAAACAGAAGGTCCGAATTATTATAGCGTCAAAGGGTCTCACTCGGCAGACATCACCACGTGCATTCCGGATTAACGTTTGGCCGACTTGGCATCGAAGGCCCGTGACTCCGCGTATTTACGAGGAGAAGCAAGTCCCATAATTCGCGACTTGATAACACCTTGTGCTATGTCATGACGTTCGTGGACTGGTGCAATATCCCAAATCTTCAAGAATGCAGACATGACCTCTTCGAAAAATGACCTTGGAAAGTAAGATTGGGAATTATGTATTGGCCATGTGGTGTGCCTCAAGTCTTCGCACACCATGGCCCGATTTCGGTTGCAGCAGAAGACTCCGGGCCAGTCAAAGCGAGTCATGACAGCGAGAAACCAGAAACTGATGGCGTCGATAAAGCCTCTGGTATTGAGGATCTCCAATCAGCACGTAATGATCATCTATTCACAACGATTACGCCTACCCGACTTGATCTGTGGTCAACGCGGCCTGTCGTCCTGCTCGCCTCGTTATCCAGGTCCCAAAAGTCCCTGCAAACTTACGGATACAACGTATCTGTTCTTTTCAAGCCAGACGCGACTAGGATCGTCATTAGGACGACAGAGAGCTATTTAATCACTTATGCTGTGGGGGGCGACCAGACTGCTCGCGTGCTACAACAGCAGTACGGCTATAGCCTGACAAAACGCCAGAACCTCATGCGGATTTTCGGCACAGACGACACTGCTGGTGTTCCTGAAGTTCTCCTTCGGTTCAAGCGGGCTATCAAGATAGACGCAGGCATCAACTCTGTCATCGCGTTGGATTCGGAGCTAATCGTGGCTACGGTCAAACCCGCTGCTGTGCAATGCATTCGCTGGGAGGCGCAAAAGGATGGCTCCAATGCCGTTGCGCAATTGCTATCCAAGATGGAATGGCTCGATACGAAGTCCGCATTATCGAGCATGGTCCATGACCGGGCAATGAACCTCTCGGTGTGGTTATCTCAAGATGGCCATGCATGTGCAGTCCAGAGAGTCAAGCCCCAAGTATCACGAGCACCATCCTCAGGCGATTCTACTCCCTCCTCACAGTCATCCACGACACCATCGACACGACTGTTTGACGGATATTGCTTTCACAAGCCTGAAGAGTCATCTGCAGCAAGATATGCCAGCATCAACGCCCGCTTCTCCCTCATCGCAGTGGCAACTGCTGCTGGCGAAGTCATCTGCTATGCTGCCAAAGACTATGTGGGCAACATTCCCCCATCGCACACGTTCAAGCCCTCAACATCCCCATCGTCTCGTGGGGCTATAACATGCTTAACATGGTCGCCTGATGGACACTGTTTATTTGCAGGCTACGAAAATGGTTGGTCGACATGGTCCGTCTTTGGTAAAGAGGGAGCCTCGACTTTTCACTCGAATTTGTCTCACGCCGAGTCGAACGATGAGGGTTCACTCCTTTCGATTCAGAGAGCAAATTGGATCAGTAGCGGAGCTGAGATCCTTCTCACATCGCCGAACGACGATCGGATTTGGAAACTTGAAATGTCTCGCAGTGCGGCTATGGGTTGCTTCTCGTGCGCCAATCTTGTCCGCGCACTTCTCCAAACGCCAAAGGAATTGACAGTCTATCGAGGTCATGAACTTCCAGACCTGACGTCTATCTCAAATGAAGCGTCCCTGTGGCATCATGCTCCATACCCTCCAGTATATCTACACAATCAGTGGCCCATCAAATCGTGTGTCATCTCGCAAGATGGCAAATATGTCGCTATTGCTGGCCGTCGGGGCCTTGCTCATTATAGCTTGCAGAGCGGGAGATGGAGGACGTTCTCGGACCTTACAGTCGAAAGCTCATTCGCAGTCCGCGGGGGCATGTGCTGGTTCAACCATATCCTTGCCGTGGCCACCGAACACTCAGCCGGTTACGATTTGCGTTTGTATTCCCGCGAACGTGACCTAGGAAGGATACCACTCCACACCGAAGCATTCTCAATGCCAATTGTGTTTGTCGGTCCTTCAGGCGAAGACTCGTTGCTTGTGTACACCTACGAAAACATCCTCTATCATTACGTTCTCAACATTACCGCCCGGGGTGCTCAAGTGGTTCAGGTCGGGCAGATAGCCTTCCACGGCATCGTCAGAGCACCAAGCCGAGTACGCTCTGTCAGCTGGGTCCTACCCGAAACCCAGTTGCGCAACGGCGACCCTTCACGCGACGTCGAGTTTGCCTCTGTCCTGTTCCTCGTCGATGATAAACTGGTTCTACTGCAGTCGTCACGAAATGAAAAGGACGAAATGAAATACGACATGCGTGTCGTTGCTCAGCATGTAGAGTACTACATTCTCATGCGCGATCAGATCTATTTCAACTTCACCGGCGCGGACGAATCTGCGCCTCCGACACCCTCGCCAGACCCATCATTGTTCCCCATGCAGAGTCAACATCATTACTCCCTACGAGACTCTCTTTGGATATTCAGTGGAGAGGAACTCAGGCTGTGGCCCAGCGTACGTGACCTCCTACATCATGCAGCGGAAGGTGACGTCGGCACGTCGGCCCTTTTGTCCATGTCTGTGGACTTCTATCCCCTGTCGATTCTGTTGAACAAGGGGGTTGTACTGGGCATTGAGTCTGAACTGCTGCAGCGGCGGGATGTAAACTTTGCGCAATTCAGGTCCGGAATACGCACGCAGCTTTTCCTACCGTACATCCTTCGCCATTATTTGTGCGAAGAACACGATACCGTCTCTGCGTTCGGCCTGGCGAATCAGTACCAGCACTTGTCATATTTTCCGCACGCCCTGGAAATATTGTTGTACCACGTGCTTGATGATGAGGTCGATAGGCTGAGGACGGCAAAATCGGACGGCGACGGCGACGACGACTCGCCAGGGCCTCTTCCCGCGGTTTTGTCGTTCTTGCAACTAGTTCTACCTCCCACTACCTATCTCTCCACCGTTGTTCAATGTATTCGCAAGACAGAGCTGAGTTCGTGGACGACGTTGTTCGCACACCTTCCGCCCCCGCTTGCCCTCTTTGAGCAAGCGCTCGAGCTTGAAGATTTGAAGACTGCGAGTGGATTCCTGATCGTCCTGCAGGGTTTGGAAGAGGACGACGAGGCCGACGGTTACGATGCTCAGAAGTTTGAGGACAATGTCATTCGACTTATGACGCTGGCGAGGCAAAAGTCGGACTTTGAATTGTGCTCTGACCTAGCCAGGTTCATGATTGGCGTCGATCCCCGTGGCGATGCTCTGCGGAGAGTCATTGCTGAGGTGGGATTCCCCAGTAGACAAAGCCATCTGAGCCCGCGCTTGACAATGCCGCAAGACACAAAGTCAAGCAGCAGCAGCCCACCAGGCAACGGGTCGACGAGGTATCCAGCAAGTGGGGGAGACTACTTTTCGCCGGCACCTGGAGGCTCTTAGATGTATATAAAGACCGAACGGGATTGGAAAAGTCATTTCATCTGGGAGGATCTGGATTCTGGGCTTAGAGTGTACATCTCGATCGTCCATAGTACCGTAGTCCACTCGGTCGTTTGTGAGATAATCCCTTTTCGATCGAGAAATTGGGAATTTGGATTAGACCCTGACTATATGTTTCTGCTTCAGATCTGGTTGAAATAAGCGTATCTATACAGACAAGTCAAGTCTTGTTTTCTGCTCTTTGCGAAAACCCGTGCAATGGTTTTTTTTAATACAAGTTGAACACGGCAGCCGAAACAGTGCCGCGTCTCGTTACAATCTCCTAACGTTCGGACTTCTTGTTCCTCCAAACTTCAGCCTCGTGCTATCCGTCACCTTTGCCACGAGCGGCTTGATCATTCTTCCCTCGGTACCCAGCAGTGCCTTCTGGAAGGCATCCCTTCCGGGTCCGAAGCCTCGCAGGATGATCTCAATCCCGGCTCCGCCGTACTGGGCACCCGGCCTCCTGATATCAGCTAGGGTCTGCATTGGGTTGTGCGTCATCTTCTTGCCGCCGACGCGCCATTGCTTCTCCACCATCTTGCGAAACGTGTACGCCGCCAACTGGAAGCAGGCGTCGTACGTGGCTCGCTGGGCGTGTCGCAGTCCGATGCTTCCGCAAGACAAACTTAGAATGGGATTGTGAGAGGGGTCGGTGAACGTGATGTGCATGTTGTGCTTGTGTGCGTAGACGTGGATATGGTACGGTTCGTCTACGTGGAGTCGGGCGCTCGGTCGAGTGGCCGCTTCGTCTCGAGCTGACCGGGCGAGGTTGCGGATTATGGTATCGGAGCTGGGACTCTGGGATTGATCAACGCTGCGAAGGGCGTCGCTGAACAGCTTGTCCGCGCTCTCGGGCTCGGCTTCGGTGCGGTCCACGACAAAGCCCCTGCGTGGTGAAAGGGGACTGCCTGGCCCTGCTCCTCCTCCTGTAACTCCTCCTTCAGCATGTCTCTGGACAGTCGTTGCAAAACTCCGTCGTAAAGGAGCGGCTGAAAGGTATGACAGGCGACATGTCCGGCACATCGACGAGAGGAGAGATTGAGCCATGATGCTGGGCTCGTGTCCGTGTCTGACCAGAATCGGTTTTGGAATTCCAGGAATGCTCAAATTGATGTCGCATGTACCTGAAGTATCGTACCGAAAAGAAAGATTGGGCGAGCCGTGAGCAGGAAAGTTTGCCGAGGGTCGATCTCATTTAGTTTTCTCTGGTCCATCATCTTCTCGCCGCAGCTCGGACGGAGAGTCTTTTTTCTTTTCTCACCTCGGCCAACTTGATTGTTTATCGTGCCGTGAGTATTCATATTTCAGAGGCATGATCGCAGTGCGCCGTGCACCAGTCAATGGTGTCCGTCATTATGTGACAGCGACATCATCCATCGCCTCGTTGCGAGCAGCCCAATTTGGCAGAACAGCAGCCTATAGAAGACTAACGGCCGCAACCACCGAAAGATCCCCGTCTTCACTCAGTTCCTCTATACCTCGCGCCTCTTTTTCTCCTCGACTTGCAGTCCCTTCCCAAACCCTCTTACGATCTCTACATACTTCACGAGCCCTATACCAACAGACACAACCAAAAGAAGAAGTAAAGGAAGACGTCCGGGATCCTCCGCGGGACGAAAAGCCCCAGGAAGAGGCAAAAGCCGGCGGCGAAGAACAGAAAGAGGGAGAAGAGAAACAAAGCAAAGACCAAAAATCAGAAAAGGACGACAAAAATCCACCTCCGCCGCCACCCCACGGGGACAAGACGCCATGGCAAGTCTTTACTGAAACTCTCCGATCCGAGTTCAAAGCCTCGAAAGAATGGAACGAGTCGACCAAGCAATTATCAGGTTCAGTCCAACAGTTCACCGAATCCGATGCAGTGCGAAGGGCAAGAGAAGCATCAGAGGCTGCTTCCAAGGGTACTTCGCAGGTCCTCAAAGGTGCAGGTCGCGCCATTGGACAGGGTGCGGCATGGACCTGGGATACCAAGGTCGTCCAAGGTGTTCGATCCGGTGTCAACGCGACTGGCCGTGGTATTGAGAAAGCCACTCGTCCCATCCGGGAAACCAAGGCGTTCAAAGATATCTCCGAAGCTATCGACGATGGTAGCAGTTCGAGATATGGAGGCTGGGTTGAGAAGGAAGAACGACGGAAGAAGCGAGAGGCTCTACTCCTGAAAGAAGCGCAATCTGGCAAAAGACCTGTTGAAGAAATGGTCGAGGATCCAAAGTAAGTCAGAGCGAAGAAACCCGGTCCTTGTGAGTATTACTGACTTCTTTTTCCTTTCACTTAGTGCTGGAACCAACATTACTGTCCACAAAGATTCGGCCTGGAAGGAGTCATGGAACAGCTTCAAGGAGAATTCCAAGGTCATGCAGAGCTTGTTCAGTATGAAACAAACATACGAAGAGTCGGAGAATCCTTTCATCTCGACAGCGCGGTCAATATCAGATCGAGTTGCAGGGTTTTTCGCCGAGAATGAGACTGCGATGGTGATCAAGAAATTCCGGGAAATCGACCCCAACTTCCAACTCGAGCCGTTTTTGCGAGACCTGCGCGAATTTATGCTCCCCGAAGTCCTCGATGCGTATGTCAAGGGGGATGTTGAGACACTCAAGCTGTGGCTGTCGGCCGCGCAATTCCAGGTGTACTCGGCTCTCATGGAACAGTACACCAAGGCAGGACTGAAGTCGGACGGAAGGATACTCGACATCAGAAACGTCGACATCCTGAATGCCAGGCTGCTCGAGCCCGGCGACATTCCAGTCTTTATCATCACCTGCCGGACACAAGAGGTTCACGTTTACCGGAACAAAAAGACGAATGAGCTTGCTGCCGGTATGGAGGATAAAGTCCAATTGGTCACGTATGCCATCGGAATGACCAGATTACCAGAGGAGGTCAACAACCCCGAGACCCGAGGATGGAGAATGATTGAACTGCAAAAGGCTGCGCGAGATTACTATTGATACCGGAATCTGCCCAGAGACACAAACAACTTGTACCAGCATTTGTCATTTTCAGCGAGCATCACGGAAAAGAGAGACATTCGCTTCTCTGTGTTTTTTGAATCCTTGCAAGCACCATCCCATCTCGACCTCTCTGTTGTTGTATATTTTTATTTGACAGAAAAGAAAAGGAGGTCTACGGGCCTTCACGAGCATTCGGCTTGAGCTTTGAAGGGCTTGGGCCTCGGGTGAAAGTTATGTACTTTTACAGCAAGTGATTATCTGCTGGTTCTATATGTGGGCTTGGGCTCCACATGGGAAGAATAGGTGCAGGAAAAGGGCTGCTAACTTGTCCAGCCTCATTTTGTGTGACAAAAGAACAGAAAAATGTAATTTCGAATTCTACTCTTGAATGAATGAATAGCTCTTTTGCAGGAAAGAATTATGGTTCTTTCGAAAACCTATGCATCATTCTCGTATCTCATATCTTGTCGTGACGTGTGTGTTTTTCTTCATCTCGTATCGAGCAGCTTCTCTTATTGTGTGTACTTCGTGTTATGTTACCTACCTGCAGGGCGAAGAGTGGTTTTTTGTATATGGTCAATGCCAACTCAAGTATGAGCACCTACGGACAAAGTGTACGTACATCTTTTGTATGGTCAGTGTTGTGAGACCGAAGTGAGATGCGGTGAAGTGACATGTCAGTGACGCACGTAAAAATCCATCCATCCATCCAATCCATCGACCCCCTGTGGTCACGCTAGTGGAGTGACACCTACAACAGAAAACACACTTCCTCTCTCTCTCCGTGTGTGTGTGTGTGTGTGTGTGTGTGTCTCCGATTCCTTTTTCCTTTTGTACGCCAACTTTGTCTACGTCATACCCTCCCAGCCACAGTGATGGATCGTCCAACGCTCACCAACCAAACACAAGTACAATGATGAACCCAGGTAAGGTTCCTTGGAATAAAAAAGAGGGCAAAGACGTCAACGACCATCCAGGCATCAGGATTTCTCTCTTATCGTACAAGTCATAAATCCGAGACCGCCTCTACTCGTACTATTGCTACTTATTTACTCCTCCAAGTACATCCATCCCGTAGACAGTTTTTCCTGTCCTTGAATTCTTGATACCGACCTAAGTACCAACAAGTATACTACCATCTGCATCTAGAATACACTACCTACCTGCCTACCTATCTCCATCTCAATCACCATCACCGTCACCGATGCCTCTCGTCGTCCCCGGCATCAACAACACCAAGGACTCGTCCTCGTCGACAGACTCGTGGATGACCAAACTCATGGGGAAAAAGTTGTCCGAGACGGGCGGCGACGAATCCAGTTTCGCCAAAAAGGACCTTCCTCAGAATCACCGCATCGTTGATCACGACGGTGGAATGATGACCATGGATCACAACCCTGACAGGTATGGAACCACAGTAAACCCATCTTCCCCCCCCCCCCCCCCTTCTTCATCTCCTTCTGTCTGCTTTACCCACCTACCTACCTACGTACTCACCAACCTACCTCCTCCTCATCGTTACATACCTTTGCGAGTAACCATGGCTCAAACTGACCCACTTGCCTCCTTTTACGGAGAAATAGACTGAACATTCACGTCGACAAGGACGGCACGGTGAGGAAAGTGACTCACGGATAGCTATCATAGATAGACATCCATTCATCCATCCATCCATCTACTGTATCATCACTGTTCTCTTCCATGTGTGTGATATGTGATATGCTGCCAAAAGATTAGACTCTTCAAAGCCTCCAACTACGAGTGAGTGCACTGTAACACCAAAAGAGACATATGAAATATATTAACAGTCCTCGACTTCGCTCTTAACTTTGCACGTTAACAAAAGCACGTTAACAAAGCAATATTTGGTAGTATAGTAGTCTTCCACAACCCCTCCGAAGCAGGGACCTTATAATTCTTCAGTCTTCGCTCGCGATGGGGATATTCAAGTCCACCCCATGGTCAATCAACTAAGTAATTCCTCATGCCTCCTTCAATGCTCTAAGCGCTCTCTGCATTCCATTCAATCTCTCTCTCTCCCTCACCACCATCGCAGAAGCCAACCTCTTGACTTCTTCTTTCCCCCAACTCTCTCTCCATGTAGTCCACCCTGCGAGTTCACTAACCACAACTTCCTGCGTATATCTCAATTCCCTGCCCAGCAGGTCAACCTCGATTTCGTTCTTTGCAAGCTTCTTTTCTACATCCTGCTTAGCTTTGGCCTTGCTTTCCTCGCTCCCTGGGAAATTGATGCCACCCAGTACGCCCTTCCGAGCTACCTGGCCATTAGCCAGGTTCAACCTTCCCTTGTTGATGCTCTTTTGTAACGTGACGATCCGTTCAATGAGTTGGCCGGGTCGGAGCAAAGCGCTCTGCACCGCGGTAATCGTGCTGTGGAAACTGCTCATGCTCAAAATGTAGCTTGCGAGTGGGTTTGATGCGTTTTCCGTATGCATCAGGCCCGCCATCCGGATGAATGTGTCAACATGTACCCTAGGTAACGTCGTCGCCGGAGTCCCCATCGTCGCAAACGCCACAGCACACAAACTGAGGCTCTCGGCAAGATCTGCCTGCGCCTGGACATATAAGTGTCCTCGCCTGACGATGGCACGGGTACTGTTATTCACGCGCCGCACCATCTCACGAGAATGCGAGACAACATTGTCTACTGCGACAACGTCACCCCAGTCAGTGAGTGGCTCATAGTCATCGCTGATCTTTTCTTGCACGAGCTCAGCCTTTAAGCGTGCACGCTGAGCCATCTGGTCTGGAAGCATGTCCGGTACGAGGAAGAACTCCCAAAGCATTTCGTTCGTTGAGAAGGTGGGGTGGTTCATGAGAATCTTGAGGAATCGGTCGAGATGAGTCTGCGAGTCATACAGGACGGCACGTGAGGGGCGTGAGTGAAGTTGAAATGGAGTGCGGAAGTTCGAAGCGAGCATCGTCGGCATGTACGAGGCCGGATGGTCCATCGAAAGCCATTTGGCGAGGTTCTCAAAGTCCTGGAGAGCTCGCCGACTCGTCGTAATGGTGTAGGTAGTGCTTGACACGGCGGGGTTCGGTGCCCCCGACTTGAGAATGTAACGTGTTGAGCCGTCCTCGACAAAGAAAGACCGGACTATGGATGTTATACGTCCGGTCATGTCTGCCACATTGGAAGGGGAAAAGAGTGTGAGATCGTCGATGCGGTTTCGCACCTCATCATCCTTGGCCAACTCAACCGCCGTCAGACCCCTTGCTTCACGGAGATGTGTGTCTATTCGTGAATCACCCAGGAATATGCGCACCATGTCGACTCGGCCGTACTTGCTTGCGAGCATCAAAGGAGTAAACTTCTTGTCGTTCATGGCGTTCACGTCGACCTCGCAGTACTCAAGCAACCGCTGCATTATGGTCGCATCATTAACGATATGAAGCAAGGAATTGCCCTTGTTATCAGTATGGTCTTCTAGTCGTAGGGGACCGTCGCCACCTTGGGCGTGCTTCGCCGCTATCAGAGCCTCAGAAACCATATTGCTATATTCAGTATGGTCATAAGTTCGACAAATGGCAAAGAGAGGTGTATGGCCGATTTTATCTTTTTGCCGCCAGGGTAGCACATTAGCAAGTCTTTTGATCAAGCCAGGCGTGTTGAAGATGTAGTGGGCCACACTACGCCCTCGAGAATCTTTGACAGCGAGGTACTCCCTGAATCGGGTCTCGTTTGTGTTTTGTTCGGCAAAGTCTAGGATAATATCAACTAGTTCGGTGTTTGCGAGTTGAACAGCTGAGCTCAGTAGGGTTGCTCCATCTTGAGTGGTGTCGTCAAGAATGTCCTCCGTCCCATAATGTTCATGGAGACTCAACAGATACGATAATGATTTCGGTTGTTGACTTTCTACCGCCATCATAAGCACAGAATTTCCGACCCCGTCCTGCGTCTGGGCCAGGCTTTGGACAGATGTGTCGCCTTCAATACCACTGAGACTGGTTTCGATCGTGGCAGCTCTGGACGCGAATGAGAAGGTTGACGATATTGACATACTCCTCGCCGCCATTTTAACCTTTTTCTTCTCCTTCGGTATCGACAGGCTCCTCTCAGCTGCTTGAAAGGGAAAGACATGTGCCAGGCCACCTTCGCTGGAGTTAGTCCTTGAAAGGGAATCCCGCGGGGTCGAAACTGCGGACAGCGTCGTCTTTCGCGAAAGTGAGAGCTCTATGGGTTCGTCTATGAAGTCATCGGTGAGAATGGCTGATTCTTCAAAGACGGACTTCACGTCTTCAACCCTGCCCTCCTTGACCGCGTTCCACAGCAGTTGGTTTTGTTTCGATGCTTTGCGTAAGCCACCTGCATCTCGTGCGAGATAGGTCAAGACGGCTTCCAACGTACTCAACGAATATCCAATCTCGCCACTTTCGACATCATCAATGTAGATGAATCGCTGCATGTATGCTAGTCTGGCTTGAAGGTGTCTCACGGAAGACCTGATGACGACAAGGAGTAGGAGGGACACCAGGATATCAGCATTGATTGTCATTGCTGCGGCTCGCTTTTCTTCATCCGTGATCCCTTGTTCAGAGACCACCCTCTGAGTTTCAAGAAGAGTATCGAGCATTTCCTGAGGACTGCTGGCAACTCCCATCTTGCGAAAGACAGTAACTCCGCGATTTATTCGGCCTATCAAATCCCTCTTGCCTTTTCGCCCCTCTTCGATAGATATTCCAACTTGAGAGACGTCCAGGCAATCCATCTGGCGCATTCGACGGTCGAGTTCTTGATCTTGAGCTTTGTAAAAGGCGCACAACCGGGGAAACAACAGCTGATCGTGAACATACTCTGCAACGTATCGCTCAATTAATCGCTCAACATCGGGACCAGTCAAGTCTGTGGTGGCACCGAGATACGACAACTGCTGTTTGTCGACGTCCTGGAACAAATCAATTGCGGCGGTTACGGCCGTCTCGAGGGCTCGACGCATCAAATCTTCCTCGTCCTCAAAGTACGCGGCAGAATTGAAGGGCAGTTTCAGCGACCCGTTGGACTTGATCGAGCCGTTTTCCGAGGTTTGAGTCACGCCATCTAGAGAACCCAAAGTCGGGCTGCGTGAAGGGGGTGGGGGCAACGGCCTGCCCAGCTCTTTTCCAAACTCATTAAACAGTCTCTCTAAGCCGGGTTGCATTTGTCGCGCGATCATGGGAAAGCTGTTGAGCAGCTCGTTGAAGGTCTTGATGTCCTTCTTCTTAGGCGTTGGCTCGGCTGAGGATGATGTGGCGGATGGGGGAGGAAGGAGTTTGCTCTGGCCGATAACAGCTGGTTTGATGGGTAATGCCTCGAAGATCCCGGTCAGAGGTTTGCTTATATAATAAACAAGCCATTGCTGCATTTCAGTCCCCGAAGAAAAGTACAGGAGATCCGTCAAGAGCGTAGCCTGGGTCAACTGCTTGAACCCCTTATTCGTATAAACAATGTTCTCCTTCAATATCACAGATCTCCCATTTACCGTAGCGTAGGTCTTCGCTTTCCCACGGATATCACGGACATTGCCCTCTTTCCCTGCTGTCGGGGGAGTGATGCGCAGGATGTGACTCCCCAGAAAGTCCTCATCGTCGGCCTGGTCCGCATAGCGCTTGTTTGTCTCACGATCCCGACCGTATAGGAGCGACTCGGTGGTGGGAACGAGGAGGACATAGTTCTGGGAAGCTAGAGCATGCCCTAGCACACTACTCTGAAAGAGCGCGCGCAGAAAAGGGTTCAGGACGGGCATCCAGGCACGATGCGCCTTGGTGTTGGGATGTAGGTCATCGAGGCGTCATCAGGGGGACGTGCGACGTTGACGAAACTCGTCGAGAACAGGCCGCGAAGACGCAATAGGAGCTTATACTATATGGGAGGCGATGCAGTTTCGTTGAGCTGAGGTTCGGCGGGAGTAAGACGGTACGAATGATCATTGATGAGTAGTGGAAGGAATGCCACATGTCCGAGATATATGAAAGTCAAATCAGGTCAGGCTCCTCCAATTTCTTCCCCAGTATTTCGCTTACAAGAAACAGAGGCCTTGGCATCAGAATCGCTCTGGGTGCGCCCACGCCGCTTTTAGGCCTGACGCTCGCGACTCACCCTCTGCTCCTTTCTTCTCACTCTTCTACTCACGCTGCGGCGCCGAGCTTATATTGTGCCTTGCAAAAATCCGTAAATCGCATTTGCGAAGTATAGGTGTGTCACGGTCTCATGCTCCGTTGTACACACCTATAGATCATATACCCCAAAGCGCGATAATCCAGTCTTGTTGCCTATAATCACTGCCCACAAGGCTCAAGGAAGAAGTATTCACTGGAAAACACAAAAAGGGAGGATTGAGTGATTATAGAAGTTCTATTTATGTAATAGTTTATGAGTAACCCTCTTAAATAATTTCTTATAATAAAATTTATATTACAATGCCTCTAGCGTACAGAAAAATGACGAAAGCCAGTGCCATTCGCTATGTTGTGTCATTCGCTATGTTGTGTCATTCGCTATGTTGTGTCATTCGCTATGCACTTACGTTATGTATTTAGAAAGATTAACACTTCCAGTCTTCCACAGCTTTCTGTTGATATACTATTCTCGCATTTTGATTTATGAGCCACCTAAGGGTATGTGCACAGGCCACAGTAGTTTGTGATCTGCCGTAAAATTGTACTGGACAGTGTAGTAAAGGTATTACAGTACTCTAGCTGTGTATACGCGAACTTGACGCGTGCACGGATCAGGCTCTCTAGACTATAACATAATCCAGTCGATCCTCGTTACAGTAGAGACTACTTTACGACGCGGCAAGGAGAGGAGACCCAACAGGACCTGCGCATGTGCGTGATGAGGAGCATTGCGTATCGCATGTCGGTGTCTTGTGTCTACAGGTGCTTTGACATGTCCATGATCATATGTCTTGTAGATGAAGCAAAGCTGTTCTGGCTTGCAAGTCAAGTGGCGAACCAGCAAACTCGCGATCGATGTTTGTTTGAGTCCCAGCTCTCGACAATCAAATGTGGTGGTCGCAAGCACAAATCTCGATCACAGTATTTACGGATTCCTTTCAGAAATGAGGAGAGTATTCGGGCTGCCAGCGCATCATGTCCACTTCTCAGCATCTGCCACTGCTTTAAGTCTAGATCCAAGCCACCGTACATTCCAACAGCTGAAGAGGTCCCTAACGGCTTTCCCGCGCCATTCCTCTAATGCATTTTCGAAAGAGTGCTAGCTTAAGACCGAGGCAATGACCCACTTCTCCACCTGAACACTACAGTACTTATTTTACAACATCAAACTGACTGTAAGCTCGGCCAGACCGCAAGAAAGAGCTTAAGCAGCCACCCGAAATGATTCCACAATGTCACCCACCCGCCAAAGCCAATGTTACAACCCGCTGTCAGTACCTCCAGAGCTCGCGTAATCTAATACCCCCTTACGATGGATGCTTTGGGCTTCGGCAACAAGCGATAGGAGAAACTTTGGAGACATGGAAAGCTGAGGCGTTGGGGAATGCTCTTTCGCACCTGTCGATTGCTCTTTCTGTGGCCGGTATGCTAGAAACGCAAGGTATAAGAATGCGTCCGTCCCCTCTCATAAGGGCAAATGAACAGCGCGGTAACAGCAAGATTCATAAAATCTGGAGTTCTTACTGGATGAAGGGTTCTTGTCTCCATCCCAACTGACATTACTGAGTGGCATCTGACCTTCTCGATCTTTGAGAAATCCCTCCGAAGCTGATATAACAATCAGCATCAAAGATCCCGAATCTGAGACCCGCGATAGCGCACGCAGACGCAGGAGTGCATACCACGATGCCAGCCATTCGAGCTTGGTCCTATATTGAGAAAGGGTTCCAGTACAGCGTGCTGTTTTACACCTCGAGTATTTCCGTCGACAACTCTGCAGAAGAAAATTTCATACTAAGAGAGCTCAAAGTCGATGAAGATGGGTCCAGAAGAGCCGAACGGTTCAGATGGTCAGTTCAGCGTGATGGGGTCGTGGTCGCCTCTCGTTTCGTGGATATTGACCGACTTTCCGGTCGAGTCTGTGGAGGTGATATGGCCTTCACTAGTGAGACAACGTCGATTATCGACGAGAACTTGGATATCTTTATTTCATTCGGATTCTACGAGGCCCCCAGCGTCAAATGGTATGGTCTGCCTGCAGAATGTCTCTGCTATGTCACAGTTTCTCGACTTGGAACTCGATGGATGGGCCGGGCGGCACCAGTCGGTGAACCACAGGCGCAGAAGAGCTTCTCTCGCTTTGTACTGCCAGCTCCGCACGACTGTGGCATGAATACGATGCGCAACTGCGAAGCCCTGATCAAGCAGATGAGCCCAACAGCGGTTGTCGATATCCTCGAGACGGCTGGTTGGACGACTTGGATAACGCTGCTACAAGGGCTTGGAGAGCTCTTCAAGGCTACCATCGCCTACGATGCCGTATACAACGTATCGGTCACACAAAAGGATACATTCATGGACATGCTGGAAGCTGGAGCACGATATTTCGAGTTCAGGCCGGCCAAGAACTCGACACTTTTTCGGACCTTAAGCACTGGGTCGCAGTACGTCGGCCTTCCTGATCGATGGTACTTCCAGCACGCTCTTTTTCCCGGCGACCACCTTGAAAACTTCCTCGACCAAGTGATCGCATTCCTAGACGACAACCAAACCGAAATTGTTGTACTCCATCTCAGGTGGGACAATGTGCACTCTACCTGCCTTAAGCCTTCGGGAAAAGAGATAGAAGGGCTTATTGACGCAGCGCTCAAGCGGTCGAGAACAGGTATTAAGAGGGGTTGTCTTGCTGATAGTGCACGGCCAATTGATGATCTACGCAGCAGGAATATGCGGCATCTCGTTGCAATAGAAGCGGCGAAGTACGACAGCTATACTTCACAAGCATATCAAACCTTGACGAGTGATACGATCGTGAACGCTTTCGAGTCTATGAGTCATACTGAACAGCTCGACACAGACTTGACCGTGATGCAGTGCCAAGGTACTCCCCAGGGCAAGGCAGAGGTTCTTCTGTCGACTATAGGAAGCTCACCTTCCAACTCACCACTCCTGGCTACCAAAGCAATGTTTGACCCTGTTACGCTTGGCTGGTTGAGTCAGAAATCAAACATCGAACGGTTTGACCCAGACAAGCTAATGATAGTCATGAATGATTTCATTGAGGTGCGACCCTTTCCCACAGTCGTGCAGCACAATGAACTGACCAAACTGAAGGGAGCCACGGTCTCGACAGCCATTGATATGAGCTTGGTGCGCTTTGGCATGGAACCATTTCCTTGATATGGAGAAAGTGGAAATGAGAAGTGGTAGTTCATCTCAAGGTGTTTGGCGGTGATGCGGTGCACAACACGCTATAGCGTATCTTTACGTTAGAGAGGACATCATGGCTTGGCAGATAGGAGGTTTGAGACGTAAGCTTGCGACTAGCGACCTCTCGCTGCTTCGAGAGTGGTGGAGTCTCATGCAAAGCAGTGGTCTGATGTTGTGTGTCCTGCAGCATGGTAGAGGTAATCATGTTGCCATCAAAGCACCGGTGAATATTCTGTACGCGACATAATAATCTAAGGAGCGGTCAGCTAGGTGCTCGTAAATCTACCTGTCAGATTAGTGTCCGCCTTTTTCAAGCAGCACATGTGGTATCAGCGCTGATACTGCCTTAGTGCTTCAACAGGCACAAGCGGGGCGCGGCCTATCGAAGTAGGTAGCCGACAGGACAGGACCCGGAAAGGGAAGGAGACCACTCCAGCGGCTCATGTCTTCTGAGGTCGCTACGCCGAAAGCGTGCCATCTCAATCCCAGAGCAGATGTAGAACGCGGACAGCGTATTCTTTCTACTACTTGCTACTATTTTCGGAAGTTCTGAGGTTCAGAACGAGGTTCTGGACGGATCGGTATGGAGCTCCTCGGTAAACTTTGACACCTTGTGATATAAAGTTGAAGAACCTCCCTCCCTCGGCCCCCACGTCCCCACACAAGCTACAGATAAAGGCACAGAATCGAGTTGCCCAGTGCCATTATTCGTCGCTTACTCATTCTACCAATAAAAATAAATCAACGAAGAGGGGACGGCGGAACCATTTCTGCACCTGTCAGCTCAGCTCAGAATCGACTTCTCTCCTTTTCAGCTGAATCTAGGCCGGCCTTTGACGCCGCATAATTTCAAAGATACTAATATCACTTTGTACAGTGCTCATCGCTTCCTCATTCTATCAATAAAAATCAACGGAGTGGGGACAGCGGAATGATTTCTGCACCTGTTAGCTCAGCTCAGAATTGACTTCTCTCCTTTTCAGCTGAGTCTAGGCCGGCCTTTGACGCCGTATAGTCATGAAAGATGTCAATACCAGTCCGCACAGCGTTCGGTGGTTAACGCACAACATTTACATACTGAACAAGGCAGTTACTGTAACCACTTTCTCCTCCTGGAGAGGCATTTACAAGACAAGGTATGTCAGGCGGTCGAGGGGAACGAAATGGGTGGCTCTAGGCCGACTCTGTGATGGTGCAGAAATATGCAACTTTCTACAGATGCGACCTAATGTTATTTACATGAAACATTTGGTATCGTACATGACCGCGCGTGCCAATAAGAGCCCCATTAAAGACATGTAGTTTCGGCACCTCTTCACGGCTGTTGTGCTCACGCATCACGAGGTGCAGGAATGGAAGCTATCTTCTGCATGCGCCACTGTCACAAACAGGACCTTTTGCATGGCTGAAGTACTGTCTGGCCGTTGCAAGCATACAACCACTCAGCTTGGTGCCCTGTACGCCGCAGAAAACTGATTTGGCCAGAGCGGCCTCTTAGCAAACCAGTGAACACCATCGCCCTTTGTGGTATACTACAAATTAGAGCTGAATTGCTATTGTCATTCACTTTTCTTGTGGGCAAACAGGTCGCCTCGCGAACAAATCGAGTTGAGGCCATGTCTACTGTTTTACCTTTTCAAGATGGGATGCAGCTAGGGATGGGTTTTCGATCTCTAGACCATTCACTCGGTCTATGGGAGGCTGTTACCGTTGAAACAAGTGACCGTGAGACAGATCCCAATCAGCGTATTGAATACTCAGCGAAATGCACAACCAACCAGGCTGAGTTGGCAAGTGCACTGGACGTTTCTGCTTCACTCGCCATCAGTAAGGGAGCTTTCAATCTGAAGGGGGCTGGTGCTTTCATGAAGAAGTCAACCGTACAACCCCAGCATTCTGTTTGGGAAGCACAGACTTACGCATAATCTAGGTCTCGTCGGCATCGTTGAACTTCATCGTTAAAGTCTTTGTCAAGAACAGCTACAAGGGTTCGGGAAAGGCGCCGACGTTCAACTGGCGCAAGCTCAAAACGCCCGAGCAAAAAACGGACGAGGAAACAGCCTATGGCGAATTTTACAAAATATATGGAGATCGATTCATCGCCGACATCCTACAAGGGGGACAGTTCGTCGGCGTCGTAAGCTTCAAAACGCGCAGCTCTCAGGAGACAATGGAGATCAAAGCCAAACTCGAGGGCGGTATGGATGGTATCCAGGTGAAGGGAGCTGGCTCATATACAAGCAGCGACCTGGCGAAGGTGTCAGTTTCAGATGTAAACGTTATCTCCACGGGAGCGGTGGGTGTCAATAAAGGTGAGCTACACAAGCATAGACATTGCTGGCAGCTAGCGAGATGGGAACTGATAGAATTAACACAGAAGCCAAGCAGTGGGATATGGCCCTCATGCTCCAAGAAGCTTCTAAATTCCCAGGAAACGTCGCTAAAAGCAGAGCCTCAGTAGCTGTGGTCATCCAGGAGTACACGAGCTTACCTTCTTTTATTGGCTCCAAGGAATTCGACTACAAGACATGGGTACTTCCCCAAAATACCGCAGAGACGCAGATGCAAGCTCTGCTTGATGATTTCTCGGAATATGAGAAACTCAACGAAGTGCTCGTGAAGGCGATTGATGACGTGAATGCTGGTCAAGCTTCTCTAACTCCGACAAAAGCCAACGGCGCTTATGAGGCTACCCTGACAGGTTTGCAGACCGCTGCTGACGCCGTTCCGAAAGCACAAACTATCATTCAGGAGAATTCTAGTATTTTACGAAAAAAACCAGGCGCTACCAAGAAAGACGGAGTCACGGAATACGAGTCACCTTTGACCTTCAGATCCAGAGTGCCCGTCATCACCCCTCTGAATGCTAGACCTAACAAGCCTGACTTCGGAAGTGGTATAGCAATGTGTGCGTTCACGGATAGCAATTCCAAACTTCGGGCATATATTTTCTGGCAAGATGCGACTCACGCAGTCTGGTCTAGCGCCTTTGTGGATACGGCATGGACTGTCGCAGACAAGCCCGTGATAGTTTCGGCAAGAGCTAATACACCGCTCGCAGCTTGTTGCAGTACCGATGGCAAAGAAGTATGCGACTAAGCCCAGTCCAATCGTCTGCCTGCTGACCACATCAGGTATCATTGTTCTATTTCACTCCTCAGGGTGACCTGAGTCAGAGAAGGTACAGCGGTGACGAGTGGTACGAAGGAGAAATCCTCGACCAGATGAAAGCTACGACACCCGACAATAAACCGCATATTTGGAGCAAAGTTGAGGCATTCTCAGGGGTGAACAACAAAGTCCCAAACAGTATCTGGGTCTTCTATCAGAACTCTGCAATGAACTTGGTCAATGCTTGGTTTTCAGCTGGGGCCAAAACTTGGAATTTCGACACTGTCAAAGGTTGTACCATGAGCCCAGGAACTTCCTTAGCCGCAGCATCCTTCACAACCAAGAACGAAAATGATACAGAGACGTTCTTCGTGTCATGGCACGGGGGTGATAATATTATTTATGGACTCGACTATACAGGTGGTGGCCAGTGTTGGGGCAGTATGTCCCATCACATACATGGATTATGAGATTGCTGACCTTCAATTAGCACCGTATCGGATACTGGATCGCCCAGTGCCACTCGACGCCAGTCTATCAGCTTTCAACGCCGGAGACAGGCATGTGTACGTGATTGTCAGCAGCGTGGACAATAGTCTTCTGACGCTTTCGCGTAACGGGGCCAATCCTAGCTTCTCCAACGAATCAGTAGTCACTCACGGCATCAAGGGCGGTGATGTTGCTGCTGTTAGTTGGCAGAGCGGAAGTGCCAGAGTCGTGACACAGGTTCGTGACAGCAGGGACCTGAATGAGTTTGTTCTCAGCGACAATAAATGGACACCTGCTGGAATCGCAAACAAGTCATAAGATGTCCTAGAACGATAGCCATCCCTAAAAGTCCAATGCATGTTGTGAATTAACAGCTCGTGCAAGAAGTAGTCTGTACCATCTACGGATTGTCGTTCAGATCGAATCTACGCCACCTACGTAGGCTCTAATTCTTTCCTAATGTGATTATGTCTGCGAAGCGAGGCCCCATTTGACTCTAGCCTGTCGAAGTCAGCTCTCTCCTCGCTCGAGAATTCTGTCCAAAGTTCTCATATAGGCAGCTCAGAAGTGAGCAAGTCCTTTCGCATCTGAAAGGCTTCCTGAGTTGTACCAGAGTCAGAATCAAAACGCAAACCTCTCACATGAACCAGTGCGAAACAGTCCCCTGGGGTGGTTTTCCACTTTGCCATGGAGAAGACTTTGACAAATTCCCTGTCGCACCACTGTTTATGCCGTTTCATAGCACGGTACCGGATGATGCACAGGTACACGCAGACCTCGACGGACTCGCAACCGTGACAGATTGGCGCCACGCTCTGAAAACTCGACGGCACGGATGTCAATGTCCATTCTGGGGCCCTTCCGCATTCGCGACCGACAATCTGCATCCTGATACCCACGTTGTGCTGGAGCCACTTCAAAGAACGACATATGCACGTAGCATCTCGCCAGTTCTCAGCTCAAATTCGTCCCATTTCTCCGCTCAATTAGGCGGGGGAGTTGGAAACGAATACCTCAGTGTTACGGTTTCGGGAAAATATGATCGCGTGGTCGCAGATACTCAGAAGGTATGTACAACCTGATGGTGCTTGAATAGTCACACTAACTTGGTAGACATGTCGAGACTCTACAACAGTTCATACCATCACAGGTCAGCTTGGGATTAGCAGGCTTCCTGTGTTGACAAAGGAGGCGATCACTTTGTTACAGGAGGAGGGTCCCGATATGTTCGAAATCATTTACGGGTCGCATTTTGTTTGGAAAATCATCGCCGGGGCTGAAGCTGGCTTCTGTCTGGCAATGACAAGCATGAGCCACACCGAGCGCGAATCTCTGTCGATCGTGGCTGAGATTGATTTGTTCTTCTTCTCTACCAGCGCCGAGGCAGAGATTTTAAGCAAGTATGAATCAAGTTTCACGGAGGACTTGAAATGTACTTTCTACGACACTCTTGAACACGACTTCAGCACCAAAACAGGACTGGAGCTGAAAAAGGGTCTTGGAGACTACGCGCGAATGATCCGAGACAAGGTGGGCCGTATTGAAAAGAGAGTGGCAGAACGCATCCACCCAATCATCTCTTCCCCGGCAGTCTCTCTGAGATCAAAGGAGATGTCAGATTGCATGATTGCGGTCTTGGTAGCTCCCTGGAGTATTCTGTTGGAATGGCACGAAAGCGCGAACAAGTGGAAAGCAAAGACGCAGTATCGAGAATGTTGAGGAGTAGAGTACGCAATGTTGGATTATTAGTCATTGTCCTCTGTCTCGAAATAATGGGTGGCTGGCACTCGACAATGCTTGATATCCTGTCATCAATGGCCGCCTTTCCCGAAGTCATGTTGTTTCTAGGGGTTGCAGAGAAAGCACAGTGAGCCGCAAGGCTGATCTAAAAGCAGCACCTTCAACAGCTCTCTCCGAGAGCGACTGGGCAAGACCTTGATACAGGCAGCCATATTTCGGGTCTTTGGCTCTGTTTCCTTGTGATTGTCAAAAGAGAACTTGTCATTCTACTAGGGGCCCGGGGGGGGTGTCTGATTGTACGGATACACGCGAGTCATTTTGTGCGCTAACAATGTTTTTCCGAGTCAGTTAAATATTTACTTTTTTCAGACTCTAAAATGTTGCCGGCATATTTCTCTCTTCACGAGATTCGACAATGGCTCCAGGCGGACACCGTCGAACGACTTTAAGTCAAGGTCTAGACCGAGAGGTACATCTGCGATACCCCGTTTCACCTGCTTCATGCACTAATTCTTCTCCTCAGGTCTACCAAGTTGTGCGCAAAATCCTTGACGAGCGCAGCCAGTACGGTGATTCCGACACTCGCCTATCCTTCTCGACCATCTACGACGATATAAAGCGGTCGAACTCGAGTCTCAACCGGAAGCCAAAAAAGCTGCTAGAAGACAGCATTGAAAGAGTTCTTGAGACTATACAACAAGATGCAAAGGACGACTCAGACGAGTTCATGCCAGTTGAGACGCCTGCCGAAGCACAGCGCCTCAAAGTCTCCAGTGGACTTAACCGGTCAATCGTAGGCGCATGGTCAAAGTCCACCGAAGGACTTATGTCGCCCAAGCGTGCGACTGACTCCGAAGGTGCTGCTCCCATGGAGACAACATCTTCCAAGCGTTTGACAAACGGTGAGCCGCCCGCCAAACGTCGCAAAGCTCGCGACGGCCCACGAGAGACCATCGATCATTCTGCGCCCACATATATAAACCTGGCCAGCTTGGGAGGCGTGGACAATGTGATACAGCAGTTCGAAGATCTCCTGGTACTTCCAATGACCCGTCCCGAGATATACACCTCCAGCAAGGTGCAACCACCGCGAGGTGTCCTCATCCATGGTCCTCCTGGCTGCGGTAAAACCATGATCGCCAATGCCTTCGCCGCCGAACTGGGAGTGAACTTTATCTCGATATCCGCGCCCTCAATCGTCTCCGGCATGTCGGGTGAATCCGAAAAGGCACTGCGCGAGCACTTCGAGGAAGCAAAGCGCTGCGCGCCGTGCTTGGTCTTCATTGATGAAATAGACGCCATCACCCCGAAGCGCGAGTCCGCCCAGCGGGAGATGGAAAAGCGCATCGTCGCCCAACTCCTAACCTGCATGGACGACCTCGCTCTCGAGAAGACGGACGGGAAGCCCGTCATTGTTCTCGCCGCCACGAACCGCCCAGACGCTCTCGACCCTGCTCTTCGGCGCGGTGGCCGTTTCGACAAGGAGATCAACATGACCGTCCCCAGCGAGCCTGTCCGCGAACAGATTCTCCGCGCCTTGACTCGCGAAACCAATCTCTCCTCCGACGTGGATTTTTCTATCCTGGCGAAACGCACGCCTGGCTTTGTCGGCGCCGACCTAAACGACCTCGTCTCCACGGCCGGCGCGGCAGCCATCAAAAGGCAACTGACCATGATAAAAGCCCACGCCGAGTCCTCATCCATGGCCGTCGACATGCCCACCGACCACCCGGACTCGAACATTTCTCCTGTCCTAGCGTCGCTGAGGCGTCTCATCAAATATACGTCTGCCACGGCAAGTCGTCACCCTCTGTCAGCAGCACCAGCGTCAACGGAAGCAACCACCACTACTACCACCACCACCACCACCACCACCACCGGCAACACGAATTCCAATGGCGACGACGCCGGCGCCGACGAGTCCGTCGTCCACGTGACGATGGCCGACTTCCTCGCCGCGCTCCCCAAGATCCAACCGTCTGCGTTGCGCGAAGGCTTCGCCACGGTGCCGAGCACGACCTTTGCGTCCATCGGCGCTCTGTCGCGGCACATCTCGGAGCTCGACATGACGGTGATATCGCCGATTCTCACGCCGGCCAAGTACGCCAACCTGGGCATCACGCCGTCGTCGGGCACGCTCCTCTGGGGCCCGCCGGGCTGCGGCAAGACGCTGCTCGCCAAGGCGTGCGCCAACAGCTCCCACGCCAACTTCATCTCCGTCAAGGGGCCGGAGCTCCTGAACAAGTACGTCGGCGAGTCGGAGCGCGCGGTGCGCCAGGTCTTCGCCCGCGCCCGCTCCAGCGTGCCCGTCATCATCTTCTTCGACGAGCTCGACGCCCTGGCGCCCCGCCGCGACGGCACGAGCTCCGAGGCCAGCGCCCGCGTCACCAACACCCTCCTGGCCGAGCTCGACGGCGTCGGCTCCGAGAGGGACGGCATCTACGTCATCGCCGCCACGAACCGACCCGACATGATCGACCCGGCCATGCTGCGGCCGGGGAGGCTCGAGACTCTCCTCTTCGTGGGTTTGCCCGACGCGGAGGGTCGCGTGGACATCCTGCGGACCCTGTGTCGCAAGATCCCCAACTTCGTGTTTGGTGAAGACGTCGCCGCCATAGCGCGCCTGTGCCAAGGCTTCAGCGGTGCTGATCTCAAGGCCTTGTTGCAACGTGCTGGCCTCATGGCCATCAGCCGCTGCACCGCCCTAGGGCTGCCTCCAGAGGACATTACTTTGACTACCGCTGACTTTGAGAGAGCCATGGCCGAAGTTAGGCCCAGTGTAGGAGTCGATGACTACGAACGTTACACCATCTTGCAAAAGGATTTTGGCGTTTCGACGTGACGGCCACTGAGCTGGCCAGAATATAGATTGCAGCCCTTGAAGAGAAGAGGCGCTTGAATAATATTCCCTGTCTGCTATTCTACGTCTCGAGAAGCACCTAGTTGTGCGCAACTATGCCATCCTGAAAACCCAAGAGTGAACGTTATGCCAATAGAGCAACCAGGGGCTACATAATACCCTCATTACTGCAGCCCCGGTCCCATTAACTCCGACTTCCGATGAATCCAAGCCCAATATAATCATATTCCAACGTCATCATGAAGCAGCCCGAACGCTTTTGTTCTTTACGTTCAAAATACTGGGAGGCGAAAGCTTTCACTACTCACTCTTGCACTCTCAGCCGAGCTCCGACGACTTGAAGAACTGGATCGTGACCGCCGCTTTTGCAGCTTCCTAGGCTTTCTCGAGATGGTGATACTGGGATTTTCAGCCCAGACCCCAAATTGCTTCACATCCAGCCCTTTCTCCAAAGTACCGGCAGGAAGAACTTCGAATCCTGAGTTGACTTTTCTTGTCCGGGTATTGACAATCGAGATTGAGGTTGTTGGAGATGTTGGTGTGGTACAGGTAGAGCTGATCGACGAGTTAGGTGTGTGCTTGGAGAACTGCGATGCAGTTTCGCTTCCTTTCGACGATTCCGGCAATTTGGCATCGACCCTTACTTGGGTTTTGTTTGTCCAAGCAGACGGGGGAGGCTTGGGTGCTGGTAATGACTCGACGAAAGCTTTAAAGGGAACGGGTTTGGGACCTTCCAGTTTCTCAACTCGTCGAGCCAACTGTTTGCCCACATTCATCTCTGGCATACCAAGCGACAAGGACCTGACTTGGCTAGACTCGGCATCAAAAGAGCCACCATCTTCACTGTCGGATGCAGAGGACGTAGAGGATGCGAGAGATGTCATCAATGCAAGGTCAGTGTGACGTCGTCGAGACCTGGGCAGTAATTGGCCACTCTCTGCGGCATGGAATCTCCGGTGTGCTTCCATGCGCTCGAGGACATTCGCTTCAGACAGAGAGTCGCGGCTGGGAGGTAGAGGCGAGTTTCTATGTCGATTGCCAATTACAAACTTTCGTCCACTATTGGAGCCTCGATTTGTGGGGGGGCGCAGACACATCTTTGAAGGAGATATCTTCGGCCGTGAGCAAGCTGCGTTCGAATCGCGATCTGTGTAACACGGTTAACGACATTTACAGGAAATTTGAGAAGTCAGAAGGCCAAATTTTGTCGTACCCGGATCTCTTGCTGGATTTGATCGAAGGTAAGGTGCTTGATAACTGATGACAAACTTCTTGCCGTTACTTCGAGAATCGGATGCTCCATCGACTTTCGCGATTGGGTCACTGGGGGGCTCCCGGTCTAGACACTGTCAGTAAATACTACAATGAGAATCAGACCCTACCATTTGGCGCAACGAGTTCGGGCTCTACCGTCATTGGCTGCACATTTGATGACGATAACGGTGTGTATCTCGGTGGATTGCGAGGGCGCAGCCTCGCAACCGGGCCATGAAGAGGAGTGTTGGTGCGTGAATTCCAAACTCCTTCAACGTCCGGATCTTCGAACAACGCGCGTATCCCGAAGGGTATTTCATGACTCTTTCTGACCGAGAGGTTCATCTCTCCGTTTTCAGCTTCTGCCTCGGCGGCCTTTCTCTCTAGGGCGAGATTTCTCCTCCAGTTTCGCAGCCTGACACAAATTGCCATCACAACGAGGAGCACCTAGGTTGGTCAGTTGCGAAGGAGGAAGTCAATCAGCAAACGCACCAACAAAGCACCTAGAACCTGAATGTTGGTCAGTATTGTTACGGGCCGAGGAAAGGGCAGACTCACCACACAAAGTCTCGCCCACGTTGGCCATTCTATGAAGAAGACCGCCCCTGGATCCAGGATGTGGTCTTGGCCCATGCTGCGAGAGTAACATATGGTAGCAATGTCAGGGCCCAGGAAGGATGAGGTAGCCGAGTCCCATTTCCGACGGCGACGAAGGCGAACAGCAAAGGAATGATAGAACAGCTTCCGACGCAGTCAAGCGGTGGTAATGATGGACGGGTGAGGCGTTCGATCTTGCAACAGACCAGAAGAGGAATAATGACTGCGACGTCGATAGAGCTGGCCGACGATGATAGCACTTGCCTGAGCATGTTGTAGATTCGTGGTGATGGCATCCTAGCACTTTCCTTCTATTGTTGTCCAAAGACGATGCAGTGCAAACGAAGTCACAGTGACAACTTCGAGGTGAAGCAAGACTGGATAAACATCTTGCGGGGGAAGGTAACTACATCTGCGCCAGCGTAGACGTAGTGCCGCAACGCATGAATCTGCCGTATGTCGAAACTCCTCCCTAGGTGGTCAGGTGAAAGGAGCCAAATCAGGCTGTCCTCTCCTCTGGTAGCGGAGGTTGCTTAGAGAGTGTTCAGGTACGCCCACCGTAGACTTGGAGGTCAGCTTAAACTAATGGCGGAGACACAGTCACTCTTCAAGTCATCAAATATACTCAGGTGAGACCGTCCCGACATTCTACCTAGCCATATTGTAGATAAGTCTGAGCGGAAGGATGCTTCAGACAGCTCCGCGAAGACAGGTAACTGTGCTGCCCTTACGAACCAGGCAATACCATACACAAATCTTGACCTCACAAATTCACTGCCTGGCAGATGAATTGATGGCACTTTTCTAAATTGCTCATATAAGTGCACCCTGTATAGAATCACCGTGGCTTTCCTTCACATATACCAAGAGGCCCTGGCGTTTCTCCCACATTCTACTCGTCAGATATCCATCTCAAATATCCCGCTGTTTGAAGCATGTTGCTACAGATAGTTTGCGACATTGTTAGACAGCCACGTGCCTATGAGGACTAGACGGGATGAAGCCTTTGAGGTAGTCCCTCAGATCGGGGTCACAGGCATAGACATAAGTGCCGCGGATGCCACGCGTCAAAAGCACCGCATAGATCTGTGTGATGAAGCGCAGCAGGTCGTCATCCGAGTAGCTCCGCCCAAGCTTCCGATTCTGCTCCTTTCCCTTCTTATCAAAGTACGAAGCGCGACTGACCCAGAGGCGCTGCTGCTCTGGACTGTAGCGCAGATCGAGACCAATGATGACACCAACGTAGTTCAGATCGTAGCCCTGAACCGTGTGGATCGAGCCCACCTCTTCGAGAGACTTCTCCGACGCGATCCAGTCGGTGGAGGTCGTGTTCCACTTCAACCGCGTCTGGCCGATCGTGATGTCCAAGGCGTTCTTGTCTTTTTTCGTCCACTCCCAGGCATAGCCGGCGACTAGGCGTGAAAGGCCGGCTTCGGCGTCGCGGCGGAAGATCTCGTCGCGCATGTCTTCGACGTTGTCGAACGCGCGGAAGTCATAGTCACCGAAGTTTGGCATGACGTGAGGAACTAAGAGGCGATTGGGATTGAGGATTCCTCGAATGTAGGATATAAAGAACGATCCCGCTTTGACCCGCATCTGAGTCTGGAGCTGAAAGTATCTTCCCGACTCAAGAGCCTCGGCCGCGAGCATCGATAGAACTTCTGTGGGAAGGTCTGCTGGCCGCACGCTCTGCGCGGCATCCAGCAGAAAGATCTGATGTTGACTCTTCGCCTGGATCCAGTCGAGCTGGGTTTTGCTGGTATCATCGCTGCCAAAGAGGTTAATTGTGATGTCTCTGACCTTGGCGTTGAGCACCCCGGAGGGTTGATTCGCGCGTTGGTTAAGTCGATGAGTTTCGTCCACTAGCAACAAGTCGAACTGTCCATCTGCCTGTGCAACCTCAAAGGGTGTCAATACCATCGAAGGGTGGAGCTCAGGCGTCTTCCTGAAGACCTTCTTGATCGACTCTCGCAGCGATTGTTGCGGGACAACCAGAGCGATGCGGAGGCCCCGGAGTAGCTTCTGGTTATCTTCGGTGAACAACTCGGAAAATCACGAGTCGCTATCAAGATCTTCCAGGGACGTGAACGTCTTGATGTCAAGTAGCAATTTCATCAGAAATATCGCTACGACCGTCTTGCCAGTGCCCGGGTCACCTTGGATCACGATTGTGCTTCGGACACCCCTTACCAGGTCGGCGAGGAATCCCTTGACAATCTGTTCGACGGAGTTTGCTTGATCCTCCGTGAGGGCCTTGAACGGCGAAAGCCTGAAGAGGTCACTGTTCTCGATTGCGGGGATACTTCGCGTGAAGATGCCATCTTGTGCGAGTTTGACAAAAACGTTGCGAAATCCTTCGCGGTATTGATCGCGTTGGTAGTAGTTGGACCCGATAATGCCGTTATTGCGGTTAAGTACCCGGTAAGCACCGTCGCCGGCCAACATTTGGATGAGGTAAGACTCCAAGTCAAGGCAAACTGACTTGTTGAATGTCAGGTCGATGATTACGCGTATGGTCGAAAGATGCTGCTTCTGGGGCGATTTGAGATGCTGCCCCATCCGGGCCACGGCATTGAGCGATTCGCCAACGTAGATGTCGCGCAGTCCGTTCGGCCGTCCTTGTGCAGCACCATGCCCTTCATCCAAGACATATACAACCGGCCAGTTGCTATGTCTCTCTGCATGCAACGTCAAGGCCGAAACGGCAGATTCAGAGAAGTCGAGACGCACAATTTCAGAGTTCATTGTACTTTGTGCTGCGTCCTCGAGCCTTGTCCACCGGATACTTGTTGCGTGTGATTTCGAGCTTTGCCAGAATGATCTGCTCGGGATCTGCCCCGATGCGCTCAGCGAGAAGCAGACAGTAAGTTAGCACGTCGGCAAGCTCTTCGCGCACACGAGCCAAATCAGCGTCAGAGCTCCATTGGAAGCACTCGAGCAGTTCGCCAGCCTCGATCGAGATGCTTTTGGCGAGGTTTTCGGGCGTGTGGAACTGCGCCCAGTCACGTTCAGCCACGAATGCGGCAAGGGCGTCACGGACAGTTTTGTTAACCATTGTGTTACGGTATGAGGATGGATTGAATAACACGGACGTGAGAGGTTTATGAAATGTGGAAATGGCGGTGAAGGGTTCACGAGACTGACCGCAGGCCGATATATACCTCAGGTGTGACAACGCACCAGAAGACAGGGAAGGATAGCCGAGCCAGCCTCGCATCCGCAAGGCTGAGCACCCCTTTAGCGCAAGTTATGCCGTGACAAGTGGATGAGATATAAACATGTAAAGATTCGAGATGATCGCTGGATAACATAAAAGGTCAATGGGGTAGTGGGATTGGGTTTGTTGTAGTGTCCCAGAAGAATAGGAAGAACATATGTATTTTCTCCAGTGGACCGGTGACAGAGTTAGTACATTCAACACCTTAAGATCCAACGCCCGGATGAACGAAAGACGGTCGCACCACTAATTTCTCATCCCAAGGGGCACATACTCCTCTATCTTTCTGTCTCATCATAGTGTCAGTCATACTCGGGTCGATTTCAATGTCGTAAAGCTGGTATAGTCGAGCAAGAGTCAACTGCAGCCCGATATCGGCCAAGTGTTTCCCGATACAATTCCTCGGACCGTAGCTGAATGGTCTTGACATATTCTTCATTTCAGGAGTCGCATTAAGCCAGCGCTCTGGGATATACTCTGTAGGGTTGGGAAAGACGGCAGGGTCGCGAGCAGTCGCATAGGCCGGGGTAGCCACCTGGACCCCCGAGGGAATAAAGTGATCACCGATGACTTTCCCTGGTGATACTCGCGGGAACCCAGCACTGAGGGGTCCCCAGAGTCTCAATGTCTCCTGTATGCATGCGTTCAAATACTCCTGTGAAACCGTCAGCTACAGAATACAAAATGTCTTGGTCAAATACATAGTTGGGTGCGAAGGGATTTTGTTATGGCTGTTCAGCAGAGGGCATCTCTTACCAGCTCAGTTGTCTCTGCGTACGTTGGCTCATGACCAGGGTCAGCAAAACGTGTCCGAATCTCGTCAGTCAGCTTCTTTCTGACCTCGGGTCTCTTGCCAATTTCCCATATTGTGTATATTGTTGTCACTGCCGTCGTGTCACTCCCTGCGACTAAGAAAAGGATGGTGTTTTCGACGAGTTCTGTAAAGCTGAGCTTACTGCCAGTCTCCGGGTCGACGGCCTCGACCAGGTTTCTCAAGAATGTGCCCTTGGCGTAGTCATCACCATTCTTTTCAATCTTGGCGTGAAATTCGGTAACTGACTCTTCAGCAAACTTGATCAATCTGTTCAGACCTCTGTATCCATCTTGAATCGCCTTCATAGGGACATAGCGCAGTTGAGGGAAGAATGCTTGGGTGGGCACAACAACCATGAAAGAGTCTAAATCATCATGATTAAGGGTGCCTTGGCCAGAGACACAGTCGAATGACTTCCCGAAACTCAGATAGGTCGTTATGTCAAGATAGTGGTCCATAAACTTGGAAAAGATATCCACTGGCTGGTTCTTCTCTGCCGTGGGGATGAAGACGATCTCGAGAAGAGTCTTCACTTTTTGGTGAATCATAGGTTCGTCCTGAAGCAAAGCGTTCAATGAGAACGCATGGGATACCAAGCGTCTTAACCGAGCATGAGCTGCCTTGTTCCTTTCATTCAAAAGACTGACTGCCCCTGTCGCAGTAAACATATCATAGAACACTTTCTCTTTTGGGCAGGGGTTAGACGATTGGCCGTAGATGTCTTGCCATGATTTCATATCCGAGAAGTACAACTCGTTTATTCCAACTCGAACAGGACTGCCATATTCCTGAAGCATCCGGTGCTGCCATCGAACCCGATTCATTTTTAACATTGACAGCATAGGATATAGGGATGTGCATTTTCCCAGAAGTGGTCCAGGGTACTTTGCTAAAGGATGAAAAAAGATGTTGTAGACAAGCCTGGCCACCACATACAGCAATGGCAAAGTCCACAAGGCTGTGAAAAATGAAAAGTTGTTTTCTTCAATCATACTTGCTCAGGTAGCCGTCATTGAGTGCTAGACACTGTGAGTGTTTCGTCAGGGACCGCTCAAATAATAAAGGCCTCAACTGATGCGCTTTGTTGGGTCCTTCCGGAATGGGGTAAAACAAGAGGGCTAAAGAGGAATTGTTTAGAGACACCAGCGGAGCCTGGAGAAAAGAATTAGAACATACAAATGGCGTCTGAGAGCCTGATTAAGCCGCCGACTATCCATCGGGGAGGGTTTGAATTAACATTCGGCCCGGCGAACGGAGGAATAAGAACAGGATTTTCCTAACCTGGGGAAAGACCGAGAACCATATAATTGCCGTCTAATAGTCTAATCAAGCCGCCGATCATCCATCGGGGAGGTTTTGTATCGATGTTCGGCCCGGGAGATGTAGGATGAAAACAGGATCTTTCTGATCACTATCGACCGTGAGGAAGATTATCCGGGGGGGTGTTGATCCTCCGGTTTGAAGATCACGGGCAATTACCTTGTCGTTCAACGAGCAATAAGAACGAAACAAAAAGAGATGAAGTATCCATCCCAGAATGACTTCACCTCTGAAGCTGACGGGTACCTCAGGTGAATTCTTCCTTTAATCCGGAAAGTCGGGAGTCATAACAAAGTCGAGACCTTCTGGATGCAACCATCTCCGAATGAACCGGTGTGAGAACTTCCAACAACATAACAGATTCCGACGGCCACTGATGCCTTACAATGAGATAACTATGGGTTCTAAGAGCGAGCATAATTCGAGATTGTTTGAAGAGCCCAGGTCGGTCAATTTGAATGCTTGCCCTGCCATGATCTCTAGCTAGACAACCTTAGTTCCACAGCAGAGTCAAGCAACTCTATGGGTTGGGTCTTCTCACTCGATTGTTATAGTGCGGGAAAGAATTTCATCTCTAAGAGTCTAAGAGAAAGTGTCGGCCACGTAGTCTCCCAAACTTCCTGGTTGCCAGATTCCCCACAGGTCAAGATGAATGTCCTGGTACAAATTCCAGTCTCCCACCTAGAGGTAGAAATTAGTATAATCATTCTCAAGGTCATCGTTCATGGAGTTCTAACTTCATTTGTGCCTTCATTCTCGTCCTGGTCAGCTGCAAAAGCCGGTTGCAGTGTTGAAAATATAGGGCTTACGACCGATGCAGTATCTTGGGGCTGCGTGATAGTGTTGGAAGCTTGCCTATACCTCTCCACTGCATTTCTGGCAAGTGTTGATATATCTCTAACAAGTGGAATCGACCACTGGCCATCGGTAGCGTACTCCAAGAGTGCGAAATATCCGCTGGCGGCGTCCATTAGGACGAGATCAGAGTGAGCAGACGCTTGAGAGGGGTCATATAAGACATTGATAAATAGATTGACGGCCGCATATAGAGGAGAGTAGTAGGAGACCCTAGTGATGAGTGTCAGTCTAGGAACCTTTTCGGGGACTACCAACTGTTGGCTCACGGCATTGGACTGTTTGCGTCGAGATGAATGAACCTAAAATCAAGTACAGCAGCCCTCGAGGTTTCTGCCACAAATGAGGAGGATTGAGCAATCTGACCTTTGAAGTCTAGATGTTGTTCAACCCCCTTGACACTGCGAAACCAAGGATGTGCCAAAGTCGTATGGGTATCCCACACCAGGTTGTAGTAAAGGAACTGTATCGAAAGAGCTTGCGGCAGACTGAGATTGGCTGGCAAGTTCGTCATATTCAGAGGCAGTTCAATGCTACACAAGTCCCGTAAGTCATCTCGGAGTTCTTCAAGCTTGGTTTGAAGCATTTTGACATTATGAACGAGCTCTTTCGATGCTTGTCGCCACTTTGATGCTTTAAAGAGGGTCCTTTGAACGACAGACGATAAGTGATTGAGTCTGATGCACGCCTGTATATATCTCACGTTGACAGAGCCATCGGATCGATCCAAGGTTGGAAGTGGGCAATTTACCTCCTCATCGTCTATCATCTATCAAAGTTAGCTGATTGTCTTCAACTGAAGAAGAATTTCACGGCTACAAACCGAAGGTCGGCCTGAGCGACAGGCTATTTGCTTCTCGAGGCAGTATATAGCCCAGAAAACGGACTGTCGCAGGGATTTCTCTTCTCTTGTGAGGTTCCAAGACGGCGCTGGCTGTACATGCAAACCCTGCCCGCATGCAAGTCGGTACGCGTTGGCCACGAGAATGTATTGCAACATCTCACACGAAATAGCCTCCGCAAAGTATGCCTGGAGATTGTCAGCTCTGGTAGAAGTGCACCGCCGATGAGAGAAGCACCATAAGAGTCAAAGCCTGTACGCCCATAACCGAACTCCTGAAACAGAGGAGCTCTGAGTGCACCGAGAGGGCATTCTCAAAGTAGGACCACGACTCTTGCTGTGCGTCGTTGTATGTAGCCTCTTTAGCCACAACTATTCGACAGCCCGAAGCAAGGACAATATTTCGTAATGCATACCAAGACGGGTCGTCGTCGGTCGTCGAGTCATTATAAAATGAACGAAGCCTAGATTCAAACCATGATCGTCGTACTATCCCAAGAGCTGCATCAGACGCTTCTTCGAAGTAGGCTTCAGTATATCTGACTGCATCGCTCAAGTTGGGGTCTTCTCTTCGTTCCTTGGTAAGTCGTTTTTGCAGCTTCAGTCGTCGTGCAACGTCTTGGGTGAACCGAGTTGCACTAAGTCGAAAGTCGGGCTGCTTGACTTTTTCCGTTACCCATGCTATTCCAGCTAATGAGCAGATAGACATGCTCGTTCTGGGACCCCAGAATTCAATATCCTCCTCGATTGTGTGGTAGCCGCCCATATCCTGTGGACTTTCTATAACGATTGATTGATTCGGACTATTACCTCGCTCCCATGGGGCCTCGTTGGAACCATTGTACAGTGGGGTCTTCGATACCGTAGATGGTAAGTTGCGCGGTGGTAGGTTGTGTTGGGCAATTCGTGAGGAATCGAGGGCTTCGGAGGTGGTTACGCGGCGCTCTATTTCTTCGAGTGCGGTCTGTATTCTCTGTAGACTCGCTTCCGAGATACTCTGTTGGCCTCGTTGTCGTCGCTTTGACATACAACCGAGTCCCGCAGATTGGTCTCCATATTCTTCGCATCGCGAACACGAAAGATTCGAGCTGAGAGAGCCTGCAAGTTGGCTGTTGTCGTTTCTAGAGGTTCTTGCAGTATCAAGTCGTACCTGGCATGGACCAAGTTCGCGCATCCCAGTGCTAGGAAGCAGACCGCTTTGTTTCTTCTTCTTGCGACGCTGGCGTGGGGCAAAAACACATTCTACCTCGTTCTCACCGCAGTTGGTGCATGGATTGTCACCAATGCAACGGATCTTCTTCGCTCTACAGAATTCGCAAGCGCGAAGCCGCTTAGGTGCCACAGGTCCCACCCCAATGTTTTCCCGTGAATGTTCCATAGTCGGTTATAAAGCAGATGTTAACAGGTGAGAAGGCCATAGGTCATCAAGCACGAACTTTGTCTGCTTTCCAGAAACGTGTTCCGAACTATGCTAATCACTCGTAGATGCTCACTGCGTGCAAGGGAAAGACTCTTGTAACGTGGTACTAGGAAAATGAGATTTAGATGCGATCGATGATACTTGTCAGATCTTGAAAAGGGGGTCTGAGTTTTCGTGCATGAAGGCGGGGGAAAGCTGGGGAGGTTCTTTCTGGGGTCCAGCAGCATAATTGTGGGTACGTCCGCGCTTTTGGTACAGCCGAAACTCCGGCCGACACTCCGGGCCGAGGCTCCGAGCCACTCAGACTCCTCGTCCATCTTCCGCAAGTCACTTCTGAGAAGGTCTGGGGTTCAATCTTGATCGTGGTATTCCCACATGGTCTGGCTAATGGACCGGAAAGCCAAGAAGCGTATTGAGATATGCAAAGCGCCTCGAAGCCTTCAATGATGCCCCATTCCGAGCGCAACGGAAAGGGACAATGTTGCTTGCATGACCAAAAATACCAATTCTGGGGTTACATGCTTGGATTCGGAGACTGCCCTTCTGGTGAATATAAGATTGGTATTATCTCACAGACTACTGCTTCCCACTCCCAACCCGCAAGCTGGCGCAAAACAAGCAATCAAAGGACAAAACCAATCCCCACTTCATCAATATGGTCACCAACGCGGCCAACGATGCTGCCTCCATGAAGGCATACAAGCCACGGTATATTGAGGAGAAACTCTTTATAAATGGAGAATTCGTGCCATCGATATCAGGGAGGAAGTTCGACGTCTACAATCCCACCACGGAAGAGCTGGCCGCATCAGTCTACGAAGCCAATGCCGACGATGTTGATCTCGCTGTTCAAGCCGCCCAAAACGCATTCCCGGCCTGGTCAGCGTTATCCGCTGCCGACAGAATCGGTTACCTCGATCGACTTGCCGATGCCATCGAGGCTAATGCCGATGAGCTTGCCTACCTAGAAGCGATTACCATGGGCAAGCCGTATATCGATGACTGTACGCTCTCCCCTGTTAATCACAAGCTATCGTGCTTCTTACTAACAACCCCACCAATCCTAGTCTCGATAAAACTCTCTGTACGTAATCTACGATACTTCTCAGGGAAAGCTCTCGACGTGGTTGGCGACTCAAGCCTCAACACCCGAGATTTTGTGAATATTACGCTTCGACAACCTTACGGTGTTTGCGGTGGTATCACTCCTTGGAATGTTCCTCTCCTCATGTTAATCAACAAGCTCGGCCCAGCTCTAGCTACGGGCAATACATTGGTACTCAAATCATCTGAGAAATCGCCGCTCTCATCACTCGTCGTTGGTCGGCTCGCCCAGGAGATTGGTCTACCGAAAGGCGTGCTTAATATTCTCTCTGGATATGGTCGTCCTTGCGGCGAGGCTATTGCGAAGCATATGAGTATCCGAAAGCTGAGCTTTACCGGCAGTGTTGCTGCAGGGCGCGCTATCAAAAAGGCGGCTGCCGAATCAAACCTCAAAAAGGTCACACTTGAGCTTGGTGGGAAGTCTCCACTTATCATCTTTGGCGATGCAGACCTCGCTAAGGCTGTCCCTGCCGCAACTGCGAGCATCCTACTGAACAGTGGGCAATCTTGCGTCGCCAGTTCGCGCATCTACGTCCACGAATCCGTATCAACGGAATTCATGGAACTGATGAAGAAAGCCATGGCTGAACTCCTTCCGGCCGGCGATCCATTATTACCTGGGTCACGCCGTGGGCCACAAGTTGATAAGGCTCAATTCGACCGCGTTGTATCATTTCTCGACTACGCACGAGACAACCAATTGGAAATTCCTGTTGGCGGTGGCCGCCAGGGTACAACTGGCTATTTCGTCGAGGCTACAATGATCGCTAACGCACCTGAGAACTCTCGAGTCATGAAAGAGGAGATTTTTGGACCTGTTGTGTGCGTGAATACATTTGCCGACGAGGCTGAAGCACTTCAGCGTGCGAATGACACCGAGTTTGGTCTCTATGCAAGTGTGTTTACAAAAGATATCTCAAGGGCCTTGAGAGTCGCCAAAGTGCTCGAAGCAGGGAGTGTCGGCATCAACTGCTCGTCGCCAACCATGGCTGTCGATATGCCGTTTGGTGGGTGGAAGCAGAGTGGCGATGGACGGGAGTTGTCTAAATACTGTAACGACTACTGGACCGAGCTCAAGAGTGTGTATATCGCGCTCTAACTGCTAATCGGCAATCACACATGTTGATGGACTTGATTGATGAGTATAGCCAATACTTCTTTAGCTATTAATGGCCTGTTGCGTCAGTGGGCAAATCTCGGGGTCATACTACGAATTCCAGGCCAGATGTAAGGCGGAAAATAACCAAACCCTTTCACGCACGTCTCATACTCTATTCTTTGCTACAAGGTAGGATGGAGGATGTCAAGACCGGAAGTATCGCTGCAGGATTGCCATTGGAAAACACCTACTCTCTTCACTCTCATACTATCCTCTATGCTGATGTTCGCCCGCCAGGCAAATATCGCCGCCGGTCGGTTCTATAATGAAGCGTCTTAACAGACCCTAAATGTTCGCTTCTCTCGACTTCCTTCTCGACCACTCGTCGAAGCTTCTTTCTGCGTCAGCGAGCACGTCGAACCCAAGCAAGCTCTGCTGATAATCGGCGTCGCCCCAGTTAAAGCTGCAAGGGCCTTGCCATGCGCTTTCTGGTAGACTGGCCAGCTCTTTGTCGCGACGAACCTGCTCCTCGCCGTCGGGCAAGTGGTAATAATGTCGAGTGTCCACGGCACCTGCGACATTAACCTCGGTTCTTCTCTTCCTTAGATCTTGAAAGAGGCGAAGGAGGTCAGATAATTGCGTATTTCTCTCGCCGAGGGCATCAGAGAGACCCCGGTTCTGCAGTCGTGATAAGAGCACTGCCAGGATAGCGCCGTCTTCGACTGCCATGGCTGCACCTTGTCCCTGGTACGGCAATGTCGGATGAGAAGCGTCTCCAAGAAGCGTGATCGCACCCTACCCATGTCAGCCTGTTTCCTCGCCAGCAGACACCCAGTCTCACCTTGGTCCATTGGTCGAGTTCATTGAAATGAAGCAACTTCCACTTTAAAGCGGACTTGAGGCATGAAATGATGGTATTCAAGCTGCCATTATCAGATCACCCCGGTCTTGAGGAAAATGGTGAGATCTTACATTGGATCCCACCCTTCAAAGTTTGCTGCCATTTCATCCAAGCTTCCCTGCGAAGTTCGAACACCTTCAGGCAAATCGTCCGCGACGCTTGGAAGACGTGAGCAGGAGACTTTGGTGCATGCTGGATCACTTACAGAAGAACCAAATTATACTCCGTTTTATTCCTCAAAGGATAGAATACGGCATGCCTTCCGGGACCTAGCCATACTTGCACATTCTCGGCTTCCATTAGCTCGTCGATCCTTTCATTCTTGAACGACTTCAACTGTTCGCGTGTAAAAGTCCCCCGGTATGCCAGATCTCCGGTCTCGACAGGTGGAAACGGGCGACCCAGGACAAATTCGCGTACCCCGGACCACAAACCTGTCACGAGGTGTTAAAAACGCCCACATACGCAGTGAAAAAGATACGTACCGTCTGCTCCTACCACCACGTCTGCCATCAGGCTTTTCCCATCCTTCAGCACGACCATCTGCTTTCCGGAAAACTCCCCGATGCCCTTTGCGATACCGATAACTTCAGCATTGGTGAGTATGTCGGCTCCAGCTTCTCGAGCGGCTTCTAGCAAAACCCCTTGATAATCACCTCGGTGGATTGCCCTGTCCGAATCAACATGAGAGTTGGTACCGACTTGCTCCTCACTTACAACCACTCGGCACCATATTCGGTCTTCATCCTCGGTCCCATGGGTTTCTCTACAAGGATATTTCCATTCTTATACCTTCTAAGTGTGAAGCCTTGCACTTGATATCCTCCCGCTTGCTTGAGTTTGTCTAGTAAGCCCAGAGACGCAACAACTCTGCATGCATTTGGTGGAATATGAATGCCGGCGCCGATGGTGAGTATCTCGGGTGCTCTCTCAACGACAGTTACAGACAATGGAGGGCCTGCTCGTCGGCATGCGATCGCACATGCTAACCCACCAATTCCAGCACCGACTATCACGACATGAAGACCAGAGGGGCTTTGGTCCTGCAACAAGGATCAACTCACGACGTCGAATCTAACCTGAGCGCTCTTACCCGCTTGTGTTCGACGTTCATATTCGTCCGGGGCTTCGCCTGACCAATTGTCGTATCAAGTATTCGCATATGCAGCTCTTTTGCCAACATTTATCCTTTGACGTTCGGAGCATCTTGCCCAGTCTTATTTAGAGCGTCGTTTTTAAGACTTGTCCACCGCCATGGATGACTCGGAATCTGCCTTATTCCGCGCCTGGTTCCGCGGCCGTTGTCCCCAAAGGCATGAGCTAAGGGCCTCTCGGCCCGCCACGGAAAGACACCCATAGGGGTCACAGGCTCCGTGAAACCTGGGGTAGCCTCCTGGGGTAGCCGACAGGCAACGGCCGGGTTGCTGTGTATGGTTGTTGTCAAGATCGAGGAGACCCATTTCCAGACCAGATGATTCTCCCAACCAGCGGAGCAAAGGCCGTGATATAATCACTTATTGAATTTGTCCATTTATCTCTCGGAATGTCGAGAGAAGGAGGTGAGTTTGTTCTTGTCAGTGCCATATCGCCTCACCATGGATTCGCTACCCACGACGGATATTCCAACCACTGCACTTGTTGTTGAGAAGCCAGGTGCACCTTTCCTCCTCGAAGATGTAATACTAGACGAGATCAGATCACAAGAGCTACTTGTTGAGATCAAGTACACGGGTGTTTGCCACACTGTGAGTTTTCAAACCACCCCCGTGTACCGATCATGTTTGATTTCTTTACAGGACCTCGTCGTTCAAGAAGGCAAGATGCCGATTGGTTCATTTCCCGCTGTGCTCGGACATGAAGGAGCCGGCGTCATCCTCAGACTGGGCGACGGGCTCAAGGAGTCCGGTCTTGTTGTTGGTGACCGAGTTCTGCTAGGCTACTGCTCGTGCATGGCTTGTCCGGCGTGCAACGAAAACCGGAAAGGAGCTTGCAATAACATTGCAATGATCAACTTTGCAGGAGCACGAGGACCTGAAGACTCACCACTTCGCCTCACCAATGGAAAATCGATACGGGGTGCCTTTTTCGGCCAATCCTCGTTTAGCAAGTTGGCCCTTGTTGACTCTCGAGCAGTGGTCAAGTATGATGGGCCGGTTGACGATCTTTCTTTTCTGGCGCCGCTCGGTTGTGGATATATGACGGGTGCAGCTACAGTTATGAACGTCCTGCAACCGAAGGCATCTCAGAGTGTGGCAATATTTGGTCTTGGGGCGGTTGGTCTTTGTGCATTGATGGCAGCGAAAAGCATAGGTGTCAGAGAGATCATTGCGGTCGACATACTGGACTCGAGGTTAGAGATAGCGACTAAACTTGGTGCGGCGAGAACGATCAATGGGAAACAACATGACAGTATAGAAACTGCTATCCACCAACTGTTGCCAGCCGGTGTTGACTACATCGTTGACACCACCGGCTTGACCAAGATGATCAATGAAGGTCTCAAGGCGTTGGGCCACGGCGGGACTTTCGCAGTGGTTGGCACTCCCCGTCCAGGAGAATTGGCTCATTTTGATCCTTTGGACATGCTGGTTCATTGCAAGAAAATCATCGGAGTTACTGGTGGCTATTGTAATCCTCAATCAGTGAGTCGTACTTTGGTGGTGCCCTGGACTTTGTTGACGTTGAAAAGTTCATTCCCCAGCTTGTCCAAATGTTTCGTGCCGGCAGATTTCCCATCGATACTTTGTCCGAGACATATGCGCCTTCTGAAATTGAGCAGGCGATACAAGACATGAAGTCGGGCAAGGTACGACGGTCCCAACGTAATGGTTCCTCGAAGGCTGACTCTTGTGGTCATAGGTCATCAAACCGATCCTGTCTTGGTAGCAAACCTTGGAGGTCAGTTTCGGTAGAGCCAGTGAATAATGCTAGCACCAATAAAGCCCTTTATCCTTCAAGAACATATACTGATATCCATAGCTCGGGCTCAAGTTGCTTTGTTTCGTGCTCCAATAATACTTTGACTGACACAAGCAGCGCAAGGAACCGAGCTGACCGGAAATATCCGAATATGGCATTCATGTTGCGTCAACAGTTCGATAGCCCTTGGCGCATTCACGAGTCTGCCTCTTCATTCATGCCATTGGACAAGGACTAGTTCGGTAGTATGATGAAGTCCTGCGTATCCGGTTGGCCTCGTTGAGTCCTTGCGGCGGGTGTCCGGCGGGCGCTTGGGTAATGGTTTGTCCTTTGTAAACCACAAGGGAGGCTCTGTAGGGCCTGGATGGTCGCTAGTGAGGCCGATAAGCACAGATGCGCGCCATAAGCCTACAATCGCTGTCTCTGTAGCCCGTAGGTACCTGTACTTTGGCTGTGGCCGGCCCACGAGGAGCAGATCGATAGTACCATCTTTGTGGCGTGCCCGACATTCCCGGAAACCGGCCCTTCCCTCTCAATGCGCATTTCTTCACGCACTACCACTCCCTCGCGCAAGTCTTCCCTCAACAAGACTCTCTCCTGCATCTTATCTCGCTCACCATCGCATCCACTTAAACGGTACATGATTCCCCATCGATAGTCCTTATTGAAGTCACACTGCCGCCATGCCACCCTTCCGCATGCCCTTCACATCCCGGCGTCCGGTCACGAACGAGCCAACCTCGGACGAAAATGTGCGGCCGACGTCTATGGATGGCCTGATTGCTAGCCCATACCGAGACAAGCCTTCACTGGCACTGGGAATAAAAGAGAAGCGAGCAGAACCCAACGAGTTCAAGTTGAGCTGTATGCATCTCTAGTTAACATCGCTTGCGCAGCGTTGTTCCGAGGCTAACTCCTCACCTACACAGCCGTCAACGACAGTGGCGAATACCTTCCGGTAAGACTCGCGATTACTGGACAGCGAGACTCTGACTGATACTGTGCTATAGCCTTCACCCACCGAAAGAGAATCATTCTGGTCAAAAGCCAAGTCACCGGCCTCTACCATCTCCCACCATCGCCAGTGCTTCAATGACAATGAACCTTTCTCAATCTCTCGAGAGTCCTTCGAGTCCTACCGAAGGTCATTCGTACGTGATCACGTCCGTGTACCCAAAGCAGTGACTAACAGGAACCACAGGATATTTCTGGGCGATCACCAATCTTACAAGCCGACAGCTTTACGTCTCGGTCGTCTCTAGACTCACGAGCACCTACCCGGTATCCCACGAGGTCTACTTTCAGCAGCAGCACCTTTGAGGCACCTACGAAAGAGGAAGAGGACTTTGAGGATGTCAAGTTGAACGAAGACAATAAACCACAACAGCCCAAGAAGAAAAGTTTCTTATCACGATTCGGAGACTCGAATGGGGAGAATGTGCCTTCGAAGGAGGACGGCAAGCATCATTTCCATATCATCCCAGGACGGAGGCGAGGTCAAAGTGGCACGGGAAGCGAATTGAAAGATATCCCTCGGCCACAAAGCAACGGGAAGGCCGAGGTGACCGTACGATAGAAGAGAGGGCATGTGTTTGACGACTATCATTCTACGCCATGCATTATGAAGAGACTTATATTGGAAGGGCAGACCGACGGGGAGTTTTCGTTTTGGGTTTCAAGGACTAGGTATCAATACGATGCAGTTGTCCTTTTTTCCTTTGTTGGTTGGGAATTGGACATGATGGCATTCGGAATGAGATACAGGACCTACATGATGTTTTAAGACTGCATGACTACCATGTTTGAGAATGGGGCAGGAGGCAACTGGCCACAGAAACTGGCCACAGTGACTAAGAGAGACCCTGCTATGACAGAGGAGAAAGGGCGGGTCTTCTTTATCTATGACCGAGTCCAGAAAGAGATTACAGGTACCTTTAATGAATAATGTGGTGCACAGCGGTTTCACCAGTATTTCGATGTTTGGGTTCTTTCGATCACTCCGTGCCATCTCCATCTCCAGCACGATCAACTTCCTTCTCCAGTGCCTCGTACGCCTCCAGCACCACACGGACAATCGTCCTCAGCTCGTCTTCGGTCACATTGTACGGCGGCGATATGATGGCATGGTCACCTTTTGTGCCATCTACGGTGCCGCTACCAGGATAGACAGCGACTCCCAGGTCAAAGGCCATCTGCTGGAACCTGGGCCCGAAAGCGACGCCGGGCGGGAACGACTCCCTGGTGTCTCTGTCCTTGACGAACTCGACACCCCAGAACAGGCCGCGGCCCCGGATGTCGCCGACGTACTTTTTAGGGCCGAGGGCGTCGCGCAGCAGGTCGCGCAGGACGATGCCCATGCGGGCGCAGTTCTCAATGACGCGGTCCCGCCTGATGATTCTCTGCACGGCCAGGGTCGCGGCGCACCCGACGGGGTGCGCCTGGTACGTGTGGCCGTGGTTGAAACTGCTCGTCCCCTTTCTGAGCACGTCCAGGACTTTCCTGTGCACGAGCAGGCCCGCGACGGGGGCGAAACCCCCGCCCAGGCCCTTGCCCATGGTCATGATGTCCGGCACCACGGCGACGACGCCGTCGTCGCCGTCGCCGTCGCCTTCCTGTTCCTGCTCGAACGCGAACTGCGTCCCCGTCCTGCCCATGCCGCACATGACCTCGTCCAGGATCAGGAGGACGCCGTACCTGTCGCACACCCTGCGCACGCCGGCAAAGTAGCCCCTGGGCGCGGGCGTGCACCCGCTCGTCGCGCCCACCAGCGGCTCCGCGATGAAGGCGACCACCTTCTCCGGGCCGAGGGACCGGAAGTGCGCGTCCAGCTCGTCGACGAGTCTCGCGGCGAAGGCGTCCTCGGTCTCGCCCTCGCGCCAGTTCGAGTACTGGTACTGGTACGCCGGCGTCACCCACGACACGTTGGGCAGCTGGAAGTTGGCGTAGGGGATCTTGCGCGGGAGGTTGCTGCTGACGTTCATCGCGCCGATCGTCGTCCCGTGGTACCCCTGTCGGCGCGAGACAAAGTGCGCCCTCGTCGTCGCCCCGCCCTCGAGTTCGAAAAAGTACTGCCGGGCCAGCTTGACCGCCGCGTCCATGGCTTCGCTGCCGCTGTTGACCAGGTACGCGCGGTCCAGACCGAACCGGGCCCCGCCGTACGGTCCGTTGACGAGCTCGTGCGCCAGTTCCTCCGCCGCCGTCGTCGTGTACGTTAGGGAATGCAGGTAACTTACGCCGCTGGACATCTGGGCCGTCACGGCACCGAGGACTTCTTCGTTTCCGTGGCCCAGGCAGGCCACGGCCGCGCCTCCGCACGCGTCGAGAACCTTGCGGCCATCGGAGAGAGTTATCGTCAGACCCTTGGCCGATGTCACGAGGTAGGGAGTCTGACGGAGGGACCGGTGCAAGAGTGCCGGAGGGACAGAGTCTTCCAGCGGAGCAGGCACGGACGTGGAGACACTGGCCGCCGTGTCGGTTATGTCGTTTAGCATGATGGGTAGGTGTATATAAGTGTATGATATAAAGAATGGTGAGTGGTTTAGGTACTGAAGAGGTTACTAAGCCCAGCCTTCAGTACTCTCTCTCTGTTGTCGTCGTCGGCGTCTTCTAGAGCACCACCAGGTCGCTTTTCCTGAGGGTCATCGGTTGAGGTGGAGAAACTGGCCCAATTTTCACCAAACGTATAGGTCCCTGAAGGCGGTGGCAGATGATGAAGAAGAAGAAGAGAAAAGAATTCATATACTCTTATCTACCTACACAAGGTCCCAGGTGAGTCGCGAAGCAGATATAGGTACCTATTCTGTGATCTTTGTTTGAAGCGTCCAGACGCAGAAGTCCGCCTGAAAGAATTGTGGCGCGCGCCCTGTGTTATCTTAGCCTCGCACGCAGTACGGAGTAACGACTACTACTAACTACTACTACGAATACTCCATCAGAGGGGGGGGGGGGGGGGCATATCTGCCTCCCAGACCGAGTATTCGCAGCGAAAAAGTCTAGAATTCAGTACTTGTACATATCACACGTTCAGACCATGGTATGCGCCGGGGACTGTGTGAACTTGTTTTGAACGAATACAGTCCCCTCGTTCTACTTGTACGTAGCACTCAGTGACAGCCGCACATCCATGACTTGATACTGGTGAGGCAAATCAGGTAAGGAGGCCACTGGAAGATCTGACTGCCTTACGGAGGACACTAAGAACTACTAACAGGTAAAATCTTCAACCCTTCAATATCGCTGGATGGTGCTTAGATGTGTTGGACAAAAGAGGTCAAATCCGATCCTTCATCATCATTGATGCTCGTTCTGTATATCAAGTTTTGTTCTTCATTCTGGTTGTACTAGACTCCCGTCTCAGCAATAACGTGACAGAGGAATGAAAAAAGGGAGAGAAAGACAGTGAACAGAAACTCCCATAAAAACTCCCCGCTAATATTTCTCTGACGGCTCGACACTGTTCCCCTTGCAAGCATATGGAGAAATCGCATGCATCATTGTTGATGAGTGATCGAAAGACCCAATCACCGTCGCCGTTGGTTTGGTTCATGAAGGATCCATCGTGTTTGTACGAGTACTCCGTGGCGTAGGGAGCCGCTTGATTCCATTCGACATATCGGTAAGAGACAGAGAGGGGGCTCGCTTGACTCCCATGACGCGCAAAAAGGAACAATCCAAACAAACAAACAGGAACGGACAAGTCTCGTGTTGTAAACCCAAGGCACTAGTTTAGCTCTTAGGCACCTAGGGTATGTGTACTCGGTACTCCCAAGCGCCGTACACTGTGTACCTGGGCACGGTTACGCAAAACACTCTTCGTACTTTTTGCTGTGTTTGTTCCCGGCGTGCTCTTCGAGACCTTTTCGCGTCGTGGTGCTCTGGAATGTCGAGAAGCAAATTTTGCATTTGAAGCTTTGTGCTGCGGCGTTCTAATGGTACCATATAAGATATTAGTCTTTTCTGATCATCATCACGGTCGATACAATCACAAATGAAGGGCTGAGAGCGTGTGTACGTGTATGTCGGAATTCGGTCTAGGTGGGTAGTAATCCCGAATCAACCATAACTGTTCAAGAGACAATGATCGAAATGGACAATCACCACGGTGTTTGAATCCAAGACGCCACAACAGAGCAGAGTCAAAAAGGGATACGCCATTGCTACATACCGTTTTCAATTGAGACTTTGGTTCTTTTCCAGCGGCTTCCTTTGCGTTTCTGGCTCTGCGTGTAGCAGCCTTGGCTCCGTTACCGCCACCCATGTTGTTTCCGTGCAGAGAAGATCAAGATTTTGATAGACAATTAGCAAGGTGGTCGATTTCTCTGTTGGAGGAGTTTATTGTCGAGCTGAGCAATAACTCAGACGAGGACGAGCGGTAACTTGTGGAAAGACCGGTCCGGTAGTTGGTAGACGTTGGTGGTTGTTGAAGAACAAAAATGCGGTTGTTGACAACAGGTCGAGAGAGAGAAAAAAAAGTTAGGCGGCAACGTGGTACAGTCAATTGTAGTCTGGTGCTTCCGCTTTCCGCCCACCGGCTCGAGCTGACTAAGTTAGTTAGAGCGTAGTCGAGACCAGTCCATTTGCGGCAGTGCTTTCGGATTTCGGAAAATCGTATCTCCGGTATCATGCACATGTAATTCGACTGTGAAGTTGTTCACGATAGGACGAACATCCGTCTCAGTCGATGCTTCCAATTACGTCGTATTGACTCCTTCTCAGAAGACAGGTTCACGATACAGAGTTTTGACAATACCCGGAACGTGTATCTCCCGTCAAGAGAGACCGCACGGATGACTTTGTAGAACTGTCAAAGCGAGAGGCAGAAGAAGAGGCGCAGGGTAAAGCAGCCACTGGCCATTGATGCAGCTTCATTCATGAGACCATGCGTCTCATACTCTGAACGACATCAAATTCCGTAGTCTACCAGAAACAGTCATTACTCAGTTTTCACACTATTCGCTCCCATACCCCGAATCCCCAAGTAACTCCTTGGCCGTAGCTAGTTTTCCATCCCGCACAGCAGCTTGATACGCAATCAAGTTGAGACTCGAGAAAACCGCAATCCATTCTGAATGTTACCGAATTTAGCGAACCACATGTCCTTGAGGAAGGAACTTCTCGGCTTCCAGGGCTGAGGATTAAGTTAGCACATGCGTTGAGGTATAGCGCGCAGCACACAGCAAACGTTAGACTTACACCTCGGTCGCCGCCCTTGGGCATCTGCGACTCCGCAGCCTTGATATAAGTGCTGTTCAAATTGAGGAATGGCACATTCAGAACGACCTCCTTGTCGCCGATCTGAGGCACCACAGTAGTCAAACCCTTGTCGCGCATGGTTTTGAGGATTCTGACCCAGAGCTGCGCCGTGGCATCGGCACCAAGCGTCCAGCTAGCATTTGTATACCCAAAGACAAAGGTAAAATTGGGCAGATCCTGCATCATGGCACCTCTCCAGGTGTATTTCTGACTGAGCTGAACCGGCTCATTGTCGACTGCCACAGTCGCACCGCCACCAAACTGAATCCTGAGACCCGTGGCAGTAATGATGATGTCGGCGTCGAGGGTCTTACCGGAATTGAGTTTGATGCCGGATTCAGTAACTGTATCGATGGTGTCCGTGGCGATGTCGGCTTTACCGGTGCGGAGGGCTGCGAAGAAGTCACCGCCTAGCGATTGGTCTGTCAGCTCCATGCACTGGGAATAGTGAGAACATTCACAAACCTGGAGTGATACACATTCTCTGCTCCCATGGGTTATACTTGGGCACGAAATGAGGTTCGAAGGGAATGTTTGGTGGCAATTCCTTCTCGGTCCCCTTGCGCAGGACCTGGATCCCTTGCTTTGGGAAAAGCCGGCAGAACTGGAAGAACAAGACTGCCACGATCATGAATCTGATGCGGATGACCTTGTACGCCCAACTCTCTGGCAGGACCTTTTTAATGAATCGATCGATTGGCTCACTAAGGGGAATTGGAAGGAAGTAGCCCGGACTTCGCTGCAACATGGTGATATGTTTGACTTTGTCGACCATGTTTGGTAAGATAGTGACGGCTGTCGCTCCGCTGCCGATGATGACGACCTTTTTGTCCGTATAGTCGAGATCCTCGGGCCAGAATTGTGGATGCACCACGGTCCCCTTGAATTTCTCAATGCCAGGGATCTTGCTTTGCAGAGGCGTCTTGTAGTCGTAGTAGCCAGTACCAAGGCAGAGGTGGCGCGCGTAGAATCGTTTCTTTTCGGTTTCGTTAATGGTGACATCGAGTTGCCATTGCTGATGTTCACTCGACCAGTTCATCTTTTCGACCTTGTGGTGGTACAAGATGTGCTTGTCAATGCCATGACGAGCCGCCGTTGCCTTGACATACTTAAGGATCGAAGGTGCATCGGCGATGGACCGATCCTCTTTCCAGCTATACAGCGATGGTTAGATATTTCACACATTGGGGACAGCATGGCACGGAGTCTCCTCGCAGGTAGTATACAGAGAACTTACGGATCAAAGGCAAAGCCAAACGTGTGCAGATCAGAGTCAGATCTGATGCCAGGATACTTGAACAGGGACCAAGTGCCACCTATTTCATTGCGGCCCTCGAGGATAGCATAAGAGTAGTCTGGCAGACCTTCTTGAAGCCTGTAAGCAGAATTGATACCGCTGATGCCTGTGAGAATGTCAATATCCAAAATGTGCAGGCAAAGGGGCAACGATAAAACCCCTGAATGTCCTCAGTAAGAGGGGACATACCGGCGCCAATGATGAGAACGTCAAATGTAGTGCCTGACATGATGAGTGCCGAGTTTGAGAATCCTTGTTGGAACCAGAGACGAGAGTATCGTTCGCTGACAATATATATCTGACGCCTAGCACCAGTGCGAGCACAGGAGATCGAAATATACGAGTCAGAAAGTTGCCTCTAGCCCCGACTCTGTCCTTCTGCCTCGGCAACTCTGCGCCAATGTCTACGGGTGGCAGTCTGCAGGCAAGATAGGCCCAGCGGAGCTAGCATATGGGGGGCGGGGGGCTAGTTGGCGGGGGCCCGGGGGCGAGGAAAGGCCTTCACATGTGCTCGCAACTTCGCAGCGGCAATGTATAAGAGAGAAAAGGAAACCAAACACCGAGGAGTATGAGTACTCGTATTTAAGCGGCATTCAACGAATCTTCTTATCGTTCTCGGACTCCCGCAGGTCCAGTAGAAAGCCTGCAACGAGCGGTGAAAGGAGCAAGGAGGAGTTTCATTAAATGTAATTGTCGCGGATCCCCGCAGGATTTTTCAGTACTCTCTCCGGGGTACGGGGAGTACAACCTACAGCAGAGCGCCTAGTAGGAGTAGGCCCTCGCAAAGTCATTTCTGAAATCCGTAGAGCCATTCCCACTGGATCCTGCCTCACGCCACTGACCAGTGACCGCTGACCAGATGTGGGCGGGTATGTGCCGGTTCTCATAAACCAGATGGTGCTGATCGATTCAACACGAGTATACGAGTACCTGGGACGCCTACAGCAAGGTAACTAGTGCTGATTCGTATTCGATACGGAGTACGGAGTACGCACGGAAGAATACAGCAAGACACGCCGCGTAGGTGTTCCTAGACACTCGGAAGGAGTACTCTTACTGGGTATTATTATGCTCACCAGAAGGATGATTAGTTGCATGAACATCTGCCTCAAACATGAATGATCATTATGTCTCAACTGGCACTGCATTTCCACTCGCATCGACCAAATGCTGATCGATCTTTTCGGGCCCTCCGCCGACACCTGTACAAATGACTCGACTGACGCCGGCCTTGAGGGTCATCAAGGTCTTTTGTTCTAGACTCCCGTATTCGTTTTTCCCAATGACATCGCCAAACTCCCCTTCCCATCCAGGTGTATTGGGAAGGATGTTCCTGAAAACACCCGCAACTTGATGAGTGTGCTCCTCGAGATAGTAAATTACTGCATTCGGACCGGCATCGAAGGTGTAAGCAGCGATCAGCTTCCCCGCCTTGCGATTAGCAGTCTCAACGGCATTCATAGCAGCACGAGACACGTCGTTGAGGTAGTGGATCGGAGGCCAGGAATCTAAACAGATGGCATGGAAGGAGTTGGAATCCTGCATCGTGATCCGGGCAAATGTCTCGAAGTCCTTTTCGTGGATCGCCTTCTCAATCTCCTTCATTCTCCAAGGAACGATCTCGTTGAAGCGCGCCGGTGCAAGCGTCGACGTCTCGACCGTAGTTTGCATTCCTGCAGTGGAAGGGACGCCCTTCTTCTCTGCACTGACGACCAGAATCAACGCTCTCATCTCGGGCCAATGCGAGGCAGGTGCAACCTCTTCAGCAAGGCTGTCGGACCCGTCTTTGTCTGTGCCAGCCCTCCAGGCAACGTATCCTCCCATCAAACTCCGGCAGGCAGAACCAGACCCTTGTCGTGCAATCACCGAGAGCTCCTCGGGCGACTGAGGCAGCTCGTAAAGGTTGGCGATTGCTCTGACCAGGGCGGCGAATCCTGCGGCGGAAGAGGCCAGGCCGGCGGCCGTAGGGAAATTGTTCGAAGACACAAGTCGGAGGGTCAACTTGGACAGTCTAGGTAGAGAGTCATCTTTAGACTCCAGCTGTTCTCGTAATGATCTAAGAGACTTGAGACACGCTTGTGTTCGTTTTGAAGATTCAATGTCCTCCTTTTCTCCATTGAGGATGAGCGAGTCAGGCCCCGAGAACGACTCGGCGCATGAAGCAGTGGTATGCGTTCGGAGCGACTTTTGCGACAAAGTGACAGACAGCGACGAATTCGTGGGCAGATTCAAAGCTACATCTCGCTTTCCCCAGTACCTGTTGCGCCCTCGTTAGTAGCTGGTTCCATAGTTCAATCAGGAGATCTCCCCCCAGCATACCTACTTTATGACAGCGATGTTGACCGGCGCCGTAGTGCTGGCGCGGTAGACTTGAGGGGATGCCGACATGTCGAATGGCTTGAGCAAATGTACTTTGGGAAGAGTCGTTCTGCAAGATCCAGAGGCGGCATGCGGTGTGTTTACTGCTTAAACCGTATCGGCGATAATGCGGGCAGATGGAAAATGTTTCTCTGGCCACTAAGACGGAACTTTGCTGTGCCCGACTTGCTAACTCTCCTACTGTACCACCTCCATATACCTAATTTCTTGTATTTCTCAGCCGACCATTTCGCCTTCTGTCCGGACTCAAACATCAGTCTTGTCTATTGATACGACACTCTTCATACAATCGCCATGGGTTGGTGGAAAGCAGATCCAGTCCCCGAACCACCTCAACAGCAGACCACTCCGTCGACATCGTCCATACCTCAACCACCACCACCAGCACCGCCGTCGAACTCAGGCGCCTCGGCCTCAGCATGCCCAGTCGATCCACAGACACGGTCAATATGGCTTCAACAAGCCCAAGCACAAAAGAATAAGAACACACAATCTCAGTCTCAACTACCTCCCTCTCACCCTCCTCTTCCGCCTCACCATCCCCAAGTCGAAGCATCATCCCAACCGCCACTACTTCCCACGGCCTACGCTTCGTCTAAAGAATGTTCATCCGATCGCATCTCACAGGATCCCTCCCCTCCGCTCACGTCCGCCTACAAGACAAGCCGCCCGCTGTCCCAAGACCGCGCCATATCGTCCATACCGCGCTCTCAGACCCCGACGGCCTCTTCATCGTCGTCCTCAGCCGCCCCCGCCAATGCCGAAACCGAAACCGGGCACCACTCGTCAGGCAACTGGATCTACCCGTCCGAGTCTCAGTTCTTCAACGCTGTCATGCGCAAGGAGACGCTGACGTCGTCGAACCCCGAAGACCTCCTCTCGAGCATCTCGCACATCATCCCGATCCACAACGCCGTGAACGAGCGGGCCTGGTCGCTCATCAAGACGTGGGAAGCCGACTCGTCCAGCGCCTGCGGCGGTCCGAAACTGCAGTCGTTCCGCGGCCTGGGTGCCGGCGCCCTGTCCCCCCGGGCACGCATGAAGTCGCTGATGGGCTACACCCAGCCCTTCGACCGCCACGACTGGGTCGTCGAGCGCTGCGACGGGGGAACGGTCGAGTACATCATCGACTTCTACCAGGGCAAGCCAGACCCCAACGGGAAACCGAACAGTCTAAACTTCTACCTCGACGTGCGGCCCAAGCTCAACACCCTCGAGGGATGCAAGATGAGAGCGGAACGCTTCATGGGTTGGCGATAACATCTCCTCTGCTGGTCTCGTGATTTGTGAGCGTGAGTGTGGCCGTGGGTGTGCGTCCACGAGGATATCTCTTGAAAAGAAAGACCAGGAAATTCGAAGTTTTGTACCACCAACACGAAATTGTAATTCTCCATGTCATGTATATATGAAAAAGCCCTGTAGCTCAATCTGATTCATCAGAAAAACGAGCGAGGATATTTGTAGGACCACAATTCCAACTATCCATCTACACTCCATCTCTATACCAGCCATCCTCCTTTGTCCACTTTCACTCCGTAGATACCCCGAGGTATAGTTATGAATGCAGTAGAAGTCAAAGTCAATTTCAATTATGGCCTGTCATAAGAACCCTACTTGAAGAAACTGTATACAACAATCCGTGGTTTAATCCTGTTCAAAAAACCCACTTCCCGCTTATGTATTGCCTCGTCTGCTGAGCCATCATCTGCAACAAAGATTCAGCAAGGTAAAACGGCCTCCGAATGAACGAATAAACGAATGAAAATTGATTGGCTCTATGAAACTTGCCTCCTTCCGTATCCCATAACTCCTGAGTCACTTCCAATGCAACGCCGAATGTGGATGCAAATGACCGCTATGCGGCGACCCTGCGTCTCCGGAAAGATTTGATAATAAATGATGGGTAATTGAATGAGAGGCAGTGGGCCGTTTCGAATCGTAAATGCGAGGTGTTTCAATCATACCACCCATTAACAAAGGAAAATCGTGTCGACATGATATGCTGAATGTGCTGATGCATCTGTGCTGATGCTGTTTTGGAGTCGTGGCGTATCTTGCGGACTCCCAGGCATCGTGTTCGAGGGGACAAGGAACAAAAGTCCAACATCTGGCCTTCGAGGAAACTCCGTTCGATGCATTACCAATTGCCGGTCCTGACAGCTGACTGCTCGGCCCCATATGTGTTGGAAAATAGCTGCTGTCGAATGCTTTGTTGTTGTGTTGGCTGAGGAGTGGGTTTAAGCCAGCCGAGAGCATCGACAAGAGCTTCGTAGGCCTCTCGTAGCCGGCCACCACTCTTGTCGTTGTGTGCCCTCAACTTCACCTCCCAGCCATTGTACTGTAGTTGAATTCCACCTCCTCTTTTGCTGGCTTCCTTGATAACGGCAGCCCACGCTCTTGAAATTTCTTCATATGCATTCTGCTTGGCAAGATTGTACGATATATTATCCCACTCTGGAAGATCATGTATGATGTTTGTGACTCCGTGCAGATATTCTAGTGAGACTGACGACTGCTGCTCATTTGGAGGCAGGAAATGTGGAGTAAAATCTGTAAGAGCCTCAAGCAGATCGTGCCACTGAGGACGAACTCGATCGTATGCGTAGTCGGATCGTGGATTGGGGCCAAGCGGGAATGATTGCATCAATCGGTCGTAGTATTGTCGGAGAACTTGCAGTGTGCTCTGGATACTGGGTCGAGGGCTAACTTGAACAATTTCTTCTCGCAAGCCAGGGTTTCGGTCACAGAGAGTTTTCAACACAGTTTTCAACGAGTCTTTGTCCAAGGTCTCCAGAAGTCTATCCACCGACAACGGCCTCCCTGCCAGATTCGACCGGACTCGCTTTCTCGTCGAAGGAGTTACAGGTTGGGGAAGCCGAGCATTTGGAATAGAGGGGGATGTTGTCATTTCATCATCCCGGTCTGGGGAAGGGGAGGCTTTTCGTTTTCTCGACGGGGCGGTGGATGACACTGAGGTGGCGGTTAGTCTCTGAGAAATCGTGTCCTAGGATGGGACGAACTCACTTGATCGACCTGGAGAGAGACGAGTGTGTTCGTGGAAATGAGGAGGGATCGGTGGCGTAGCCAGACTGTTCATGATGGCTGTTGATGCCGATAAGACGGAGATTGTTTGTGAGTTCAATATGAGGACAATGCGGTAGATGGTGCCGACGGACGTGGCCTTGAAAGAGAGGAAGAGGCCCTGAAGTGGTTGGAATGAACGGGGCAGTCACAGGCAGTCAGTCACGAAGTCTTTGTATGCACCCCGGCAGTCCAAGCGGTGAAGGCCGGGTGTGGGTGGTGATGGAGATGCAATTGTGTATGTGTGTGATGGGAAGCCGGGTGTAATGGGTCAAGTTAGTAGTCGAGGAGGGAGTGGAGGAGGAGCTGCGCCTAGAGCGGGAGAGAGAAGGCTCTGAAAGCCTAGCACCTAACAGGGCATGGTACCTACTACTGTTGGTAGGAGCCAACTAGGTGCTAGTAGCCTAACTAGTAGCCCAGCAGGTATGACGCAGTGCAGGCCACTGGCTGGTTGCTTTGCTGGCCCGGGTGGCTCCCTTGGGCCTGTGTGCAGGGTGCCTCAGGGATGGTTCACCAGGCCTACACGGTTCATGGCGCCACTAAGGCTGGTTCTGCAAGCCTCACTAAACGCCCTTGACCAGCCTGATTTGCCAACCCACATATCCAAGGCTTTTGCTGCCCAATCCCAACCCTGATTTCATGCCGTTTCATGACTCGGGCCAGTGCACTCGAGCCCGCTAGTTAAGAACCTTGTGTCGCGCTGCACTGTTGTTGGCCAACTGACTGCTTTGTCTACAGTCAACAGAGAAAACTTACCTGTGGCTAACACTTCACAAGGGTTACGGATGGGATGCGGTCCTCAGTACACACTCTTAAGGTACTCATATGGGATGTAGAAAACGGATCCACCCGTTGTAGCTTGGGGTCTTTATGCAGCTTTTCGCCGCTGCAAGGCAAAACATTATTTAATATCGGTTGTTCGACAAGACTGGCTCTGACCTCGGAATCCTAAGACATCCAAACAAGATGCATAGCAAGGTCCGCGGTGCCGAGCCCACCTAGGCAGAACTGGTCCATGAAATCCCGCAGGTCCACCAGTGTACTGCTGGTCGTCGTGTCGTCAAACTGAGGCATGGGTATCATCATACATAATAGCCACTCCCCCAGATGGCAGTGCGATCAAGGGGCGAAGGCGTGGTCTCGAGTTATTATGGTCGGTCAAGTCTAGAGATACAGTGACTGAGCGGCCACAATATCTCTTCTTACCTTGGTCAATGCCTCCTCGAATTTCTTTTCCAACTCTTCACTACCCATGACTTTAGACGCCTCAGCCATTTGACGAAGGGCTTCTTCCAGTCGGCGGAAGACCCGGATCAAGCTGCCTTCGTAGACGTCGGTCATTTTGCTGCATCAAACATCAGTGATCGCCTTCAAACATAACGCACTTCACTTACCATATTTCGCCAAACGACTTTCCTTTTGCCCAGGCATAAATCACTGGCATAAGCTGCCACTTGAAGCTCTGTACGTATTCTTCCTCGTTGACCGCAAGTTTGGATTCGATCGATACTTTGGCAATCTGTCTGGCTTGTCTCTGGATCTCTCTTAGTGGCCTAGCAAGATCCTCGGTCAATGCGGGCTGTTCGTTGACCTTCTCCTCAAAGACAAAACAACTCATGATTGCAGCACAAAGCTCAGGAGTCATGTCGTTGAAGAACCGGTTGAAAAGTAGCTCACTAAGCATCAACTCATCGCCTGTGCTGATCTCGCAAGCCACACGAGCTTTCAGTTGGACAACTTCGTCTTCGTTGATGAACTGCAACCGGCGGAGGACACGCTTGCGGCATTTCAACTCATCAAGCTGCATAATCGCATGAGCGTCTTGAATCTGCTTTTTCAACGCTCGGATTTTGTTTTGCATGGCCACCTTCTCAGCGTATTGGTTGTAGAGCCCTTCCAGTCGTGGAGAATTGTGCAGAGGGTTCGCAACCAGTCTTGACTCCATGATCTCAATCTTGCGAAGGAGTTCTTTGAAGGAATTGTCCGTAATCTTCATATTCTCGATTGGGTCTAGGACAGAGAGACCATCGGGAAACCGTCTCTGGACTTCTTGCAACGCTTTCTGGACTTTCTTCTTCTCTTCCGAGATCGTCATGTCGGCAGGGGGAAAGATGCGGATATGAGAGATCTTCTGAACGCACTTAAGCAGGACAGGGACCACCTCAACTTTCGAGTTCTCGCCAGGTTGCGCGGGCCGAATACCGGCCGGAAGCGACTGAAATGTTTTGGTGGTTGGTGTGGAACCTTCGGCACACTCAAGAGCGATGTCAAGAATCCATTCTTCTTGCGGTGTTACCTTCGCATTTGATTTTCCAGTCGTTCGTCGTGCGAAATTGATCACAGCACCCCAGCCAAAGTCGTGCTCCCCATCCTTGATGTACACTAATCGACCGGGTTGCATAAAAGGCAAGGAGTAGTTTGGATGGATGATGACATTGCGCATGTCTTCGGCATAGACATCAAGCTGCTTCCTCAGGTCGTAGTACGCGCGAATTGAACTTTCGTCCTCGATGACCATGGCCGATTTGTCTGCCTCCAGCTGCTGCAGCTCTTTCTCCAAACCACTCACGCTCGCAGTGTTCTGGAACTGATGAAAGCATTTCTCCAGCATGAATTCGGGTGAGATACCCTCAGTTCTTAGCAGGTTGAGGATCATGTTGTAGCCAAGATAAAACGCTGAATTCAATTTATCCTGTTCACCACGCACAATGTCCTTTGCAACGCTCGGATCCATCTGCTCGTTGATCATCATGATAACAATTCCGCGTTCGTCGAGACCGCGACGGCCAGCCCGTCCGGACATCTGGATAAACTCAGATGGAGTCACCCACCGTTGGGAGTAGCCGTCGAATTTACGAACACTGGTGAATACCACAGTCTTCGCAGGCATGTTCAGGCCAATGGAGAATGTTTCAGTTGCAAACAACACCTTTATCAAGCCTTCTTGAAACAGGATTTCGATCGTCTCCTTGAGAATTGGAAGTAATCCTGAATGATGGATGCCAATACCGCGTCTCAGGAGTGGGAGCAAATGCTGGATTTGAGGCAGATTCTTGTCATCGGGGGACAGCATTTCCAACGCACTTTCAAAGACCTTGGACACCATGGCCTTTTCAGAATCCTCATTGAAGGACATGGTGCTCATTTGAATTGCATAAGCCTCGCAATCACGTTTACTAAAGCTGAAGACGATGACTGGATTGTAATTCTTGGTCATGATCATGCGGACGATCTTGTAAATATCCGAGGGACCCTTAGTGCCTCCTTTATTCAAGCGCTTGTCTTTACCCCTTCCTTTCCGACGAGCCATAGCGTTTGAAGGATCGTCTCCTTGCTTGTCGGCAATTGAACTCATGGCCTTTTGGAAGTTATCCTCCCGGAACACACCCTTTTCATCCACAATCAGGTGAATGCCATCTGCACCTGCCGGGAAGAAGTAATGCTGTAAGGGAGTCGGTCTGAAGTCGGTGTAAACCACGTGGCAAGGCTGGCTATGAATCTTGGTAATCCACTCGGCGAATTGCATGGCGTTGGGAATCGTTGCAGACAAAAACACATAGCGAACCTTGTCAGGCAGCAGTATGATGGTCTCTTCCCATACCACACCTCTGGTTTTGTCTCGGAGATAGTGAATCTCATCAAAAACCACCCAACCAACCTCTCGCATGATCTCCGAACCTCGGTACAGCATGGACCGAAGAATCTCAGTCGTCATGACCAGGACGGTGGCGGTCGGGTTTATGGTCACATCACCCGTCATCAAACCAACATCACCGAAGTCGGCCTGGAATTCTCTGTACTTTTGATTGCTCAAGGCCTTTATGGGGCTGGTGTAGATGACTCGCTGGTTGTTTTTCAAGCACTGTGCAATTGCATATTCGGCGACCACCGTCTTGCCTGCGCTAGTGTGTGCGGAGACTAGTACACTTTCATTTCTTTCAATGGAAGCAATCGCAACTTGTTGGAAGGGATCAAGCTGGAACTTCCAGGTTCGGGCGGGTTCGGCGGGCGGCTTGTGCTGATTGATAGGGATGTAATCATAATCTGGGGGTAATGCAACTTGATGTCGAACTTGATGGTGCAGAAGAATCTTTTCTTCGTCCTTCGAGGCTTGAAGGCCGGCGATGGCATCGACCTCTCTGGATTGCTCGGTCTCAAAAGTATCAGTGACCACGGGCTCAGGCTCGTCATCTGTCCGCATGCGCTTGTTACCGGGTTCGTCGGCCTCTGTGGCGTCGGTACCATTCACATCGGGAGCCGGGGACGTTTCACTGTTGGAAGTGGCGTTGGTCATCTCAATGTCGGCCGCATCTTTCAATTCACGGTCAGCTTGTCGCTTTCGTCGTCTTTCTTTCTTGGACGGTTTGTTTGTTGGGCTTGTCGCTGACTGTGCAGCAGATGGGCTGTCTTCGAACACGTCGAAAAGCTCTTCCATCCTGGTAGGGTTTCCTCAACACCTATGGGGGTTACGAAAAGTTGATTGTAGAGAAACGTCGCGCAGAGGCTGCGGCAGCAGTGAAAGAAAGACTTGTGGAGGCGGAGGAAATTCCAGGTACCAAACCAATGGGGAAGTTATGCCGGGCTACGCCAAGGCTTCGAGCTGCTGCTACATCTATGAACGGAGTGGACTGACACTACTCTTCACGATCTTCAAGCTGTTCAGCACAACCAAGCAGCTGTTCCCGCGCTCCATTGCAAAGGTTGGTCTCTTCACGGTAGCTGCGGACCCAGTTACTGATCTCACAGATGAACGCTCAATCTCTACTCCGCGCCAGAATGGCAACCCAAACCATCGCCCGCCGCGGCTTCTCGACCACTCGACCTCGATTTGACAGCCCCTTCCACTACCCAGAGGGCCCAAGAAGCGGTCTTCCATTCAACCCTAAGACAAAATTCTTCTGGCTGAGGTACTGGACATTTATGAGTATGTTTTAGCAACGAAGTTACAAAGAGCTTGGACTAAGAGTTGCGCAGCTGCTGGATTCGGCGTTCCGTTTTTGATGGCCAGTATGTATAATGTTGCGGCAGCACAAACACGAGGGACTGACCAAAGATATAGTCTGGCATACGTACAAGGCATGAAGTATTTCTCGAAATGCTTGGGCGGAGATCAGTCAGCGTGGAACTTGAGTGAGGGTGTGGCATCCCGGCACTCGGATTTGTACAGAGCCTCAGACAATACAATCAAATTCGATCAGACCCTTCGAACACCCTCAATGTATTGTCCCGTGCTCTTCCTCGCGCCCAAGTTTTCTCTAAGCTTGGTATCGACTGGTCCAGTCTGCGTCACTCGCTGATGGTGAGCTCGATCTTGACCAAACTCTGGAGAGGTCGCTTCGTGCTTCATCATGAAAGAACAAATATAGCCGCGAGGAGTCTTGGTCCTAGTGTATAGAATTTGACGTTGTCCAGCTCCTCGAGCAGAACGTCTTGTCGAGGTTGCTCATCTAAGAAGATTCAGAATCCGACCTTCGGCCAATCAAATGGCAGGCAATCGTCTCGGAGATTTAATTCTCCGAGTATATTTTATTTTTTGATGAGACTTCTGTATGCAACTCATAGTTGGTCATTTTGACCCCAGACATAACTGAAGACACATCCAGCAGCCGAGGGGACCATCGTCATGAGAAATCTAAGAACAGTCTCGTATTCGCAAACGGAACTGAAAGCCGATCTTCCCCTCGCGGCTACAGCATGGGATATTGCCAACAATACCATTGTCTGTGCCCTTGGCCCGACGCCCACAAAACCGGTCATTGAACTGAAGCGAAGAGCATTAACGGGAGCAGAGGGAGCACAATTTACCAGCATCACATCCTGGGATGCTCCATGTCCGCTGCCGGATTTGGAATGCGATGAAATTTTACTTCTTCAACACTTTTCTGACACTGCCACGTCTTGCCTAGTATTGGCTGGTGGAGATGTCGTGGTGGTTCGTGAGGACCCTTTGCCCGATGAGGAGAAGATTGAAATAGTCGGCTCTGTCGATGTCGGAATTTGTGCTGCTGCCTGGGCTCCGGACGAGGAGCTCCTCGCTATCGTCACTCGAGCAGATACACTTGTTCTGATGAGCAGGACTTTCGAGCCACTGAATGAAAGCACCTTTTCGGCAGACGATCTAAAAGTGTCGAAGCAAGTCTCAGTAGGCTGGGGCCAAAGAGAAACTCAATTTCAGGGAAGACGGGCCAAGGCTATGCGAGATCCCACTGTCCCGGAGACCGTCGATCAGGGAAAGCCCAGTCCTTATGAGGATGGCAAAGCAACGATCAGTTGGCGAGGAGACGGGCAATACGTCGCTATCAACAGCGTGGTGGCTGGTAATCGACGCGTAGTCAGAGTCTATACCCGGGAGGCTGTGCTTGATAGTGCGAGCGAGGCAGTGGACGGACTTGAGTCTGCCCTCAGCTGGAGACCATCAGGAAATCTCATTGCAGGCATCAAGCGCTCGTCCAGCAAGACAGAGATTGTGTTCTTCGAGAGGAATGGTCTGCGGCACGGTCAATTTGATCTCAGATTGACACAGAAAGATTCGGAGAACTGGGCTAGCTGCATTTCTCTCTCATGGAACACGGATTCCACGGTTCTGGCCATCTGCTTCAAGGACCGTGTACAATTTTGGACCATGGGAAATTATCATTACTACCTCAAGCAGGAGTTTTTGCTTTCTGGAGTTCTTCATCCCACCTCTCTCAAGTGGCACACAGAAACACCGCTCAGGATGGCCCTTGGCACAGCCGAGGGATTGTTGGATATAACCTTTCTCCCAGCGGTGAGCCGTGGTAGCACGGTGCCTCCCTATGACAGCGGTGTCGTGGCCGTTATTGACGGGAAGACACTCAAACTCACACCACTGAAGCAAGCTGGAGTGCCTCCACCGATGTCGTTCTGCGAAGTCGCTTTCGACTACAACATTGTAGACTGTGCTGTCAGTCAAGACAGCCGGAAGATCGCCGTCTTAACCACACACTCTCTCGAACTTTGTCAATGGTCGACTCGGACTACACCCACGGGTGACTCCAAGTTCACAACGTCTGTGCAACGACATTCCCGACCACTACCGAGTACTAGTCGATATACACAGGTGGTGGAAAAGGGGGGGGAAGTGTATATGCTAGCCCCAGCTCAGAGTCACAAACCAGCAGCATGCATGAAACTAGCCTGGTCTGAGACGTCCACCTCAAAAGACTTCGAAGCAATACCTATACCTCAAGGGAGTGATAATCTTCTGGTTGACATTCATTTCGACTCCGTCGCATGCACAAGCTCTATGCTTGACTCGACATTCTTGGTTCCGTATCCGTCTGAGATTGATTCACACCAAATCCACGGCAGCCAGCCCAACAGTTCTCTATTTGCCTTGCCGGGCCTTGATGCACAAGTCAACGGTACCATCAACGGGCACACAACTCAGTACCACAAAGCTTCTCTGACTTCGAAGGGAAACCTTTACATCGACGATATCCTTCTAGTACGAGAATGTACATCCTACGTACTCACAGCCGCCCATCTGATCTTCACAACTTCTCAACATTTGCTAAAGTTTGTCCATCTAACAACTCCGTCCAACATGCAAGTACCTGGTGATACTCCGGAAGTTGACGAGCGATGCCGAAGCATCGAAAGAGGGGGCAAGATAGTCACAGTCATTCCCTCGATGTATGCTGTGATTCTCCAAATGCCACGAGGAAATACAGAGACAGTGTACCCACGCCTGCTCGTCCTGTCGGGCATACGCCACCATCTCAAACAGCAAGACTATCTGTCAGCCTTCCTGGCTTGCCAGACACATCAAGTTGACATGAACATTCTGCACGATTACGATCCCGGAACATTCCTAGCCAACGTTCCCAAATTTATCGAGCAATTGAAGAAGCCGAGTCGCATCGACGAGTTCCTTTCAAAACTTAAAGACGAAGACGTCACGCAAACCCTTTACCGAGACACTCTCAATGTTCAACAAGCACAAACTCAGGCAGTGGCACAAACAGTACAACCTAAACCAGGCACAAAGGTCAACAAGATTGCCGAGGCCTTCTTGTCTGCCCTCTCGCCTCACGCGTCCACATCCTTCCAGAACATGATAACAGCACACGTCTGCAAACGCCCGCCGGATCTCAACTCAGCCTTGAGCATGATATCAAATCTACTGTCTTCCTCCAGAGACGAAGCTGAATCCGCCATCTCGCATCTCGTGTTCCTCACGGATGCGAACCGTCTCTTCGACGCCGCGCTCGCCCTCTACGACCTCGACCTGACGCTCCTCGTCGCACAAAGCGCCCAGCGCGACCCGAAAGAGTACACGCCCTTCCTGCAATCTCTCAACGCCCTCCCAACGCTTCGACGGCAATATACCATCGACAACCACCTACACAGGTACGCCCGGGCCCTGTCCTCCCTACACGCGCTCGAAGCACACGACGAATTCGAGTCGTACACGGTCAAACACAAGCTGTACACGACGGCACTCGACCTCTACAAATACGACAAGGCACACCTGGAGAAGATGATGCGCCTCTACGCGCAGCACCTCACGACGCAATCCCAGCACAACCACGCCGCTACGCTCTTCGAGTCACTGGGCGACTACGACGCCGCATACCCTCTGTACGCACTCGCCCACAAGTGGCGGGAGTCTCTCACCTGCGCGGCGATGGTCCCCCTCGATCCAGAGAGGCTCTCGTCGCTCGCCACGTCGCTCGCGACCACGTGCACAGACGAAACGCGCGACTTCCGCGCTGCCGCCACCATCCACGCCGAGCACCTCAACGACACGCTGAATGCGGCCCGCCTGTTCTGCCGGGGCTCGTACTTTGCCGACGCAAGCCGCATCCTGGCGCTCCGCGGCCTCCGGCCCGAGATCCCGGGCGTTCTGGACACCGCGCTGGCCGAGAAGGTGGGCGAGATCCTCGAGCTCATCGCCGACTGCAAGGGCCAATTGTCCGCGCAGGTGCCCCGGATCGCCGAGCTGCGGAAGAAGAAGGAAGAGGACCCGCTCGCGTACTACGGCGGCGACCCGTCCCTCGTCGACCCCAACGCCGCCGACATCCCGGACAACGTGTCCCTCGCGGCCACGGACGCCACCACCGCCGGCGGCCAGAGCCTGTTCACGCGCTACGGGAGCAACGCGAGCAAGTTCGGGGGCACCGTCGCGAGCAATGTCTCGCGCAGGACCAGCAAGACCAAACGCCGGGAAGAGCGGAAGCGGGCAAGGGGCAAGAAGGGAAGCGTGTACGAAGAAGAGTACCTCATCGCCAGCGTGGCGAGGTTGATCGAGAGGGTCAACGGCGTGCACGACGAAGTCCAGCGCTTACTCAGCGGCCTGTTGAGGCGGGGAATGCGCGAGCAGGCCGCAAAGGTAGACGAGGTGCTTAGGGAGATGGTCGAGCTGTGTGTCAAGGCCAAGGGAGAGGTGTGGCAGGCTGCTGCTGCGGCGCTGCCCGAAGACGTCAATGCCGGTGCTGCTAATACCTACGACGTCAACGGCGAAGGGAGACCTCCCGGTGCTGATGGTGTGTTTTGGGAAAGCCAACAAGGCTTTCAGAAGAAAGAGGCGCCAGAAATCAGGGAGTGGATGTCGAATGAGCTTGTGACGGCATGAATATCCACGAGCCATAGATTATGGGAAGGCTCCTTGTAGGCTAAAACGACCCCAAGTTTACAGCAATTAGCTTAAGATTTTTGCAAGACTGCTCTCTCTATCTGACTTGTTCCATCTCTCGTCGAGGCTGCTGCCGTCCATTCATTCCATTTGATGTCTTTCTCTGAAGTCCCGAAGACCGCTGGGAAGACTCCACTCTTCGAGACTCTTGTCTTGATTGTGCTCTTTGTGTGTCTTTTGCAAAGAGCTGTCGACGCGTTGGTGGCTCTTCAATAGGTTTTGAGGACTGAGGCTCTGGCTTCGGAGGTTCAATAGCCTTCTTTGCTTGATTGAGATCGGCAATCCCTAAGCCGACATCAAGTAAATAGAGTTGGAAAGCAGAGAGCAATTCTTTCAGTCCGGCTCTCAGTCGTTCAATGATAATTTGAACTTCTTCAATCCCTCCACTCCCACCAGGACCATTCTTGGCGACAAAGTTTTCTATTGTTGTCAAGGTTCTGGTGAACTGTCTTACAGTCTCTGGAACGGTGGGCGTTGCTTTACCATACGTGTCTTCCGTGAGACTTGCTATCAGCATCTTGGTGAGCGAATCAACCACATCCACGATTACAGCCGCATCGCTATTTGGTGATCCGAGTACTGTAGCATTGATTCTCGCTGTTTTCGTGGAGGTGAAGAACCAGCCGATCGGGCTCTTTTGCAATGCACCGACCCATTGCTCAACCACGCTCTTTGATTGCACTTGAGGAGTACCAGGAGGTCTGGCATACTCAAGCAACTTCGTCTCGACAGCCTTGGTGGTGTCTTCGATTGGTGGTCGCCACGGCTGACTGCTACTTCCAAGATTTCTCAAGGACCCACCAACAAGAGACTCACCCAGGGACTTTTTATGGCTTGCATTGAATATTGATTGTGTTTGGATCTCTGGCACAATATGCGGCAAGCTTTCTACAATACTCGATCCCTGGGATTGCGATACTTGTGGAGGTGGGCCGAGAATACGACTGTCGATCTCGCGTAGAATCTTTAGTCCAGCCTCGGATATTTGAGCCCAAATTGGACCGGTAGCTCGCTCAATGTCTTCAAAAATGGTCTTTCTGCGATCTTTGTGTTTTTGAGCAATAATTGACAATTCCCAAAAAGCAAATGTCCTCACTACATCCCTCTTTGCTCGCAGCCCGGTGAGTAACGTCCCATTGGGATCTTTGCTTGTGGATGATAAAGGAAACCCAGCCTTGGTGGGTTCCTGGCCAAGGAAAGTCAGGAACAAAATCGTTGTCACTTCCCAGGTTGCGGCTAGTAAGAAGCCTGCGATGAGGCATCTGAGTAAATGCAAAGGACCGAGAGGAGGAAGGCCAATCGGTCGAGCATTTGCCCTTGACAAGTTGTTGAATAACTTGGCTATCGCGAGATGCGTCTGCCAGAACAACTGTCGGAAGAGAAAAGTGTTGAGAAAGGGCGCCAACATCATAACTGCGGTTGGAATACCGAACAGTCGAATGATTGCCGAAGACAGTCTTTGTTGAACTTGTGCCAGGATTGGCTTTTGTGGATGTGTTGTGTGTCCTTTGCCTTCCGTATTTGGAGATGCTGGTAAGCTCGAGACCGGAATCTCAAGTGACGAGTTCCCAAGATAGAGATGTACCCCAGCATAAGCGCAGCCAAGTAAGAGTGTGTATAAGCGCAGGAATATCGGTTTCTCATTCAGCATATCCGGGGCATTGTGACCACCCGGAATTGTCCAAGCAAGATCTGGTGCGGACCAGGTGTAGACGGAGGTAAAGACGAACGCTGACAAGAGGTACCAGAAAACGGTCCAGAAGGTTGTCGTGCTCAGGACAATCCTCCTGAACATCCCAAAAGGCGAGGCTGCTGTCTGACGGCCTATCTTTAGACCGGCGATCTGGGGGAAGAAAATGCAGAGGCTGCATAGAGAGAAAAGCAAGGCTTTAATACCTGCGGGCCCTAAAGGAAACCATGACCAGAAAAGGTCTGGAAGATTTAGTATCTCGGTAAATCATACACAGGATACATTGAAGCCGTACCCTTCTTCGACCCCAGCCAAAAGGCATTGTTAAGAGCAATCAGCAGCGATATCAAGACCGCATGTATAAATCTCGTGTGCAGGGCCGAATTCAAGAAGCGTCGGTACGGTCGTGGGCGTGAAGGTGCTGGGGAGGTAGCGATACTCGACATGATGGTGGAAGAAACCCAATGTCAGGGACAGACCATAGTATGGAGAACTGCAGCAGTCAACGACCAGCGTAGACCGCAATCGAGATGTCAACGAACAGGTGTGAAATTGAATTCTGCAATAAACAACGCCTGCGCGCGCGATCTCCAAAAAGTCGTCACTGCAGGCAACGCCAAGGAGCCTCTTCCTGAGCCGCTCGTGCCTGAACCACACTAGCCCTGCTCAGGAAGCAAGACGATGCCGCCCTTACGTACGTTCTACAAGAATTTAAAGCAGCACTCCATGACTTTTTCACCACCGGTGAGATACATGATGCACCTGCTGGCAAGAGGACGGATATCTCACCCCCTAACTTAGGTATCGAAGTAAATCTCTTTCGAATCGTTGTCAACAGAGTTGGTAGAAATACATGACTTTTTGTGTCTGCTTTTTGTATCTAACAATGCGGGTATCATACATCTAGATATAGATGCGTGGGTATTTCTTTTCTATATCCTTGACGAGAGCCGTGGACCTTGGCGGATAAAAATACAGTATGTACAATGAGAAAACAGGCTAGATGGTCGATGATGCGGAAGAAGGGGCCGAAGTAGAAAAGGAACCCAAGGTGATAGGATGGTGGGAGATTTTTGTGGTAGTCATGACCTTCTGTCTCCTGGCCGGCGCGATCGGCGCGCCCTCCCACATTTCATGTGCCGGTACTGCCTCGCCCTTCATCAGTAGTGACACGCAGCCAAGCTGTGCGCCTTCGCCCACGCGACTATTGGGCAGACATATCGAATACGGCATACAGCAAGAATTCGCCTCGACGTCCACTCGCCCAACCTTCATGACGCGATCTTCAAATAAATGCGTTTGAGGCGCAGCGTGCATGTTCAAGACGGCTTCGTCGCCGATTTTAACCATGTCAAACTCTGTAATGTCGTGTGAGAGTAGAGTTGCTCGCGAGCCGATCTGGACACCCAGCAATCGCAGGAAAAAAGCAATGTACGGTGTTCCCGTAAGCATTTCCACGATGAAGGGGACGGTCAGGGTTTCGTAGGTCGAGGTCACGAATTCGGATTTCCAGACGTCGACGCTCCAAAGAGGCCATTCGGCACACTGGTAGGTGCCGATGAGGATGAGCTTGAAAATAAGGGTCGTGAAGAAGGAAGGGAGACCAAATACTATACAACCACATGCACACAGATTAGTATTGGAAAATTTGCACCGAGAATGAGGGATGAGTGCCGAGGACAAGGTGCTTACGAAAGAAGTAGACCACTGGGACCATCAAAACACTTGCAACAATGCCGAGGTGGTCGTAGATGTGCCCAATGATGAGTGTGCTGTAGCCCAGAGCACAAGTGATGACTAAACGAGGCAAAACAATGCGCAAACCTTCAATGAGCAGTCGAACGGCAATCTGCTTGGGGCGTGGATGAAACAAAAGAGTCTCATCATGATCTACCTGAGCCTTTTGGCGAGCAGGCATCAAAATGGGCGGGCTGCCAAAGCAGCTTTCGCCTTCCTTCAGCGGGGTGCTAGGCGAAGTCGAGAGGACGCCGAGTAGGGTATTCGAAGCCATCACGGCGCCTTGGTGCACAAGCGCAGCATTGCCGACAAAGGCACGGTCTTTGAGGACTGTCTTTTTCAAGGTCACTGTATGGTTTCGCACCGTTTCGTTGCCCAGCAACACATGGTCTGCCACAAAGGACTCGTCACCAATCTCTGTGAGCTCGTAGTTGATACCCCGGGCTGTCGAGACTTCTGAACGACGTCCGATCTTGACACCCAGTGACCGCAGAAATGGGACGACATAGAGCGTCGCGTACACCGGATGCAAGATCACAAGACTCATGTCCATGAGTCGGTCGATCAGCCACTTCCGGAACCAGTAAACCGAGGTTGTGCGAAAACTTCGTTCAGTAACCTTGCCAAGGACAAGCCAGCGTAACACAAGAAGTTGGAAGTAGGTCAGGAAGAGATAGATAATGGCCGCAGGAACAATAACAATAGAAGTCTGTGTCCACTCGCCAACATTAGGAATGTTGAGGTAATCGAAAAGCATCATGCTCGGAATCTGTGGACCGAAGTACATGATAGGGAGCACGAATCCTGAGCTCATCACGACTGCCAGCGTCATGCAAGCAACCCGCATGCTGCTCGGTCGGTTTGCTCTCATGGCCCCAACTTCCTCCACGTTCGCCTGGAATCGTGCAGGAGAGCCAGCCCATCGCTGGCCTGTCGGAATGCAGGCTCCTCGGGGTACCATACTCAGAGGGCCCACCTCGGCTCCCTCCTCAATGAGTGCTCCACCCTCGATAACGGTATGGCTGCCCAGGTGAGTCTGAGATCTGATTTCGACTTCTTCCAGGATAAGTCGGCCACGTTCGACCCAGCTGGTGTTGAGAACCAGGTCTTTGTTAAGGCAGACATCGTCACCGATTGAGACCAGATCCATTGCGGGGCCGACATACAAGATACCCATTTGACACCCTTTGCCAATCCTGGCACCTAGGCACCGTAGGATTGTTGGCAGCAAGGGAGTCTCAGCGATTGTTACCATGTCGATGAGTTTGATGAAGTGGCCAACCAGCCACCATCTATAGTAATACAACCCATACAATGGGTATTCGCCAGGTCTCGCTTTCCCAAGCACTAACCACTTGGCAATCAGGGCGACCAGCACCCTGACAATTGGGATGACCACAAAGGTAAAGTACGATCCCACAATAGCAGTGCCAATGTCGAAAGTTCTCAATAACCCGTAAAACATAAGATATGGCCCGATGAGACTCGCGCCCTGGATGCCGAAAATGAGTATCAGAGCTGGCACCTGTGCAGCGCTGCACAGTATATAACGTCGGCATGAAACAGGTAAATGCTTGATAGACAATTCGTCTGATTGCATTTCTTTCACCACCAAAGTGGTCTCTGGCTTCGTGTCAGACGACCTATCTTTTAGGCCTGCCACAATACTTTCGGCTGTGCGGTTAAGATAAAGGTCTTGTAACCCGAGGTTCTTGAACATGGAGCCTGTTGGGCTTTCTTTCCGAAGCTTAGAGACAAGTGACGCTGCGAGAAGACTGTGGCAGCCGAGGTCGCTGAACAGATCAACGTTGGCTGTGAGGTTGGCAGCTTGTGGGAAGACTTCAGTTAGTGTTCTCAGAAATAAGTCGAGGTCAGGATCGTGGCTGAGCTGGGTGTCATCCGCAATAGGGCCCTTTCCGTCGCCCTCGCCTTGATCTTTGCTCATAGAAATCTGTCGAGAGGAGAGATCTTGAAGGGCTCTCGTATTGATTTTGCCACTTGGAAGGCGCGGTAGTTCGCTTGCCGCAATGAAAAAGAATGCCTCTGGCTGCATATATGCTGGCAGAGAACGGAGAAGATGGCGTACATCTCGAAGCTCGACACCTCCTCCATCCTTCTCTACAATGTAGGATTCAAGGCGATTCGTGGCAGAAGAGAGAATGACAGCGACTGTCTGTATTTGTGGGTGCCGAGCGATGGCGTGTTCGATCTCGCCTAGCTCGATGCGAAAGCCACGATGCTTGACCTGAGCGTCGATTCGCCCAAGGAATACAATGTCCAAATTGTGGTCTAGGCGAACCCTGTCTCCCGTGCGGTACAGACGCTCCCCAGTATACGATGCCAATGGGTGGCTGATGAACTTCTCCTGGGTGAGAGCTGGTCGTCCGATATAGCCTTTCCCGAGACATTGGCCGCCAATGGCGAGCTCACCTTCAGTACCTTCCTTGATTTCGAGAGGATCCCACGTCATTGAGGGTTCATCCGGTACTGGTAGCAGTAGAGCATGGTATCCTGGAAGCGGCTTGCCAATGGTGACATTTTGGTTTGGGAATAGTTCTTTGAAGGTGGCCGTCACTGTTGTTTCTGAAGGGCCGTAGGTATTCAGGATGCGCCTCTCTGGTGACCATAGACGATTCACCAAAGCCTCGGGACAAGCTTCTCCACCAAAATTGAGCAACCTGACGGCAGGTGGGAGGGGGCAGTCTTCATCAAGCGAAGTCATGATGTTAATCAGGGTCGGCACGACATTGATAACAGTGACACCACGCTGAGCCCAAACACCATTGGCACCTCCGAGGCCTGGTACATCCTGGCATTCAATGCGACTTCCGATGGCCAAATGTGCACCTCCAGCTATACTCACCCATCTATGGATAAATTAGTGCATGTCGGTAACAGTCGACACTGTTCAAGGACTTACGTCTCTTCGACAAACATATCAAAAGCCGCACTGAAACCCTGCCAGACAATGTCGTCCGACTCCGTCTCCAGAACTGTTCTTTCGCTGAGGCAGAACGTGAGAGCAGCATGATGTGATATTGCTATTCCTTTGGGCGTCCCGCTACTACCAGAGGTGTAGATGATATACGCCGTATCTTGTGGCCGGGGTGGTCTGCATCCGTCACTTCTTGTCTCGATTGTTTGTATTGCATGGTTGGCCAACTGGTCAAATGTGATTACTTTGCACTCAGGGAGTCGTTCAACTGCACTGCAGGCAGCCTCACAATGTACTTGGTCGCACAACAAGATGGCCGCATTGCTATCCTTTAGACATGCAGCAACTCGTTCGGGGGGAACATCGGCGTCAAACGGCAACCACGCAGCACCTGAAATGGTGGTGGCCAAAATGGCCAGGTGCAAATCGATTGATCTCTCCAGCCATATTCCAACCACAGGATTAGCTGTATCCGAGGATGAGAGGTGGTCAACCAGTTTACTAGCGAGGGTGCAAGATCTTGAATATGCTTCGACATAAGAGAGGGTGGTCAAAGGGCCTCCCTGCCGAGACCGAAATGAGAAAAGAGTGCCATCTCCTTGTTGGCCTGCTTGTCGGCGTAGTAATTCTGGGAGTGTGCGAACGCCGTCGATCGAAAAGTTTTCACCTGTATCCCTATCCGATTGTAAAATATAATCTTGCGTTGGAAGGGGGGAAGGGATCGCCATTGCAAGAGACGGTCTTGACCAAGAACAATGGAGAACTGGACTGGCCAGCTTCTTATTCGATTCGAGTTCGGTGCCAAATATAACTTTCCCCGACGAATACACCCGTCCTACCCCGTATTTCGCACCAAACTAGGTAGAAACATATTTACCAGACATTCAAGCATCAGGAGAACGCCACGCGTCGTCGCTCCGCCGCCCATAAGACGCGATCTGCTCCGTCATGTCCATAGGATTGTTTGGTTTGAAACATTGTCGAATATGTGTATACTTATGCTTAACACCTAGCAAATTCTTAGGTTGCTTGAGCTGGGTCTGCAAACCAGGTGTGCACCACGGTCAACTCCATTTGTCGGCGTGGTCTTCTACCAATGCTCAGTGGACCAGAGAAAGACGTGTGAGTCGCAACACAGTTAGCTACACATACTTCTCCCGTCTACAGCCAACGGTAGAGTTTAGGGGATGTCGTCTTCTGGCCCCTTGGGAGTATACCTGTGCTTCTGCTTTAGACTTCATTCAGCCTAGTGCCGAGGCCCTCAGCGTCTCCAGTGGATGACGACGACTTTTCAGCGTCGCAGAAAGCCATAAAAAGCATTACCGTTTGTCATTAACTTGACGTCTAGACTCTGCCCTAGCCTTGCGCGATTTCGTTCAGAGGGACCAGCGCTTCCGCGTGGCCCAGTAGTGGGTGGTGATAGGAACGAAGAATGGCGCAGACGTGAAACCGAATACGACGTACACCCCTTTGCCAAAGAAATATTAACTTTGCGTCAGATGGAAGCTTCTCATACAGGGTCTCCCGAGATTGAATATGGCTAATAATAGGCCATTGTAGGGTGGCAAAAAAGGGCAAACAACAATGCTCTTGTACTCGTACAAAATGATGAAAAGAAGCTCAGGTGTGAAGAATGGTACGAGCACGAGCACGTGTTCAGGACGCAACGCGAGCTAAGTATCACGTGATGCGGAGGCAGTATGGCGTAACTGGAGTGACTGCCAGTAATCGCAGTCGTCGCAGATCCAGGCTCATCCAGGCTTCCACAATTCCACCCGGTTGAAACAGCATAGTACGCAGTTGACGAGGCTATCTCAAACCTCCTAAGCTTCTAGCATACGCCACCGCAACAAATCCGAAATCGATTCACAATGTCTTTTGACAGGCTGTCGTCTCTCGAGTCACAGCCAACCACCACTCGCCGAGAAGATGATCCTCACTATCGCGACGACCCAGAGTTCCAAAAATTCACAGAGCAACTCTCCAACCGGCTATTTGAATTGATCACCAATATCTCACGGCTCTCCAATCAGATTTCGAAACGAGACACCGAAAGAGGGCGAGAGAGAATCCATGATCTCCTGGAGGAGACTCGGGATGGCTTCAAGGAGGTGGGGGAAGGCGTTAAAAGAGCTCAAACATGGCCAGATCTTAATGTCAGTATCTCAGAGCAACCAAGACACTCTTTGCTTGCTTCTACTAATAAACTGCAGCCTGCGCAAAGATATACAAACCAGAAGTTGTCTCGCGAATTCGCATCTGCCTTATCCGAATTTCAGGTTGTGCAACGAAGAGCAATAGAAAAAGAAAGAGCATCAAAAGCTGCGTTGGAAGAAGCGCAATCAGCTCAGTCACCATCGGGAGAAGGACATCAACAACTCCAATCTCTGGAAGAGCCTCGCTTGGCTCAGCAAGATGAAGTAGACTTCCAGGAAAATCTTATCATCGAGAGAGAAGGAGAGATCCGACAGATCGAGCAATCGGTGGGTGAATTGAACGAGCTGTTCCGAGATGTGGCACATCTTGTTCGAGACCAAGGCGACATGCTGGACGCTATTGATGTCAACATTGAGAACACCCTGACAGATACCCGTGGAGCGGATGTGGAGCTAAGAAGTGCCAGTCGATATCAGAAGGCCGCCCGCAACAAAGCATGCTGCCTTTTGTTGATCATGTCAATTGTGCTGCTAATTGTTATACTCGCCGTTGTCCTAGGCTGATATGTTGGATATGGCATTTTGGCGTTGCGGAGCAGGATTTTTGTCTTGCCTGTATGGTGGGGTTTTACTGAAGATATGTATTTCTGATTAAGCCTACATCTGTTTGGTGGTACTTGTAGACCGTGTAGCATCTCATCAATCTGTAGAAACCGATATGAGCGTAGTAATAGCGATGTGGATACCTCCAAACTAGGATACATCAGATACTCCAGGACGCCTGATCAACCCACCAGAACTGAGCCCCCCTTGCAGACTCAGCCCCTACGATGGCCAACATACACACCGGCGCATGCTCTGTGAAGTGAGTGGTAAGAACGCAGGAACCTCCTTCAGCTTCTTTGGGTTGGAGGGAGGTAGGGGAGATAGGGCGGCGCCAAAGAGGATCAGCCTCGGCTTGACGTCACGCGGCGCGTCAGACTACAAAGCGCGTTCAGATTGTGGATGTCAATGCACGATCTGGAGCCGCAATCCTCCAGACATACGGATACTCTTGGTCCAGCTTCTGTAATCTTGTACTTTCTAGAGCCAGCTCTCGGTATGGCAAGTCATGCAATCACCGTCTACATCCGAAAGATCAGCACTTGTCACGGTTGCCAGTAGTACTTTGAATACGATATCGAACAGCCTGCCAAACAACAAAAAGCGAAAGGTCAGCGATCTCTACTCGAAAGAAGCCCACACCGAGACACTCACAGCGACGGTGCTGCCGGCCAGATCTCAGTCATGGGATCTCGAACGTGTAACGCTCCTTGCGCGAGCCTACTTGCCGTTGTCATGGCTCGCCACGTCTCAACCTGCGACCGTCATTGTCTTTGAGACACCTACTTCTTTTGTGCAAAAATGGAATCAAGGAGCTCTGATAACCAAGAGAAAGTCCAATGGGGTGTTGTATGCGATTGAAAGAGGCGGCTTGGACCATTTCATCGCGCTAGCCTTGCAGAGTTGGGTGTCTGAAGAACACTGCAAAGATGCAGCGTTGGGGAATGTGGCAGAGACAAGGCTAGAAAATCTGTTGAATAAAGATGACGGGGCGCAACAAACGCATAGGAGGAGTGCTTCTGGCTCGAGTTTCACGGCTCTGCCAACGCCGAAAAGCCCGAGGAGGCCAACGAACCGACGGGGAGCCCTTGCACGAATGTCCATTTTAACACAGAAAGACACGAAAAGCCAGGAATCTGTGTTTCAGACGTCTAGCTCGCCTACCTTGATTCAGCAGCCGGTCCTAGCACACTCATCCTCAGGTACAATGTTACCTATCACTCCCACAGCACAAACAGAGACAGCCAATCCATTTGAGCAACCAGAAGTCGTGGCTGAAGAAGTGTCTATTTCTCACCAGATCCAGCCTGTTCCGCCGGCTTTAGCGGTCGAGAATCCCTGTGCTTCTGAGCGCCTTCGTGCTCAGTATTTAGAGCACCTTTACACTTCCAAGACGTCTTTGGCATTTTACGTTAAAGGCCCATTGAGCCGTGCACGAGCACATGTGAGGTCCTCTCAGAATCCGTCAACACTTCTATCAGAGTTAATGGAATTTTATGCCCAGTCTATCTTGCCAGCCAAGAAGCTAGACACGAAATACAAAGACTCACTACCCAACATTCTTGCGGAATTACCACTTGAAAGCACGGAATCTTCAAAGAAGAAGTCACGCAAGAAGAAACAAAAGCTAGGGAAAGACTGTCTATGGCCAGAAGAAGACAATTATGTTGGCAGATGGTGGCGTACACGAGATCTTCGATCCATCTCATCCTCCGGCGACCGTCAAAGCGAGATTCGCAGGGAGCTGGCAGACCTCAGAATGAGAGAGACCAAGATGCAACTGCTATTGGTTCTCGAATTCATGCTACTCGAGATGGCAGCTTCGAAGCTATCCGAGAAGCCCATTCCCACAGATCCTGACGTCAAGGTGGAATCAGTCGAGGACGATGTCCCTTCCGTCCTGGCCAAAACTCCACAAAAGTCAAGCAAAAAGAAGCGCGATGCCACCAACGAGCTCGACACCATTATTGAGCGACTCTGTATCTGGCATTCAGTAAGCTTGACCGATGCCACTGCCACCGAAAACGCGCAAAAGGATCACACGTCCCAGTCGGGTGATAGTCTTCGAGAATTTTGCAAGGATGTCCTCTGGCCATTCTATTCAGCAAAGCTGCCAGAACAAATGAAAGCCGTGTCACGAAAACTATCGGGCCTGGAATCTTCGCCGAATCGACCTCCGCAAATGTCCAAAGGATCTCACAATATTACAGCTCCTGTTCCTCTGCTCAAGTCCAGACCTGGTGAGCCGCTCGTGAAACGCACGCTTCAACGTGTTCTGAGTGAAGACCATCTAAGTCGACATGCCTCACCGCCAACCTTGTCTCGGGCGTCAACAGGACCTATCAAACCTTCGATCCCGACCTTGAAGCGAGAGCCTTCGGAAAGACCGATGTCCCGAGGCGGCATGCTTTCCAAGTCTGTAAGCTTCAGCAACCGAGAAATCGATCTCGTCGCCGACTCCAAGATTCGTGACGCCAAACGTCGAAAACTTGATAAACTCGCACAGCAGAAACAAGAGCTAGAAGCTGCCATCGACGCTTTGAAGAGGCCTAGTAGGTCTGCAGTGGCGGCAGCTTTCATGGACGAGGTCGAGAAACGGCAACAGGAGAAGACAGTGCAGATATCGGCCACTCCCAGGGCCCGACGTATCAGGGACCCAGGGGAGTTCTCGGAACCTGAGCTTCCGCCGATGCCGAGGCAGGTTCGCGGCGAAGAAGCGTCGGTAGTCATCCCATCGTCAACGCGGAAGCCCCTCGCTGCTCCTCCTAGAGTGCCCAGCTCGAATAGTGTTGTGAGGTCTTCGGGAACCAAAAGGGCTGTTCTGTCTGCGATACACGAGACTCCGTCCCGCGCCAAGGAAAGAAAAGAGCCACATCCATCGGCTCTGTCCAGAATCTATGAGGATTTCTTCGACGAGGATGAGGAAGGTGAGAGAGATGCAGCGACAGCAGGTCCTATTAAGTCTCCTCCTCGGCCGCGGCCCTCTGTCAATCCTTACGACGGCACATCGGAGACGGCGATGGAACCTCGATCGGATCTCGGCGTCTCGTCTTCTTCGCAGATGAGTAGCTCGCGGAAAGATGAGCTGTGCATGACTCGATCCCGCCGGCCCGTCCTGTTCACGCCTGTCAAGAAATCCGATGTGCGTGTCGAGCACGCGTTCCGTGACGCGCCTGAGATCCCTCAACGGGCAGGTCTGATGATGAATCGTGTCATGGGCGGCCATGGTCGAGCGCTTGACTTTGGGTTTAACGGTCGGGAAGAGCATGCCACCAATTCACCTAGTCATCCTCGGGATGTGGAGAAGAACGTCACTGTTCAGGTTGCGGATGGGGAGAATGAAGATATATACGATAAACTAGGTTGGAATGACGACTTTGACCTTTGATTTGTGGGTTGAAAGAAAGTCATCACCGCTCAATATTTCACATAAGAAAATATATGACGAGATCAATGAACAAGTTGGCTGGGAGTGGCTGTGATCGAAGAGTCTGGGCATTCACGACATGTTATGCTACTTAGCGAATCCGATCCTTCCCTTCAAAGTCCCTCAGATCATCCAGCAGCGGCGAGATCACCACTTCGAAGACTGTTCTCTGAAACTCCTCGTCGTCGAGTTGCATGTTCTTCGTGTCTGGCCAGTAGAGGCACGTGTCAACGACGTCGCCGTACCGACAGCCACTTTCTGCGTACACGCGAGGCAGTACCCGGACGGCTGTCTTGAGGTTGGAGATTGCTTCGACTGGGTCGGCATCTTCAGCGGTTTGAAGAGATGACAAGGGCGTGCAGAGAGACAATTCGATCAGCGAGAGCGCTAACGGGAAAAGAAGCGCACAGCGAATCAAGGAGCTCGAAGTCACCGCCACCGTCAATTGCTGTGATGCTCCCTCGCTTGTCTCTGCACCGTTGCTCAGACTTGACGAGTCGCCTGTCGGGCTTACGTCGTGAGCTGATAGGTATACACGATCGAGTAATGTCGGATTGCCGCTGTCGTGGTCCTTGAATAGAATGTCTTGTATTCGCCATTGCGGTTTGAGCCAGCTACCCTGGTATTGCAAGACGCTCAAGGCCAATGTTGCGGCGAGAGATAGTCGATCATGACGACTGAGCATCAAGCTTTGATTCGCGATACTGAATCTCAAGCTGTCCTTTGCAGATGCCTCCAGCACATCTGCTAGCGACTTCGTGGGAACGCTGGTGTCCACCCTGTCGGTTAGGTAGATATGGTATTGGTGCGTTGGATCAGAACGGTCAAGAATGGACCCAAGCAACCTATCGCCGGCATTTTGCGAACATAGTGCAGAGCACATGTTGGAGATCTGTTTGGGCGGAGGGAGCGAGTTGTTCACGCGTGGCCAGGGAACAGTGTCCAGGGTGGACTCGACAATGGCTGCAAAGGTAACCCTCCGATCCGGGCCAGTGCGTTTAGTAACGACGGTCGAAGCAGAAGCAGATTTCGCCTTTGTCAATGATGGAGCGACTGTCACTGGTTCGGATGCGACAGGAATTGTTTCTACTTCTTGCCAGTACCACAAAGGAGTACCTTTGCTAGGGATCTTCGAGGTGAACACCATTCGTATCTTGGGGACAAAGGCTTCTTGAGTCTGGTGTTTCAAGTCGTCTTCATCCAACGCCTGTGGCTCGATCCGAAGGTGCACGCAGTGTGATTCGCTGCAAGGGCACGGCCAGCATGTCCCATGTACAATCGCATTGTAGATATTTGTGGCATGCTTTCGGGCGTTTTTGTACTTCAAAAGAGGCTTCTTCTTGAACACTCGGTGTTTCCTTGTGGTTTCACGGCGACGTGATTGCTCGATCAGAGTCTGAAGTGCTCCATTTGCATTTTCGATCTTGGAAAGGAGTTCGTTGTAGACTGATTTGGAGAAGATATCCTTGAACTTTCTTAGCTCGCGTTCTACGGTGCCGGTGTCATCCCAGGACATCTGCGTTGTTGTAGCGGAATCCCACCCAAGCTTCGTAGATAGATATTGTAGCTCTCTAGAAATCTCGGTTGTTGTCCTGACGAAGACGTCGTAATTTCGATCGAGTTTTCGGCTCAGTTTACGTTGAAATTCCTGGTTTCTCCATGACGATCCAAGAGGGCAATTGATCAAGTCGGATATGTCGTCCTCGTAATCGACAACTCCTTCTAAGGCTTGTTCCAACGAGTTCAGTAGGATTGCATGCTGAGTGCCCAGCCTGGTCGAGTATTCCTCTAGCTGTCGCCGATGGCGTTTGTTGCGGAAGCCCTTGAGGGTCTCGATACCACGGACGTAGTTGTCCAGCTGATTTACGACGAGGGGCAGAATGGCCAGGACGACGCCCACTGTTTCAATACCTGTCACCATTTTCAATCGTCTTGCAAAAATGACAGTGGGGAGCAAGCATAGACTTAGAAAGAAGAGATACAGCCTTACCGTGAGGTCGTCTCACTTTATCCAGCTCAACGGGACCCAACCCCGCCTTCTCAACACTTACATCTTGGTCATCGACCAATGGTCAACGGCACCGGTGGTGGCGGTACCAGTAATCAGTCACGCAGGGCGGAAAAGGTGAGAGCCTTATCCAGATTGAATGTTTGGAATGTAATCTTCTTAAGACGTCGCAAGTATTATTGTCACCAGCAGCCAGACCCTTTAATTTGAAAGAACTTGTTGAAGAAAACAGCACGAGTATTCGAAGCAACTGAGTTGCTGTTGTGGTCATTAACTCATTGATCGTCGCGACGGCTCCTTCCGCTGACGGGCCGAATTCTGACAAACAAGGCTTATTGCCATGTCTTCAATATCTTCTCTCCTCATTGAGTGCCTCAAGGATTTCAACGCAATCCTCGCTGTGACGGATTTTGCAGTGCTTGAAAGCGAGGTGCCACGGAACCTATGGAAAGACGAATTGGGCCGACTGCGGGTTTGGGCGAGCAACATCGGTGCTCACCAGACGGGTCAATCTTCGCTCGACTTTCGGCTCAGAGACACGTCTCATATCAAGGACCAAACCGTCAGACTCCTACAAAGACTGCGGCGGATCCTTAAGGACTTGGAAGGCCTCTTGCACGACCCAGACAGCGACAGAATTTTAGCTTTGTCCGAAGAAGATGAAGAATCCGAAACGCAAGAGATCTATCATAGCCTGGTCGACGCAATCAACTGCCTATTTCAGCTTTCTATGGTGATTCGCCGCCCAATACAGCATGACCGTCTTTTAGGCACCAAAAGAGCGGATGCGGCTCCCTTTGAGCCCTATGACCGAGTACATGTCGGTCAGAAGTATCCTCAACTTACTCAAGTGGTTGCAGACAGACTTGGTTCTGCGATCTCCAGACGCAGGGCAACCCTGAAATACCGAGAGCGACATCACGCAAAGCTTAGTAAAGGCATTCATCACGTCGGGGATGACAGGAAGGATGGAACATCCACTCAACTCTCTGAGACGATTGCTACCGGCTTCGAAGAACCCAGCATAACTTTCGACGACACTGCGTCCACTTCTGGCGCTTCACAAACCTCCTATGCACCGAGCTTATGGGAAGGCAGCGACCGACTCACCGTTCCTCCGCCTCCTAAAGCGTCAGCGAATGGACAGCCCTTCGAATGCCCATATTGCTTTTACATAGTCATGGTCAGGAACAAGGCTTCATGGGTACGCCACGTCTTTCGAGACCTCATGCCGTACACATGTATCTTTCCCGAATGCACTGTCCCGAATCAGTTGTACAACAGCCGTCGGGAATGGTTTCACCACATGAGGAGTTCTCATAGGTCTGAACTCGAGTCACAAGCTCATTGCCCTCTGCAATGTGGCGCGACATCCATCTCTGCTGTGCAGCTAGAAAGCCATGTTGGACGACACCTGGAAGAGTTGGCTTTATTTGCCATTCCTCGAGCTATTCCGGATTATGATGAAGACCCTGAAAACCACCACAGCACCGGTTTTAGGACAGATGATTCAAAACCGGATGAAACCGATACGGGAAGTTCAGTTATTGAAGGAATTATCGATGATAATACTCATGAGCGTGTTGCCAATGAGTTCGCGGCTTCTACCATCGATGATCCTGGCAGAACTGATGACACCCTTTCGCCTAACGATCATGGTGGCAGTCACAATGAACATGAATTTCGGCTAGGATACGATTCTGTCGATAGAGACAGTGAAAGTCAGGCTGATGTCGAGAGTCCAGATCCTCTCACTCATGACGAATGGACAGAGTTCTCTAAGCAGATGGTGGAAAGACAAGTTCTGCGCTCTTTTGGACTCCACTTTGAAGAGACCCAGGAAAAGTACTACGTGTCAGGGAAGTTATCCCATGTAAGTTCAGCGCTTCGGTCTAGCATTACGCCGCTAAAATTCTGTAGGAGGAGATTGCTAGCATCTTGCGCCAGTCGAGGATCATTGGCAAAAGACGAGAGCGGCGAGCTTCGGAAGCAGAGCAAAGGAGTGACATGCCTCAGAGCATGGTCAACTCCGCTGATGGCTCCTCCTCGCGCCCACCACACGACAATGATCCCAGTCTCCCCGAAGGCCAACGAAAGACGGAAGTGATATCCACTCAGCCTGAAGATGTGTCTGATGAAAGTGCTGACACTACTACATACTCTCACTGGGACCTGCATGCTCTCAGAATAGTAGAAGTTGAGCAACGGCAATCTATGCCGCAGGTTGAGGGGCTTGAAGATGGAACCACGGAAACGCCGAAAGGCGCCTTAATCAGTCCTCGAGAGCTTTTTCTTGAAGAAGGCGGCGACCAGGTCATATGGCCTAACGCACCTTTTGAGAACTTGAACGGCGATGATCGCACCGGACGCAAACCACGGTGGACCAAAATCAGTCGTCACCTGGTCAATCCGGAGGCTTTGGAAGAAGCAGGCGAGAGGTTCGAAGAAAGAGGCGCCTTTGTTGTTGTTCTTCGGGTACTTGACCAGGAAGACGTCGCCAGATTAGCCGAGAGTACGGCTAGAATTAGAGGTAAGATGTCCCGCACGCGACTTTCGCTTGAGATGTTGTCGCTGACATTCGTAACAGAAAGAAGAGTGGTGAGCGAGCTGCACCAGCCTAATGAAGAATCTACCCAACAAAATCTAAGGGAGGTTGCTCCAAAAGGTCGGCTTGGATCTGCGGCGATCGAGGGTTACTTTGAAGTTCTCGAAGGTCTTTCTCTTGATAGTGACCGGCAGCAGGCTAAGACTTCAAGTAAGTCATTTCTCGAGGAACCAAAGCTGCCCCGGCGACTTTACTCCCGCCGCCAGGAGAGCGACAGCAATTTATCATCCGACGACGAGTTTGAAAATCGCATTCCAGCAAAAAACAATTCCGAGGATGAAGGCGGAAAACTGGACGCCGAACCCGTCACTTCGCACTCAGCTGGTGAGAGCCGTCTATCTGCGACAAGAGAATATCGAGTCAGGAGAACTGAAGTGAAGTACAGCGGGGATAACCCGTGGTTCGAGCTACGCGAACGAGTCTGGGGGTAAGGCTGACGAGGAGGAGGAAGAGAGTGTCAGCCGGCTATTTATGAAGGACGACGATGCGCCGGATTTCTTGCTGCCTCAGGCGGATATTGTGTAGGGCTTCACCTGGCGGCGAGCTTGATCGTCTAAAAAAGCCGACATGGGAAGGGTAGCCTTTGCAGTGTAAAGCGTATGTACGGCACTGGGAGTTAAATGTACAAGGTAGAAGGCACTTTGTGACAAGTACTTATTGTTTAAGAACTTGGATCTCCGATTACCACAGTATCCTCAGTTGATCTGGTCGTTTGGATTCATGTTGTTTACAATGCTTTATACAAGTGTGAGCAAATGTCCTCCAAAGGGAGTAGGAGTGACAGATCTCAGCGTTCGAGGATACAGTTCTCGTCCGATGTACAACAGGGCGGGTATAAAGCGGCAGAAGTAGGAGGAAAGGTCTTGTACAGGTTGAGTACGCCTTCCCCGTGACGAGCTCGGCTTTTCGAAAAAGAAATCCCCGCGGTACGAGGTACAACAAAGTGATTCGAGACTTGATAAGGGAACGATCTTTAGGATAATGACGATAGGTAGGAACGGGGGCATTAATAAAGCGCGTTAGGACAACGAAGATAATATTTTACGGGGTTAATTGACAGGGGTTGTTAGAGCGTGCGCATGCTGGCAAGGCCACTGGAAGGGCATGTGCTACGATGTGGATGCTTATGGTAGCTATTTTCCTCTGTCTGTCTGTCTGTCTGTCTGTCCGTCTCTCCCCCCCCCCCCCCCCCACCCTTCCTTCTATCTCTCAGCCGCGGACACTGCCTATGATGCGCAGATAAGATCGAGATGATGGGTGACGGGATGATGGTCGAAACGACTGCAAGCAACACACAGGTGAGCGCGGTTCGGTTCGGTTCTTTCGTCAACTGCTCCGTCCTACTCGTACTACTCGTACTTCTTCGTCTACATGCCGGGATCCACATTCATCAAATCGTCGCTCATGATATGCAACACCTGCGTAAAGGTCCGGAGCCTCCTTCCGGAAATGCCGTCCATCAGGTTCGCAAAGTCCAAAAGGACCCTGCGCGCACTCTCGTAGCCGCCCTGGTGCACGACGCCGTTGAGGCTGACGGTGCCGCCGTGCTTGACGAACTGGTACACGAGGGAGAAGTGCTGCTCGTCCTCGCGGTTCGCGGTCAGGTTGCGCTCGGCGTGGTGGCCGTCCAGCGAGTCGTCTCTGAATCCCAGGTCGTGCATCTCGGCCCAGTCCGGGTCGGTCTCGATGAGCTCGACGGGGGCGGTCCCCTGCCTCGAGGCCGGCCCGGGCTGGACCATGAACAGGTACAGGCCCAGCACGAGCGCGGACGCGAACAGCGCCGTGACCGAGTGGATGGTGACGTTGTCCGAGACGCGGCGCTCCGACATCAACCTGAAGTTCTGCGCCGCGTGCACGCACGCCCGCCGCGCCGACTGCGTCTGCGACCACTGGCCTATGCTCTCCAGGGCCCCCGTGGCCGGGGCGGCGCCGTGGCGGCCGGCCGCGAGCTCGAACATGCGGAAGTCGGACAGGAGCATGACGCACAGGCTGTGCCAGAGCACGGTGCAGTTCGTGTCGTCGGTGGTGGTGTTGTTGTTGGGTGACGACGACCGGCCCGCGGCAGCTCCGGCGACTGCCCCTGAGGCGAGGACTGCAGGGATGAGCGTCCTGGCGCGCACGTCGCCCGCGTACACGTGCCAAGGGATAAAGGAGCCGATGGTCAGCTGGTCCGGCGGCATGAGGCGTTGGTACGCTTCGAGCATCTGGATCTGGAGCAGCGCCAGCAGGCTCGACCGGCCCAGATATCCCAGCTGGCCAGCCGTGGGCTGCATGTCGTGCTTGTGGAGGTCCTCGATCCGGAACCGCGGCGCGCTCTGGCTCTTGCCGCTTCGCAGCAGGGACTGCCATTGCGTGGCCGACTTGGCTTGGAAGAGCGCTTCGTCGCAAGGCGCCACCACGCAAACCGACTCGGACCTGATGATGGGCGCTTTCGAAAGAAGGTTCGAGTACCACGAGTCCACGAGCAGGAGGCCGAGGATCAGGCGTTTGGCCGACTCGATCCGGCTCCACACCTTCCACCGGTCGTCGGATTCGGACATTTCGGACAACAGTGCGTCCAGAGACTGTCCGTCTCCCGCGGCAAATAGGCCGTTTTGTTGCGCCATCGAGATCAAGCTGACGTACAGCATTTGACTCTGGTTGAACGAGTCCCGGTCGCCCGTGACGACGGAGAGGTTGAGCGTGAGCAGCGCCGTCGCGAAGACTACGAGTTGTTGGGTCGGCGAAGCCGATGTTGCCGCGCACACGGACAGATCGTTGCATACGCGCTGAAGAAAACTCGGAAACATCTTGGCCACGAACTTGGTGGCTCCCGTTGTGCCCAAGATGCTCAGGCCGATGAGGCACATGGCAAAGAGCATGGGGGAAGGTGTGGTGCGCACGGAGAACGTGGCCATGTGGATGAAGGGTACTGTGGGGTGGAAGCGTCTGAAGAAGAGGCCGAGTGCGATGTCGAGAATCTCGGCAGGGGGGAATTCCTCGTTGCCCTGCACAAGAGATGGATCGACAATGGGTGGGATTTTCGGCGAGTGATAGACTGATGGTGCCGGGGTCCGGAAGGCGTCTCGTAATCGAACTCTGCAGTCAATATCGAGACCCCAGTTCGAGGTGGTTCGAAAGTCATCGGCTGTTGTGGGTGATTCGGAAAAGATATTGTCCAAGTGTAATGATGCCACCTCTTTCCAGAGGATGGGCATAATACGGTGTACGCGGCCGGGACGAGGGCCCCAGCACCGCTGCACCCTTGAGAATCGCTCTCGTGGGACTTTGTCGATGGTCTTGAGTCGATCGGCGTGCTCATATGTTCTGCCACTTGTCAAGTCTTTGGGATCGGCGAATTGCTGCGAAGGGTCTGTAAGGCCATACGTCTGAAGAAAGTCCGGTGACTGGTCCAGATCGCCAAGTGACGGAAACAGCCACATTTGGAAGGGATCATGGAAGTTGCTTTGATCTGGGTCTGACGGAGGAAGCCATTCGATGTGATTGTCTGCGAAATGGTTGGGTGCCATCTCTGACCTCGGAGTCTGAACAGGATTTCCAGGGGTAGTGACCGAGGTCTCAAATGTCGACGTGTTGCCACCACTATTTTGAGAGGGAGATTGCTTTTGCGGCGCTGGCGGTTGAGACATCTTGTTCATTGTGCTGATTGGAGATGGAACGGTCCAAGTGGTACTGGACATGCCCAGGTTGAGAGGGTTCGACGATGTCGTAGGGTCCAAGAACGGAGTGGAAAGGTCCAGAGAGTGCCTGGACGGTTGGGTAGACTCATTTCCTTGAGGTGGATGATAGTTTGTCGGCGAGAGAATTTGCATCAAGGGGATACCAGTGTGAGGGCCATTTGCCACGGCGGCCGGCGAATTGATATCGAATTCATTTCGAGCTGTTTGAGGGGCGACACCTTCAGAAATAGTATTCCTACGACTGGCTGCCGGTTTGCTGGCGGCTATTTTGTCGCTCTTCTGAGCGTGGCATTTCATATGCCGAAACAAGACATCGCTGGCGGATTGTTAAAATGGCGTCTTGGACAGCAGAAGGAGAAGCACTTGCCTACGGGAGAAAGCTTTGTCACAGATGGTACATGGGTAAGGACGTTCTCGAGTATCTGAGCACGATGAATGAGTATACCGACAATTCAGATTAGCGCGGGGTCGGTGTACTTACGCGAGCGTTCATGGCGTTTGAAGTGCTCTGTTTTGGTGAAGCGTCGACCGCATACGGTGCACTGGCGCAAGACCATGCTTGCGATGCTGCAAGTGGTGGCGGTGAAGTCAAATGTCCCGCAGAGACGTCAAGGGAAAGAATGTGGGAGAGGTGGAGGAGGCACTGAGGACTCTGGGAAATGTGCTTTTGCGGAGGGAAAGGCTGAGGACGAAGACGGTCAAGCAGCTCTCCAGCGGGAGCACGACCAGGGTTGGAGGTTCTGGACCTTCTCCAGAGCTCAACGAGTCAAAATGGGCTTAGCACTAAGTTGGGCTGAACTGAGGCCGTCGAGTCGGCGGGGAAATGAATACAGAGAGACGACGACGAGGTGCTTCCCCATGCATTGAACGGTGCGAGTGATTGTGTAGGAGGGGGAGAGTAGTTGACGGATTGAGAACAAGTCGGATGCGGGATGAGTCCGAGAGGGATTGGCGAAAGAAAGGAGCGCACCAGGGAAGAGGGACAGGGAGGGAGGGATGTTGTGGAGGACGAAGATGCGGGATGGAGGAGGAAGAGAAAATTGCCGATCGAGTCTGGGGGAGCGAGAGAGTGGAGAGAGACAGAGACACGTGGGGATGATAATTATTGGTGCGGAATCGGAGAAACTGGAGACGCCGGGGGATCTGGAGAGAGAGGGAGAGACTCACACACCCACACAGACACACAAGGCACGCCCATATCCATATATATTCTTCCGAACACAGCTATAGCTTCAACACCTCAGCTTCTTAACGCTCTCCTGGAAATGCCCTTCAACAGCCTGCTTCACCCAACGCTGCAGACGAAGACACCACCAGACAAGAGCAACCTAGCCTCCAAAGAACACCTTTGCGGAGTCTGCCCTCCGTATCCAATGTGGCAATTTCGAAAGACAGAATTTTGGGTATCGTGACGCGACGCCTGTGCCGCTTTTGTCACTGTCTAAGCGACTGAGCTGTCCCAAGCCTCACACTGTGTGTTCCTTGGTTGCCGTATACCCCTATACTCCTTGCCCTGGTAGGGTTATAGTGACGGTTTTCCAGAGGGGCCTCGACATGAACTGGTGGGTCTTCGGGGCAAGAAGAATCTCCGAAGGTGACCCAATGATAATTAATGCCTTGGAACAATCGTCGGCTACTCTCCCGGGCACTTTACAAGCGTATGAGGACACCAGACCAACAAGCAGCAAGCCTTCTACCGGGACCATCTCCAGTATCTTCAACTGACTGGCAAACCATCTACTTGTGTTATTCGTCCAAGCAGGATTGAGAATATCCACGTGGGGACAGCATCATTGACTTAAAATATGGGGATTTTCCGGCTTGGGGTAACTCGACAAGAGACATGAAAGCATGGAGACGCATGCGGAGAAATGCCATGGATCGTACAAGGACAACATCGGACATCAACGTATCGATCCTCAACATCTATTCCCTTGATATAGAAATTGGTTTTGAAGAAGCTGACCGGAAGGTGTTAGAGTGGCATCCGAATGAGATCTAGACTTGTTCCTCGATTTGCACCGCCACGAGACGTAGGCACTCGCATCGACGACGGGAAGGGCTACATGGCGTTTGGGAGCTATTGCGCAAGGTTTGGAACTGTTTCCAGGCCTTCAAGATGCACAGCACGATAAATAAGGACTGGTAAAACGATCGTGTAGAATTGTTTGGTTGGTTGGTTTGTGTATGAAGCGTTGTTGAAGAAGGTCAGACTCTTGAAGTTCGTCAATATCGATAAAGCATTCCTTGAAGAATACGGTAGCTCTCTCAATTTGATCCAAGTCAGTAGCCCAACGCCCACAAAGGACGAATGACTTACGGGCCATGACGATGTCAAGGACCCAGATACGCTGCCACCACGCGCGTCCAAGAAATTGCCTCCAAGCAAGCCAGTGTGCCCTGAATTGCTCATTCCTCACCAGGGACGAAAGTAACCGTGTAGCATCCTCAAAGGTCGTATCAGAGAGATCAGCGAGTCCGTGGAGCAGCCGAAAGGCTCGCAACGTATCACTTCTTCCTGAAAATACGTCCTATTATCCCTTTGAAACCCACAGCGGCCTTCCTCGCAGACCTGGCGCTATTAACCCACGCACCGTCGGCACCGTTCGGGATGCCTGAGTGTACCGCCTGGGGAGTGAGTGATGACGCATTTGTACCAGTGCCAGCCAACCTATCTCTGTTTGTACCGGATGAGATATTCTCCCGGAGCGCGGTCTGCTGGACATTGCTGGTTCCAGCCTCAGCCTCAAAATCTTCGCCGATCTCATAGTTGTGGATATCATATAGTATGCCCGCCCCCCGGGAACGTTCCTCGAGATTATCAACTTCATAATTTCCGATGTCTTCCATTAGACTAGGGCTATGACTAATATCGCTGTATGCATTAACTGCGCTGGACCCGTGGAAATCGGGTTGTAAGGTACGCAAGGCGGTACCAGTGCTGGAAGGCTCATCTGAAAGCATTCGGCCTGGAGCTCGGAAAGGAGAATGGTCTCGCGCAGTCCCAGTACCATATCGTAGCGGTGGGGATTGTTGGCCATGCCGCGTACGCACATCATCATCTGTTGGAAATAGTAGTCGCGGTAGTATTAAATCAGGAGTTAATGTCGTTCCACTTGCAGGGTCGAAATGACTAATACCTCGACTTGAGAAGCCGTCCTGGATGAGGGCACTGTGTACATACGTGGGCGCAGTCGCACCTGAAACCTGAAGTCGTGCAGTTGGGCTCAAGGGAAGTTCTATGCGGTCAGCAGGTCGAAATGCAGAAACACTTCTCGGGGGTTCAAGGTGGCTAGGGGCAGAGGACGCTCCTAATATCCGATTCCCAGCGTCTTGATGCGCGTATCCAGCTTGACCAGCTCGAACCCGGCGTCGTCTAATCCTCATACCGCCGTAGCTTGTATTGGAAGCACGTAGGAAGATCTTGTACAGCCGTCCGGCTTTAACAGTCACGTCTCGGATCTCTACCCCTGAGGCGACTCGCGGAATGGACAAGATCACACCTGCCATCGCGACGCCGGAAATGGGCGACATACGTAATGTCTCGGGATCGAGCCTTTCGAGAATTTTGCACAACTGGCCATGGGGTTGCACTCTCACCAGCTCCGGAGTTACCGCGCTTTCAAACCCCAGCCGAGTTCCAAGGACTGTACAGGCAGCTTCCCCGTTGCAAGTTGCAGTGCTATGATCAGGCGTGTGGCATTCAATGCATACGTCGTTGATAACGGCGTAAGTCGCCATCAAGTGTGTGTCTCGAAGCAGACTCGACCAGTCGTTGAGGTGGTCATCGAAAGTTATTGAGTACTCCTGGCGGTTGTTGAGGAATGCAGCAGCAAGTCCATCTTCTCTTTTGCCAGTCTTGTCTAAAATTTCGAGTACATAGCAAACGAGTGCCGCCATATCTGCCCTATTTTCCTGAAATCTCACCCATACTTCGAAAACAGCTTCTGGGTCGTCGCTTTGCAATGCCGCCGAGAACATGCTGCCCCATGGGAGGCTTGACCATTGCGGGAAATGAAGTTCAAGCAGTGACTGAATGGTTGACATGAGAAGTAGATCTTTGATTCGGACTCGTCGTGCGTTTCCTGTGCAATGGCTGACTTCCACTCCATAGTATTGATTCAAAACTCCAGGGTTTGCCGTCTGCAGCGATGTCTTCCATCGGGCTAGAATCAGCTGCTTGAGGCTGGTCTGTGGGCGTCTCTTCTGTGTACCCGATACAGAGACACCGAAGATCTTAGAGAATGAGAGGCTACCGCTCCTTGAGTCAAGCTCTGATTCCCAGACTGAACATTCACCACCAAGGACGGCTAATTCGTGCCCATAGTCTGCTTCAAATTGGTCGAGGGTATACTTACAATCCGGGTTGTCTCTGGAACGTGTGCCAATCAGAAGCAGATCGTCCTTCTCAAGGTAGAGTGGTTTCGACAAAGACAAAAGGCGGTGCGCACGTCGCATCTGAAACTTGCCCCATCCATACCAATGACATCTGACTGGCTTTCCTTCCTGGGTTGCAGCCTCATCCACGCGACAGATGACCCCTTTCGAGACATTGTGTTGCCGGATCGACCCTGGTGGACCTTTTTCGGCTGACATTGACCATACCGGACCCCATACATCTGCAAACTCTTCGATATGGGTGAGGATGTATAGCCCTGGGTGTGGATCATCTTTCAGAGGAAGTGCCTTGAGCTTGCCAATGCTACATCGGAACACCCAGACTTGCTCCCCATCGAGGAATCCACTCAAACAAGCCAGTGACCGCGTTCGGCAGTCGAAATGCAGCGAATCGCTGTCGCCATTGCCAACATCGGTGACCTGGATCTCCTTGGAAAGATTTTCCTTATCAAAACGAGTCGTATGCGACCCAACATATGAAACAAGCCCAAGGTCTGCGAGCAATGACAGCGCTCTGCATAGAGCCAAGATCGCCGTGCTAGATTCAGACAGATCGGATGTCGGTAGGTGTAATATCTTGAGCAATTTAGAACATGGTCCTTCAACACATGCGAGTAGATGCATGTAGATCCGGTCAGGGTTGATATCAGTAGCGCAAATTTGCGACGCAGCTGCCTCTATTCCGGTCTTGATATCGTCCAAGGTGTCCCGGGGAATTTTCACGATTTCAGCGACGTTCCTGTCAGATTGCTCAAGTAGAATGCTGTAGTAAGACGTGCAGAAATTAGCTTCGCTGAGAGCATCGAAGTTTGCCAATACCCGGCACAGGATGAGATAACTTGTCCAAAGTGAATCCAGTTCCTGTTGGGAGGATCGCCAGTGCTTTCCGGAGTTTTCCGAGAGCTGCTCTTGAATGAACGCCCACATCCATGCCGGAACCAGATGCAACTCATCCTGGCGCCGCGTTAGTGCAGAAGTGTCATTGTCGAAGGCGGTACTGTATGACCCTTGCCGACGGAAATACTCAGACTTCTGCACCACGTCTTGCTCAAGGAAAGAAAGCTCAGTGTAGTGGGCCTGAGGGTCAACGAGACAGATGTCATCGTCAAACCCTCCTTGCTCCGCTTTAGCCTTCCATGCTTGTATACTTGCCTTTGCGGCAGCCCGGTCAGGAAATACTGACTCGACGGGAATACTGGAGTACGATGCCGGATGAGGGGCACGCACGACAAGATCCAAGGTGGACTGTTTCAGGATATTATAGTCTGAGAGGGTGTTCGCATCATTGAGTACTTTCCCTCCGTATATGAGGACTTGTCGTGTAGCTGGAATACTTAGCAATCCCTCTAGTCGGGTTTTGATATTGTCAACGAGGTCAGAGCTCTCAACCTCGAGCTCATGAACCGCTCCCTCCACTGGCCAAATGTCAGCACAGTGTACCCCAAGGAAAAAGTGCAGATCTGTACCTTTCACGAATATCAACATGATGCCTCGTAGCGTCCCTTGAGAAAGCAGAGAAAACCTGGCTTTGGTGTCCTGACTTCGTATACCTCTTATCTATGAGTACGCCCACATACTTATGTTCGTACGTAAGGGCTGTGCATGAATAATGATCACGACTCCGATTTTCGTAGAAGAGTGCTTTGGGAAGCTAAGCGAGGCGAAGCACTTCATGTCAACGCATTAAATCAGGCTAGTCTCTGGTTTGATGGAGGCTGAGCCAGCGCATAGTGAGCCCGGACTCACACCGCACACGAATCCGAGAGAGGCTGAAAAGGCAACCCGCGAGCAACCATAACACGGTGGGCCACCACACTCCTTAAGTCATCAAACACTCAGGCGTCTCTAGAGAAGTTTCTCTGTATTCTCGTTGCACACTAAAGAGATGGCCGCTACTCGCAGATGAGCCTGCCCGGCAAATTATCGCCTTGGAGGAGAGACCGCGGAAGAAGCCATCTGAACCATTCCAAAGGCTGCGTTTCGTAAATCTTGATCTCCTGAGGAGTCCGCAAATGCTTCGTGAGAGCATCTCTGCGCGACTCGTACGTAGGTTTGGCGAATGTACGAGAGAACGGTCTATGCTTGATCGGGGGGCCATGTTAGGGACATGCTGGCTCTCGATCGGATGTTTCTCCTTTCCCCAAGAACGAGTCGCTTGTGCAGAAAATGTGGTGCTTACGCTGCTTCGAGATGGAATCGATGCAAGGAATAGGATCTCCTTTACCATCTTCTCATTTGAACTCTCTTCTCCACGCCAAGACGCCTCCACCAACGTCTGTTTATCCACGTAAATCTTCCGCCCAGAACTCCAAGAACTCCTTATCACCACTGTAATCCATCGTTCTCGAGAATGGCTCTCCTGCCTCGTCACTCCGAGGAGCGAAATGAAACGCGTGATAGCTTACTTGAGTCGAGAGGCGCCGTGCAAGCTCTCCGCTTCTCTCAAGCTCAAGTTCATCCAATATCATCAGACACCAGCTCGGAGTTGTTCGGGGCCAATGATTTCCTTTATGGAGAAGGATTGCGCTTTTTCTAGCTGCTACATCCGGTCCTAAGTGATAGCGGAGGTTCTTTGGTGATGGCTTCTTCAAGACTTCCATCAGAGCAGTCCTCCTGTCCAAAGAGAAGCAAATGCTTGGAGCCAACATCGAGAACGAAATTTTCATGTCTTCCGAAACAAGACGACTTTCCCACGAACAGCTGAAACCGCCAGCCTCCTCGCGTGTTGGAGTCAGACAATGATATAGGACCTTGGAACTAATGGCTGCTGAAGCCGCGTCACTTCCAGTAAGTCCCCGAAGCGCCTCAAAGTCAGATATCGGAAGTGGGTGTTCATTTGATGACTGCTGCATCCGAATCCGCAGACTCTCAGCGCTAAAGCCGGCGATTTTCGCCAAATTGTGTGCTGTTTGAGCCGTGCAGCTGATACACAACAGCTCGCGAATGATTTGCCAGTCAGAGGTTCGGATATATGTGCGGAAGACGAATAATGCACGAAGTGGATATTCTGAGTCAACAGACGTATTTTCGTCCTCCCGCAACCAGTCGTTTCTCAACTGAAGAATGGAACCCATTGTTGTGTTCCTCACGAATGAGTGGTCCGTGAGACTCATCACCAAACTCGTCGCGATTTTACGGATGGAACCGACTCCCCAGCTGCTCGCTTGCCGCAAGCATGCTAAAAGTAAATCGAGCTCTTCCGGAAGTGAGAGATGAGAAAAGGCAAATAAGCACATGTTCGAATGCCGAATCGTGGCATGCGCGGTCCAAGGGACGCCAGTGGAAGAAATTTTGACCCATTTCAGCAGAGGATGGGAAACAACATCTCCATACAATTCAACACTTTCGTCCTGACATGCTGCTGAAGGGTCTTCCGTTATGCCATCCAGTTCCATCATCGAGTCCTCCAGCGTTAGACTGGCAATGGAAGCATTTTCTGCAAAGTCGGTGATGTCGACGTCTGTTTCCGGTATTGAACTGGGGCGTGCATCTCCGTGTACCGAAATGATCGTCGTGCCTTCATATTGCGGTTCCTGCGTAGAGAAGCGGCTCGCATACGTCACCGCTGGTGATCCATGGCGACGGCTGATCCCGCGGAGGTTATCTTTCCCACCGGCAAGGCACGAGGAAATCTCGAATCGGAAGACGTCTCGGGCCCATTCGCAGATCGAGTCGATGATGAGGAGTAGCTGTAAAGCGCCATCTAGGGACGTTGTTCTTCCCATCCAAAGGTCGATTATTTGCTATGAAGACTCCGCGCATCAGCAGCCTGGAAGAGGAGCATTTTAAAGAAAACACTCACGTATCGCCCTTCGTGCATCAAACAGCCTGCGACTCTCCACTCGTCTCCTTGATAAGCCATAAACCAAACGAACGGACTCAACTGCACGCCACTGCGTTGGCGGAGGTCATCTTGGAGCTGGAGGCAGGTGCGAATGGGAAATGCGGTCTGAGTTTCGATGGATTCAAATCCCGGTCCACGGCCTTCAGACTTGGCTTCGCAAATGAGGAACGGGTACAGCAGCTCTACGTTTGAGAAAGGACTGTGCCGTAAACCCCTGAGTTTTTCAGCGCGGGCGTATAGATCGAGCGACGGTGTTCTTGCCAGACCGAAGACTTGGTCTGGCCTCCTTCTTGGCACATGAAGCTCTTCAAGCCCATCTCTCTGGTCATATTCCACAAATTCTTCGCTAGTGCCTTCGAAAAGCAACATTCGGCCAGGTTCTGGATCGCTGAAGCATGTCACTCAGTGTGGGAACAACGTTTTGTGGTGCCGGATTCATACCTATTCTCCCAAGGCCGCGAATTTGGAGGACACCTGCAGAGGGATCTCTCTGTACGTCGTCTTTGCAGCCTTCTTGCTTCATCCGAGTCACTTGGCAGTGCCGAAAAATCAGAAAACCAGAGGAATTTGCTGCATGGTTGGCTGAGAAGCTCAAGTCAGCGCATGAGATGATAGGTTTCGTTTCAGAGGAACCTGGCACCATTTCATTTCTTCTCGAAACCTTCTGAAGACTAACGGCTCAGTACTCCTTCTCAAGTCTGATTCATTCGCTCTTTTCTTCCGGTCTGTATTTGCTACCTTAAAGAGCTCGTAGGCACACTTCTTCAGCTGACTCGCCGAGAAACCACGGTCAGTAGTCTCATCTGGCCTGTATTCGTCGAATTCTATCAAACGAATCTGGCGAACACGATTGAAGATCTCGGGATGGCCTTCTGGCCACTGAGAAGGAGAGAGAGGTCCTCTGAAATCAATACGGTATCGGTCAATCAGCATACGCATCTGGCGGGCGCTCAACTTTGGACGCCGCGGCGACTTTTCTCGTGGACGGGGCATGGTCGAAAGAAATTTTGAAGTTACGATCGTAACTGGAAGAAAGACAGAGCGCAGAAGTCAGGGTGGGAGAGTGCTACAAAACACGTTTTCAGAAAAGTGTGGCGATGCAGGCGCCTAGCTCGAGCGGTTCAGGGCCGAAGCTGGAACCCATGCACTCATTACTCTCACATCGCCTCAGGCCGAGTTTAGCTGCTCACGGCTGCTACGGACATCAAAAAGCAATGTCTTGCTTCTCCTCGGCTTAATAGGCATTATGGGGCTAACTACTATTCAACTATCACCAGTGGGCCCACGATCCCATCTCCTGGCTCCGCAAAGCTAGGAGACGGTCTTCTGAAGCTATTATAATCCACATGCTTCTTGTCGAAGGCAAACTTTCTGAGTCCGGGCACCAGGCAGAGTCGTACAATTGGACTTTGCCCCAGCTCAGAGCTCCCATTGTCTTGCTCAAGCCTTTCAGATTCCATGTGCTTTGGGTCATACTTACATCCTGGTAAAGGGAAAATCACTTCGAAGATATCTTTGCTCACCAACGCCTTTGTCTTGACTTTGAGAGCCGAGATAAATATCTTTTTCAGTTGTGGCCGCTGTTGCTGCCACTCCTCGAGGATGTCTACTTCCCACAGGTCCAAGGGATTTTGCAGCCCGAACAATGGCTTCACTCTTTCAGACAGGCGCATCGCAAGAGCTTCGGCTCGACGAGGAATCACCTCTTGTTGGAAGTCTTCGCTTTCAATCAGGCTGTGATGCACAGCAAGGTCAAGGTTTCGAGCGACATCTTCGCCATCTGTCCATCAGTTAGCCTCATTCTGCAGCGAAACACAAATATGGCTGACCCATAGTGGTAAGATGCGACAGCATGGTGTCACACATTAGGCAGCCAGTAATCATGGGCTCCCGGACGTCGCATTCTAACACCCATTCGCATACAGCTGCAGATAAGATCGACCTGAGAAGTGAATGGAAGGAGATCGCCTGTAAAGTACCCCCAGAGTCACCGAGCACACGGTGCAGCAAAGCCTTCAGGTCATCTGGCGCCTCCTCAAAGTTGATGTCATTACACGGTCTTTGAATCTCGCCGCAGCGACACATGAAGTCATCTATCTCATTCCTGATATCAACCATGCTGTCATGGAAATATTCCCTGTCGAATGGCATGTGTTTACTGATATTTCGCGTTGTGAAAGGGCGAAAGACCTCCTTATCGAAGAGCTGGGATCGCAAAATTTCAATCTCGGCGAGGTAGCCTCTAAGGGTTTCCTGTGTTGGAGCTTCCCCAGCGTTCTTGCATATAGCACGTCTGTGTTCTTCAGATGCCAACTGAGTTTTCAGTTCATCGATTGTGCGGTAAGCGTCGGATAGTTTCCCACGAAGATGCTGCAGGTCTCTTCCACGGTCTGAAAGCAGTTGTCGAACTCTCCCGCACTCGCTCAGGCTGCATGATGAAGAATTTTCAACAGATGTGATAAGTGGAGATGGAGATATGCGCGTACTAATCGGCTGAACTACGTCTCTGGGGGGCGTAAGGAAGACTTCTGAGTCTGCTATACACCAGCTCGCACTCGGAGACTGTGAGTCGTCGATGAAGTCGCTAAGTAGCGACGCAGTAGGTGAGCTTAGAGTTCTGGAGTGCTCGCGCTTAGGAACCGTAGAATGAGCTCGACTATTTCGCCGCCCGTGGGCATCCTCCGCCGGTTTGCTCGGAGTTGCAGGGATCTAGAGGCTCCTTGGTTAGTTTCTCTCGCTGTCCTCGTGCGAAAGAAGCTGTTACCGCGTACCTGTACAGATATGGAGTTTCTGGGAGACTTTCCTGGTACGTCGACGCTATCCGCACGGGAGTTTGGGTGAGATCTCTTTGTTTGTTTGAAGAGACGTTTGGCAACTATGTCACCAATGCTGGTATGCTCGGCTTTTCGTTTTTGTCGTGCGCTCTGTGAGCTCGGCCTGGCATATTCGGGCACAGGCTGCTTCATCAATTGCTGCACTCGAGCCTTGACGGATTGAGCTCTTTCGTCGTTGAATGCTCCTCCGCGCAAAGCCTTGGTTCCAATGCGATACACGATTGTATAACCTGAATAGGTTTCTCCATTTGGCCGACTGAGATTGGTTGGCGCCTTCCACCAATTTTTGACTCTGGCATCGATCTGTTGGAAAGTGAAGTCCCTTTGGCGGCTGTGACTGAGGTGAGCCACGATGGACTTCTCGAATGCAACTGGTCCTAAGCGTTTGGCAATACAATAATCTATCCAAGCGAGTATCTCATCCTCATCGTCAGCTCTCAATCGATTTTCTCTCCGCTCCCGGGACAACGAAAAGATCTGCTGCAGCATCGTGATGGCCGAAGGATGGTGTGGCAGTACTTGTCGTGGGAACGAGGATGCGAACGTTGTCGAAGTAAAGCACGACGAATGGTTCGAGATAAGCGCCCTGTAATGCCGCCAAAGCACGCAATCACAAGGCAACCGCTGTCGCCGGCGGCCCGAACAACCGACCGCGTCCAGCGCTACAATTTAGCAAGACACTAACTAGTAATGCAGGGGCAAAGCCAGCCTGCGCTCAGCCGCTGCAGGGGACATACAATACCACCCTGCGCCGAGTTGGTACAGTAGCGGGCGCTGAGAAGGCGCATAGTCCTTGGCTACCAGCACCACAATTGGCTGCTCGGATGTACGGAGGACATCCGGACCACTCCTGCTGAAAATTGGTGGGTCGAATCTTGAGGCATTGTCTGCTTCCAACCCAGTTCGCCTCGCCGTTCCTGAATCTGGATAGGTCAGGGAGGTCCTTTTGATAGGCAGACATGGTCAGAGATAGCGAGTCACACGGAGCAAGAGACACGATGTGCCGGGCGTGGCGAGCAGCTTGCCGCGGAAAGGCTCTCCGACTTCTGCGGGAGCAGGATTGATCGAACTAGTATCGACTCTCGAGCGTCTTCACTGTATACTCTACTGTCGGACCTCCTCGATAAGTTGAACAACGTCTCAATGGACTCAGATACTCCCATGCAAGACTCTGATGATACAAGACATTTTGTTATTGCTATAGACTTCGGGACTACCTTCAGCTCTGTTGCCTACGTCGGCTATTCCAATGCGAACCAACGCCCCCGTATCGGTCTACAGCAGATTGAGATTGTCGATCGGTATCCCTACAACCCTTACGGAAACTTCGTGTGCCACGACGTGCCCACCGAGCTATGGTATTCTCAGCGAATACCGAGACCGGTCCCTCAAAGACGCGACACTGTTGATCGTCAACCTGCAGAAGACGACGACAGCTCTGGGGAAAATAACCCCCAAGCGTTCTTTGTAGGAAGTGCTTCGACCGAAGTTCCAGATTCAAACCATTCATCGTCAATATTATCGCTCCCAAAAAACAAAAAAGCGCCTCTGTTCTGGGGCTATGGCGTTCAGGATCAGCTTTTGGAAGCTGATTATAATACGGATCACTCAAGACATCTGTCGAGATTTAAATTGATCCTGGACAAAAGCCCTCACACAGAGAAAATCAGGAATGGCCTGTCGAAAAGTTGCAGCATACTCAAAAAGATGCTCCTGATTAATGACGATACCGATCTCATTGCCGATTATCTCACACAGCTCCTGCAGCACACCAAAACAAGACTCATCGATTCAGAGGGATTTACTGATGCCTCGACAGTGGAGTTTGTTCTCTGTGTCCCTGCCGTATGGAAGGCTGAAGCGATACGTCAAATGCAATTTGCATTGACTGCGGCTATCGCCAACACGCGCCTGGGCAGACTGCAGCATGGCACTATCGACAACCTCTTCATCGTTTCGGAGCCAGAAGGGGCAGCTGCATGTGTTCTCGCTCGCGAAAAGACGCGCTTAAAGGTGCGTGGCTCTGTTGGATAATCATCGTGGGAGTTGCATCATGCTAATGTGCACAGATTGGCGAGACCTTTATCCTGTTAGACGCAGGTGGTGGGACCGTTGATGCCATAACATACACTGTTGACAAAGACTTTCCGCTGCGGTTGAAGACTGAAGAAGTTGAACCTGGAGGCAAGTCAAGCACCAGCGACTTGTCACTAGCCGACTTTTACAGAATGATAGGTTCAACTTGTGGATCAAGTTTCATCAATGAGAGATACGAGGACTTACTACGTGAAAGGCTGAAGAATGCTACCTATCTCGAGGACAACGGCGAAAGTCTCCCGACAATCATAAGCGGACTAGTAGTCGAGTTTGAGAGGCGAGACAAGAAACGGTTGGACGCAAAATTCTTAGAACCGCACGCCGACTGCACAGTCAAGGTGCCAGGCCTCAAACACAGCGACAAACTACGGTTCGAAAAAGGACGATTGGTACTCAATCGGTAAGATATGAAGTCAAAACCTCACTGCAACATCAGCATCGCAAGACCTGACTGAGTGTACAGGAAAGAGATGGAGGCTCTCTTCTTACCCTCATTGGAGGGGGTTGCTGAAATCATGAAGGAGCAATTGAGGCTGGCACGAGAAAAAGGATGCGATGTGAAGGTAGCAAGCACGCCTTTTTTTTTTGGTATAACGCTCATCTGATACGCAGAAAATTATACTCATGGGCGGCTTCGGACAGTCTGAAGCACTATGTGATCATCTAAGGAAATCGTTAGCAACACAATGCGGCCCTTGGGCACGAACAATTGTGCTCGAGACGTCCAAATTACCGTAAGTAAATCCCGTTTCACTATCTTCTCTTGTTGATGAGCAGGTCGACCGCTGTGGCCCGTGGTGCCGTTCTTCGCGCTCTCAGGAAAGAAGACGGCCCTGCCCGTGTTCTTCAGGCCAGCTACGGATTCATACGAACAGAGCAGTACGGCACACAAGCCGAGCACGTAGGCCAAGTTCCGATTACAGACAAGATTGACGGACAGGAATATATAGACAATACCATCGAATGGATCATAAAAAAGGTATCCTTTCACAATGTTTTATAGTGTCTGCTGGTCATCGATAGCGCCTTTGCTGACACTTTCTGACAGGGTGACACCGTGGAGTCCGAGTACACTATCCCGAGAGAAGTCGAATACACCTTCGCCGTTTCCAGGAAGAAGTTAGTGGGTGCAGAGTATCTGTACGTCTCTGACCGGCGCCATAAAGACCACTACCGATCCGACAGTCCGGAGAACGAAGGTGAATCACCGTCTGTAACTTCTGGGGCTCGAAGGCTCGAAGCTGACCAAGAACAGGTGCAATTCTATTAGGCTACGTGGAGATCGATATGACGTCTCTCAAAACCTCTGGTCTCATCAAAGCTCAACCAGTGCCGGGCAGGCTCCCTTACTGGAAGATCAAAGGCACGCTCAATATCATTGTCAGCGGTCGCAATCTGCGCTACGAAATCAAACTGCCCGGGGACATAGCTAAAGTCGGACAGTCTTCCATTGCAGCTGCGTTTCGACCAGGGACCGAATGACATCAATGGACAATTGGGACTCTTCCTTCGCCGACATAGGGACTTCTTCCGGATTCTTGTTCTTCAATGTCCCCAACCAACCACCCTTGTTTCAAAAATGTCAATCCATTCCATCAAACAAAGGGTTATCAAGACGGGGGGACACATCTCGCAGCATTGAAAACTCAGTGTCATCGTCAGCGACGAACAATATTTAGGAGTTTGCCCCGTGTTGGGAAAACTTCGACGATGTACTTTGTATAAATACTCTTTTCAGGATCGCCCGCCAGTCCCGGCACCCCAGGCGAAACCTTACTCGAGACCCTTGAACTCTGGGTTGACTAACTTAGTTGATTGACCAACTAACTACTGCAGCTAGTAAACTCTTTGTGGCCCGTGGGTGGCGTCTGCTTTTCTTTCTGCCTCGGGGTCCGCACGATTTACCTTCTGCCGGTGGGGCGTTGAAACGTACACCACCGTACCGGCGGGGTCTCCGTAGTAGTATACTTACAGCATTGCGGGTTTTGGGCGAGGCACGGGGGGGCGACGACGAAAAACCACGACATTATTGAATTGATTGAGCGGGATTTCGTCCGGCGATGACCTTCGGCGGTTTTGTCTGCCCGTGGTGGCATCTATCTGTGTGTAGCTCGACGTTGGATTCTGGGCGATACGAAAATCCCCGGATTTGCACTCCGTAGAACGGAGGAGCAGTAGTTAGTTGGTCGTTCACGCATGGGGGACGTTCTTCGTTAGTTTGTCACACAGAAGAACCATTTGAGCCTGACGTGGAATGAAACCGATGATATATTATTACTGCTGATATCACTGTAAAATCACAAACAAACCAAAAGGGCCAAAGGTATGTTACCTCACGCGCACACATACGTGACTGGCCTGTACCTTTTGTAGCCGTGATCCCCCCGTGGATGTGCTGTTGTGTCCCCTGTAACTGACTGGTGCTCATCTCTCTCTCTCTCTCTCTCTCTCTCTCTCTCTCTCTCTCTCTCTCTCTCTGTGTGTGTGTGTGTGTGTGTGTGTGAGTCACCCATCCCCCCATTCCTCAAAATCAGAGAAGCCAAAAAGAACAAGCAACGAAACAAAATCCCCAAAATGCGTCCGAATCAAACTCAACAAACTGATTCCGTCGATTCTTGCAAGTCGTCCCAAGTACCAAAATTGACAAACCCAAGAGCCGTTCCACAATCACTCGTCCGTAGACTTCATCCCGACCACGATGCAAATACCCAAAAAAAAATGTACACGGCAAAATCAAAAAGGCAACAAAAAGAAAGGTCGAACAACAAATCCAGTCACAAACAAAAGTATATCATACACCTGAAGAGAACAACTTGTCAAAGAAAAAAAAACCAAAAACCAAAAAATACATGACTCCTCGGAAGAAAACGTCAACTAATAAAGACGAAAAAAAGCTCTCCGTACTGAGTATACAACAACGCAAAACACCCAAAAGAAAACAGGTGCCTTGTCATCCATCAAGTAAAAACAAATAAAACAAGAACCCAATGTTTCTCCATACACCCATTTCAACGCTGCACGCATTCTCACTATGCTTCCTTCCAGCTCGCACCCAATGCATATTCGTTGTTGTAGTCGCTCTGATGGACGCAACGAGAACTCCCCATTCCCGGACACCAACCTTCCTATAATGCAACGGCAGAGAAAAACTTCACAACAATCACTGCACATATGCCTGTGCTTTCTGTTGCTCTGTTCTGTGGTCCAGGCACTAAAAATGACAACCCAAACAAATTCAAAAAGGTAAATGAAAACCCCGCTTTTAAGGACTCAGTCCAGTCTCCCATCTCGTAAAGCAAGGGACACACATCTTTTCCCTGCTTTCAAATGTCCCTCCAGGTGATGCTTTTGGATAAACCCATGACCACACATAGGACATTTGTACGGTCTCACTCCCGTATGTAATTTGTTGTGTCTGCTTAACTTCGATATTTGCGCAAAGCTGCGGCCACAATCTCGACACGTAAAGGGCTTCTCTCCAGTATGCGTCCGTCCATGTTCACGCAAATCTGAAGCTTGACGAAAGGCCCTGCCGCAGATAGAACATGTATGGCGCTTGCAACCGGTTGTTGTACATCTGGTCGACCTCATTATACTTTGGGGCGGTGCATTATATTTCTTGCCAATGCCCGTCGATGGCTTCGACGGCTCTTTCAAAGTACTTGTGTCTTGGAAATGGCTCACTTTGCACTCAGGCCCATCGGAGGCGTTTTCCCTGGCCTTCGGTTTTTGTCTACTGTGACCATTGTACCCAGATTCTGAGTCAGTGAAGACGAGAGAGGTTGGCGGATGCAGCTTTTGGTCAGGACTCGAGCAGACTTTGTCACATGATTGTCCGAGCCCAGGGTCTGAGAGAGTGATCGCCGAATCATAATCTTGGGTGTAGAACAGTTGGTGCGTGTTCAAGGGCTTTCGTCCAATAATCGAGTTCAAGTCGAGCTCAACCTCCGGAGGGATGTCTAGAGCAGGGTTGCAGTCTATGTCGTCAGAACATCCCGAGTGGTCGTCAAGATCCAGGATCATTTGTAGGCATGGCAAGTCGAAACAAGTAGAATCGACCTCCCGATTCGAAATATTTACTCCGTCTCGTCGCTGCAGGACTGACTCATCGCCCTGATAGTTAAAACGCGAAACTGAAGCATTCGTTCCGTCAAAGCCAAGCTGACTGCTGGATTTTGAATCCGATCCGTGCTCGGTCGAACTCCATCCTTCACTACAGTCCACATACAGCTAGTATTGATTGTTCCATTGATTGCCTTGGCCAGGATTCTGCGTTGGTCCAACCCAGCCTTGTCCATGTTGAGGATTTTGTTGCATGTACTGGTTCTGTCCGCCCATTCCGTACACTGGCCTTTGTCCCATGCCCATTCCTCCATAACCAGCGGCATTCATGGCTTGAAGCGCAGCTCCAGGTCCATAGAGTTGCTGCCCACCAATGTTGCCAGAACCACCCGGGTGATGTAGCATTGGCATTTGAGGCGGTTGCATCTGCTGGGGATGAGGTGAGGCACTCGGATGACCACCCGGCATTGGCGAAGGGATCTGTCCTTGTGGAAGGTTCGGGGAAAACTGCGGAGTAGGCATCCTATGTACGGCTGGAGACTGGTGAGGCTGAGGAGGCGGAGCACCCCAACCTTGCTGCGGCTGCTGCTGCTGTTGTTGCTGTTGCTGTTGTTGTTGTTGCTGCTGCTGTTGCTGGGGCGTCATACCATGGGGGGAGAAATTACCGCCGGTAAAGGGCATCTGCTGCGGTTGGCCTGCTGACTGTGAAATAGAGAGGCTGGACGAGGACCGCTGGAACTGCTGATGCTGAGGAGTATATTGTGACGGGTCTCGAGGGAACGGCTGTTGTAAACTAGGCGTTCGCACAGGAGATTGAATTGGTGGCGGTGGGTGAGGGTACGATGGTGGGTTCATTGAGGGCTGAGACGTCTGCGCGGGATTCGGAATGGTGCTTCCTGGAGCAGGTACGTCGTTTGTCGGGAATCGTGGCGAAGTGAAGGGATGATTTGTTGTTGGGACTTCGGCTTCAGGAGGTGGAGTGGTAGAAACAGGTTGCTCGTGGGGCCTACGCCAATAGTCATCCACCAAGTGACGGCGATATCGACTTTGCTGATTGAGAGTCTTGCTGAAATCAGCCGCGTGGGCCGCTTGACTTGACAACTCTGCATCGGTACTTGAGCGAGTCAAGTCCTGGTACGGGGGGCCGTTAACGTCGAATCGTGGTCGGGGGATGTCCTTAAATCGCTCATATGCAGGATCAAAGTTTGCCAACGGAGGCATGGTTGCTGCAATCCCAGAGTGCAGGGCAGGCGGTTGAAGCGCACCGAAGCCGGGCCCATTGCTGTAGACGATATCACCGTAGCTTGCTGCAACGTTGGTCCTGGCGCTCAACTGATCTTGCTGAGCAGCTTCCCTGGCTCTGGCCGCTCCCGGTCGCTTTTCACCCGCGGCATCCTGTTCGGTGAACCCCTGTTTGATAGCCTTGGCTTCCCAGTAGTCGTCTCGAACCCGACGCCCATCTTTGATGACGCGACTGCCAAACTGCCGAAACATTGACCTTGCAGTTACTACCGCGATCTGTCTGGAACGGTAAGAGTACGGCAGGATCTCGTGGTTGACAAGCTCTTCCTTTTCCTTTGCGCTGGCAATGATTTTGAACAGCGAGCGATTCTTGTTGAACAAGAGGTAGCTATCCCTGTACTGTAATTGTCGCGCACATTCGGTGGCTAGCATGAACAGCTTCTGACCTCGGCCGGGCAGAGTAAATGTTCTGATTTTGTATTCGCGTCCACCTTGCAGGTAACCTAGTTGGTCTACCTTTTTCTCACCCTGCTCATCAATTTCGCGCGGCATATACTCATCCCCCTCGGGCTGCAATACATCACTTGTGTGATCCCTAACCGTGGGCAACGCTTTGATGGTAGATTTGGGGATTGAGCGCGGCGGTGAGGCTTGGAGGGGAGTTGAGCTCGCATGCTGGGAGACACCCTGTGCCCGTGGGGTTTGCGTGAGCTCTGGTGATGTCTGGTCAGAGGGCCTGGTAAGTGCGTCGACGTTGGAAGTGAAGTCTCCAGATGATCTAGGCGTTTTGGACGGTCGCCCACGCTTGCGCGGCCCTGTTCGTAGGTTAGTACAAGGACACATAGCTCGCGCCCAACTACACGAGGCATCGACTTACCATCATCGTCGGCCTGTGAATAGTCGCCATACTGTTCCGGCGATCGACTTCTCTTGAGACCCCGGGGCCCGGAAGCCGTGGATGACTGCAGCACACCTATTGCGACACGCGAACCTGGTCAGCCACGAACACCATACGGATGCTACTGATAAAAGATGATGATGCATGGCCTGGATGAAGGGTCGCGACAACACAAGAGGCGCATCAGGCCTGTCAAGAGGCCAAGTGCGCAGGGCCGATGGATGGGCATGTACGTACCACTAGAGTTCAGAGCTGCGGGATTAATAGTGCCTGAACCATCGCTCATGGCGCCGATACCGTTCAAAGCATTTGTCGGCTGATGAGAAGGTGGATAGATGGACATTTCACGTCCGCAGGCAGGCAGAGGTGGTGGTGATGGTGGTGATGGTGGTGGTGGTGGTTGCGATGCGCAGTCTTCGCATCAGCATACGTCCAGGAGCCGCCAGGCAGCACAGAGGGAGCTGGGTGACCCAAAGATCCTGGGGGAGGGTGCCTGCGTCTGATGCGTTCTCTCGTCGGTGTGAACAGTGTGCGACGAGAGGAATATTAGGGTGCGACAGCAACAATCGCGAAAGCGTGTCGGCGTGCAGTGACGGGGAAAATCGACGAGGGTGATGCTGGACCAGTCGCGGGCGGCGGGAGGAAGTGAGATGGTGGAGGTAGAGACGGGCTGAGAGGTGCAGATGGCAGCTCTAGAGGGGGGTGTTCAAGGAAGAAAAGACGCTCGTTGGATCGGCCGGTGGTGGGCTGGGTATGGCCGGTTCTGGTGTGCGCTTCTTTGAGAGCCTAGAGGTGCAGCAAAAAGCTTGCAGGAGAGTTTGTGTGAACACGCAAGACTCAAAGAGCGAGTGCAGGTGCGGGAAATGGCGCCTTCGGGGCTTGCAGATGCGAGTCTTTCTAGCTAGGCCGTGTTTTTTTCCCTCTCTTTCGCTGCGTGACTGGGTCGCTCGCTGCGGCTCGCTCGTGTCTCGCTGGGGACCCTTTGATGGTGTCAAGTCAGTCATGGGTCCGTGCTGGCTGCAGAATGACGAGAGTGCCACTCGCAAAGGCCCTTGGGTCCAGTTTTGCCGACGGCCATTAGCGGCTGATGGGCAGCCCCCGATCGCTGACCAGGTCAAGGGGATTTGTGCGCGGGTGTCGCGGGAGGGAGGGCTTGTACGATGGTATAATGTCATTACTAGGTACTTACTCGGTATGGGTACTGGTACACAGTGGCGGATCACCGAACCACTTATTAATTCGCGCCTTGGTGACGCCGACGACAGGGCCGCAACCGAGTCCCTCGTACTCGCAGTGCTGAGGCCAGGCCGACCGGAAGGAAGAAGAAGAAGATGATGATGATGATGAAGAAGATAGGGATGATGCTCGTACAATACGAAAGACCGGCTTCGGAACGGCGCAGCTGATGGTAAGCCTGACAAGTATTTGATGCTGTCTACCTAGGTAGGAATGTCGATGCTGGTGATGGAGATGATGACGGTGACGATAGAGCGACCCTGAGGACGGATGGACTTAGTAAGTTCGCAGGCAGGTAAATGGATCAGCTAACGTGGATACTGACGGCCAGCTAGTATTGTGCTCGTCTAGAGGGTACTGTACTGTCGCTTGTAAGTCGGAGGTGAAGCAAACGATGGAAAGGGAACCAAGGAAGCTGCTTCCGGGCGGGAAGAACGAATCTGATTTCGGGGCCTGGGTGCGCCCAGAGGTTGGTGCCCACTAGGCTCCGTTACTAGGTGTATATAGGTACCCCCAGTCCAGGTATAAGGCAGGTAGGTGCCTAAAGGTATCTTAACTTAGGTACCTGACTCTGTATCATCATACGATGTACTGTAGCTACAGGGGCCTTGGGAAAGCCCATGTACCCGAGATACCACCTACCTAGGTACCTAGGCAAGCCCCTACTTGTACTGTTGGTAGTATACCTATGTAGCTAAAGGTCAGGCAGTGCTTCGGCTGGACGCAGCAAGCGCACAACTGGCGAACCCGGCACCCTCAACCAAGGGCCAGTGGATCGGAACTCTAGTTACCTAGGCTTGGGATTAAGGTTGAAGCCGCAGCGAGATGCAGCGCCCCCAGTGTTCAGGGTCTTCGGGATGGTCAACAGTCGGCTCGATGCACGGTGGGCCAGTGACAGAAGGACAAACAATCGGCAGAGCGTTTTCGATAAGAGAAGGATTGGGCGAGAGAGAAGAGCCTCGCAGCAGACAGAGTACGACGATATGCAAGCACGGCCCATGTCTACCAGGTATCTTAGGGGGAGGTACCTGCTATGTACCTAGGTATGTTGTACGATCGTTGTCACCAGCCTGCGAGGCTGTTACAAAGGCCCCGAACCACCTACTGTACAATACCATACCAGGCCACCATTGACCTAGAGGTGTTTCGAGCAAGGACAACCTCTACCTGCGAGCTACCTCCAAGCTACCTGACCTGGCCAAAGTACAATACCTACTGTACGCTTGTACGGGAGGACTATCTCGGCAGTCAATCTTTTCCCCTCCAGCTCCAGACTAAAAAGACCCCCCCCGATCGTCACATCCTGAAGGAGTCATTTTCATTTGAAAGCGACGCGAGATTCGCTTTGGGGGTGCGCATGAAACTAGCTCCCCTGCTAGACTGGATGCATCATGCGCAGTATCATGGAGACAGTAGAAAGGAAAAATAGCCTCAGCGAGACAGGGACCAGGGGGTGAAGACATACTGTAGCCACAGTCCCTAAGGTACCTTTAGGTAAGAAATCAAATCACGGTCAGCCACCCAGAGACTCTTCTAACTGCATTGAACTGTTGAACATCAGCTACAGTAAATAAGTTGACTTTATCTCCTTATGGACGGGGATGCCATGGTAGGTGGTCTCCTACCACAAGTCTACCGTACAGCCTCACCGTACTCATTTAGGTCACTGCTACTTTGTCCCACGGCGAGAGAACGGTCATCCTCAGGGGGCTTTGGGTGTTGGGACCGTGTTGCCATGTCCAGCCGTCAAGACAGGCTGGCACAAGGATCTCTGTACACTCGTCTGCGTTAGACACTCGTCTGCGTTAGACAATCGTGAATTTCTCTCGTCAACGGTGCCGACAATAAACCGACGTAGCATCACACAACCGTCTCCAGATCGATCAGCCATTGCACGCAATACCAGATACCTTGTCCTGTACCTCTCTGGGTTAACAATTAGATAAAAGTCAGCTCGTAATTACCACTTGCTCAGCTGGTCAAGCTTCCCCTCCGAGTTCCTCTCAAGACTACGAGTCGCAACAAGAACGGATACTACGCTCGCTCTTACGAATCGCGAGGCACGGATCCATATTCCTCTGAAAAAAGGCTTGGGAATCAGCGAATGATGCCGCAATGAAGACGCCTCAGGCGCCGGGCCGTGCAACGTCTTGTTCGTCCTCCAAACCCCTGGCTCGATTCAAGGTCATCTGCCTCGACAACCCCGGTCCGGTGGCGCAAATGTCTTTCCTTCAACTGCCTCTTCTACCGCTCCAGAGTCCCCATCTTCTTACTCGTACGATTATTTGATCGTCCTTTGTCCAGAGCCCCTCTCCCAAGCGCTGCCATGACTCTTCAACGGGGTTAATTCCTTTGAGTTCGACGTCAGGCTAGCTGTCCTGTTTTACCAATCCCATCATTATCACCGAGACCGAGCAAAGCATTCGAACTCGCTTCGCTGAGTCCCCCGCTCGTCGAGTTACCGAGTGAACTAACGAGTGTCAGCTGAGACGATTGGATAAAGACGCTCATGACCAATGGACTGCCAATCATCCCACGTCTTTCATCAGCCTTCACACCCTCATGTTCGCCCTTTCCGGCCTATGGCTCCAGGCGCAGCAAGAGACAGCCTTCACATTCCGAGACATGATTGGCAGCCTGATCACCGAACGATACTGGACCGGGCGAACAGCGGCGGAAGCTCTCATTTGGGGACATGTCGCTTCTGTCGTCTGAGTGGTTGGGCTGTGGCACGCGTGCATGCTCTCGATCTCTTCGCGCACTGGCCGGATGAGGCATACCATAGCTCAACGGTGCTTTGCTCAGACTAGAGCAGAAACTTGTACGGATACGAGCGAGGCTCGATGGGTCAAAGTGCCCCCTCTCCACGTTCGGTAGGCCAATGGCGCCATGGCGGTGATGATGACGATGGACTTCCCACTATGGTCCACGGCAGAGAGTCCTGAGTAGTAGATCTACTGTCGCCTTTGGGGACACCAGCCGCTTGTCGTCAAATACCGACGTCGCAATCCACCAGAGGCTGGAGCGACATTTCTCTTCTGGGCCGTGTCGGCTGAGCAATGACGAAAAGCACGAGTCGTTCTGGAGACGTTGGTTTCCCTTCCAAGGAATGCCACAGTTCCCATCCAAGGCTGGGAAAGGAAGCCATACGAGAACAGGCGCTTCCCCAGCTGAAATTGACAAATGTACTCGTGTGTCGATGGGTCCGAGCGCCGGCCCTTGAGCTCCACACACTGGGCTGCCAGGAATAGACCTCTCGGTTCGATTCCCACCGGCCAAGGGCTTTTTAGTACGCATTTGTACATAGTTGAACCTGCTCCGCCGGCAGCCGTTGCGATGTTTGTATGCGCACTAACTAGTGAGGTGATAATGCACTTCCGCTTAGATCCCGGTAGTTTCATGGTCTTCCAGGCGCAAGCAAGAAACTCGGAGAGAGCTTTTTGGCTGACCGTAGTCCCCAGGTCAACAAGAGGTTGACAAGGCTAGAAACTCTCAACGGAGTAAAATGTGCTTTGGAATGAAGGTGCGCCCAATGCGGCGATGTTGTAGTTCGGCGCGCACAACTGGTAGGGATCTTGCCGCCCCTGCCATCCATGCTACATGCACGAGTCCATGCCTTTTGAAAAAGTCAAATGGATGGGTCGATATGTCACATTGTTCGCAGACATGCACTAGCTGCGAGGCGTCGTATCGTCGTCCAAGTCAGAAGACCTGTTTGCTCGCTTCGGAGAGGGGGGCGGCAAGGATTGCTCCAATGCATGAATTTGCACATGTCATGGAGGGCCTTGCATTCTTGGGTTGATGCGTGGACGGGCTCGCCAGGCTAAAGAAACAAAGGACTGGACTTGTTGACTGTGGGTCAAGCGATAGGCACGATGGAGCCTCGGAATGCTCGGGCAGGGCAGTGAGCATTTCGCTTTCTCTCGACTATCGAGGCCGAAAACTTCGATAGCGACATAGTTGTGTCTCACTATTGAGATGCTGGTGATTTGATGGCTGAAATTCGTCAGCCGTAATTAGCAACGGCGAATTGAAGTGGCGATGACGGTCGCTAAAAGACTTGGGGGGAGAGATGATGATGGGAATTTTGATAAATGGTCATCGTCA